CTGTAAAAGCCAGCAATATTTAAAGATAGGACAGCATTCAATATTTTGTACCACCATCTGAAGAGCCGGCAGCAAAGCATTTCCTGGCCTATTTGCAATCAATTTCCCCTCACACCTCCACATATTCCTTAATATAGCATCTTCAGATTCTCAAGGTCAAGAGAGTCATTAATATGTCTCTTCTTTTAATACAGCCAAGAAGTTACGTAAAAGTCTATTCCAGTCACCGTTTCTATCCAAGGAAGGCCCAGATATGCCACTAGCCTATGCTGCATAGAACATACTTTTTTCTTCTTGTTTTTCATGTAATCTCATGTAGCCTCTGAAACATTTGATTCCGGACATCTGGACTTCTAAAATCTTTCATTGTGGCAGCACTCACACTTTGGAACTCCCTGCCAATTGACATCAGGCAGATTTCTTCATTGTACTCTTTTCCTTGCCCGCTAAAAAACACTTTGGTTTAGGCAAGCCTGCCCAGACCTGTAGCATGTTGACATGCATTTTAATCCATTTTTAGCTTATTGAAGGTTTTAAACAACTGTTTTTACAGACAAACACTTTGAGGTTGTTTTTACAATCAAGCAAATTTTTATGAAATATATAAATAATCCCTTGTTTAAATTTAATAGCTGGGTTACTTGTCCTCCCCACCTCCCTCAAGGGCCTAAAATCTTAAAACTTTGACACCCAACAGAAATATTTACAGTGGTACCTCGGGTTACATACGCTTCAGGTTATATACGCTTCAGGTTACAGACTCCACTAACCTAGAAATAGTGCTTCAGGTTAAGAACTTTGCTTCAGGATGAGAACAGAAATCGTGTTCCGGCGGCGCGGCAGCAGCAGGAGGCCCATTAGCTAAAGTGGTGCTTCAGGTTAAGAACAGTTTCAGGTTAAGTACGGACCTCCGGAACGAATCAAGTACTTAACCGGAGGTACCACTGTAATCAATCAAGTTTATGAGGCAACCAAATGCAGGCTACAGCCTGCCAAGGAGTGGGGTAACCATAAAAAAACTTGCCAAATAGTACAATACAAAAGTATACATTCACAGAAAAAAGAAATTTAAACCATTGTCCTCATAATGCTATTCTAAGTTGGGACATTACACAACCAATCTAGACAAACACAAGACTTAGCTGTCCTTTTCAGCAAAAAAATTTTTTCCTGTATTACGGTACTTTAAGTGGCCACAGGTTCTAAAATCTTCACGCACTTCCCCCCTGGAATTTCATACAGACTACAGTATTAATCAATCATCTTCGATCACCCGACTTCCACAAATACAGAAGACTTGTTCTCTAGCAATATTATTCTACCTGCCTCCCCTTCCAGAAAGTTGGCTTATATTGTCTGAAAACACAAAGGAAAGGGCGTCTCAGACATAGTCCCTTCCCCATGCTGTGTTTTTAAGACGGGAAAACTGAAGGGGTGGGAATCTACAGGTCTCGACTGCTTCAATATCCAGCCTTTTTAATCATTATTATGCAATATAATATTGCAATAGGCGGGAAGCTAACAGGAATCTTGCTTTTCTAGAAGTCATGCCCACAGCAAACTTCTCAAAAGCACCACCTGAAATCCTAAAAAAAAGGGGGGGTGCGCGCACAAAGCTGCTTCTGTCCCGGCAGAGGAAGGAGGCCAATGAAAAACTCTCAGCCTCAAAAACTAGAGCAGTTACAAACAGATAGAGAGGGTGGGTGTAACTTTAGAAAAGAACTCTGCAATCTCTTTTGAGGAAAACTTCTCTTAGCAACAAGAGAGCTCAAAGAAAAGATGAAAAACAATGGGTGCATGTGGAAGTACCACAGCTAAGGCAAATCCCCAATCTTCTTGCAATAGTTTTGAGGGCAAATACAGGAGGAGACATCCCAAAGGCTCACAAACAGCAGCATAGAAATGGGTTAAGATTTTTGGGTTCAAATTTGGGATGGGAGGCCATTAAGCAAAGTACCATTGTTACAACAGAGAGAAAATTATAAGAATATGAGGTAAAAAGGTAAAGGTAAAGGACCCCTGGACGGTTAAGTCCAGTCAAAGGCGACTATGGGGTTGCGGTGCTCATCTCGCTTCAGGCCGAGGGAACCGGCGTTTGTCCACAGACAGCTTTCTGGGTCATGTGGCCAGCATAACTAAACTGCTTCTGGCGCAATGGAACATCGTGATGGAAGCGCTGTTTACCTTTCTGCTGCAGCAGTACCTATTTATCTATTTGCACTGGCGTGCTTTCGAACTGCTAGGTTGGCAGGAGCTGAGACAGAGCTGTGGGATGTGGGTGGTGCTGTGGTCTAAACCACTGAGCCTCTTGGGCTTGCTGATCAGAAGGTCAACGGTTTGAATCCCCGCAACGGGGTGAGATCCTGTTGCTCTGTCATAAGAATATAAGATCCCTGCTGGATCAGGCCAATGGCCCGTCTACTCATAGAATCATGGAAACATGGAATTGTAGAGTTGGAAGAGACTCCAGGGATCATTTAGTCCAACTCCCTGCAATGCAGGAATCTCAACTAGACCATACATGACAGATGGCCATCCAACCTCTGCTTAAACACCTCCAAGAAAGGAGAGTCCATCACCTCTCATTGGAGTCTGTTCCACTGAACAGCTCTTACTGTCAGAAGGTTCTTCCTGATATTTAGTTAAAATCTATTTCCTTGTCACTTGAAGCCATAGGTTTGGATCCTACCCTCCAGAGCAGGAGAAAACAAATATGCTCTATATTCCATGTGACACCCTTTAGATATTTGAAGATGGCTATCATGTCTCCTCTCAGTCTCCTCATTTCTAGGCTAAACATACCCAACTCCCTCAAGCATCTCTCATAAGGCTTAGTTTCCCGACCCTAAATCATCTCGGTTGCCCTCCTCTGCAGACAACTCATATTTCCCACCCTTCCTCCCAAAGGAGTCCAGGGTAGCAGACACAGCAATGATAACACATTAAAAAATAACCTGAAAATAGTTTTTAAACATTATCTCGAACCATTGGCCTTAGGGTTGCCATACCTTTCAGCCATCAAAATCACGAATGTTTTAAAATTTCTCCCAAGAGTCAATACAGAGGGAGATAGGTGCACCTCACAAAGGAGGGCATTCCACAAATGGGGAGCCACCACTGAGAAGTCAATCATGGGTCAATGCCAATCTAGCAGCCCTCAGTGATGGTACCAAGAACAAGGCCTCCACCTGCCAATTGTTGGGTGCCCTTTTAGGTACTTGAGTGCCAAGCCATTTAGAGCTTTATATCTTGACCTTTGGTCCATGGACCTTTAGGTGGTCTGTGAACTGGGAGCAAAAAAGAAAAAGAAAAGAAAACAGAGATTATTTTACCAATGGAATATAATTGCACTGATGGAAAATTTATTGTGTATGTGTTTATGTGCATTCTTCTGGGAAGAGGGCTGAAAGCTTTCATCAGACAACCCCCCCCCCCAAAAGTTAACCATTGCTATTTGCTAGTATATTCCACAGGCATTTTAGTTTAAGCTTGATTTTATAGTTTTAACTGATTTTTACCTTTTCTGCATCATGTTTCTTGTACACAGTTTATAGATTATTGACACTAAGTGGCAGATAAGTATTTTAAATAAAGAAATAAGTAGTATTAACACCCTGAATTGAGATCCTTAGTTCACTTTCAGGATGGCGGCACATGGTCCCATCAGAATGCCCCGCTTTCCAGTCTAGCAGGTGCATTCTGCACTGGCGGCAGGCCCCCGCCCCCCATCTTCAAGGGAAGCCCTGCAGACAGCCATTATGGTAGTCCAATTTAACTAATTTAAACTCCTGACTCTGGCTGGGGACCCTGATATACAATGGAAGGAAAGGAGGGACCTCAATGGTAAAGGTAAAGGTAAAGGGACCCCTGACCATTAGGTCCAGTTGTAACCGACTCTGGGGTTGTGGCACTCATCTTGCTCTATAGGCCGATGGCGTACAGCTTCTGGGTCATGTGGCCAGCATGACTAAGCCGCTTCTGGAGAACCAGAGCAGTGCACAGAAACGCCGTTTACCTTCCCGGTACCTATTTATCTACTTGCACTTTGACGTGCTTTCGAACTGCTAGGTTGGCAGGAGCAGGGACCGAACAATGGGAGCTCACCCCGTCGCAGGGATTCAAACCGCCGACCTTCTGATTGGCAAGTCCTAGGCTCTGTGGTTTAACCCACAGCGCCACCCTCAAGGGTACCATACATTTAAAGCACTATCATATAACTTTAAAACAGCTTTCTTCCCATTCAAAGAATTCTGGGATCTGTAGTTGGTTACGGGTACTGAGAGTGATTAGGAGACCCCCCTACTGTCCTCATAGAGCTACAATTCTCAGCATGGTTTAACACATCACTGTCAACCTTCCCATTTTTTGCGGGAAATTCCCTTATTTCAGCACCGTTTCCTGCTGCTATCCCGGATTGTTCAATATCCCGTAGACTGTCTCTGGGACAGATGAGGCTGCTGATCCCTTATTTTCAAATCCGAAAGTTGACACTTATGCTGCTGATCCCTTATTTTCAAATCTGAAAGTTGACAGCTATGGTTTAACAATTAATCCCCCTTTCTAGGGAGCACACTGCAGCTCTAGCACGTGTGTGTGATTCCACTGCTTCCTGGGAAGATGCAGGAGATGTGCTGAAGCAGCAGTGGGGACGTAGCATGAAAGCAGGCTGCACAAGAGCAGGGCACATTTGGAGAGTGACGCAAGACGACAGCTAGCCAGGTAGGCAGTGCCTCCTTATGAATTATAGAAGTGCAAAGTCACCACGTCCTGCAAGCTTCCTGTCCAAGACCAGCGTTTGCATTTTAGTAGGGGACTGAACACAGGTGTATTCAAGGACAAGAGAGATAGGCAGAGGAGGATACAAGGTGTTTATGGATGGAGCTGCAGCAGTGGGATGGAGCTGATGCAAACCATCATGTTCAGACGCTGCTTCTCTGCACCAAGCCAGGAACTGTTTGCAATTAAGGCAGTTTGACGCAACTGGTGAAGTGAAGGAACTAGGGAACGCAGCTCAGCATCAGAGCATCTGCTTTGCATGCAGAAGGTCCCTGGTTCAAGCCCCAGCAGCATTTCCAGGAAGGCCCAAGAAAAAGCTCTCCATCTGAAATCTTGAGGAGATGCTACCAGTCAGTGTAGGTAATAATGAGCTACATGAGCCAGTGGTCTGACTCTGTAGAAGGCAGCTTCCCGTAGGGTGCTCCAAATAACAACTGTTTATCTCCTGTACAGCACCCATGGGCTGTGGCATTTGACAAGTGCACAAGAGTACAGAACCCTGCCCCAAGGAGCTGACAATCTTAAAACTCAATTCAGGGGAAAGGAGCAGTGGAAGGGGAACAAGAAATGGAGGGAGGGGTAAACAGAGGAACGTAAGGATGCAAGAAGCGCCCTGCTGGATCAGGCCAACAGCCCACCTAGTCCAGCATCCTGATCCTGTTCTCACAGTGACGAGCCAGATGCCCCAATGGGAAGACTGCAAGGAAGACCTGAAAGTAACAGCAACCCTTCCAGGAGGAAGAAAAGTATGTGGATATCCAAGCAAAAACCATCCAGTACAATCAACCCACATTATGTGCAGCAAGCCATTCAGGTCATACACCACTGCCCAAATCAGTTTGCACCCCATGTGTATTTTTTGAGAGGAGAGGTGGAATCCCTCCTCTCTTGATGGGCATCTCTCAAGAGGACCTGCTGCATCAGAAAAACGAAACTAAAAACTTTCTCACCACCCTGCTCGCATCTTCACAGGCATATCTCCACAAATCACCGACCAGGCTTTGAGGTTTGCAAAAAGGGAGAGTGCCTTTTTGGTTGGCACCCACCCTCCCAGCAGTTGTGGAATGTTCTCCCAAGTGAGGCCCGCCTGGTGCTGACCCAGACATCTTTCTGCTGCCAGGTTAACACTTTCATTTTCCTCCAGGCATTTGACAGAATCTTAAAAGCTTGCTTGTCAATTGCCTAGGGAGATGCTTGCCTTGAATTAGATGGTTAGCTAAGAAAATAATATTTAAATGCTGAAGATTTATGCTTGCCTACCCATATCCAATTTTCTCAGAAGCTGGGCATTCTAGAATGCAGATTTGACAAGTGTTCTAAACTCCAGCAATTGTGACATTGAAGTCACCACTTTTACCCAGATAGCAAGGGAGAAAAAGGAGTTCTAAGCCACCCTGCCCAGCATGAACTCTCCCTGTGCCAAACCATGCCACACCTGCTTTGCACACTCAAGTGCTTTTGCTTGCCGACAATGCGCCTTTGAGGTTAAAGAATATGTAAATGATTGGTTGCACTACCGCCAAGTCAATGAAATGTATAAAGAGGATTTAAAGGAAAAAGGATTTGATGATTAAAAAATCAAAATTTGAAATATAAATATTAAACAATAAATGTAAAATAATGTCTAAAATGTAAAATACTGTTGGAATGAAAGATGAGGAAGTGAAATCGGTAATAATACACTGGGCAAAAGACTTTGGATATAATATACAGCTTAAAAGAATGGGAAAGGTTGTGGAATGAAAGGATAAAATTTACAGCCTGTAATGCTTTGAAAGAGAATATGATGAAAATGATGTATAGATGGTATATTACACCAGTGAAGTTAGCTAAAATGTATAAGACAAATAATAAATGTTGGAAATGTAGAGAAAAAGAAGGAACATTTTATCACATGTGGTGGGAATGTAAGAAAGTAAAGAACTTCTGGGAAATGATATATAATGAGATGAAAAAGATGTTGAAATATACATTCTTAAAAAAACCAGAAGAATTTTTACTTGGTATTATAGGCCAAGACATTAATAGACAAGATGTCAAACTGTTTTTATATGCAACAATAGCGGCAAGAGTATTGTTAGCGCAGAAATGGAAGCAAGAAGAAATTCTGACGAAAGAAGAATGGCAGATGAAATTAATGGACTATGCAGAATTGTACAAAATGATAGGAAGGATTTGAAACCTGTGGGACCAGAGATTTACAGAAGATTGGAAAAAGCATATGAATTATTTGAAGAGCAATTGTAATCAACAAATTACACTAGTAGGACTACAAGAAGTTTTGTAAGGAGAAATATACAAAGTGTTACAAAGTAGAAAAAGATAGAGATATTGGTTATGAGTTTGAAATGTAATAGGGAAAATAAGAAATGCATACTAAGAGATTAAATTGGAAAATTTTCAGACAGGACTGATGGAAGTCAAAAAAATTGAATAATATGTAAAAGTATGTTTAATTACTATTGAAAATGATATGTTAAAAAACTAATAAATATTGAACCCTGAAATTTGAACCCTGAAAATGCCTGGATGGGACAGAAGGAAATGTATGTAAAAACTGTACATAAGGTAACATTTACTTTTAGTATTCCAACCACTCTTGTTTCTGGCCCACGCGGGTCCTGCATGGTTTCCCCCAAAGGAAGGCAGCCCTTGGGCTAAAGAGGGTTCCCCCCTCTCCTAGAACATTTCCCATGATCCTCTTCCACAGACGAGGGTTTCAAGGAGGGCAAGCTGATATGGGGAGGGAAGGTAGCAACCCCAAATGCAGATCCACAACATGCATTCAAGAACTGAGCAAGGAACTGGGTGGGGCAGATAAGAGGAAGAGGCATCAAATGACTTCATTTTTCTAACAAAATCTGTCTTCCATTAGATGTTAATCATACACAGTAATTAACAAAGAAAGGGAGGGCAAAGCTTCTTCGCCACAGGGAACGTTTGGCTGTTTAAATCTCCAATGTAGTTTAACAGCAGCAACACACACACAAAAAGAGAGAGAGAGAAAGAGAGAGAGCGTGCGTCTGTGTGGCTCCCCGGCAGAAATCTCCCCTTGCAAGGACCAAATACAGTTTCACATGAACTCCAAAGTTATGATTAGCTCAGTCACTTCTATTTTTATGATTGTAAATTGTTTTTAATTGTTTTTAATATCATGTTTTAATGTTCTAGAGGTGAAGGGTGGGTAATAAATAAGTAAATGAGTAATCTATTTGCCTGCTTTTCAAGCATTAACACCGCACAAAGCCAGAATCCTGCTGTCAAAACGAAACACTGTACAGCATTTTATTACAGTACTAGGATATCCATTAGGGGCTGTTGGTGGAAGAAAGCTGTAATTGGTTAATTAAAGTCAACATTTTAATTGAATAATGACTCCATTACTTCTAAAATGCAAGGCTGGGACATCCCATGGGGAGACTCTGGTTGTGGCTGGGGGAGAAGAGAAAGACAGGATTGTTTTTGGAGAGGGGGTTAGGTTAGGAAATGAAGAAACAGAGCCACAGCAGAGCCCTAGAAAGACCATCTCTGCACCTTGCCTCCCTTGCAAGGGACACATATAGGCCACCAAAGAACCAGACCACAACTCCCACGAGCTCAACAGTGATGAACATTTTGTCAGCCCAATGGCCTCATTCCCTTCTGGTCAACCTTCCAGAGGCCACAGCCCATGATGGGCAGGGCCAGAGGCGAAAGTGAGTGGGGTGACAAATGTGAATTTTTATCTTAGTACAGTACAGAAGTTTCTACAAACACTCACACAACCCTCTATTTCCTCCATCCAGACCACTAAGAGACTTGATCAAAGTTCAGGGACGCATTCCAGCCGGGCAAAAATACTCAAAAGAGGATGCAAAGTGGGTGTGGTCTGAGAAGAGGCAGTGTGGGGTAGGGAGAGTCCTGAGGGCTGCATTAGCCCCATGGGCCTGATATTTTTTGGACCTGGAAAACCCCAACGGGCAGCAGCACTTGGAGGACCCAACGCCCAGAAACTTCACACCCAGGAGGCTTGAAAGCAGGCAGGCCCCAACTTCCTGGAGGAGAAAACTTGAAACACTACACAAACAAATGGACAGGAATGCTGGGGGCCTCAAGGCATGGGAAATACAAAGGAACGGAAACTGCATCAATCCCCTTTTCCATGCCTGGGCTTGGAAGCTGTTACACAACGAAGGGCACTCAGTTCTCCTATTCCAATTCAAGTCATGCCTAAGCAGTAATGAGATGCAAGAACATTGTTTCCCCTTCTTCTGGCTTCACCCTTTCGCCTGGAGGCTTTTTCCATTTGGCTGCAGACCAGGCATTCCCCCCCCCACCACCACCACCGTTGCTTTTTGCATTTCGAAATAATATTAATACTAATATTGCATTACCAAGTACATTGTCACCAGTGGAGCCCTTGGAAGAATGGGATGCAGGCTGCCGCTCTGTGCCCGGGTATACTGCTATCTGCACTTCAGTCCTTTGTATTGAAGATAGAGGCTGCCTCTGAGGGTCGAGTTCTGGGCGGGTGCTGAAGGGAGGCTTTTCCCAAGCGCCATGGGAGCTAATTCCTGAAAAAGAAGCACACGGTTTACTAAGGTGGGCTGAGTGTGGCTAGGTTTTATAGTCCAACCCAAAATACTTGACTAAGGAACCCAAAGGCCGCTATCCCTACACAGCCACTCCCCACTTTCAACACACAAGGCACATTTCATCCAAAAACCATCCCGGTACAGTGGTACCTCGGGTTAAGTACTTAATTTGTTCCGGAGGTGCATTCTTAACCTGAAACTGTTCTTAACCTGAGGTACCACATTAGTTAATGGGGCCTCCCGCTGCTGCTGCGCCGCCGCTGCACGATTTCTGTTCTCATCCTGAAGCAAAGTTCTTAACCTGAGGTAATATTTCTGGGTTAGCGGAGTTTGTAACCTGAAGCGTATGTAACCTGAAGCGTATGTAACCCGAGGTACCACTGTATTAGTAATAACCGTTTTTAGGATACAAAACATCTCAGTGACATTCATACTCCCAATGAGCCCCTTAAGAATAGGAAAAGAAAACAGCTAAATCAAATCAATGGCTGGTTTCAAGGATGGGGACCTGTCTTAGCCTGAGGGTCACATTCCTGCATGCATGCTGGTGTTGGGAGGGGGCCAGGGGCAGAAGCAGGTATTGCAACAGCAGCAACTATTCAGGTATGCAGCATTCCAGCCACGCACTACACATTTATCTCTACGTCCATATCCAGACAAGCAAAAGGTGCTACCACAGTTTGTGGGCGCATTCCAGCCCGTCAAAAGCACATGAGGAGGATGCATAGCAGGACCAGTGAGGTGTGTGGTCTAGGGAGAGTCCCAAGAGCTAGACAGAGATCCCTGGAGGCCCACATTTGGCCCCTAGGCCTGCAAGGCCAATAAAGTACACATACATTGGAATGCATGGAATACAAAAAGTGCAGAGAGCAATCACCTCTCTATAGTCTCACAATACAACTAGAACTTACATGCACCCAATGAATACAAATATTGCTGGGGGGAAACTTGTATCAAGAGATGCACATAAAGTTGGAAATGCCCAAGATGAAGCCTGACAGGGCATCTGAAAACAAAGGAAGCTTTTCCAATTTGTGGGTTAGGGTTAGGGTTGTATTTACGGGACCGCCTCTCCTGATATGCCCCACAGAGGACCTTAAGGTCAATGAATAACCATAGTTTAGAGGTCCCGGACCCTAAGGCAGTCATACTATCCTCCACCAGGGCCAGGGCCTTTTCAGTGATGGCTCCGACCTAGTGGAATGCTCTGTCCCATGAGACTAGGGCCCTTCAGGATTTAACCTCCTTCTGTCGGCCCTGTAAGACAGAGCTATTCTGCCTGGCCTTTAATTTGAATTCAGCCTGATCTTTTATTTCCCTTCTCTTCCCTCCCCCTCCCCTTTTATGAAGATTACCCGCTCTGAGACCCCACAGCTAATTCTCCCCTGGCCTCCTCTCTGGCCCAAGTAGGACTAATTCAGCCAGCTAGCCCTGGTGATTATCTAATGCTTATTAGATGGATTTCCCCTAAATTGATTTCTGAACTTTGAATTTTATTGTTACAGTGGTACCTCGGGCTACATACACTTCAGGTTACAGACTCCACTAACCCAGAAATAGTACCTTGGGTTAAGAACTTTGCTTCAGGATGAGAACAGAAATCGTGCGGCAGCGGCATGGCGGCAGCGGGAGGCCCCATTAGCTAAAGTGGTGCGTCAGGTTAAGAACAGTTTCAGGTTAAGAACGGACCTCCGGAACGAATTAAGTACATAACCAGAGGTACCACTGTATTCGTTTTTTTATACTGTATTTTATGCTGCTTTTACAATTAAGTGTTTTAAATTAGTTGTTAGCCGCCCTGAGCCCGGTTTTTGAACCAGGAAGGGCGTGGTATAAATAAAAAAATATTTATTTATTTATTTACTTACTTACTTACTTACTCATATGTAATTTTTTATTGAAGGTGTTCACTAACTGACAGAAAAGCAAACAATTACAAATGTACTTTAACTGAGTAACACATCAGGATTTCCTAGTCAAGCCTTCTTCACCAGGGTGAGCCCTAAATCCCAAAGAAAACACGGTCTTCACCACAAAGAGAAATCCTCTGGTAATTTCACAACTGGGTGGTTCCCAGGATGGGGTGGGAAGGGCCCCAGGCATCAACACTTACACAGCTTTCATATTTAGTTACAGTTCTGAACTGGTTTGTAGCTACCGCTAAGGCCAAAGGGTATGCTTGGCAGCTCCAGGTGTGGCCATGACATTGTCATATCTCCCACAAGCCAGTGGGGCAAACTGGTGCATTGCATGCTGTTGGGTGTCCAGATTTTTGGGACACTGCAATTCTCTTCCTCAGCCCTTTGGGATGGACCAGGTTTCAAACCAAACACTCTCTTGGTCCAGAGAATGCTGTGAGCAATAACTGGCATGACTTGGGCATCACTCTTTCAATTTTGGCTACTCTTAAAATACCAAACCACCACCACCAGGTGTTTACAAGGCCTCTGTTTCAACTTCCACAACAGACATAACAACATAATAGAAGGCTTCACCACTAGTAAAGTTCTAGCAATGGCCAAACAGATGCTTTCAGAAATTCCAGAAGCAATGCATGAGGACAGTAACTGTTTCACAGGAACAGAGAAACCTACATTATACCAAGCCAAGGGATTATCTAGCTCAGCACTGCTTATCCTGACTGGAGGTGGTTCTTCAGTATTTCGGGAAGGTATCTTTCCCATCCCTACCTGGAGATGCCTGGAACCAGGAACCTTCTGCATGCAAATAAGGTACTCTACCACGAGTTAAACCACAGAGCCTAGGACTTGCCGATCAGAAGGTCGGTGGTTTGAATCCCCGCGACGGGGTGAGCTCCCGTTGCTCAGTCCCTGCTCCTGTCAACCTAGCAGTTTGAAAACATGTCAAAGTGCAAGTAGATAAATAGGTACCGCTCCGGCGGGAAGGTAAACGGCGTTTCCGTACGCTGCTCTGGTTCGCCAGAAGTGGCTTAGTCATGCTGGCCACATGACCCGGAAGCTGTACGCCGGCTCCCTCGGCCAATAAAGTGAGATGAGCACCGCAACCCCAGAGTCGACCACAACTGGACCTAATGGTCAGGGGTCCCTTTACCTTTACTTTACCACGCAACTACAGCCCATTGTTATCCCTTCAGAGGCATAACTTATCTGAAGAGAGAGGTTTCGCTGAGTAGACACTGAAAGGTATCTTCCTGCCTCCTTGCCATGTGACTTGTCTCGCTTTTAAGATGTCTAGGCCAAGTGACCATTGCCGCATCTTGTGGCAGAAAAAGCCTTAATTGAATTGTGTATCTTATGATGAATTACTTTGCAATCAACTGCCGATCCATCTTCACTGGGTGAGCCACAGCATAAAGCTGTAAGCCAGGGTTCAGAAACCAACAATCCTCTAGACATCATGGGAGTGCAGCAGCCAGCATGTCCAATAGTCAGGGATGAAGGGATTTGTCGCCCAGCAACATCAACACCTTGAATTTTGCTCTTGAACTAGTATACTTTCTCCACTTAGCTTATTTCTCCGTCCCAGCATGCAAAGTTGCTGAATACAGTATTAGTATATTTCACAGCAGTAAGGCTGCATAAGTACGATACATTTAAAACACAACAAGCATTTTACTTTCTGTTGCTTTCATTCCATTTGTGAATCACATCCTGTAAAGTAAAGGTAAAGGGACCCCTGACCGTTAGGTCCAGTCGCGGACGACTCTGGGGTTGGGGCACTCATCTCATTTTACTGGCCGAGGGAGACGGCGTTTGTCCACAGACAGCTTCCAGGTCATGTGGCCAGCATGACTAAGCCACTTCTGGCAAACCAGGGCAGCGCACAGAAACACCGTTTACCTTCCCGCCGGAGCGGTACCTATTTATCTACTTGCACTTTGACGTGCTTTCGAACTGCTAGGTTGGCAGGAGCAGGGACCGAGCAACGGAAGCTCACCCCGTCGTGGGATTCAAACCACTGACCTTCTGATCAGCAAGCCCTAGGCTCTGTAGTTTAGACCACAGCGCCACCCGCGTCCCATCCTGTAAAGCACCTTGAAGCAATTTCACAATAAAAAGGGTAAAAACTAACCCAACATTTTCAAGATTATTAAATAAGATCTTTGGTCACATCCACACTATAACTCTAAAAAACATGATTTCTCCCAAAGAATTCTGGGAACTGTAGTTTGTTAAGGGTGCTGGGAATTCCAGCTCTGTGGAGGGTAAACAGCAGCTCTCAGGATTCACTGGGGTGCATTAAATGTACAGAATATCATGTACAGTATACTGCTGAAATGATGACACACACAAAATTTTGAAATCAAGTGGGCAGTAATTAAAGGAGGAGCCCCACCCTTTCCCCAAAAGTGATGCATTTCAGAATTAGGCAATGCAGAAGCTCCACTCCATTTAAAAAAGAAATTCAGTCAAGCCATGATTTTGCACATCCTTGCCTTGAGGACACTGGCTAGTTTCCTGGAACCTTCACATTTGACAGTGTTCCCTTTACTTGCCCCAGGACTCCAAAAAGACATCACCTCAGATGACCTTGCTCTCTGTAAATGGAATAATCCCATAAACCTTAAAAGAGGCCACATTGCTGCAGTGTAAATTTGCACACCCTCTCGCTGTTTTTACAGCAACCTGCTATCCCCAATTACTGGAAGGCCAGGACAATCATAAAACAGGCTCATGGCAGTTTAAAGGGCTCTGAGGCATCCAGCAACAGAGATCACTCTGGAGGCTTGACTGCAAAAATCCCAATCAGGCAGCACCTAAAGCTAAACATTGCTCTCCAATGTCCCACACCCAAATATTTTCCTCCTCCACCCCGGCCTTTTCCTTCCACTGACACCCTTTCTCCTGCCTCTTCCCAATACTCCTGCTTCCTTTCCAACAACCTACCTTCCCCACGGGTGCCAAAAAGTTTGCTTGCACACCCCATTCTTTGAGGTAGCTGAATGCAATAACACACACACACACCTAACTCTCCTCAACAGAATGCCACCCCTTTGTTTTCACTTCACCGGTCCCTGCCAGATGCCCCCCTTCCCCCCCCCCTTTACTCACATTGCATGGACTAGTAACACGATAACACCACCCACCCAGCTTCTCCAGCCCTTCTGTGACTTGCTCACAGCTTGACTCATCAGTGTTTCTTGCCAACCAGGCACTATTCCTTCCTTCACTTTCTGTCTGCCACCCCTTAATTGCCAGCAACACAACGTGGCAAAGGAGTCTCTGTTTCCTCTCCTTGCCCTTAATGTCACCCCAAAATGTCACTTCCCCTGTCACCCCAAAAATAAAAAGTTACTTGGCACTGGGGCACATTCTCAGACTCAGCCCCTTTGACAACTCTTCTGCCCCTATTTACCCTCCCCCTTGCCAGCCCCCTAAGTTCCAAGAACAGCTTAAGAAGAACTGTCATCACTCACCTTCTCGCTTTTGAGATCCACTTTCAAAAACAGCACAAGAGATAAACACACACCCTAAATTTGTTCCTATCCACAATGCTTCAGTTTCCTTCTTTAGTGCCACCTCACAACCCTCCACCACCATCTCTTATTCAACAAGTGCTAGAGGTGGGAGACAGCCAATAAATCCCGCCCTCCCCACTTGGAAAATAACCAATTAATTCGAGAACCTACAAAAAGGTGACTGTTTTCCAACTGCCAAGCCTTCCAAACCCTTCTGCACCTCCCCCACCCCTTCCAAATATCCCTTCCCCACTATTTTCTGAATCATAAGCAAAGCTCCCTTTTTATAGACCGCTTTTATTCGCTCTCAATGCTCACAATAAACCTTCAATTGCTACTAGTGTCCTGCATTCGTTTTAATTATTTACTGAATGTATGTTCCACCTTTTTTCTCCCCAGGAGCTCAAGGGGGCCTACACTGTTCTCCCCCTTTTTAATATAATCCCTACAACAATCTTGTGAGGTAGGTTAGGTTAAAAGGCAGTGACTGGTCCCAAGGACACACCCAGTGAGTTTCCTGATTGAGTGTACCCTGGTCTCCCAGGTCCTACTCTAACACTGGCTCTCTTTGCAAGAATATTCTGCCATAGCAGATCTTGGGGTTGGCGGATTAGATAATTCCCTCTTCCTAACACCCCCCCTCACTCGCTCTCCATGCCCACAACAAACCCAGTCTCAGATCTCTTCCACAACACATCTCCGGGGAAACCCACTCTTCCTAACTCCCCCCCCCCATTGTCACTCTCCCTACCTCTGCCACCAACTCCTCTGCAAGCCCCGGGTATGATTGTTGATGGCCATGTCACATCCATACCTCTTCTACTGTCTTACCGAACGAATCACACCCACCATCCCAGCCCCCTAGAAATTCCTTTCATACACGTGCAGCACCCCCTTCCTTTCTTTACGGCCTTCCCTCTCAACTGAGGAATTGCCAGTCCTAAACTTTACACACACACACACACACCGGTCCTTCTGCAACCCAGGATTTTCCTAGGGTTTCTCTCCACTCTCCACGCTTGCAAAGCTCACAAGCTGAAGGCATTGCATGCTCCTCTCCACCCTGCCGGGCACACATCTCTCGCCATCCTCGCTCACCCTCCTCTTCACTGACATCATACAAAACCAGGTTACTAAGTCCTCCAGGTCCTAAGCCTACTCTCTTTCCCAGAGACAACCCCAATACTCAAAAGCAGCGACCGGCAGGGGATCCTTCTCCCAGCTCTGCATTGCCCAAGTTCCTCTCCTTCCCCTTTCACTGGCAGCAAGGTTACTGGTTCTGTAGGTTCCTGAGGCTGTCCTTTCCCTGACGCCCCTTTCCACCTCAACAAAACCAGTGTAGGTTGGAAGTGAGGGTGGGAGAGAATCCTCCTCCATTATGCCAATCGATAAATAAAAGTTGCTGGTCCCCGAGGTTTCTGAGGACGTCCTCTTTACCAGACGCCCCTCTCCTTCCCAATACTCTAAAACAGCGTGTGGAAATGGGGAATCTTCCTCTCTATTTCCCGAGATCCACGTCCTTCCCCGACCCCCCCGCCACTCACTAGCTAAAACACGGTTACTGGTCCTCCACCTCGATACTAAAAAGAAATACCAAACAACCCCACCCAGCGCAAGTGTGTGTGTGGAGGGGACATACCCGATGTCCCCGCTTCCCCATCAAAAAAAGGGGGGTTACTAGTCCTCAGTGTTCCGGACTCGCCTCGGTATTCCTCAACACCCTCTATCTCTCATCAGATTCCCTGCCAGTCCACTTTCCCCCCAGGACGGGGCGGGAAACGCCAGCCCCTGACAGTGTCATTATTGCGACCCTTCGCACTCACCCGGCAGCAGCTTCCCGGCTCGGTCGCTTCGGGCTTTCTTTTGTTTGCCCCCCTCGCAGCCTCCTCACTGCACCACCGGGCTGCTCCACCCCGGAGCTGACCTCACCCGGCCGGCATGGGCATCCCCCGGCGGCGGCGGCAGAACCGGAAGTAAGCAGCAGCCGCGACTCTTGCTCCTCTCTTCCACTAGGCGGCGCCATCTCGAGAGGAGCCATCTTGGGAAGGGCAAGGCATTCCCCACGGAGCGAGAGGGAGAGGAAGCGAATGGAAAGCGCGAAAGATGCCTGGAGGTCATCTTGAGTATGGAGGGGGAAAGGAGCGCAAAGCTGCCATCTTGGTAAGGGAAGGTCGCTTTCCGCACGTACGTTTTTCTTTCTTTCTTTCTTTTTAAAATATATATAATTAACACGTTGCGCCTCTCCATATTTAAAGGGAGGGAAATCTCCAACTCATTATGTAAAAACGGCAATATTAATCCCCACATCCTGATGACAACGGGTACTAATGTGATGTTTTATAGCAGATTTATAAACCATATATACAATATTATATATAAAAGGCAACATATTGGGTTGCGTCTACATAAATTCTCACAGTAGACCTGCTGAGATTAATGGAGCTAAATCAGCCATGCTCATCCATTTCAATGGCCCTACTCTGAATAGGACTAGCATTGCATGTTTGCTATTTATTTGTTGCATATCTATCCCACCTTTTCCTCCCCACCTCTGCAAAAGGTTCAAGGCGGCATCTATAATTCTCTCCCCACCCCACCCCCATTTTTTTTAATCCATTACAACAACCTTGTGAGGTAGGTTAGGCTGAGAGGTGAGCAAAGGTGCCAAAGGTGAGCTTCCTGATGTTATAAGAATTCTTGTTGTTGTTTAGTCGTTTAGTCGTGTCCGACTCTTCGTGACCCCATGGACCAGAGCAAGCCAGGCCCTCCTGTCTTCCACTGCCTCCCGCAGTTTGGTCAAACTCATGCTGGTAGTTTCCAGAACAGTATCCAACCATCTCGTCCTCTGTCGTCCCCTTCTCCTTGTGCCCTCCATCTTTCCCAACATCAGGGTCTTTTCCAGGGAGTCTTCTCTTCTCATGAGGTGGCCAAAATATTGGAGTCTCAGCTTCAGGATCTGCCCTTCCAGTGAGCACTCAGGGCTGATTTCCTTCAGAATGGATAGGTTTGATCTTCTTGCAGTCCATGGGACTCTCAAGAGTCTCCTCCAGTACCATAATTCAAAAGCATCAATTCTTCGATCAGCCTTCTTTATGGTCCAGCTCTCACTTCCATACATCACTACTGGGAAAACCATAGCTTTAACTATATGGACCTTTGTCGACAAGGTGATGTCTCTGCTTTTTAAGATGCTGCCTAGGTTTCATTGCTTTTATCCCAAGAAGCAGGAATCTTTTAATTTAATGATTGCTGTCACCATCTGCAATGATCATGGAATCCAAGAAAGTAAAATCTCTCACTGCCTCCATTTCTTCCCCTTCTATTTGCCAGGAGGTGATGGGACCAGTGGCCATGATCTTAGTCTTTTTGATGTTGACCATATTATGCGCTCTCCTCTTTCAGCCTCATTAAAAGGTTCATTTATTCCTCCTCACTTTCTGCCATCAAGGTTGTGTCATCTGCATATCTGAGGTTGCTGATATTTCTCCCGGCAATCTTAATTCTGGCTTGGGATTCATCCAGTCCAGCCTTTCACATGATGAATTCTGCATATAAGTTAAATAAGCAGGGAGACAATATACAGCCTTGTCGTACTCCTTTCCCAATTTTGAACCAATCAGTTATTCCATTTCTAGTTCTAACAGTATATTCTTGTCCCACATAGAGATTTCTCAGGAGACAATCAATGGTGATCAGGCACTCCCATTTCTTTAAGAACTTGCCATAGTTTGCTGTGGTCGACACAGTCAAATGCTTTTGCGTAGTCAATGAAGCAGAAGTATATATTTTTCTGGAACTCTCTTGCTTTCTCCATAATCCAACACATGTTTGCAATTTGCTCTCTGGTTCCTCTGCCCCTTCGAAATCCAGCTTGCACTTCTGGGAGTTCTCGGTCCACATACTGCTTAAGCCTGCCTTGTAGAATTTTAGGCATTACTTTGCTAGTGTGTGAAATGAGCGCAATTGTGCAGTAGTAGGAGCATTCTTTGGGATTGGGATGTAGACTGATCTTCTCCAATCCTCTGGCCACTGCTGAGTTTTCCAAACTTGCTGGCATATTGAGTGTAGCACCTTAACAGCATCATCTTTTAAAATTTTAAATAGTTCAGCTAGAATATCATCACTTCCACTGGCCATGTTATTAGCAGTGCTTTCTAAGGCCCATTTGACTTCACTCTCCAGGATGTCTGGCTCAAGGTCAGCAACCACACTACCTGGGGTGTACGAGACCTCCATATCTTTCTGGTATAATTCCTCTGTGTATTCTTGCCACCTCTTCTTGATGTCTTCTGCTTCTGTTAAGTCCTTTCCACTTTTGTCCTTTATTATCGTAATCTTTGTATAAAATGTTCCTTTCATATCTCCAATTTTCTTGAACAGATCTCTGGTTTTTCCCATTCTGCTGTTTTCCTCTGTTTCTTTGCATTGCTCATTTAAGAGACTTCCGGGGGGCGCCATCGGTAATGGCGGATTCCCTCTGATCTGGAGGGACCAGCTCCACGGGAAACGGGTCTTTCCTGCTACGGCGAAGCGGGGACCCTTTCAAAAATCACAGGCGGATGAAGCCTGTGACCATGGGACTTGGCGGGCACCTTTAGCGCCCCCCCAACCCGCAAAGGAACCCACTAACGGGCTCCGGAGCGAAGAGGGGGAAGTGGCGCGGTGCTGAGAGTCAACTGCTTCTTCCGTGGAGCAAAGCCACACAGCCGTTGCCGGAGAGCGCTGCCTTTTTCCTGGGACAATTTGGCTTCTAAAACAATCACCCGTGAGTACTTAAATTTTGGACAATTGGACTCTAAATAAGGACTTGTGTGCAGAAAGGAAAATTGGACTTTAAAGTTTATTTCAATTTGGCACTGAAACGGGACGGTCTAAACAGGAAGTCAGCCTTCCGTTTCTTTGTAGATAGATTAAAGCAAAGACATGGCAAACTAGAGCTCAGAAAATCGCTTGTAAAGGACTAACTTTCATCATTTAAGATTGTTGAACCCCCTTCGGAAGCAGGAGAAGAGGGGGGATTTTTTCTGAACTGTTTAAACCTGCAGAAGTGAGTGTAAAGTAAAGTAACTTTCCACCGTCTTGATCCTGGAGCGGGGTGTCAGGACTGACGTTTTTTGAAGCTCATTGACCAGAGACAAACGTTTTTGACAGATAGCTAAAAGAAGAGAAACATAGTGATTCCATTGTTCCCCTTCGCATTTTAAAGGAATAAATATTGACAAAATATCTGAAAAAGGAAACATTGTTGTTAGATTTGTCTTTAAAAGAAAAGAACAAATAGAAGTTTTTCCCCTAGAGGGAGCCTGTGAAACTGTAACTAATTCTGAATCGGGGAGCTTGCAGCTGTTACAGATTACGATCGTGGGAATAGACTTCTGACCTTGCAGGACAATGTATTCAGAAGCTCTGCTGTGTGCTCTCTGTAAAACAAGTGCCCTACTGGAACAGCTACATGAGAAGACGGACTTGATGACTGATGCAATCAAAAATTTTGAACAGGCAGTGGGAAATTATATGGAGCCCACTCAGGAATTAAATCAGGAGTGTGCCCTACAGAACAGATGAGGGAAGAGGATGTTGCTGAATCTTGGGCGCCAGAGATGGAGGGAGCTGTGGCCCAGCAGGAACATGAGCTTTTGGATTTGACAAATGAACTTGGAAAAAGCCAGATTTGGAAAGATAAAGTTGGTTTGGTTTGGAAATGGGGGGTTGGATAGACCCCCCTATGCAGGGATGTTTGGACTTTTCAAGTCTGGCAATGGGCCGTGAGATGTTTGGGGTTGTGGGGGCTCTTAATTTTGGAGAGACTTTGAAACATGTTCTTAAATATCACATGGAGTTTAGTGTGGACTATGGAAAAGGGGCTGATATGTCGAGAAGGGTCAAAAACATTGCTAAGCTGGAGTTCCCACGAGTGAAAGGAGCAGGAGACAAAGGAAAATACAGTTATAAATATGAAGAAGAGCCGCGGAAGGGACATGGAAGGGACTTAAGGGCCTCGGATATAAGATTACCAGGTTAATGCGCTAGATTGATGAGATAAAAAGGACTGACAAAACCCGGGACCAGGAGGAAGAGACGCTGGATGAAGATTGGATTTTTCTTTTTTCTTTTTTATTATTAGGATTGTTTTATAAAACTGATGAATGTTAGAAAAATGTTGGAACGAAATTATTTGGCTTTAGCAAAAATGTTTAAAGAATTATGTTAGAATATTATGGTTATGAGAAGTTGGTAAAAATAAGATTTAAGTTTTAGGTTTTAAGGTTTTTTATAGGAAGATAAGATTAAAATAGATTAAGGTAATGTAATGACAGAATATTATGAAATATGGAAAGGATTTGCTGCGACAATTAACAACTATGATACAAAAAAAGGGAGGAGGAGGAGGTCAAAGAAAGAAGGTAATGACAGTTAAGGATTTGAGAATAATGGATTTGTTTTTAAATGTTTGTGGTATATTTTTGTTTTTTGACCATGTTGTGCTATTTTTTGATTTTGATTTTTATTAATTTGTATTGTTTGATGTGGTTTGTTTTTTCTTTGTTTTTTCTTTCTCCTTTTCTACTTTGTTTTCTTTTGTAATTCTAAAAAATTTTCAATAAATATCATTAAAAAAAAAAAAAGCATTGCTCATTTAAGAAGGCCCTCTTGTCTCTCCTTGCTATTTTTTGGAAATCTGCATTCAATTTCCTGTATCTTTTACTATCTCCCTTGCATTTTGCTTGCCTTCTCTTCCCCGCTATTTGTAAGGCCTCATTGGACAGCCACTTTGCTTTCTTGCATTTCCTTTTCATTGGGATGGTTTTCATTGTTGCCTCCTGTATAATGTTACCAGCCTTCATCCATAGTTCTTCAGGCACTCTGTCCACCAAATCTAAATCCTTAAACCTGTTCCTCACTTCCACTGTGTATTCATAAAGGATTTGATTTAGATTGTGTCTTACTGGCCCAGTGGCTTTTCCTACTTTCTTCAGTTTAAGCTGGAATTTTGCTATAAGAAGCTGATGATCTGAGCCACAGTCAGCTCCAGGTCTTGTTTTTGCTGACTGTATAGAGCTTCTCCATCTTTGGCTGCAGAGAATATAATCAATCTGATTTCGATGCTGCCCATCTGGTGATGTCCATGTGTAGAGTCATCTCTTGTGTTGTTGGAAAAGAGTGTTTGTGGCGACCAGCTTGTTCTCTTGACAGAACTTTATTAGCCTTTGCCCTGCGTTTTTAACTCCAAGGCCAAACTTGCCCATTTTTCCTTTTAACTCTTGACTCCCTACTTTAGCATTCCTATCCTCTATAATGAGAAGAACATCCTTCTTTGGTGTCATTTCTGGAAGGTATTGTAAGTCTTCATAGAAATGGTCAATTTCAGTTTCTTCAGCACCGGTAGTTGGTGCATAAACTTGGATTACTGTGATGTTAAAGGTCTGCCTTGGACTCGTATTGAGATCATTCTGTCATTTTTGAAATTGCATCCCAGTACAGCTTTTGCCACTCTTTTATTGACTATGAGGGCCACTCCATTTCTTTTACAGGATTCTTGCCCACAGTAGTAGATACAGTGGTCATCCAAACTGAATTTGCCCATTCCCGTCCATTTTAGTTCACTGATGCCCAGGATGTCAATATTCTTGCCATCTCATTTTTTACCACATCCAGGTTCATGGTTCTTACATTCCAGGTTCCTATGCAATATTTTTCTTTACATCATTGGACTTTCCTTTCGTTTCCAGGCATATCCACAACTGAGCGACCTTTCGGCTTTGGCCCAGCCGCTCCATCAGCTCTGAATCTACTTGTACTTGTCCTCCGCTCTTCCTCAGTAGCATGTTGAACACCTTCTGACCTGAGGGGCTCATCTTCCAGCGTCATAACTTTTATATGCCTGTTGTCTTTGTCCATGGAGTTTTCTTGGCAGGGATACTGGAGTGGCTTGCTGCTTCTTGCTCCAGGTGGATCACGTTTGGTCAAAACTCTCCACTATGACCTGTCCATCTTGGGTGGCCCTGCACGACATAGCTCATAGCTTCTCTGAGTTATTCAAGCCCCTTCGCCACGACAAGGCAGTGATCCATGATAAGAATTCTAAGGGGTTGTAAATAAAATGAATGTTCATAAGTGCACAAGATAAACACATATACTTAAGCACATAAACCACATGTCTGCAATAGTATGGGAGATCCATCCTGAAGTCTTATTGACTCTTATTGACCCCCATTATTTCTTTGCAGAAGGATGTATCTTAGCAAAACCTTTCCCAATTGTTCTTTTCACTTACAAATCCTTCAAATCCAGTCCAAAGAGCACATTTTGTGTATGAATAGGGGAGGTCTGTGACAAAGGTTTCAGAAGCTAGGGTATCTATCACTTCAAAAGACTGGCAGGATAATGCAATCAGAAAGGATTATCAGCTATCTTGACAAACAGGAGATAAGACACACTCTTGAATCTGTAGGATGCTTTTGAGTGGTCTTTGGCTAAGGGGTGGGAAATTTCTTAAGTCTTTAAAAGCTGTTATACACCTTTGTTCTGGGTCTTCGCCTCATTGCAAGGTGGTGGGAGGGGGAATTCTGATGCAACAGAAAAATAAATATCTTCCTTGCTTTCCTTCTACTGGTTCCACTCATTTTCCTCTGACTGATAACGGACTTGGGGGACACTGAATCCCTTGATGGAGAGCTGGGCTGTAAAAGCCTACCCCTATAACAATGGCTGAGTGGGAGATTTGAACCTGGGCTTCCCAGCTCCTACCGACACAATGACTGCACTCCACACTCTTCACTGGCAGAGCGACAGACAGACAGATGGGTAATGTGTGTGTGATAGGAATTTTATGGTTTTAGATATATGGCAACGTTCATAACCACACGTACATAGATCAGCACAGGAAAGCCAACCTGGAACCACTTTGATTCCTAAACTGAGCAAATGTTTCTCTGCATGGTAAAAAATGGAAAAGCCTCCCCATTGTCTCTTCCTTCACAAATCCTGTCTTAATCTGTGTTTGAATAAGGGTGTGAGCCTTATCATTACAAAAGACTGCCAAGGCTCCCCAAGAAATCCAATCAAGTAACCTGCCAGACAGGAAATAAACAAAGCGACAGGAGAAAACAACATGCAAATGTTCTGTTTTAGACCGCCTTATCTGAGGGGTGGTCTTAGGTTACACCCCTTCTGTGATGAATGCATAATGTTTCTGGGGGTGGTCTTGATCTAGAGGATGGGAATTTCAAAAGTCTTTATAAGCCCTTGCATAGCATTTTTGGGGGCCTCCTCCTCTCCTGCGTGTGAGGGGAGTACCCTGTTGCAACAGATCAATAAAGATCAAGCTTACTAGCTGCTTTGCTTCTCAATATTCTCTGGTTGGCCTCTGTTATTTTCTCCTACCAATAGGGAACCTATGTAAGGACTCTATATGGGCTCTTGGATACCCCATAAGGGAAAAGGGCATATTTTTTATTTTACAACATGTGTAAACAGGAATCACTTTACCTCCCATCATTTCCTCCTGCATCTAGAGAAGGGCAAATATGTCAATTTCAGTTTATCTAGGCTTCGCAAGTCCAGTTTTCCACATTTCTGCATCAATCTGCAGATCATCATCATCGTTTTTTAAAAGGGCCTGGCAAAAATTTGTTAGCATTTTAATATGTATTTGCAAGATACAGAGAAGGGAAGGGAACCTCAGTCCCCAGAGGGCCAACTGCTTTTTGGCCCTCAGGACTCTCCCCAGGCCACAGAGATGATGACCATTACGCAGTGAGCTTCATGCATTTTAACCAGAGTCTACCTGATCCTAATTTTATGCTCTAAGCCAGGGGTAGTCAACCTTTTTATACCTACCGCCCACTAATGCATCTTTCTTGATGGTAAAATTTCCTTACCGCCCACCAGTGCTCGATGGAAAGAGGATTCAGCTTGTACTGTAGAACCCCCTACTGCCCACCTAAAATCCTGAAATGCCCACTAATGGGCGGCAGGGACCAGGTTGACAACCCCTTCTCTAAGCACTCTTCCACACTCTTCCAGACAGTAATGATAGTTGCAACTACTGCCTGTTCCGGGCAACACACTATTTATTTTTTAAAGCAAACAAACCAGAAGACTACCCTTCCATAATTTGCCTTCACAAACAGAAAAGTGCTTTGCTAACAACCCGAAGCATCTCTGTGACTTTGGTTTCCCAATGTCAAGGCATTTGGTCAGATAAATGTTCCTTTTATTGCCCGCTAGATAGCAGCCTTCTTTCAAGCCTGTGATTGTATCAGATTCCAATGTTAATTTTTGTGTGAGCATCAATAAAAAGTGGGTTTTCTGATGCACTTGGATGATTCACTCACCAACATTTTTATTGGGCTGGATCATCACAAAAATGTTGATTGCATAGTAAATTCCTGAAATATTGATAAAGGAGAATTGAAAGGCATTCACTCCAATTTCATTAGAGCAGGAAAGCAACCACAGTGCTTAAGGTGGTCTTTTCTTTTCTTTTTACAAATACTGTGTCTTTACAAATATATTTCCATATTAAAATCTAAGGGGTGGTTTTTAGAGATTTCACCAATGTTGCATTTCTAAGTATGTTTACTTGGCAGTAAATCACATTGATTTTTATAGCCCTTCTTAGGGCCATTTCAAGCACACGACTTCTTTCTAAAGAATCCTAGGCCCTGTAGTTTTGTGCTGGGGCTTGTAGCTATGAAAGAAGAAAAGTACAGTTCCTAGGATTCCTTGCAGGTAGCCATGTGCTCTAAATGTATGGTGCAGATCTGCCCTCCATGTCATTAGAGTCTCGGAACAAGGATGTATGTTCCATTTGTTCATGTAAATATTGTTTTTTTGGGTGTAAATACACCCCAGTCTCAGAGGGGTGAAAGGTTTTGAGGGTTCCAGTGTGCCTCCTGGGTTGGTTTGCTTTGAATGTGATTTGCTAGAAACTGGTGTCATTTCCTATAAGCATAAAACTGGGGTGTGTTTTGCAGCGTTAACTCCCAACAGATCTTGCTTTCTGGTTAGGTTCCAGTGGGAACCTCCAGTGTCATAGCACAGAGAGCAAAGCAGGCCTCTTGAGATTTAAGTCAGACGTTACTGCAAAGACTGGTAGCCTGTTGACCCTTTCACTTATCCAGACACCCTGAAGACATAACCTCCCACAGGGAGAGGGAAATCTAAGCCCAAGTCCCCAGATAGCTCTCACTTAAGAACATAAGAAGAACCTACTGGATGAGGCCAGTGGCCCATCTAGTCCAGCACGCTGTCATCACAGTGCCCAACGATACCCTGAAGGGAGAACCCACAAGCAGGACCTGACCACGAAAGCACTGTCCCCTTCTGCAGTTTCCTGCAACTGAAATTCAGAAGCATCACTGCCTCCAACTGTTGTAAACAAAAATTGCCCTTTCCCCTTATGGGGTATCCAAGAGCCCATATAGAGTCCTTACATAGGTTCCCTATTGGTAGGAGAGAATAACAGAGGCCAACCAGAGAATATTGAGAAGCAAAGCAGCTGGTAAGCCTGATCTTTATTGATCTGTTGCAACAGGGTGCTCCCCTCACCCGCAGGAGAGAGGAGGAACCCCGAAAAATGGCGCGCAAGGCCTTATAAAGACTTTTGAAATTGCCACCCTGTAGATCAAGACCAACCCCAGAAACATCATACATACATCACAGAAGGGGTGTAACCTAAGACCACCCCTCAGATACATCATACCTACATCACAGAAAGGGCGGTCTAAACAGAAATTTGAATTATCTCCTGTCTGGCAGGTTACTTGATTGGATTGCCTGGGGAGCCTGGCCATTCTTTTGTAATGATAAATACTTAGTTCCTGGGCCATGTCACAGGCTCACACCCTATTCATATCTTAAATGTGCCCTTAAGACAAGATTTGTGAGGAAAGAGACAATGGGAGGTTTCCCACTTTGACCTTGCAGAGAAAACATTTGCTCAGTTTAGGAATCAAAATGGTTCCAGGTTGGTCTTCCTGGGCTGATCTATGTATGTGCTTGGTTAGTACATTTATGAACATTTCCATATATCTAAGACCCCAAAATTCCTATCACACAACTGTGAACGGAGAGCTTGGTTGGTGGCCATTGGCAGCCTTGTAATCTGAAAGGTATCAGAACATAAGAAGAGTGTTGCTGCTTGAGAACAGGATGCTTTATTAGATGAGTGGCTGGTGTGACCCAGCAGACTCTTATGTTCTTATCCTCGTTTTTGAAGGGGAGTGTCACTCAAATGAAAGCTAGATACACAATGTACATTTAATTAGGGCAGATCCACACTATACATTTAAACCCCATGCCTGCCAAAGGATGGGAATAGCAGCACTGTGAGGGGAAACTGAAATTCCCAGGTTTCTTTTGGGTTTGGTTTTTTTAAAAAAAAAAGTGTGCTGAATATGCTTTAAATGTTTTGTGTGGATCAGAGTCAGAAGTACTGTTGTTTAGTCGTTTAGTCGTGTCCGACTCTTCGTGACCCCATGGACCAGAGCACGCCAGGCACTCCTGTCTTCCACTGCCTCACGCAGTTTGGTCAAACTCATGCTAGTAGCTTCGAGAACACTGTCCAACCATCTCGTCCTCTGTCGTCCCCTTCTCCTTGTGCCCTCCATGGAAGTACACTCCTCCCCAAATAATCCTGGAATTTACCTATCAGAGCTGCCCTTCCCAGCACCCTTAACCAGGCATAGGCAAACTTGGCCCTCCAGATGACAATTCCCAACATCCCTGACCACTGGTCCTGTTAGCTAGGGATCATGGGAGTTGTAGTCCCAAAACATCTGGAGGGCTGAGTTTGCCTGTGCCTGCCCTTAACAAACTACACTTCCCAGGATTCTTCTGGGGTCGGGGTGGGGGAATGTATGCAGTGTTGATTCTCTCTCCACCCAGCAGAGGGCTTGTCAAGCATATGCAAATTCACACCTCCTCCAGCTTTGTTTGTTTCATTTCCTTTTTTCTTCTTAAGGTTACTTATTACTTATCTAGATTGAGGAGCAAAGTTCTTTAAAAGGAGCCGCCTGCCTCCTTTCTGCCATCACCAGCTTGGTCAAAAGGGACATCGGAATTAAGGTTGCCAGCTAGAGAAGAAGGTAAGGAACAGGGCAATTATAGTTGCCTACACGCCATACATTTAAAGCAAATTTCCCCCTCCCTTAACAAACCCGCAGCTCTCAGGATTTCTTTTGGGAGGATCATGCTTTAAACATACAGTATAATGCTTTAAACACAGCCTTGATGTACAGTTGTGCCATTAATAGAAGCTGAACAATCAGGTGACAATTTCCTCCCCTCTCCCCCAGGCATGGCATTGTTGCAAACACAGCTGAGGACCCCAGGCCAAAAAAGAAAGAAAAAAGGCTGTCACCCCTAGCTGGGGTGCCACAAGATCCCCTTCCCTTTATTTAAAATCCTCCCTCTGCTTTTTGTGATTGGCTGGAAGCCCTGCCATATCTCCTCCCAGAAATATTTCACTTGTTCAAAAAACAAAACACAAAGCCACACACAGGGAAATAGAAAGGTGCCAAGCATGGTGAATTTTGTGGCGTGGAAAAGACCAGAAAACTTTAGAGCAAGCGGATCCCCTTTCCCCCCCTGTTTAAAGACTTGCTTTATTATTAATATTAAGTATTTATATGTTTATCTAGAAATAAGACAGAAAGTGTGACAGCTTTTGAACTCCTCTGGAATATTTTCTTTAAAAATATAGTGGTCATGTTGTTGTTAACAGTTCTTGCTCTTTATTTTTTAAAATTCTTGATTAAACCCCATATGCTTAGTTTTGTCATCCTGTGTTCCTCTGAGATTATCTGTTTACACCTAATAATCCATTTGGTGGCTAGGAAACAACAAAACTCAGCTTGGTTCTGAAAGCTGCTCTGATCCTGCCAGGAAGCATGTGGTTCTTAGGAAATGTGCTTTTATTTCTCTTACTTCAGGACAGGGATGGATGGCATCTCTTGCTTTTGTAGAGAAGCTTCTGTGACATCCTTCAAATTCCAAATGCAGCATTTGTTTTGTGCATTACATTAATATCCCACTTTTCCTCCAAGGAGCTCAAGACAGTTCTTACGGTTTTCTCTCTTCCCATTTTATCCTCACAGCAACTCTGTGAGTCAGGTTAGACCGGGAGTTAGTGATTGGGTCCAGGTCACAGAGTGAATTTCATGACTGGAGATTTTTGAACCAATGTGCTCCCTGACCCTTGTCCAGTACTAATCACTACACCTTGCTGGCTCAAGGCTCTTTGCTTCCAGCGAGAGTATGCAGATCACAGCAGCAACTAAATCCCTTGTCCAAACTGACTTGCTTGTGAGAAATCTGCTAGTGCTCTTCTTTATTGTTGATCTGCCCACAGTAAGGAAGTTGCATGCAATCTTCCTCAGTTCCTAAACAGGAAATAACTAACCAGTATAACTGAGATCCCATGGAAGGTCATGTTAATATTTTCTTGCAAGGGGTGACCAGTTCCACCAACACCCTAGCCAGTCCTTGCAACGCACATGTATGCATGTCCACTCCGAAGTAAGTCCCATTAGTTACTCACAGCTGTGCATAAGATTGCAAGGTAACTCTTGTAAAGTGAAAGTCTTCGGAGCTTGAAAGCCATGTTCTCTGAATTCCCAAGTTGCTTTAGTGTCTGGCTTACATGTGCTCAGAGGCACCCTTGTTACTGAGCAATGTGTTCTTAAGTACATCGTTTGAGATTCTAACCACATTTAAGTTTTCTCTTACAATTAAGCAGTATATGAATTTTATGAAATAAAGTTTTGTTATTGTTGTTATTATTAATTAAATTTATATACCATCCTCCATGAGTACATTTCAGGGCAAATTAAACATAAAAATACAAGATTAAGAAAAAGTAATAAAAACAAGAACGAAAGCAAACTGATAACCCCCTCCCTCCAATTTCATAACCATCTTAATTTATTTCTAACCTTCTTTTCTCTTTTAGGAGTACAAAGTTAATATGAATACATATAAGATGTACACATATATGAATTGGGTCCTTAGTACTTTCCACCAAAACACATGTACAGCTATATCTTCTTGTTTTTAACTTGAATGTAGGTAGCTGAACCCATATGCTCTGCTATCATATTTCAAGTTCCTGGGAGTTACGGATTTTATATGGAACCTGTATGTGTTGCTTTTTACTATATATTTTGGAAAGTTGTCTGTTTGCTAAATTACCACCACCAAATTTTGCACAATGGCTCCTGTGACTGAAGACCACATTCTCATCTATGTTTGGGTACAGTTGGATGGCATTTTGAAGTAAGGTCGAAGACGGAACCTTTCAAAATTGCACTGATCTTAACCACTGATTTTGTGTGTATATGAGTGTGTATCTTGTGTGTGTGTAAATGCCTCTCATAAAACATCCTGAAATATTTTAATGGTAAAGACAGAACCAGTGGTGGTATGGCTGTTAACAGTTCCTGACTAGGACCTGTGAGAGACCAGGGTTTGAATCCCCCTGCTCAGCCATAAGGCTTACTGACTGACCTTGGGGCCAGATGCTGCCTCTCAGCCTAACCTCCCTTACAGAGGAAGAGGGGAATGTACACCCTCTTGAGCTTCTTGGAGAGAAAAGGGTTGGTTATAAATGCAAGCAAACAAGCAATCAGGCAATCAATCAATAATCAATTAATCAATCAACCAACAGTTAAAAGGTATATAAAAACAAAGTGATAATTAAGTGCTTAACAGTGGTAATTTACAAAACAATGTTTGATGACACAGACATCTTGGCACTTGCAAGTAAATAATTATAACCCTCCGTACTTTTCTAAATTTCATTTCCTTCTGACCTCACTTTTTACAATTTGTCCCACCCGCTCCCCACGTATGCTCATACATCAGCTATGTATTTTGCAAAGTTGTTCATTTTCTCATAGTGCATTTGGACTATGAGATATTTGGACCTAGGATATCCTAACCACATTTTGCATGACGGTTCCCAAGATCAAGGAGCAGCTTTGGGTTTATGTCTGAATGCAATTGATCTCTTTCTTTTCCTCTTCCCCGTTCCTCTCTCTGTGTAAGAAATAACACAGGTCCATGCATAGGGCACAGCAAACCAGTGTTGTAGTGGTATGGTTAGAAGTATCGCTCTGTCCTTGATTCATTGCCTACTGGGAAGGAATAATCGTATTGGATTCTGCTGGTATCACTCTAAGGTAGGAAGACCAGGAGTGTCAGGAGCCAAATGTGGACTCCCAGGCTTCTCTACCAAACCCTTGGAACTCTCCCCCTCACTGGCCCTGCTTGAGTGTTGGTCTTGTTGGAACAAGTCTTAAAGTTGTAGAGTCTTAAAGTTTGAAGGGACCATAAACACAATCCAGTCCCACCCCCCTGCAATGCAGAAATCCCAGCTAAAGAATCCCTAACAGTGGCCATCCAACCTCTGTTTAAAAACCTCCAATAAAAGAGAATCCATCATATCCCGAGGTAGCTTGTTCATTGTCAATCATTAGATAGTTCTTCCTAAGGTTTGTAACTTGATTTCATTGGTTTGGGTCCTTCCCTCCAGCGCAGCAGAAAACAAATTTGCTCTATATTCCGTGTGACAGCCCTTTAGATATTTGGAGGTGGCTATCATATCTCCCCTCAGTCTCTTTACCAGGCTTTACCTTTACCTTTTGCCTTTACCAGGCTAAACATGCCCAATTCCCTCAACTGTTTTTCATAAGGTTTGGTTTCCAGACTGTTGATCATCTTAGTCACCCTCTGCAGACATTCCATTCTCCTCCTTGTCTGGATGGAGGATGAGAAGTGTGAATGGGTGTTGCTTGCTGTACAAAGGGGGAAATCACCTTTGTTGCTGCTCCTACTTTCACCACTGGCCCTATCTACCCTGTGGCCCCCAGAAGGTTGCCTTGGAGGAGATGTGGCCCTAGGCCTGAAAAAGTCTGCCCTGCCATAGGAAAAACCATTTAACCAGAAGGAGCCAGCTGGAAAATGTGACTGTGCTTTGTATGGATGGAGTTTAAGTTTTTTGTTGGTGATGACAGAACAGAGCAGGGGAGGTCGGGGTATTTGTTGCCTGCTGTGCTAAGGTTGCTCCCTTTTTTATTAGTAATTTATTTACCACTTGTCAGGGAACTGCCATCGGAAGGAAGGGAGGTGAAAGGACTCAGACAGGTTGGAAGAGACTCAGCAGCGGAAGAGGGAACCAGCAAGGGGAGAGAAGCTGAACTGAGGGAGGTGAAAGGGCTCAGACAGGTTGGAAGAGACTCAGCAGCTGAAGAGGAAACCTGCAGGGGAGAGAAGCTGAACTGAGGGAAAGGGAGCTGGGGGATGGCTCAGAGATACTTCCAGCGAAAACAGTGGTGAGGTTTCCGGACCTCCTGTTGGGACACCCACTCCTCGCCGGAAACTGTCACGCAGAGAGTCCAGAAGACGTGTTTCCGTTAAGGAGCTTTTATGTTGGAAGCGATTACGAAAGCAGCCACTGTCGGAATCTTCTAGTGACTAGAGGAGCCATGTCAGAGGGGCTCAGTCACAGACAGAGGTTTGTGGACTTGAACAAACTCTGAGGGAATACGATTTTACGCACAAGCAGCTCATCTTCCCATCACAGCATTCCGACAGTCTTTGAACGCAGCTTGTGCAGGAGAAGGCATAATGAGCAACCCAGCAGGAACCGGAGAAGCAGGGGCTGGAGCGGGTCCAAGCCTGGAAGAAAGGTACCGGGTGTTGGAGGTCCAGCTGGCGCTGCAGACGGCGAGGCTGGAGGAGAGGAGGGCTCAAGATGCAGACAAAAGGGAGAAAGCCACCCAGCTCGCCAGAAAGGTACCAGGATTGGTGCAGAAATTTGGGGGGGAGCCCAAAGACTATCATAGCTTTCGGACAGAAATGCAATATGCCCTCAATCTGCAGTTTGATGATTTCACTGATGAGGAATCACGAGTGGCTTTTGTGATTGGGCATCTTGAAAAGGGGGCGAGAGACTGGGTTAGAACCCTGATGGCAGCGCATAGTGACGTCCTAAAGGACACGATGAAGTTCTTTCGCGCCATGGATCTGATGTTTTCCAGCGATATTGAAAAGGGAGTGGTGCGCAGACAGTTAATGGCTTGCAAACAGGGGAGCCGATCTGTACGTGAGTACTGGACTGAGTTCACCATGCTGATACACAGATTGGGGTGGGACTTATCGGCGGAACCCATTCAAATGCTCTTTGAAGAAGGGCTTTCTTCGGCTGTGAAAGATGAACTTTCCCGGGCGCCCAGGGCGGAGTCTATGGACCAGCTGACCAAATCAGCGCTGGCCATAGGAGCGCGCCAGGAGGCGAGAGCATTGGAGAGGCGGGAAGGGAAAGGGGAACGTTGGAAGGAGTTCCGCATTCCAGACATTCCAGAGCCAACTTTCCCGCCGGCAGAGCCGATGGAAATCGGAACAGCGCGCGCGCGCGCAGTTTCAAAGCCCAGTGAGGGGGGGAAAAAGGAGGGAAAAGGCGCCCGGAAATGCTATCTCTGCCAACAGCCAGGGCACTTTGCCAGAGTCTGCCCCCAGAGGAAGGAATGGCAAGGGATGGTGGGAGCTGTGGAGGGAAGAGAGGAAAAGATACCGGAGCAACTAAAAGCCAACGCCTGGCTGCCATTGTCGGGGCACAGCAGCCAGGCCAAAGAGCAGTGAAAGTGCCCACGCCAGAACCTCCTAAACCCGCCCTAGTGATAGAAGTGACACTAGAGCTGCCAAACGGACACCCTCTAAAGATAAAGGCGCTGTTGGACTCAGGCAGCTCCTGCAATTTCATGAGCAAAGAGTTTGCAGCTGAACACCAGATACAGACGCTCCCTTTAAGCAACCCCCTGCAGGTAACCACGATCGATGGCAGGGAGCTGTTGGGAGGAGAAGTCAGCTTGCAGACCGTCCCAATGATAATGAAGGTGGCAAGGCACACCGAACTCATTGCGTTTAATGTGGCCACCTTGGGAGGAGCTCCCATTATATTGGGGATGAGCTGGCTAGCGTTACATGATCCGCTGGTGGGCTGGCATCAAAGAGTGGTTTCTTTTGGGTCAGCACATTGCTTAGAACACTGCAAAGAGGGAAAGGTTTTGGCAGGGGCCCAAGCCACCCTAGCAGGGACTGAAGTAACGGAGAACGTGAAGGTACCACGACAATACGCAGATCTCCGCGACGTCTTCAGCGAAAGGGAAGCTGACCAACTACCACCGCATAGAGCCTTTGACTGTCAAATCAATTTGCTCCCTGGGGCACAGCTCCCTGTGGGCAAGCTGTACGCCATGTCAGACAGAGAGATGCAGGAGCTAAGAGAGTTCATTGACAAGAACCTGAAGAGAGGGTTCATCAGAGAGTCCAGGGCGGTGGGGCAGCCCAGTGTTTTTGTGGACAAAAACACGAACAAGCCGAGACTGGTGTGTGACTTCAGGGCCTTAAATGCAGTGTCAGAACCAGTGGCCTTCCCGATGCCCAGGATTGACGACATTTTGACAAGGGTGCGGAAGGGAAAGATTTTCACCAAGCTGGATCTAAGGGGGGCGTACAACCTGATACGAATAAGGAAGGGGGATGAATGGAAAACCACCATGTTCACCCCTTTAGGGGCATTTGAATACTTAGTTATGCCCTTCGGTCTACAAGCAGGCTCCGCAACATTTCAATCGTTTATGAACCACGTCCTGGGGCCGTTGCTTTACAAGAATTGTGTGGCCTTCTTAGACGACGTGTTGGTGTATTCTGAGAATGAGGAGCAGCATGTGAGAGACGTCAGAGAAGTGTTGAGCAGGCTGCAAGCCAACCAGCTGTGGGTGAAACTGGAGAAGTGTCAGTTTCATACCAAGGAGGTGGAATTCCTGGGGTATCGCCTGTCTGACAAGGGGTTGGCCATGGATCCCGGCAAGGTCCAGGCGGTACTGGAATGGAAAACACCCAAAACAAGGAAGGATGTGCAGAGGTTTTTAGGATTTGGGAACTTCTATCGTAAGTTCATCCCAAACTTTGCCCACCTGACGGCGCCCATTACGGACTGTCTCAGCAGTAAGAAGAAGTTCGTTTGGACGGAGGAGGCGGAGCAAGCATTTGAGGAACTAAAAGGGCCTTCGCCTCGGAACAACAGCTCCTGCATGTGGATTTACAAAAACCGATGAGAGTGGAAACTGACGCATCAGACAGAGCGGTTGGGGCGGTGCTTCTCCAGCCAGGGAAGGAGGAGTCAGAGTGGAGACCGTGTGCTTTTTTTTCGCGAAAGCTGAACAAATCCGAGAGGAACTACACGGTGTATGACCGAGAACTACTAGCCATTCATGAGGCGTTCCGGAGATGGAGGCACCTGCTAATTGGCGCACAACATAAGGTGCAAGTGTGCACTGACCACAAGAACCTAGAGTATTGGAGGACGGCACGAGTGCTCAACCAACGGCAAGTGAGGTGGGCCCAGGAATTCTCCAAATTTAACTTTGAGATTTGTTACGTGCCAGGCCCAGAGAACATTAGGCGGACGCTCTCTCACGCAAACCTGAATATTTGGAGGGGAGGGAGCACCCGAAGAGAGACATGTCATTCCAGAGGACCGCTGGGTGTGTGGGCGGCATTGGTGGGACAAAGAGAACTGGTAGAAGAAACAGAGAATGATGAATACGCCCAGAATAAGCTCAGAGGTCTTAGGGATGAGGGAGAGGAATCAAGGGGTTTCGAGGAAAGAAATGGAGCTTTGTATTACAAAGGGGCACTGTATATCCCTGAAGGAGACTTAAGGGGGAGGGTACTCAAGCAGTTGCATGACAGCCCCACGGCGGGCATTTTGGGCAACACAAAACCATGTGGTTGGTCACCAGGGAATTTTGGTGGCCTAAGGTGAGGGAGGATGTACGTGAGTATGTAAGAGGGTGCGAGCAGTGCCAGCGAGCCAAAGGGGAAAGGCGGGCGCCGGCGGGGCTATTAGAACCCTTACCAACACCAGAACGACCTTGGGAGGCAGTGTCGATAGATTTTATGACTGATCTGCCGAAGTCCAAAGGGAAAACAGCCATCATGGTGGTGGTAGACCTACTAACAAAGATGTGCCACTTTGTAGCTTGCTCGCATGCAGTCACGGCGGAAGAGACAGCGAAGTTATTTGTAGAACACATTTTTAGGTTGCACGGGGTGCCATTGAGGGTGGTCTCAGACCGAGGAAAACAATTTACTTCCAGGTTCTGGAGGAAGCTCATGAGCTTACTGCAGGTGGAGGTCAACTTTTCGACTGCCCGGCACCCTGAAACCAACGGGCAGGCGGAAAGAGCAAACGGTGTCCTCCAGCAATACCTGAGGTGTTATGTCAATGACAGAGAGAATGACTGGGTAGAAAAGTTGGCGCTGGCGGAATTTGCCTACAACAATGCCGAGAATGTGTCCACAGGGATGAGCCCCTTCTTGGCTAATTATGGGTGTCATCCCAGGGCTTTCCCAGGGGAGAAGGGGAGAGATGGAGCGTACCGGCAGCCGAGCATTTTGTAGAAGAAATGGAAGCAATCCACCGTCAGCTCCAACTCAACTTAGAAAGGGCGAAGGAAGAATACAAGAGGCAGGCAGACAAGAACCGAAGGGAAGGTGAAACCATAAGGGTTGGAGATAGGGTGTGGCTGTCAACCCGAGGGTTGCCGTTCAAAGGAGGTTGTAAGAAATTAAGACCCAGGAGGTTGGGTCCCTTTGAGGTCATTCAACAGGTCAACCCAGTGGCTTTCAGGCTCCGGTTACCCAACCACATGAAACTGCACCCAGTATTTCACAGGTCGTTACTGTCACCGTACGAGGGGGGACGAGAAGGGATGGCCACTCGGGACCGGTCATAGAAGAAAGAGAATGCAGCAGTCATGTGGCAGAAATCCTTGATGCCAGGTGGAAGGGGAATCAGGTGGAGTATTTGGTAGCGTGGGAAGGAGAACCGGAGTCAGAAAACACGTGGGTAATGGCCGAAGATATCAATGACGAGGTATTGATAGAAACGTTCCATCAAAGGTTCCCGAGGAAACCTCAGCCTGTGGAGAGGTTCCGGAGGGAATACTTTGGGACCACTGAGGAGGAGGAGGAGTTGGAAGGATTCCCAGAATCGGAAGGGGAAGGGGAGATGGACTCGGAGGAGGAGGAGTGCTTCGAGACCAGGAACCGCAACAGGTGGAGAGAAGTGTTCGAGACATCGGAAGATGAAGGAAGTTCATTCCGGGTTTTGCCTCCTCACCGCCCGTAGAGGAGGGGGCGAGAGGGGGTGAAGGGGGCCCTGGAGGGGGAGGTGGATGTCAGGGAACTGCCATCGGAAGGAAGGGAGGTGAAAGGACTCAGACAGGTTGGAAGAGACTCAGCAGCTGAAGAGGGAACCAGCAAGGGGAGAAGCTGAACTGAGGGAGGTGAAAGGGCTCAGACAGGTTGGAAGAGACTCAGCAGCTGAAGAGGAAACCAGCAGGGGGAGAGAAGCTGAACTGAGGGAAAGGGAGCTGGGGGGATGGCTCAGAGATACTTCCAGCGAAAACAGTGGTGAGGTTTCCGGACCTCCTGTTGGGACACCCACTCCTCGCCGGAAACTGTCACGCAGAGAGTCCAGAAGACGTGTTTCCGTTAAGGAGCTTTTATGTTGGAAGCGATCCCGACAGCAGCCACTGTCGGAATCTTCTAGTGACTAGAGGAGCCATGTCAGAGGGGCTCAGTCACAGACAGAGGTTTGTGGACTTGAACAAACTCTGAGGGAATACGATTTTACGCACAAGCAGCTCATCTTCCCATCACACCACTTTATGCATCAAACGCTAGTCCTTGAGCAGTTTTCAACATTATAAAAATTACCAAAAAAACCCTAATAAGAATTACACACTATAAAGCACCATAGAAAAATTAGAGAAGACCCTCTTAAATGCCACTAAATGAGGTGTTGGGAAGCAGCTCTGGCCCTGCAGATGCTGCTGGACTACAATTCCCATTGTTATCCTGGGCCATTGTCTATGCTGGCTGCTGGGAGTTGTAGTCCATCAACATCTGAAGGGCCAAAGGTTCCACAGACCAGCTGTAAACTAAAATAAGCGAACCTATAGGGACCATATCAACTACTGGCATATAAAAGATCTGAAAGAAGATGAAAAAGTTCTGCAGTTCTTTGTTATTAAAGAGCCATTATCAGCAGCAATTCTAACATGCTTTCCTTCCTTCTTTCTTTCCCCCCCACCCTTTCCTCCTTTCTCTAGGCAAAAATGTCCAGGATGGTTCAGGCTCGGAGGCTGGAGGGCGTAGAGAAGAATATCTGGTATTTCCTTCTTGGGTGGGCCCCATACACCATACTTGCCCAGTCCATACTTGCCCAGCTGCCAGACTATACAAGGCCAGACTATTTCTTTCTTTCTTTACTAATAAATGTAGTTCTGTATGGCCAGATAATAAAAATATCAGGACAGCTTACAACGTGCAAACATAAATTACCATTCTTAAAAACGAAAAGAAATACAGAGCATTATTAAGGTAACTGGCCAAGCAAAAATAAAAGCTGAACAGGTGCAGAGCCCTTTCAGGATAAAGAGGCCTTATATTTACATCTAGCCTAGTCACTTCACCCACTCCCTGATCCTTTTAAACAGGAGATACTGTTGAGGATTGAACCAGGGACCTTTTGCATGCAAAGCAGGCACACTGCAACTCAGCCACAGTCCCACCCTGACAAACCAACAACAACATCTTGTTTGCTTGGGCGAAGGGGTACTGGTTATGGTCCAGGGTTGCTGTTAGGTGCTAGGGCCTCTGTCCGAGGAGGGTAAAGCGTTTTGTCAAAATGCTTGCCCGAGAGAGCAGAGTTCAAGGAGCAGCATAGTCTTAGCCAGCCAAGCACAGAGCATCAGTTCAGCCCCAAAACATGATCCAGGCAGTCCAAGTGTGGTAAGAATTTACTTCTACACCACCTGTTCATTACCCAGATGAGAGGGAACAGGTTTTTAGGAAAACATGGAACCAAGAGAATTACAATTACAGCAAGCTTCAGCAGATCCAGTTAGGGACCCAGAGTTTATTAGATACTATTTCAATAGGGCAGAGCCAAACTTAATGTGGTTGTTCTAGCTGAACTGCCACTTAAGAAGAAGCTCTTTCACGAGGAGAATTAGAATGAGGGTTTTATAGAGATTGCACACAGAGTCATAAAACATCTAAACGTTCTTAAAACATAAACATCCTTCTACATATATCAAGGAAGGTTACAGGTCATGAGAAGTAAAACAAGCATGGCTCCATACTGGTATCTTCACCCCCATAATCACATAGAGGTGCACCAAGAATGCCTAAGCCATTTGGGTCTCAAATGTCACACTTCTGTCACCATTCCCCTAGCAACCAGGCCTCCATCAGGCTTTCAGCATTCCTTCCTTTATCTCATGTCCCTTGCTTCTGCTATATCTGTCTGCTCTAAGCTGGCAGGTTGCTTTAGGGAGTCAGTGAATGATGGGATTCAAACCATCCACCCAACCAAGGCTTGCCTCTTTGCACACCCTGAACCCCAGCAATAGACAGTATCTGTAATCCAGCTGGGGTTGAGATTGCAGGAGGCTGGCCTAGTGGGATTTAATTCTTCCTCTCTGCTCTTTTGCCTTTCACTCTCCTTAGGGTGGAGTTTGTCAAGTTGGCGGCCACATACAAGACCGTGAACCTGGGCCAAGGCTTCCCTAATTTCCCCCCACCGGACTTCGTCAGGGAAGCGTTGGTAGAGGCCGTTGGTGGAGAGAATACCTTGCTGCACCAATATACCCGAGAATTTGTACGTAAGAATCTCCTCCCTTTCTCTCTCAGGCTGCATGCATACCTTACATAAGTCTGATGTGTTGCTATGCAAGAACACTACTATACATAGTTCCCTGCACAGTTATCCCACGGGAAGAGGGATTGGTTGTTAAACCACTCTGGAAATTGTAGCTCTATAGGTAGGGAGATAAAAGGTAAAGGTAAAGGGACCCCTGACCATTAGTCCAGTCGTGGCCGACTCTGGGGTTGCAACGCTCATCTCGCTTTATTGGCCGAGGGAGCCGGCGTACAGCTTCCGGGTCATGTGGCCAGCATGATTAAGCCGCTTCTGGCAAACCAGAGCAGCGCATGGAAACGCCGTTTACCTTCCCGCCGGAGCGGTACCTATTTATCTACTTGCACTTTGACGTGCTTTTGAACTGCTAGGTTGGCAGGAGCAGGGACCGAGCAACGGGAGCTCGCCCCGTTGTGGGGATTCGAACCGCCGACCTTCTGATCGGCAATTCCTAGGCTCTGTGATTTAACCCACAGCGCCACCCGTGTCCCTTAGGTATGGGGATAGGGGCTTCCTAACAACTCTCAGCACTCTTCAAAAACTGCAGTTCTCAGGATGCTTTGGGAGAAGCCATGACAGCTTAAAGTGGTATCCTAGTGCTTTAAATGTATAGTGCAGATGGGGCTGCAGAAGAGGATTTCTGGGGAGGCTGCAATCTAAGTGCAGCAAGTAAGCAGAAAGAACACTTGTTTTTACGATCAAGTTCAGGACAAATATGCAATAAACGTCTACTAGCCTGCTTGCTTCAGGTTACCATTCCGTGTTCTCAGCCTCTGCTGTTTCCCCAGGGCCACCCACGTTTAGTAGCAATCTTGGCCCGCTTTTTTGGGAAGCTGCTCGGACGAGACCTGGACCCTCTGAAAAATGTGATGGTGACTGTTGGTGCCTATGAGGCCCTCTTCTGCTGCTTCCAGGCTCTGGTGGATGATGGAGATGAGGTAACAGAGTGCCTGTGTGCTTTGGGACATATTAATGGCTAGGACAATGCTTCTCAGACTTCATGAAACTGGAAAGTGGGGGTTCTAGCCTCTGCCTCCCTGAACCACCCAATGAAGCTAAATGTTGGGAGTACAGAGAAAAGTAAGGACTTCTTCACACAGCATGTAGCCAAACTATGGAATTCACTTCTGCAGGAGGCAGTGATGTCCACCAAACTGGATGGCTTTGAAAGAGGATGGGCCAAATCCATAAGGGTATCAATGACTGCTGACTCTGATAGCTGTGTCCTGCCTCTGCTGTCGGGAGGCAGTATGCTTCTGAATAGCATTTGCTGCAAATTGCAGTGGGGGAGAGTGTTGCTGTTGCATCTAGGTCCTGCTTGTGGCCTTTTTGTTAAGGCATCTGGTTTGCCACTGTGACAACAGGATGCTGGACTAGGTGGGCCCCCTTTGGCCTGATCCATCAGCCAGCCTTGTTTCGTGTTCTTTACTTCCTTCTTCTCTTCCTGACAGGCAGATGGGTGGCATCACTGCTGTTAATGATCCACACACACACACACACACACACACACACACACAAAATGAAGTAATATATTGAGGTCTGAAATCCTGTAACCACATAACATAAAAACTAACCAATGATGTGCTTGATACCTCTTTTGCATTTTCTTAGGTCATTATTATTGAGCCCTACTTTGACTGCTATGAGCCCATGGTGAAAATGGCTGGTGGGACTTCTGTGTTCATACCTCTGCAACTAGTAAGTGGACTGATTGTGCTGGCCTTTGTAGACAGTGACCCTGATACTTCAGATTCACTAGACTACAACATCCATCAATCCTGACCATTGGCCACACAGACTGGGGTATGGGTGGGTGTCATGGGGGTTGGAGCCCAACTCTTCTTTACGGGCAGTGCTACTTCATCCAAAACAACCTGAACTCCACATCCCTGAATGGATGAGTCACTCACCAACAGTACTTTTGTCTTGTCTCAACACTGCCTCTGTCCTGTCCCAATGCAGCTTTAGTTTACTGGCCTTGATCCTAGATGGTGGCTCCACTCTTCCACAGCTTCACCTGAATCAAACGAAACAGCTAGTTCTGGGGCCTTTGCCCATTGGCAGAAGTCCAGTGGCTTGACTCTCCCTTGACTCTCTCTTTTTCTCCATCTCCTCCGCCAGAATGCTGCAGAAGGTGGCAAGCTGAACTCTAGCAGAGACTGGCAACTGAATCCAGCCGAGCTGGCAGCAAAGTTCACCAAGCGAACTAAAGCCATTGTGCTGAACTCTCCCAACAACCCTTTGGGGAAGGTAACTAAAAACCCTGCAATTTTGTACAGGCCACTTGATGTACATTTGAAATATGTATGTGCAGTTCAGTATGTGCCATAGAATCATTGTAGCTTGAGGGCATCGCATAGGCATCAACCTCTGCTTCAGCTGAACCCATCCCCCCCACCACCACCTTTCCCCAGTCTTGTATGCCATTGCAGCCAGATTTTCCTCTCCTGCAAGATTGGGGGAAAAGTTGAGGATTCTCCCAACTTTTGTTGTAAAAAGAAAACTCTTCATAAACCAATCTTGAAAGACAGCAATATTGTCTGAAGTCTCCATTTAGGAACAGAGTGAATGAATGACATCTGTTCCTGATGAAGCAGCATTTATTGTCTTAAAAGGTAAAGGGAGCCCTGACCATTAGGTCCAGCCGTGACCGACTCTGGGGTTGCGGCACTCATCTTGCTTTATTGGCCGAGGGAGCTGGCGTTTGTTTGCAGACAGCTTCCGGGTCATGTGGCCAGCATGATTAAACCACTTCTGGCGAACCAGAGCAGCGCATGGAAACTCCGTTTACCTTCCCACCGGAGTGGTACCTATGTATCTACTTGCACTTTGATGTGCTTTTCAACTGCTAGGTTGGCAGGAGCAGGGACCAAGCAACAGAAGCTCACCCCGTCGCGGGGATTCGAACTGCTGACCTTCTGATCGGCAAGTCCTAGGCTCTGTGGTTTAACCCACAGCGCCACCCGTGTCCCTATTTATTGTCTTAAAGAGTGTCAAATTCCTTAACTTCTCTCTGCCACCTGGGAACACCTTCCTCAGCATAGCAGACTACCCTTCCCATGGGTGTTCGGAGCGTCCTTATTCCAACAGTGGGAGTAGCTGCCACTGTTCTATGTCAAAGGGGCCCAGAGTTGCCAGTCTTCTCCCTCTTGTGCAGGTGTTCAGTAGAAAGGAGATGGAGCTCATTGCAGAGTTGTGTGTGAGACATGACGTCCTCTGCTTCAGTGATGAGGTATACGAGTGGCTGGTCTACGATGGCAACAAGCATATCCGGATGGGTAAGGCAGATCCGCTTTCTGGACACTTGGCTTCATACCTGATCATCCTCCTAATCTGTGAACCTGAGCTGGTATGAGCATTTGTGGGTCCCTATGCCTTCTTCTCCCTTTTGGGACCAAAGTGGTCTGACTCCTGCAAGATCTTGCCTTGGACTTTCCAGACTCTGCAAAGAACAGTGTTTTTAAAGGAGCAGATACTCAGGGTGCTTCTCCCTTATGGGAGGAATGTTCCAGCTCTGATTTCCTTTCTCTTGAATGCACCACCGTGTAGATTTCAGCTTCATTTTCTTTCCTTGCTGACAGCCAGTTTACCAGGAATGTGGGAACGAACCGTGACCATTGGAAGTGCCGGAAAAACCTTCAGTGCAACGGGATGGAAGGTGAGGAGGCAGGTGTAGGAGGAGCCAGACTTAAGGACCGTTTTCCAGTTGAAATTCCTACCTAATCCTTTGCAGGCAAAGGAATAGGTCCATGGTAAGGTGCATACTTTTCATGTGAGAGGTCCCAGGCCCTGTGATCTTCGGATGAAGGGCAGCATAGCAATTTTAATAATCATCTTCATCTACACATGAAAAATGGATCAGCCGACAGGTAATTCAAAGCACACAGCATTTCATCAAATATTAGGACCATGGTCATAGCATAGCTTTGTATTGTTCATAAACAGTAGAGCTGCCTAGCTATCTTTGTGTTGTCCAGGAGACTATCCCGTAGACCAGGAGAACCTCAGGCTTGGGGGACAAGCACTGCCATTGGGAGCCTGCCTAAAACCCTGGAGAGCCACTGCCAGTCAGTGCAGACAATACTGAGCTGGAGGGACCTTAATGGTCTAGCTCAATATAAGGCAGCTTCCTTTGTTCCTAATGTGTCCTTGAACTCTAGTGATGCCTCTTGAGGCTAGAGGGTGTGTTTGTGGGTAGAAACCAGCCAGGTGTACAAAGGTAGCATTTATCTTTATTGCTCCGCCTACTTTTGCCTCTGGTTCCTCCCACTGCTGACAGGTGTTCCTCAGAAGGTTGCCTCTGCGGCAATGTGGCCCTCTGGTTGCAGAGCCCCTCACCTGCCCACTGTAGACTTTCCCACACTCTCAGTGACATATGAAGAACACCAGCTATCCAGAGATCTGAAAAATAACCGCATTTCCTTTTCCATGGCCATAGGTTGGCTGGACAATTGGGCCCGACCACCTTTTGAAGCACCTGAGGACAATTCATCAAAACTCAGTTTATCATTGTGCAACAGCAGCTCAGGTAAGAAAACAGCGCTGGACAAAACAATCCCTTCCACTGCAGGAGTAACCAATGCGTTGCCCTCCAGATGCTGCTGGACTACAATCTCCCATGTTTTTCTATTTTTATTTATCTAGAACATTTGTACTGCCCAAATGGATCCTATGAGTGGTTTACATGCAATCCATTAAAGCAAGTCTTAATCTAGAAAGAACGAAATAATACAGTGGTGCCTTGCAAGACGAAATTAATTTGTTCCGCGAGTTTTGTCGTCTTGCGATTTTTTTCGTCTTGCGAAGCACGGTGTCGGGAAAGTTTTGGAAAAGCTTCAAAAATCACCAAAGTCTTTAAAAACCTCAAAGAAGGCTACCACACCGCGTTCTATAAGTTGCTCCTCGAAGTCAAGTCGCAACTGTATTAACGGTGTTAAGAAAAAGGAAACAAACTTGCAAGACGTTTCCGTCTAGCGAAGCAGCTCAAAAAACAAAAAACCCTTTCGTCTAGCGAGTTTTTTGTCTTGCGAGGCATTTGTCTTGCGAGGTACCACTGTAGTTCTAACTGGGGTTGCAGGAGAGGGCCTACTTGGTGGCTGCTCTCTGGCTTTGAATCTCCCTCCCTTGGGAGGCCAGCCTGGCTCCCTCCTTGTCCTTCCGCCAGCAGGTGAAGCTTCTTTTCCCGCAGGCTTTTGGGAACTATTCTTCTGCTTGGAGCAAGCCAATTTAAATTATTGGGCCAGTTAAATCATGCCCATTATTGTCAGTGGGTCTACTCGGAGTAGGACTAAAACCGAAGAAGACCCACGTTAATACTTTTTGGCATCTCAAAGAACTGAGCACGGAATGTATATACTTACTGGAATAATCAACCTGGGGGAGGGGGAATTAGTGACAACTTTGACGCTGCTAACCTTGCCTGATAATTGCATTTGCAGTTGATGTCCATCTGTTGTTATTCATGAGTCTCTAGGAAGCCGTGGCCTGTGGGCTAGAGAAAGAGTTTGAGCGCTTTGGGAAGCCCGAGAGCTACTTTGCCCAGCTACCTCAACGGCTGCAGCGAAAACGAGACTTCCTGGTCCAGAGCTTGCTTGCTGTTGGCATGAAGCCCATTATCCCAGAGGGTTCCTATTTTGTAGTGGCCGACCTCTCCGAATTCAGTAAGCGTGACACACACCCCTTCACCCAGTTAATGGTGGACACTTATTATTTTTTTAAAAGAGAGAACATACATTTAAAGAGAGAACATCATCCATGTAAAACACATTTCTCTCTCAAAAAAATAATAATCTCGGGAAATGTAGTTCACCAGCTGCATTCCTAGCATGCTTAACAAGCTACAGTTTCCAGGATTCTCTGAGTCAAGCCATGTGCTGTACATGTATGGTGGGTCTGCAGCCATAATATTGCTTGTTTTGAGACCCAGTCCAAATTCAGATCCATTGGTGCACCTAGCTCAGTACTGTCTGTCTAGAGTGACTGACAGCAACTCTCTGGGGTTTCAGGCAAGGGTTTTTACCAGGCCTGGAGATTGAACCTAGAACCTTTTGCATGCAAGGCAGATGCCCCACCACTGAACCATGGTCCTTCCCTTAAACATAAAGTAAAGTTCTAGTCCTCAGGATTCAGAATAAAGGGTTGATTTCAGTGGAGATACAGTGGTACCTTGGGTTACAGACGCTTCAGGTTACAGACTCCGCTAACCCAGAAATAGTACCTTGGGTTAAGAACTTTGCTTCAGAAGAAGAGAACAGAAAATTGCACGGTGGCTGCGCAGCGGAAGCAGGAGGCCCCATTAGCTAAAGTGGTACCTCAGGTTAAGAACAGTTTCAGGTTAAGAACGGACCTCCAGAACAAATTCAGTTCTTAACCTGAGGTACCACTGTATATAGAAAGCTGCCTTATACAGTGGTGCCCCGCAAGACGAATGCCTCGCAAGACGAAAAACTCGCTAGACGAAAGGGTTTTCCGTTTTTGCGTTGCTTCGCTAGACGAATTTCCCTATGGGCTTGCTTCGCAAGACGAAAATGTCTTGCGCTTTTTTTTTAAAGCCGCTTGAAGAGGCGCAGTTGCGACGGACCGTGCTTCGCAAGACGAAAAGACTCGCGGAACGAATTCTTTTCGTCTTGCGAGGGACCACTGTACAGTCATACCTTGGGTTACAGCCGCTTCAGGTTGTGTTTTTTTCAGGTTACGGACCGCCGAAATCTGGAAGTATCGGAATGGGTTACTTCCGGGTTTCAGTGGTCACGCGTGCACAGAAGCATTATATCACGCATTGCGCATGCGCAGAAGCGCAGAATCGAAACCCACGCATGCGCAGCTGCGGGTTGCAAACGTGGTCCGTGCGGGATGCACGTTTGCAACCTGAGCGTCCACTGTACTTAAGATAGTTTGTGCATAAAGCCCTGCATTGTTGATCAGCATCAGCTCTCCAGGGTTTCTGACTATGGGTCTCTCCAGTGCCAAGCATTTGAACTGGGGACCTTTTTCATGAAAACATGTGCTCTGCCACTTAGCAATCTTAGCCACTTAGCCTCTCAATCAATGCCCATGCTCTCTTCTTAGAAGATGAACTTCCTGATGAGCCAGACTCCGAGGAGCCGTATGATTATCGCTTTACAAAGTGGATGATCAAGAACAAGGTACGTGACCCAAGATTTGGGACCGGCCAGACCATTAGTGAGGTGGCTGCCTTAGGTGGCAGATTTGGGAAAACACTGAAGGTGGCAATATTACCAGTCTGCTGCTTTTTGACACGGGGAAGGGATGGCCACACTGGATTTTCTGCCTCAGGCACTCAGAAGGTTGGTAACATAGAACGTCACCTGGGATTGTGTCAGACCAATACTCCATCCAACTCATTATTGACAGCTCCAGGGGTGGAGAACTTTTTTCCACCTTCCAGGGGCCATGTGCCAGTGGTGGGCTGGGCTAGAGACAAAGGTGGATGGATCAATGAATGCAGTGTTTAGCTTTTGTACAGTGAACCCTCTATCCTCCATCCAAGCAAGAGACATTTTCAGACACCCATTTCAACCAGGGGGAAAACACTCAGGACATGAAGCCAGACGAGTGAGAGTGTATAATAATAATTATAATAAGATTTCTTTCTTTACTTGATAAAATTTGTACATTGTTTGATTGTAAAAAAATAATAATCTCAAAGTGGTTTACAATGATACGTGTAATTATAATGTTAATAAGAATAGCAACAGTATTTAATCTATGAATCCCCTTTCACTTGTGTGTCAAGGTGAATTACAAACATTTAAAAACAGTCAGGAATTGTTTTTTAATCTTACAAAGAATAGGTGTCCGTTTTCAATTTTTTTTAAAAAAACCTAAGGCAGATACTTTATCATGTAGCTGGAAAATCTGTCAATACACAATTCTTCTACCTCCATAGGGCTTAACCGCCATTCCGGTCTCTGCCTTCTTTAGCCCACCACAGAAGAAGAACTTTGACCATCTCATTCGCTTTTGCTTTGCCAAGGTGAGCTGTCCATGGGATTATTAGGAATGATTTCCCACATTTTTCACACCACTTGAGGGGGACATGTTTACATACATTTCTTTGTATCTTGTGAGCTGCTTTAGCAAAAAATGAGGGTGCTGGGAAACCTGTGACCCTCCAGATGTTGAACAGCTATTTTTGATTGTGCAAGGTGGGGGTGGGGGGCAGGCGTCAGATAAAAAATCTTGGCAGTGCCAAACACCAGCAATTAAAACTTACTTTTGTTTTGTGCATTAGGAAGACTCAACTCTGGAAGCCGCAGACAGCATCTTGCAGCAATGGAGTCGGGAGACACAGGGGCAGTAATATGATCATTTGAAGCAGGCTCTGTAGCTAGAATGTTGGAACAAGAAAGGAAAGAAAACCCACGTGCCTATTTTGCCACTTGACATCAGGGTGCAGAATAGCCCTCTGTTGCCAATTTGCATATGCAGCAGGGAAGTCGTCTTAGGCCCTAGGGATCGCACATTCACCAACGTGATGGTGCCCTGTCATAGTCTCCCAGATGGGAGTTGTGGTCCAAAAGATCTGGAAGGCAGCAGAATGGAGAATGCTGCTCCTGGCCACTCTCCTCGCAGCCTGTCAGGCTTCCAATATCTGTGGTCAGAACCACACCATACATTTAAAGCACATCCAGCATACATTTAAAGTACGTTTCTCCTCCACCCGTAAAGAATCCTGGGAACTGTAATTTCCTCCTTAGGAAGCTACAGTTCCTCGTTTCCTTAACAGGCTACAATTTGTTGTGTTACTTGTGAAACTCTTAACGCATCTCCATAAATAGGAATGGGGAGATCTGTGCCCATCCAGATGTTGTTGGACTATATCTCCCATTAGCTCCCAGCATGGCCTTATGGTCAGGGGTGATGGGAGTTGCAGTCCTGCAACATTGGAAAGCCCCAGGTCCTCCCCATCCCCTGCTCAACAGCTTCCAAAGGCATCCCTGCATTACTTTTGATCTGAATTTTTAACTGAAACTGTGAGTGTGCTTCTTGCTGGGCTGTCCTTATTAGTGCAATAATTTTTAGAAGCAGCTCCTTAACGAACGAAATTTCTGAGCATGTGATGTTATGACTGCAATTCACTACAAATTTGCTTTTTGGGAAGTGTGTGTGTTGGGGCAGGTAGGTGGTTTGTAACACTGGTATGGGTCTAGAATGATCTCTCCCCCTGCCTGTACCCCGCAGTTGTTACTTGACCACTTCTCTTCCAGTGCAAGGAAGGAGAACATCTGGTCCTATCTTCCCTCACTCTCCTTCAAGGGTAGGACAGGTCCTATCAATATGAGAAATCCTCGCATTTCCCTTAATTCTGCTCTTGAACAAGGGTGGGGGGTCCTGCAGCCCCTTTAAAGTGTGACTGTACTACAACTCCCATCTTCCCTTACCGCTGTTCATCCTGGCTGGGACTGAGGTTCTTAAAGGACAACATAATCATGAAAAATGAAAAAAGAAAAAGAAAACTTTTTGGGGTTTTTAATTTCAAGTTAACAGTATAAACATACAAAATGATCATAGAATGTCATTAAATAGGAATGCAGAGAGTGATAAAAGATTGAGGTAAATATAAGCTGAAAGTTGCAGTCACTTATGTTCCAGTATAGGCAATCAAATAAAGATGTTGTTTCATAATATCCCATGTGTTGATGGGGGATGAAAAGCACACTTAATAAATTTTACAAAGTCAGTAAATGGATACCATGTTGTGTAAATGGTGTTGGTCTTTTTTCTTTTTGTAGAGAAGTTAATTTGTCTATATGTAAAATATCCCAGCTTCAAAATGATATCTATGGGTTTCCAAATTTTGACTACCACTAATTTAGCTGCTGTTAGTGAATGGAGGATAAGAGCTCTACCAGTTGCATTTTGAGTCTGGGGAGTGAAGAATAAAACCAATTTTGGGTCCAAGCTGTTTTGTCATTTGATCAATTGTTCAAGGGAAAAAAATCCCAGAAGAAAATAATTTTGGGACAAGGCCACCACATATATATTAGAGACCCAGGCAAATGACTTTCCTGTCAGCATAGTTTTTATTCTTTTATTCAGTCAGACCAGACACATGTACCAGCAATGTGCTATTTTTAAAGTCTTTTCTAAGTCTTGACTGAGGTCGAACCTGGCAAGCTATTCCAAAGTTGTTCATCTACTTCCTCTGCAGAGTCTTTCTCCCATTTTAATCATAATGTCACAAGGGGCAGGAAAGCCAACTATGTGTGTTAAGTTGTGGGTGAACATATCAGACGACACAGCAATTCTTCAAACAGCTCTTGTTTATTCACAGGCCCAGAACAGAACAGGGCTGAAGGGTTCAGCCAACCTGCTTAGATAGAGCTCAACTACAAAGCAACATAACAACTTTCTGTAACTATCCAATCACTGAACATCACTTTCAATTCCTCATTTGCATATGTAGACCTGAGTGAAAACTATCTACAATATCCCCCTGCTGGCCCAGGGTGAGAACTTCAGTACATAACAGTGTGAGAATTTTATATATTTGAAAAACAATTCCCTACTAGGCTAGTCGTGTCAAGAAGTTGTTTAAAAAATATTTGGGCTGTGTAACGCCTGAACTTGTATGTTTATTTGGTTTAGAAAGAGTGTAATCTGATGTATGTTTAGCCAGGGACGGGCTGCTTCTGCCCATTAGAGAAAAGTTTAGCACCTTCCACAAAGCATAACAGAAGGAGATCCAGCCACGTGCAGCAGTGGTCTCCTTTCTCCCTCTCTTCCAGTAACACTTCTCCTGTCATCACGGAAATGTGCCGCTGCCGCTGCTAATGCTCAGCCTTTTCTTCCTAAGGGAAGAAAAAGAACTGTGTGACTCTGATTCTTCATCTTTTAAACCTGCTAGGACGGAGGATGAACTTTCCGAGGAATAAGTGAAAGCGTGATTAATCCTGCCTTCCCTTCCTGATGTGTCACTGTCCTTCCCCGCAGAAGGGTTTTTCAGCTCGGTTTCTGTCCTGATTAGAGAAATAACTAATTGGGCACTTAATATTGTCAGCAAGACGAACTATCACTAAACCCTGCAGGAACGCAACCGGAGAAACGCTTTACACACACGCACAACACACGTTTGTTGCGAATGAGATATTAGCGTTCGACGTTAAGATCTGGGGAAATGCAACCCTTTCCAGCCTTATAAAAATCCCTTTCCCCTCTCCAATCTTTTACCAGGGATTGAGGGGCGAACGCGAAAGGGTTAAGAGACGATTTAACACACACTGGGGGAAAAACCTCTCAGTATGAACCAGGAAGTGACAAATCTATACAGGGAGAAGCCCTCTCTTGTTTGTTTCATAGCTCTGTGGCCCTTCCCTTTTTCGCCCAATCAGCGGTCGTAGGATAATACTGGCCCCGCCCCCAAGTTGTAGGATGGTGATAGGGCGAGTGGAACATGGCGGAGGAAAGCCAGGCGAAGCGCTTGCGGGAGGTACACGTGGGATTCAGGGGGTGGAAGGAAGAGGCTGCTGTGCATTAGGTTCAGCTTGGGCATTTACGCGGGGGAAGGTGAGAGGGCTCAGCCTTCTTGGAGGGTGGGAAATCGGGACCACTCGGGGTGAAAAAGAAGATGGCGCTGATGCTTGAGGAGAGCGGGGGACCTCTTGTTCTTTTGGAGGAGGGGGCACATCTTTTAAATAATGGTGGTGGGAGAAAATGAGACCCTTTGAGAGGGCGAGGCAAAGGGTAAAGTCACACCCTTCCCAACAACCTCATATTCCAAGGTAGGCAGCGTTGGGACATGGAGGTTTCACTCAGCTGTCATTTTTGGTTTAAGGTAAAGGTAAAGGGACCCCTGACCATTAGGTCCAGTTGTGACTGACTCTGGGGTTGCAGCGCTCATCTCGCTTTATTGGCCAAGAGAGCCGGCGTACAGCTTCCGGGTCATGTGGCCAGCATGACTAAGTCGCTTCTGGTGAACCAGAGCAGCACACGGAAACACCATTTACCTTCCTGCTGGAGCGGTACCTATTTATCTACTTGCACTTTGACGTGCTTTCGAACTGCTAGGTGGGCAGGAGCTGGGACCGAGCAACGGGAGCTCATCCCGTCGCAGGGATTCGAACCGCCGACCTTCTGATTGGCAAGTCCTAGGCTCTGTGGTTTAACCCACAGCACCACCCGCGTCCAATTTTAGCCACAGACTTTAATCTAATACCAGTTCCTCACCCAGACCCCTTCTCCTTCTTGGTGCCCTACAGATGTCCCACAAACACCAGGCAGAGAGATTGGTCTAACTCAGGGCTTGCCAAGCACCTCTGGAGGCTCATGAGCAGAGCTGTCCATCTTTTACCCACAAAATGGGACCCATTGTGGGCTTCTTAGTGGGGCATCTGGTTAAGATGCTGATTATCTGATGGTGATTACTATATGATGTTCATGATTATAAGATGCTGGTCCAAATGGGCCTTTGGCCTGATCCAACAGCCAGACTCTTTCTTAGGTTGTATCCCAGGGACCTTACAGAGAAGGGTGGGTAATTAATAATGATAACAATGCGTTATTATGAGTACATAACTGTTTGCCAATCGGTCCTGGAATGGAGTGTGTGTCTTGAACAGAAGTGGGTGATGTGAACTACCTGTGTGACCATCCTTAAGGCACCTATCCCGCTGAAGCAGCTAATGGGATCTGTGTTCTTTCCTCGTTCCTAGGGGGAAGACAGAAAAATGGACTGGCGCAAATGGAAGCAGGAAAGTAAGAATGCTCTTTGGGTTCCTGGGTCTTCTCCCCACCCCCACAGACTTTTTTTGGGGGGGCAAGTCAGCACTGGGAATCTGTCCTGCCAAAGAACATAGGAAGAGCCATGCTGGATCAGGCCAAAGGCCATTCCATCCAGCTCAGAAGAAGAGGGTGTTTTGATATGGTTTGGGCCATTTGCCATTAGTGTAGAAAATGAGCTCATTCTCCCATTATACCATGTGTGTAAAGGCTTGCCCCTGTCGTTGCCTGTTGTTGAGTGCCTAATAAACACATATGCTTATGGTGTCTTAAGTTTATCCGTTTTCAAACTGTACATTATTGGTTTTCCAAATCCCCCCACCCCCTTGCAACACAACATTTTTGTCAAACTGCACACGAAGAAAAACAACTTTGTGTTTCTGCTTTCTGCCTTCCAAGTGGATGTCTCATTTTGGCTTAGCTTGGCACACCAGCAGTATTCCAAGCCTGAGAGTCCTGGGAGAAAAGCACTGCACAGTCCTTGCTTGATTATTCCCAGTATACCTTAGTCCAAGGCCTTCTGTGTTGGAACTGTTTTAACCCCAATGCTAACTCTCAGGGATTTCACTTATTGTCCATTCTGTGTTCTCATCTCTCTTCCAGAGAACGAGGAGAAGAAGAAATGGAAGGAGCTGAAGCTTTTGAGGACACTGGAAAAGAGGATGATGCAGGAAGCGGCAAAAAAACAGAAAGAGGAGGCAAAGCCCATTGAAGATAAAGGTAACGGATAACCACGAATGGGAATGAAACTGGGCTTTGCTTGGAATGTGCTACAGAACAGCCTTCGGCAATCTGGAGCCACCTCCAGATGTTTTGGACAACTACTCCCATCAGCCCCAGCCAGCACGACTGATGGTACTCCAAAGCATCTAGAGGGGGCGCAGGATTGGTTCAGGCTGCTGTGGAGGAGGGAAGTAACCTGGGACTTTCTGCATGCAAAGCTGATGCTCTAACCACTGAGCTGGGTACGATAGGTAATAAAACAAAAACCCTCCTCGTGAAAACTAGGAATGTTTATTGTGCGCTGCTTCTCCTAAACAGTAACTTCCTTATTTCCTAGGACGCAACTACACAGTCAGCGTTGCCCTTCCAGGCTCCATTCTCAGCAATGCCCAGTCGGCAGAGTTGCGGACTTACCTTGCCGGGCAGATCGCCAGGGCCTGCGTCATCTTCTGCGTGGACGAGATTGTGGTGTTTGATGAGCAAGGGGAGGATTCAAAGTAAGGACTCTGGTTGCTCATGAGGCTTTCCCCCTAACTAGCTGGCATCATTTCCATGCAGGGATTCCTTCCCAGCCCTACCTGGAAATGTCAGTGGGGAATGAAAGTAGGGACCTGTTACCACAAAGACAGCAGATGCTCTCTTATAATAAGACACACTGCAGCAGCGTCTGAGTACCTGAAGGAGCATCTCCACCCCCATCATTCTGCCCGGACACTGAGGTCCAGTGCCGAGGGCCTTCTGGTGGTTCCCTTACTGTGAGAAGCCAAGTTACAGGGAACCAGGCAGAGGGCCTTCTCGGTAGTGGCGCCTGCACTGTGGAACGCCCTCCCATCAGATGTCAAGGAAATAAACAACAATCTGACTTTTAGAAGACAACTGAAGGCAGCCCTGTTTAGGGAAGTTTTTAATGTTTAATAGGTTATTGTATTTTAGTGTTCTGTTGGAAGCTGCCCAGAGTGGCTGGGGAAACCCAGCCAGATGGGCGGGGTATAAATAAATTTATTATTATTATTAATAATAATAATAATTACTGAGTGGCCCATAGAAAGCCAACAGGGCGTAACTTTTTATAATTTGTTCCAAAGATTGTACTGTTCCCCCTCCCCTGCCTCAATCTTTTCAGGACGGTGGAAGGTGAATTTGAAGGGATCAAGAAGAGAGGTCAGGACTGTGTGCAGCTGGCCCGGATTCTGCAGTACCTGGAATGTCCCCAGTAAGTCATTCTGCAAAAACATGGGAAAGCGCCTTTAATGGTTTTACGCTACCAATGCTTCCTCAATATTTATTGTCAAGGACTGGAATTTGCTGGTGGGGGGAGAGAGAGAACAATAATGCCCCAGGGATTAGACAGGCTTGTATGTCTCTCAGCAGGTCCTTCATGGGATGAAGGGGAGATTTTGACCCTCCGCCCCATGTATATCTCACAGTGCACTCCACTTCTGCTTGGGGGCCTTAGGTCTAGCTGGCTTGATTTTTCTGTTGGCTGCTGTGTTTTATTTTATCATCACTGGATAACTTGACCATTATCGCAGCTGAATATTGGAAGCTGCTTCTTCTCATTTTCCCTTCTAAAAGCATTTCTTTTCCTCTATTGGACAGATACCTTAGGAAGTCTTTTTTCCCCAAACACCAGGACCTTCAGTTTGCAGGTAAGGCCTAGAGCAATGGGAGGGCCACATTCCCTTCCAGGCAACATTCTGGGGGCCGTATTCCAGTGGTAGACAGAGCTGGAGGCAAAAGCAAGCAGAAGAACTAATGCAGATTTTACCTTCTGTATAGTAGGCTCATTTCTGCACGCGCGCACACACACACACACACACACGCGAACACGATGTATGTATAAATACATCATCCAAAACCAGTTTCCAAAATAGTTTCATGATATTTGACGTGGCCATATATCTCGAATCACAACGTGTGCATGCACTATGTTAAAAAATCATGCTGTTGGAAAACCCGTGAAGCCAGTCATCGCTTCGCTCGTGCTTCCTGCTGCCCCTATTGCTCTGCCTCCCCAGCTCTCCACTGCCTCTTATAGGGGGCAGTGAACCACAAGAGCAGGTGCCGAATAAAGAAGCCTACCTGGGAGCTTTCCTCAGTAATGTAGACACCATGAGCTTCTTGTTTTAAGTGCAGACCCAGGCTGGTAGGTGGTTGAGGGAGACGCCTGTCAAAGCACCTCCAGGCTTCTTGCTGGGAGCCCCTTTCCCCTGCCTTTCTCCTCCTTTGGACTCTCTCTGCTGGCAGAGCTGCCTCCTCATGCCTGAGGGTTGCCAGGGCCCTTGCGAGAGCAGGAAGCCCTTTCGGCTCCACCTCCTAAAAGGCCCCCCCCATGTTGCTGCCCAAGCCTGACTTTTGAAAGGCTGCTGCCCCCAGCCGGGGCTTGCTTGGAAGCCACTGCTAGTCCCATGAAAAAATAAACTGGGGTTATTTACTTCTGAGTTGTTAATAATAATAATAATAATAATAATAATAATAATAATAATAATAAAAAAATTTGCCCTGTTGTTTAATCCTCCTTCCTTACTTTCCCTCTTCTCTCTCTGTGTGTGCAGGTGTTTCTGTGTCGCACCTCTACATAGTGACACCATTATATATTGGTATATTTCAGTGTTTAGCCAGTGGTATGTCACAATGTCAGAAACCAGACATCGTCCCCACACACTCATTCCTCCTAATGAAAAGGCATAATAATAATAATAATAATAATAATAATAATAATAATAATTTTTATTTATACCCCGCCCTCCCTGGCCAGAGCCGGGCTCAGGGCAGCTAACATCAATAAAATTTCAGTAAAAACATAAGAAGAAAAAAAGAAAAAGAAAAAAACAATTTAAAAGACAGGTTAAAATGCAATTTAAAATGCAGCCTCATTATCAGAGTTCAATGACGTTTTCCAGCCAAACAGTCTTAGGTCAGGTCACAGTCAGATAAACAAATATTATACACTCAATAAGGTGCCTCAAAAAATAAAATAAGAGCACATAAACTTTACACTAAATTGATTGGTTCTCTGGAATAAATCAGTAGCTGAGTATATAACCCCCACCCCCGAAAGACTTAGAGGAATTGTTTGGTCTCCAGTGGATGCCAGAAGGTGAACAATGTGGGCTGAACCTCAGGAGTAATTAATTAGTCCTGTCTTGGGTTGTTGTTTTTTAGTGGGTAGGGACAGCACACATGTGCACATGTGAAAAGCAGTGTTAGTTTGTTTTGCATTGGATGGGGAGGGTGGGGGTGACTCCATATTACTCACCTTGGACATGTTGTTTCAGGGCTCTTAAACCCCCTAGACAGCCCCCACCACGTGCGGATAAGTGAGGAATCGGAGTATCGGGAAGGAGTGGTTTTGTCACGGCCCACCAAGCCCGGCCGGGGATCCTTTGTGAACTGTGGAATGCAAAAGGTAAACCCTCACCTGTCCTGCTGCTATACCTTAAGGGGGGTCCTACTTTTAACCCTCCACGATCCTTAACCAATCTCTATCCTTGATGGAGTGAGTGAGTTCTGCAGAGGCAAGCATGATGTCCCTGCGGATCAGGGGGAGACCCTAGAGCTGCATTGCATCAAGGATAACTCCCTGGGGGCCCCTTGCCAGTGAGGGATGTGGCCAAAGACCAAAAAGGGGACAGAGCAATAGATGTGAAACTGCAGCTACTCATATTTATTTATTTGTTGCATTTCTATCCCACCTTTTTCTCCAAGGAGATTATGGTTCTCCTCATTTAATCCCCACAACAGCCCTGTGAGGTGGGGCAGTGACCCACCCAAGATCACCCAGTTCACTTAATGGCCCGGTGGGATTTTGAGCCCTGGTCTACCAGGTCCTAGTCCGACACCCTAACCACTACACTGTGTTGTCACCTTAAAGGTAAAGGGACCCCTGACCATTAGGTCCAGTCGTGGCCGACTCTGGGGTTGCGGCGCTCATCTCACTTTATTGGCCGAGGGAGCCGGCGTACAGTTTCTGGGTCATGTGGCCAGCATGACTAAGCTGCTTCTGGCGAACCAGAGCAGCGCATGGAAACGCCGTTTACCTTCCCGCCAGAGCGGTACCTATTTATCTACTTGCACTTTGACATGCTTTTGAACTGCTAGGTTGGCAGGAGCAGGGACCGAGCAACGGGAGCTCACCCCGTCGCAGGGATTCGAACTGCCGACCTTCTGATCGGCAAGCCCTAGGCTCTGTGGTTTAGACCACAGCACCATCCACATCCCGTTGTCACCTTACCTGACCCCTATAGCTTATATTGCACCCTTGCCTGGCTGTGCATTCGGCAGGCCTGAGATCTGCCACATCCCAAGCCAATGTTCTCTTCCTATAGGAGGTACAGATCGATAAGCAGCTGGAGGCAGGCCTTCGTGTTACAGTGCGTCTCAACCCACAGCAAAATCCAGGTAACGTGACTGACCCCATACCTTGGCCCAAATGCTGAATGGACTAGCCCCACATCTACCACTGCACTCAGGTTGCTCAAATTTGTCCCAGACAAGGATGTGGGGGGCAGAATCTCCCTTTCATAACATTTCCCTGAGCTTCATGATTTCAAGAGTTGTGAGGAAAAACTTCATAATTTGCAAGCAACCCTCTCCTTTTCCCGTGCAACTGGGAGGCGGACTGCCCATTTGCATCCCAACAAAAACCTGGGTTCTTGTGGGCCAGCCAGCCCTGTTAACTTCCCACTTTCTTCCCCAGAGAGCAAAACACAGAAGGGGGTGGTTGTTTCATCGCACCAGCCCCGAACTGCTTCTGGGCTCTACTGGGGCTACAGCGTCCGCTTGGCATCCTGTCTGAGTAAGTGTACACGCCTACTTTTTAAAAAGACCCCATAACAAACTGTTATGATTAAGTATATAAAGCCTTTAACAACTGGCTTTATATACTTAAGATTGCTTTACGTCATTATGCCCACTCAACAGCTTTGATGGGGGAACAGGCACTGTTACAGGCCCCACATTATACCTGCTCTGCAGCTGTAAAAAAATGATCTTTTAGTGGGGAGGCACCTCCCCTTTGGAACTGCCTGCCTATTGAAATCAGGCGTGCACCACCATTGCATTCTTTTCAGTGCCTGCTAAAAACATTTTTAGTTAGACAAGTGTACCCAGATGCTTAGAAAGTTAGTGGGAGTCTTAATCTGTTTATGTCTATTGATATTTTGATTTTCTGAAAGCCTGGAATTATTGCTGTTTTTATTGATGATTTTCTTTTATCATCCTTTTTGTAAACTGCATTGAGATTTTTTTTTTTAAAAATTTACACCTAAGTGGTGTATAAATTTTATGAAATAAAGTAGACTAGAGTTCCCAGCATTCTTTTGGGAAATGTATGATCTTAGGCTTAAGTTGCTTAGAAGTCATAAAGTAGTTTATAAATTTAAGTGGCATTAAGTGGCTTGTAAATTTAATAAAATAAAATTTGGAGAACCGCAGGTTTTCCCCGTCCATGGCTTAAGCGCATTGCTTGACATTTGTCTTTTGCTGGTCAGGCGCTGTGTTTGCTGAGTCCCCGTATAAAGAAGGCTACGATCTCTCCATTGGAACCTCTGAGCGAGGGGCCTCTGTGGACCAGGCAACTCTGCCTTCTTTCAGGTACACCTTTACAATCCTACCAGGTTTTATGGCGACTAGAATCGTCTCTCTACATCCCGCAAACCTGCTTTACCATTTCTTCTGTCTCCCAGACATGCTTTGATAGTTTTCGGAGGCTTGCAAGGCCTGGAGGCAAGCGTGGACATAGACCTGAACCTGGAGGTCACAGATCCAAGCACTTTGTTTGACTTTTATTTAAACACCTGTCCGGGGCAGGGCAGCCGCACCATCAGGACCGAGGTGAGGTTTTTTTAAAAAAAGGATGTTCATGGAGGCTCATGGTTACTAGCCACAGTGACTATATTCTCCCTTCATTGTTAGAGGCAATATGTTGGCAATAACAAGGGGGGAAGAGTTGTTGTTATTGCTGCTGTGCTTACGTCCTGCTTGCAGGCTTCACATTGGAGCACCTAGCTGGCCTCTGTGAGAAGAGGATGCTGATAGGTGCCCAATCCGACAGCCAGGTTCTTTCTTTGTTCCTTATGGTGGCCTCCTGCACCCATACAAAAGAAGAATCTGCTGGGTTAGGCCAACAGCCCATCTAAGTCCAGCATCCTGTTCTCTCAGTGGCCATAAATTTCTTTTTGGGGTTCCCTTTCTAGGAAGCAATTCTCATCTCTCTGTCGGCGCTGAGACCTCGGATCGAAGAAGCAGTGAAGAAAGGCAGCAACCTCTGAACAGAAGCAGAAACTCAAGCATCCAACATGGGCAGACCATCATCAATCTTTGCCTCTCCCAGCCCAGGATTTGCCCCAGCAAATTATTTGTCAAAATTACAAATACCTAAATACAGACAGTCATTTACCCTCACTAGATTCAACGTGCTGCCATCTGCCTTATTGCAGGGCAGATTCGAGGGTAAACCATATGTGAAATGAGTCTGCCCCTGCGGCTTGATGGAGGTAGAAACTGTCTCTCATGCCTTGTTACGCTGCCATTACTACGGGGATATACGCTCATTATTTATTATCCCTGCTATGCAAAAATCTCTAAATGAATCCAAACTTCAATGTCTAAAATCCCTGGTAGAGGACAAGGATCCTGAGATCACGTTAAGGGTAGCAAATTCTGTGCAATTGCTATAAAACTTAGGGAACAAGCTGTGCTATCATAATGATTAAGGCCTTAAATGATAATTTTAGGTTATATGTTAGTGACTAAGTTTTAATTTATATATTTTTAAACTGTTGCTATATCTGTATTGTCCCTGTTATACCTAATTGCAAATTCAAATGTATCCCTATCATGTTTTATGACTTCTTTGATATTGTATGTGGGCTGGAACTGGTCTGTGACCGAAATAATAAATTAATCATCACCTCTCCCAGCCAACTTAACACCGAAATGTGATGTAGGACCATATTCTCTCTCTGTTGGGAGGTCAGGAAACTCACCTCCCTGCTGCCAGGGAGCAGGGGTCAGCAAACTTTTTCAGCAGGGGACCGGTCCACTGTCCCTCACACCTTGTGGGGGGGCTATTTTTTTTGGGTGGGGGATGAACGAATTCCTATGCCCCACAAATAACCCAGAGATGCATTTTAAATAAAAGGACACATTCTACTCATGTAAAAACACGGTGATTCCCGGACCGTCCGCAGGCCAGATTGAGAAGGTGATTGGGCTGGATCCAGCCCCTGGGCCTTAGTTTGCCTACCCATGGGTTGGAGAGTAGCCAGACACAAACAGAGGGGGAAAGGGGGAAGGACTTGGAGACTGGCCTTTCTAGCTCAGCTGCCACTTCTCAGAAGGAGGCATCTGCTTCGAACTTTTGGGAAACAGTGAAGACCTAAGTGTGGCAATTGACTGGACGATGATGCCCTCCAGCTCAAATGCAATCTGTTGCAAACACATTCATGTTTAACACAGGAGCAACAACTTTATCCACACAATTAAGACTGCTAGGGATATGATCTCCGCCCCCCACCCCAAGCAACGTACAGTTTAAGAAGAAACATATCAAGTGTATGACCTAATGTGATATTCCAGGAGTATTAAACGGCCAACCTTTTTAAGGTATAAACCAGTGGTTCCCAAAGTGGGCAATACTGGGGGGGGGGGGGATTACTTAGCAGAGTGAAAAGGACTATCAGATGTTAAATAGCTAGTATCACTGGATCAAGTTCATCAATTTTGTTGAATTAAATGAAATGGTTTTAATTCAGTTTTGTGCAGGGGTTTTTTTTTGGGGGGGGGAGTTTTTGTATTTTTATTATTTAAACCATTAAGCATTAATAGAAGTAAAATATATACATATAAATGATCACATACACCTGGGTGGCCAGTAGTATATGTGAAAAGGATCTAGGGTCTTGTTAGACCACAAGCTGAACACGTGTCAACATTGTGATGCAGCAGTAAAAAAAAGTGAATGCTACTATAGGCTGCATCAAGGGATGTGTCCAGATCAAGGGAAGTCATAGTACTGGCCTTGATCAGACCACACCTGGAATAACTACTGTGTCCAGTTCTGGCCGTCACAATTTAAGAAGGATACTGACAAGCTGGAAAGCGTGCAGAGGAGGGTGACCAAGATGATCAACGATCTGGGAATCAAGCCTTATGAGGAACTACTGCAATGTGCTCTATGTGGGGTTACCTTTGAAGGTGAACGGAAACTACAACTAATCCAGAATGCGGCAGCTAGACTGGTGACTGGGAGTGGCTGCCGAGACCACTTAACACCAGTCCTGAGAGATCTGCATTGGCTCCCAGTACGTTTACAAGCACAATTCAAAGTGTTGGTGCTGACCTTTAAAGCCCTAAACGGCCTTGGTCCTGTATACCTGAAGGAGCGTCTCCACCCCCATCGTCCAGCCCGGTCACTGAGGTCCAGCTCCGAGGGCCTTCTGGCGGTTCCCTCGCTGCGAGAAGTGAGGTTACAGGGAACCAGGCAAAGGGCCTTCTCAGCAGTGGCGCCCGCCCTGTGGAACGCCCTTCCAGCAGTTGTCAAGGCAATAAGCAACTATTTTAAAAGACAACTGAAGGCGGTCCTGTTTAGGGAAGTTTTTAATGTCTGACGCTGTATTGTTTTTAATATTCAGTTGGGAGCCACACAGAGCGGCTGGGGAAACCCAGACAGATGGGCGGGGTATAAATAATAAATTATTTTTATTATTATAACAGTTGAAGGAGGTGGGAATGCTACGAAAATAAGAGACTGAGAGGAGACATGATAGCCATCTTCAAATATCTCAAGGGCTGTCACATGGAGGATGAAGCAACCTTGTTTTCTCCAGCTCTGGAGGATAGGACTTGAACCAATGGATTCAAGTTACAATAAAGGAGATTCAAACTAACCATGAGCAATAACTTTCTGACAGTAAATGCTGTTTGACAGTGCAATGGACACCCTCAGAAGGAGGTGGACTCCCCTTCCTTGGAGGTTTTTAAGCAGAGGTTGGATGGCCATCTGTCATGTGTGATCTAGGTGAGGTTCCTGCATTGCAGGGGGTTGGACTAGATGACCCTTGGGGGGCCCTTCCAACTCTACAATTCTGTGATTTTATACATACAAAGTATCACAGCAGCAGCAGCAGCTCTTTCCTTAAAAGAAAGCAGCCCTAATAGATAAAAAAAGTTGCAAAGGACAGCTGATTATGTAGATTCACCCTACCTGCAGTTAAAAACTGTCATGAAAACAGGAAGAATCAAATTACAAGATAATAAACTAATAATCACAGAAAGCTTGGAAAGAAATAATTATGTAAGATATACTCCATAGTGGAATGTAAGGTTCATATTTCTAGCAAACATATTGAATATTCATTAATTTTGCCAAACCAATTCCTATTTAGTGGGAATATGCCAACCATTAGTTTAGATTTGGTTATATAAATCACAAATGGCGCCCCAAGCAGAAGCAAAGTCGGAGGCGTCTGCATCACCCCTGGTGGCATGTATTTAATGAGTCAGTTTTCAGAAATGGCAGTGACTTTTTAAAACCATACATCCATAGAATAAACAGTATGTGTCCTCCTACTAGATCACTAGAGGAGATCACGAGATGAGCGGCAACCAACAGATACAGAATTATTTGTTGACAAATAAGGTCAGCTTTGGCAGCATCAAAAACGGCTATAGCTTAGCATCCAATGTGACCTGTGTGCCAACACTAATCTCCATTACAACCTGCTTCCAGAACCTGCGTACATAACTACACCCTCGCTACAAATGCCAGTATGTTGCTCTTAAGGTACGAGGAATATACAGTACTGTTTTGTTGTGCTATTATCTTCCTTATTGGGTTGTGCAAACGGTTTGCTTTTTATACGCTAGGGGGCACCGGGGATGAGTTAATGGAAGCAGAGGGTGGGGCACTGGCCCAAACAAAGTTTGGGAACCACTGTTGTGAACTGTGTGTGTGTGTGTGTGCACATTGACACGAAATTTCAACTCACATAGCTTTTCTCAAGCTTCAGACAGGGGAAAACCTATCTCACTAATCAACAAAATTGCTAGCTGGCAGTTTAACAGCACCACCTCCTATTATTCAATAACCTGCAGCTTCCCTCTGCACAACCTCTGCAGTGGGGAGAAGAATATGTGTGGATGACTGCCACCCCCCCCCCCAATAATAGGTGTTGAACAGTGGTTCAGGCAGCTCCTAGACTTGCCTGGTTGTTACAGGCAGACAGAAAATCAGTGTTCTCTCCTGCTAAATACTGGGTTGGATCCAACTAAGATCATCCACTACAGACCCACTGAAATTAATGGATCTAAGTTAGTCATGCCCATTGCTTTAAATGGGTCTACTCAGAGTAGGACTAGCATTGGATACAAGCCCTTATTGATATATTTTCCTATGATGATGATGATGATAATCATACTACTTCAGTGTATTAGTCACTTATCACATGAGCCTCCAAGTGAACTTGCATAATTTTTAATAGCGTAAAGCAAAATCAGAACAAATACATCCTATAAAACAGCAGCAAAAAAATGTACCAGCAACAAAACCATCCTAATCCTGCAAATGTCTAGGAGAGAGGAGTTTTCACCTGACGCCAAAATAATGTTAATGATGGTGCCAGGCAGACCTCACTGGGGAGGAACATTCCACAGCTGAGAAGCCACAACTGATAAAGCCCTGTGCCCCTGCTGACACCCTCTTGGGGAGTGGCGGAGCTTCCAGTGAGAAAGGAGGGGAAACTGCAGAAGTGGCTTTCAGCTAAGTGGTTTTTACGAATACTTGTTATTGGCTCCCATCTTTCTCAAAATACAATGGATGGCACCTCCAGGGGTGAAGTCATACTACTGGAGACTCACAGTGCCAGCTGTGGCTGCAGAGACCAGTAACTCATCATTGCTTAAGCAGCACCGAAGTGACCTCCTTGGAGGGCATGTCTGGGCTGTCCTGGGCTGCCCAGATGGCAAGACCCCTGTCTCGGCCTTGCTGGTGTGGTCCAAAGGAAAGCAGAGCAATTTGTTTGGTACCAGCTTGGCTGCAGGAGTTGCCAGAAGGAGGCGCACTCTGGATTTGTATAGGGTTTACTCCTTAGCATTTTCTTCTCCTGAAGACATCCCACAAGGCAGCAGAGATTCCTTCTCCTAGATGGGCTCCCTTCCCAGGTTGACAAGCCCCATCTGCCCCAAGTTTCCCCTTTACAGCAAGCAGAGGAAAGCAATCCAAGTTAGTGGCCATCACTGCCTCTTGTCTTTAGAGAGAAGCAGGTACTGTTCCTTGAGAGTGCTGAGAAAGAGAGAGTTGCTTGTTGGAGCTGGGATAGCTACTGACTACTTGGGCAGATCCTACCGCCTGGCAAGTGTCTGTTTGCAAGGTCTCAGGAATCACTTCCTTAGGTGGTGCTTCCAGCTGTGATTGCTTTCAAGTTGCTTCCAGCAGAGATTGCTTTCAACTTGCTAGTCCTCTTAAGGATGTTGGGGACGAAGAGGAGGCCAGAGGCCCGCTCAATGCTCTCGATGGGGACCAGGAAATTCTCCAGAGGGATCTTGTCATTGACAGGGCTGTTTGGCATGACGTAGGAGCGCAACTCTATCTCCCCACTTGACTTCTCCAGGATGAGCACCTTGAAGAAGTGTGTGGGGACGGCCACGTGGCTCTTCCCAATCACCTGGTATTTCACGTACATCTTCCCATCTGCCTCCATCCTGTATGGGGAAATCGGGGGGGGGGGCGGAGGTTAGAAGCCATGATGTGGGGTAATTCCAGCACCCCTTTTACAAAAATGTGAAACAATATTATAATTTTTATTTAACAAAATTGATATTTTATTATTTCATAAAATAATAACTGTGATTGCGGGGTGGGGGATGTTGGCAGAGTAAACCAGAGGGGAAAGTCTGTAAGTTGTTTTGGTTTTTATTAATTACCTGGGTAGAAAAAGTGGTCCTGTACAGACATAAACATTCTTGTTGTATTTAGTTAGGCTCCTGCAGTATTTCTCCAGGTTATTCCAGGCATTCTGATTCAGATGAGGATTCTAGAAGCAAAATAAATGTTGTGTTCAGTAGCTGAAGTGAGGATGATAATGAAGCAGTTAAAAGGCTAGGTGTGGTCCAAATGTTGCAGAACCACAAGGTGGTAAGGGGGGGAGACTGTTGCTCATTGGTTAGAACATGTGCCTGGCATGCAGAAGGTCCCAGATTCAATCCTGGGAAAGGCTGGGAGTGTCCCTTGCTGGAAGCCCCAAATAAGCTGCTGCCAGTCAGAGTAGACAGCACTGAACTCACTGACCTGACTCCATAGCAGCCTTTATGTGTGTGGTGCTATGTTTAACTCTATGCTCACCTTTTAAAAGTCTCCGTGGGGCACCTAATCCCAGAGGTGACCCAGAAGTGACTTTAGTTCACATTGCTTTAAAAATATTAGGTCTAGTAGACCTAATTTGAGTCACACAACTCAAAAACTGTAAGGCATAGGAAATTTTTATTCACTTCTGTGACTTTGACATGAGATAATCCAGTTGGGCAATTTTAATCAAAATCTGAGATGTAGTAAAAATCAAAAACACAACTGGTGATTGTCATGGAACAATCCCACTGAAGAAACTAACAATGGCTACCCAGACATAACTGCTTCTTGCAAAGGGCCCCCCATAACAATTAAAGCTTATGGGGCCCCCAAATGTAGGTCTGCCTTTGGTCTCATGAACAGGCATTCTCTTTATTTCCTCGATATCAAATTAAGAAGTGCCTCTGAGGCTATGCAGAGTGCAATTGCCACAGCTTAGGGTGGGGGACAAGACCAACTTTCCAACCATTAACAGAGGGACTTGAGCGCCCGGGGAAAACAGCTCGCTCGCTGCCTTCAAACAAGCCAATCCAGTACACTCTCCCTTACCTGGGGGGCGACGTTGCTCAAGTAGAACGTGTCCCCCATGGCCTTCTGGCTCCAGCGGTGGTTGGCGGCGGCCGCCAGATGTCCCCGGTCAAAGCCGCTGCCCTTGTAATCCGCGTTGGTGGCGCGGTGGTACTCGTGAATCGAGTCGTCGGAACGGAAGTCGCAGGCAGCGCGGTCCGAGGAGCCGCTCAGCGTGGCCGGGTTTAGCTGCTCCACCACCCAGAGGGCGCTACGAGCTCGCGGGTCGTAGCACAGCACGTAGGACTCCCGGGTCCGCAGCAGGGACAGCCCCGGCAAGCCGTACTTGGCCAGATCCCCCGAGTCGCCAACGCCGCCTCGGGCAGCCAAATCCGAAGTTGTGGTGGCGGCGGCAACCACCGGCACGACCGGCAGCCGTGAGAGGAGCCCCTCCGCCTCCGCTCCCAGCTGGCTCGGCTGCCTCCCTCTCTTGGACAAGCCGGCGCCCAAGCCCAACCCGAGAGCCAGGGAGGCCGCCGGCACCAGCCACCGGCTGCCGCTGCAGAAGCGCCTCATTTCATCCGCTCCGCTTGGCGGAAGCGACCCAGCGGCAGCTTGCAAGCGGCTGCTACAGACACGAGGACTCTCGGTTCTGCGGGTGGGAGAGTGTGAATGGGGATGGAACGTCCGATCAGCAGAACGCCGAAAATGAGAAAAAAGTGTGAATGGAACGAAACGTTCGATCAGCAGAAGGTCAGGGAAGGTGCGAGTGGGACAGAACGTTCGAGGAGGAACAAAAAGGGATACACTGTAGCCCCGCCTTCGTCGGTCGTGCCGACTTCTTAAAGGGGCAATGTTTTCGAACAGGAAGTTAAGACGGGCTATACCGCGTTGGTCTTGCGACTGGTGGAGGTACCTGGGCCCGCTACAGGGTCGCGCGGGCCGTGATCTAAAGGTGGCTTGCTACATCAGCTCTGCCACAAAACAAGTACTGTTGTTGTTGCTTAGTCATGTCCGACTCTTCGTGACCCCCATGGACCAGAGCACGCCAGGCACTCCTGTCTTCAAAACAAGTACCCACGGTAACAATAATACTAAGCAGGCCGGCCCATCCATGAGGCAAGGTGTGACAATCGCCTCGGGTGGCAGAACCCACAGGGGCAGCTGATCCTGATGTCAGTATTTATTCCTGATCTTCACTCACCCTTTCTTCCGTGGTGGGTGGGGGATGCCATTTTGGGGTTCACCCTCAGGCACCCAAATGTCTTCTGCTGGCCCTGATACTAAAGAAATCAGCCTCCAAATGCACACTGGAGTTAAGGAGGTCGGTTCCTGGGGCTCTGGAAAGGCTGAGGGCTACGTAAGCTTCTCCTGAAGAAGGGCGCCTGAGAGCGTACTGCTGTGGCTCTAGCAAAGATTAAGCAGGGGGAGCAAAAGCCCACGATAGAAAAAGCAGTGCTTGCTTCTACAAAACCACAAACAGGAAAAGAAGGCAGTCCCTTTTTGCCAAAAGAGCTGTCCTGTACAGTGAAGCAGACTTCTTCAGGATGTAGTGGGTCCTCCTTCGCTGGATGTTTTAAAAACAGAGGTTGGATGGTCATGTCAGCGGGTTTCTTTAGCTGGGATTTCTGCATTGTAGGGGCGGGGGGCTGTGACCCTTGGGTCTCTTTCAGCTCTACAGTTCCATGATTCTATGATTACTTCACAGTATATGCGGAGCATGTAACAAATGTAGAACATTGCCCTTTTAAGGACACTAAAAAGCCCGTCACACTTTACGGTCCTTGCCCTTGCTGATTCTTTGACCTTAGGGAGCCGTTAGAAGATGATTGGTGCTTTGGCTGGCCTGAAGCAAAGGTGTATTGCACTACAACTGTCTTCATGTTATATTCCATAAACCCGCATTTAAAGCCTTCCTTCTTGTAATGAATTAAGACTGTTAACAATAATTTCCAACAGTGTGGAGAGCATGCCACTGTGTAGAGCATGTTGGTAGGTTCAACCAGTACAATAACAGAACCACTATAACTTTAAATAATATTTTACAACTGTACTTTTTAACTTTTCAAGAAATTACCAAGATGTAATTTATAGGTCACCAAGCAGCCTCAGACCCAACCCTGCTCAGTAATTCTAAGAAGTAAAAGCAGCACTGTTTTGAAAATCAGTGGTTAAAATCAGTGGTTTTGGAAACTCTGGTTCACCATCATGATTCAGAACAGGGTCCAATTGTCTGCAAACTTAAGACAAAAGCCTCCTGCTTGAACTCAGAAAGCATCCATGTGTCCAGATACAAAGATGTATCCAAAAAGTACACAGGAGAAAATGCCAGTATCACTTTTAGAGGGGATACTGGTTAGTCTGATGCAGCAAAAACCACTGAGAAATGTGTGTAAAATAAAGTACTTCTTTATGCAACAGTTATGGAACAGGATGGCAGTTATGTTTACCAATCTAGATAAAGGTAAAGGGACCCCTGACCATTAGGTCCAGTCGTGACCGACTGGGGTTGCGGTGCTCATCTTGCTTTATTGGCCGAGGGAGCCGGTGTACAGCTTCCGGGTCATGTGGCCAGCATGACTAAGCCACTTCTGGCAAACCAGAGCAGCGCACGGAAATGCCGTTTACCTTCCCGCCGGAGCGGTACCGATTTATCTACTTGCACTTTGACCTGCTTTCAAACTGCTAGGTTGGCAGGAGCAGGGACCGAGCAACGGGAGCTCACCCCGTCGTGGGGATTCGAACCGCTGACCTTCTGATCAGCAAGTCCTAGGCTCTGTGATTTAACCCACAGCACCACCCGCATCCTTTCCCAAAAAATACACAGGAGAAAATGCCAGTATCACTTTTAGAGGGGTTACTGGTTAGTCTGATGCAGCAAAAACCACTAAGAAATGTGTGTAAAATAAAGTACTTCTTTATGTAACAGTTATGGAACAGGATGGCAGTTATGTTTACCAATCTAGATTCATGGAGGAGATGGCTGTCAATGGCTACTAGCCACAAGTGCTATGCTTCTGAATACCAGTTGCTGGAAGCCACAGGAGGGGAGAGTGTTCTTGTGCACAAATACTGCAGGCTGGTTCCCCACAGGTTACCTGGTTGGCCACTATGAGAACAAGATGCTGGACTAAATGGACCATTCACCTGATCCACCACATTCTTGTGTTCTTGAAAGACTGATTTTTTCCATCATTTAAACTTTTGAGGTTTAAAAGGCCACTTGACAAGCCCATGATAGCAACAAAATTTGTGCAGCATCTTATTTATTTTATAACAGAATAATAGGGTTTATGGTGGCACATTTTTTGCAGAAGACCATGTTGCAAAAAAACTCATGCCCACACCTATTTTGAGATTGTACAAACTCATTTGCCACATCCTGCCTCCTTCATTTTAACACCAGTCACTTCCACCCTTATGGTTACTGTCAGAAGAGGGTAAAAAAATCAAGTCAAGATTTACAAAGGTTCATGTTTATTTTTTTGAGGGGGCAGGGGAAATCAAGAGGGAGGCCACACTGATGAAAACAGAATTTGTAACAGTATTGTAGGTGGTCCAGTATACAGAAATAAAGCCATTAATATTCGGCTACTACAGAACACGCACTAACCCCAGAACCATTTTTTTTGTGGTTCATGCTCTAAACTTCCCAAAAGGCAATTAAAAAGAAAAAGTCTGAGGAAGATAATGGAAAAATACAATGTAGAAGAATGGGGGATAGGTGGGTGGGAGGGAGAACATTCTGTATCTGACAATCAGCTCCTTACCCTGTGTCACTTAAAAAATAATAATCTAGGCACCTTATCTGTAATGAGAGAAATCCTTAGTGCATTTAATGGACATACAGTGGGAACTCCTGTGTATAGCAGATCCCAGTAGGGCTTGCTGTCAGTGACGACAGCGAGCCCTTCTTACAAAGGAACACAATCAGCTTATTTTCAATGCCCCTTATTTTCATTCTTACCTGTGCCAGAGCTGACATCAGCTGTGGTGGGGCAGATAAATGTAGTTTGGGTGGAAATGTCCCTGTAGGCCAAACTGGGATCTGTTCCAGGTCTAGCAAAGCCTGTGCATGAGAGGTTCTCTACTCCTACTATACATACTCAGCAGAACGTTGCAGCTTCTCTCAAAAACAGTTTCCCCTTTCCACCTTAGTGAGCTGAGAGGCCAAGCCTGTACCATTTCATTGAGCATTTCCACATAAACTAAATGCTTGTGAGCACATATGAGTCAGATTTCTCTCTGTGTTACCATTGGCTTCATTTAATCCACAATTTTTCTGCAAAACGTCATTATGTAATTTTGAAAAAATAAAAATAAATGCAGACGCCAAGGCCCAGACTCCCACAGGTAACAGAAAACTATCACCTTCCTTTTTTTAGAATATTAGAGAACTCATCTCAGAAACTGCATAAAGTTCTACTTAAAGAGTTTTTTTAACATCCAGAATTTGCTAACTGCCCAATATGCAAGCCGAGACCAAGAAACTAAGCATGCTACTCATAACAGGCTATCACTTAGGTCTCTTCACTGAGACAAAATCCACACAGGGAGATGTGGTAAGAGTTCCAAGGTGGCTGGAAATATGCCAGTGGCATTTATTTGTTTTTGCAAATGCTCTACATGACTAATTTCTGCAAGCAGAACAGGGAAAAGAAAACTCTAGAATATCTCTCCCTCTCCCACCAATGCACTAGTTTTTTTCCTTCACATGAAGAAGCATTCAGAAATGGCATTTTCTACCTGCAGTCCACATTGGCATGGTGGTCTACTTGACACATCATTCTGGCACATAGTAACGATAATAATAATGTCATTATTTGTACCCCCTCTCAATGGACTGTAAACTAGGATCCAGTTCAGGGAAGGGGAATTCTGTGGCCTTCCAGATATCCCTGGACTACAACTCCCATCACCCCTGATTGTAGGGTCACATGCTGGCCAGGGCTCATGGGAGTTGGGAGTCCAACAACCTCTGGGAGGTTCACAGGTTCCCCATCCCTGAAGACCTGACCAAGTTTACAATGGAAGCTTCCTGTGGTCACCTCTTCCCTTGCCTCTCATACACATTTGGTGGTGAGTTAGGGCTGACGTTTCCTTGAGAATTCCATTCTTTGGAGAGATAGTGCTCACCCACCTCCTTGTTCCCCATAACCAACAAGCTTTATCCACACCATGGTTCCCATAAAACACATTCCTCTCAATGAGATCAGGACATCATTTTATCCAGAAATCTATTCAGTTTATCCAGGGCACCCGCTCTAGTCTTGTGTAAACACCACTGTAAGACAAATCTGCTTATATGCAGAGAAAGAGGTTAAGATTTAGATGTCTGTGAAGGGGTCTTTTATAGACCTGTTACCATGCAGATTCTGGTTTGCTAAAAAGACAAAAAAGCACCAAGAAATTCTGCAACCTCTCCCCACCCCAAAAAAAACTTCCAAAAGGCATGAACTCTGACATCTATGGCCACATCTTCACCATATGTTTAAAGCACATGACCCCACAAAGAATCCTGGAAACTGTAGTTTATCCCCTTCCCAGAGCTACCATGCTCAGCACCTAAGAGTCTCCAGGACTCTTTGAGGCGGGCAGCAGTTCGTTTTAAACATGCTTTCAAATGTTTGGCGTGGATGTGGCATATTAATAGAGTGTCACAAATTTAGAAAACTAGCAGCTCTTCTCCCTGCCCCGGGAAGTAACTCTTAATTATAATCAGAACAGCAGCACTATTCAGAGGAAGCAGTTGCTTCTCTTAACAGAGCCGGAGGCAGAATTGTCCCTTTTTTCTTCTAATGCAAAGATTTGAAGGCAGAATGGAAGAGCCATCTTTTCCTTTGCCTACAAACTGAGAAACGTGTTCTATCCTAGTGTTGTTTCTAGTAAAACAGAAGCACTCCAAGAGTTTGTAAACAGAGGACAGCAGGATAAGGGTACCAGAATACCCTGAATACCCTGAATACCAGAATACACTGAACCTTATACTTCCAGCTGCTCCCCAAGGCTCATCTTGTCTTCCCTCTGAGACTTGAGGCACTGCTCATGTGCTGAGCTTTTGATAAGCTTCAGAAACAGGACTTGGAACTATTCCAAACCAGTTCTGATGCAGAGCAGCATCAAAGCCAACCTTTAGTGCTATGGTTTGCCCCAGAAGATGAAAACACAAGATAAAAATATAGAATCGGAAGTGTCAAGACTCAGGCTGTGTTAGATAAGGAGAGAGATAAAACTATTGCCACCTCATTTAGAAAAAGCCAGTTCTGCCAGGCTTCCTTCCTTACATAGGTAAAATAAGCTACCGGTCCTATTTTGAAAAGCCTAATTTTGCTACACCCTTCTGAAAAGACATCAAGTGGCTGTAGGTGCTGTGCCATTATTAGCCTTTACACCAGGTGTGGAGGACCTGTGATGCCCTCCAGATGTTCCTGAACTACAACTCTCATCATACCTGTCCATTGGCCATGCTTGCTGGGACTGATGGCAGTGGTAGTTCATCATCTGGAGGGCCAAAGGTTCCCCACACTTGCTGGACACCTCCTTCTTGCTGTCACTCTTACCCAGATATGCTCAGGATGACAACCTTGTGGATGAACTACATCCCAGCACCACAAGCACACACGAGCCTTGCCATAATCTTTTAATTTTTCCAGGAAAACATGGGAGATACGGGCTCATTAGAAGCCACCAACTTACAGAAGGACTGACAATCTTTACCCACACACCAAGGAGCTGGAATGAGGGATAGAAGGATTACACCAGAAACCCACAGTTGAGTAGTGACCTCGGTTCAGCACACCTAGAAGCTTGTCTCTCTCTCTCTCTCTCACTCACTGGCCTTTTGTGTCTCAAGATCTTCCGTACAGCCCAATAGCTGCTAGGGCCCTGAGCTGTGTAGCAATGCTGCAGCAGGTCTGCAATCTCTCAGCAGTGGGAATAAGAGTAGGAGGGGGGAAAATAGGGCACCCTCTCTAAGGCAGTGGGTGATAAGGCCAATCCAACTTCATTCAACAAAGCTCTTGTTTTCACTGATTAGAACTAGCTTCCAAGTACAGCCAAGATCAAAAGGGGAGGGGATCAGATAAGAGGTGAATTTGGAGAGGGCTTTGCTTGGGGAAATTCAGTGCTATATACCCATTTCCTTGAAGGAAGAAAGTCAGAGATCCATCTGGCATTTAGCTGTTGCGGGAAGGAACTGAACAGAATAGGGTTTAACAAGTAGAAGCAGAGTCCAGCAACTCCCCACAGAAGAAAGTAGCCAAGGTTTGAAATATGCTAGCTCTCTCCTCATACGGCTAAATTCCACTGGTGCCTGTCCTGTCTGTATCCCAAAAAGGGTTTTTTTTGTGTGTGCGCATTAAGTGCCCTGCAGCAGTAATGCCCCTCGATATTCTTCATTCTATAATGACAGGGAAACAGGTGTTTCCATCTCCCTGTCTGGAGTCATTTAACAGAGAAATACAAAATTGAAAAGGGAATAGGTCACTTGATGTGGAATCATTTCAGCAGGTGAGATTCAAGAAATGTTAAGAGTGCAGGGCTCAGCAAAACTGAAAGTCACTCTCTTGTGAATTAATAGAGCGGGGAGAAGCCTCCCCTGGGGCAGAGAGCCAGGACACAAGTCAGGCCCCTGATCAGAGGCAGAAGTAGGAGCTTTCAGCAACGGACTCCACCTCCAGGTACCTGCAGAGACTCTCTCTACGATCCAGGGCTATTTGGAGTCTTGAAGATCTTTTGCCTTCTTCAAGATCAGGTGAACATCAGAGATGGGGTAATCCTGCATGAAAAGAAAAGAGCAAAAATCTAAAGGGCAGAGCTCGAATTCCCCACCCCAAATATGGCACTGTTTTATTTCTTAGACAAACACTGAGGGACATGGTCACTCAGTGCCATCACTATACGCAAATGCCTTGCTCACTAAAGACCATAAAGAACCATTATTCTCAGCAATGATGGAACTCACATAATACTTTTATTATTATTTATCTTAATTATCTGTAAAGGGAATATCTGTTATGAATTAATACTTTATTATCCCCTTGGAGCTGCGCCTTTGTACCTTTGGTCCTTCCAGGGCATGATGCTCAATGGTTTAAATTTTTAACTCTTTGTTTTTGTTTCTTTTCTTTTGGTTAACATATCAGTAAAATTAAAAAAGAAACAATGGGTGAAAAAATAACCTGAATTGTGGGGGTGGGGATTTGTTGTAGAGTGAGGGAGACTGGACATTCCACTGGCTGGGATCACCCACGTGACTAATAAGGGCAAAGGCTTCACTCAGCAGGAGTAAAACAAACATCCCTTTTCTGGTGGGTTTTCGTTTTATTTAAAATGACATGAAGGATGAACATCTTATCACACCCCAAAAATCTGCTGCCAGAAAAAACTATTTTTGGGGGCGATTGCATATTCGGTCATTTTAAGCCTTTCTAAGTTTTTTATGTTGTATTTTAAATCATTGTAAACTGCCCTGGGACCTCAGGATGAAGGGCAAGTAATAAAGTAACAATAAAGCACGACAACTTGATATCGCTGCCAAACATGGGAGGCCCCGTCAGAATCGGTGTTCCATTGGCTTTTGAAGACACGCCTGTTTACACAGGCATTCCCTTGGTCCCTTGTATTAATTGCCTTAACAGGAAACGTTTTATTGCACATTTTAATCATGGTCATTTATAGTTGCATGTATTTAACGGAACTGGTTTTTTCTGCACTTTAACAGTGGTGCCATGTTGCAATTCCTTTTTTTCATTTTTTTCCAAATTGCTTTTTATTTAGTTGTCGTTCATTATACAATTGCACATTTCTAACGATCTTTACATTACATTCAAGTTATAACCATTTTCAATATCGTATCTTTTCCTGTCCCTGTGACTTCCCACCACCACGCTGCAGCTTCTTTTACTTACATTTCTTTTTCTATTGTGAATATTGTTTTTGTTTTCTTCCATAAAGCAATTAACTTATCTATTCATATTTTATTTAATCAATAAATTTCATCAATGCATATCAATTGTTTTATTTTGGAACAATGTTTTATCATATATTCTTCCACTTTCCCATTCTTTCCTAAGTTTCTGATTTGATGTCTGATATAATTGGCCAAGATGACAGCAGCTATATATTCACATAGTTTATTTTGCCAATCAGCTTTTGATGAGACTGTTTCCCCTTTCCAAATTTTGGCTATTAATATTCCGGCAGCAGCTGTGGCATATAAAAAAACCTTTTTTCTTATCCTTAGGGATGGATGTCTATTGATAAGATACCTAATAGGAACACCTGGTTTTTTCTCGATATTTTAAACATCTTTTTCAATTTGTCATGTACAATACACCAGAATTATTTCTTTCACAGTCCTACCATCATTCCTTCTGCCATATTACATCTCCAGCAAGTGTTAGATTTTAATTTATAGATCTTAACTAATTTGCTCCCTAATGCAATTCCTTTTATTTCTTGTTCATTTCTTATATCCATATTGAGTATCTCCAAACCAGGATGAACGATTCTTTATGTTTTGTAAATGTAGTACATATAAGCAACAACCAATTTGCGTGGGGATTATGTTTGTGTACCCCGCTCTGCATAAGCCCACACTGCCCTTTTGTGCCTATGCCCCCCTTTTCAGTCCACTTCCAGGTTGAGGTGGATGCACGCAGAATGGTCATTGCCTGTACATACATACATACATACATACACACATACATACGAGTTGTATCCAACTGAGTTCTCATCTGTACTACCCCCCTGAATACTTGTCACTGGGAACTGCAAGTGGGTAGAGTGTTGCTGTTGCACTCAGGACCTGCTTGCGGGTTTCCCATTGGGACATCTGGTTGGCCGCTGTGAGAACAGGATGCTGGGCCAGATGGGCCTCTTTTTATGTCCTCTCTAGTGGTTGCCCACCTTAGCTTACTAATCAAAGCATGGAGGCGGACAAGGTAGTGACTAGAGGCAGTACAACTGAAGAACTTCCCCTACTGCATTTTACCTGCAGAAGTCGCATATTCAGAGTAAAATCTCCTTCTAGTAATTGGTCCCGAATGAGCCTGGAAGAGAGGGGGGAAAAGAAATGATCAAAGTACAGTCATACCTCAGGTTACAGATGCTTCAGGTTGCATTTTTTCAGGTTACGGACCGCTGAAACCCAGAAGTACCGGAACAGGTTACTTCCAGGTTTCGGTGGTTGCGCATGCGCAGAAGCGCTAAATCACGCTTTGTGCACGTGCAGAAGCGCTGAATCGCAACCCGCGCGTGCGCAGACGCGCTGCTGCAGGTTGCGAACATGCATCCTGCATGGATCACGTTCGCAACCCCGAGCGCCTACTGTACCTGTGCTTTGTTAACAGGATGCGTTGAGATGTTAACAGGATCCCTAACAACCCTCAGCTACAAACTCACAAACAGACAATGAAGGTGACAGCCATCCATGCATCCTCCTTTTCTCTCCAGAGGAGAGGCTACCTCTGGACACATATTCCAGAGTTAGGCTACCTCTGGACACAGACTCTTTACAGCTATACTGCATAATGGCCATAGACAGACCTGACCTCCTATACGAGTTGCTCTGTTCCTTTGAAAAAAGAGAATTAGTTTGCCACAGCCATCACCATGATGGAATGGCGATCCATGCGGGGCATTGCCAACAGTTGTGCTGGAACTCACATCAACATGGCGCAACAGACTAGCAGCAGGAAGTCAAAACGGTTGTCGTCAGCAAAGAGAGAATCCCAGATGCGGATGACATCTGGCAACAGAAACTCCTGGGACAGCAGCAGCGTTAGCCAGCGGAAGGTGAAAAACTGGGGCTTGATGTTCTGCTCTTGCTGGCGGGGGAGAGACAAAAGCATTATTTCAGACCACTTTAAAAGTGTGTGTGCAGGGGGACTAGGGACTGGAGATATCTGCTCCAGTTCCCTTGATACCTGGGGGAGAGGGAACTTAAGAAGCTTCCTTTGTATCAGAGCACATAGTCAGAGCATTGGGTCCATCTATCTGAGTACTGTCTACATTGACTAGCAGTGGCTCTCCAGGGCTTCAGCCAGGGAGTCTTTCCCAGCCCTGCCTGGAGATGCTGGGGATTGAACGTCAGACCTCCCGCATGCAAGGCAGATGCTCTGCCACTGAGCTGTGGCCCACAAGCAAGCAGAGGGATCAGATCTATGGTTCTTCCTCTTAACCACAAAGATTCCAATCTCTGAACTGAGAGCTGAGTTAAATAGGGACATTTTGGGGAGCAGAACTGAGCCTACTAAAAAGCTCTTGCTGGTCCTCTTTTCATTTCCTTAACCAAACCTACAAGGCAGTTAAATTCTCTGCAAGTTTAAGTTACTGTTCAGCAGACATTTAAGTTTTGTTTAGCATCTACACCTCTCTGGAGGATTTTTGATTCAAGAAGTTTCCTTCCCCCTTCCAAGTCTTTTGAGAAGAATAAAAATTGCTACAGATCACTGGAGCTATTCTTTGCAAAGGAACAAGTAACCATTGGGTTCGTTCAAATGACATGTATTTCAATTACCGTATTTTTCGCTCTATAACACGCACCCGACCATAACACGCACATAGTTTTTAGAGTAGGAAAACAAGGAAAAATTTTTCTAAATGAAACAGTGGATGTATGATTTTTGTGGTTCATGCTGTGGCCACAGACATGTGATCTGACAGTGAGTTTGGAGTAGCCCAATGCAAAAATCCTGAGGATCCATGTGGATCCATGCTTTGTAACCACGTTTTTGTACCACTGCGGCCCCAGGCAACAGTGGGTGCGTGATTTTTTTGGTGCAAGATGTAGCTATGGACATGCTATGTGATCTGATGGTGAATTTGGGGTGACCCAGTGCAAAAATCCTGAGGATCCATGTGGATCCGTGCTTTGTAACCACGTTTTAAGTGGGGAGGGAAGGAAAAGCACTCAAGGGACAAGGAGCACGCGTGGGGGGGTGGAGAAGGATGCTGCTAATAATGAAGAAGAGGGGTTTAAGGGGAGAAGGAGCACACGTGGGGTGAGTGGAGAAGGATGCTGCTAATAATGAAGAAGAGGGGTATAAGGGGAGAAGGCTCCTCTCCTCTCCCACTTTGCTCCTTTAAAGCAAGCAGGCTCTGCTTTTCTTCCTCCTCCCCGCTCATCCCCAGCTTAGCGGGGATGAAAAACTTTGCTGCTATGTAGCGAGCTGAGTGGGGAGGAGAGAGGGACAGAGAGCCTGCTTGCTTTAAAGGAACCAACCGGACAGGAGCCGCTTACACTCGTGTAAGCGGCTCCTCTCCTCTCCCGCTTTGCTCCTTTAAAGAAGCAGGCTCTCTGTCCCTCTCTCCTCCCCACTCAGCGGCTCTTCTCCCGCTTTGCTGTTTCAAAGCGAGCCACGGAGGAGGGAAGGAGGGGAACCATGGATCCTCTGCTCACGACTGCAGCAGATCCCCCCCGCCATCCGTAGGCATTCGCTCCATAACACGCACAGACATTTCCCCTTACTTTCTAGGAGGAAAAAAGTGAGTGTTATGGTGCAAAAAATACGGTATATACCACCTTTTCCTCCAAGGAGCTCCATGGTTCTCCCTCTCCTCATTTAATCTCTACAACAACCCTGTGAGGTAGGTTAGGCTGAGAGGTACAGACCGGCCCAAGGTCCCGAGTTTCATAGCCAAGTAGAGATTTAAACCCTGGTTTATATTAAGTGTTTCTGTTTCAAAATTCTGCTGCCCCTGCTCACCAATTCCCCCTCTCGTTACAGCTCATCCACCCTCTCATATCTATCCCGACAGTTTTAAAGGGGCAGGTGCTTCGGAGAGCAGTTGGTCCTTTTTATGTATTTAGGAAGATATACCACTTAATGCCACGATGGATGATCCCTTCATTAAGGATGCTCCCCATACACACACACCAAGGCTTCCTAGGACTCTGTTTGAAGGCCACTGTGGAACAATATTCCTTACCAGTTTCATGTAGAGCTCCACATCTTTCTCTTTCAAGGTGGAGTACACCTTCTCCATTTTGTAGGTGATGCCACACTGAGAGTCATCCAGACTCTTGATGAAGTTATCCCTGATCTCAGACATGAGGTTAGTGAAACAAAAGAAGGTATCCGCTTCTGCGTGTTCTAAAGCAGGGGGATAAGGAAGACACCATCAGCTTTGTTATCGAGACCACAAGCCAGGAAGTGACCTGGTTTGCACGTTTCTTGGATCTCAGCAAGTTACAACGCAGTATTATAGTCAAGTCAGCCCAAAGCGATGGTTTGTTCAACAAGCCACAAGTTGCCCCATAGAGAAACAAACCAGGGTTTGTTGAATGATACAGTCATCAATCAGGGGCTGCTCCAATCAAAAATTCTATACAGAATGGGAATGCATAGGGGAATACATGAAGAAATATGGTGTTAAAGCAGAACTCTTATTGGCAATTGTTAAGCGTGTAAGGACAAAAGAAGTAATCATAATTTAACAGTTTTCATGTTATTCTATTTTGTTAAAGCAACTAGAAAAAAATATGATGGGAAGATCTCACACAGCTAAAGGGAAGCAGTGGGGAGGAGGGGAGGGTTAGGTTGAATTTGGGAAATAAAATAATATATGGGACAGCAAAGGATATAATAGATTCTTATAGAATAGTAATATATTGTAACCAGAATAGAAGTTCAAAAGGGGAAGTAAATGTATTTTTAGTATTTTAGTTATTGTAATAAAAAGGTAAAGGTACCCCTGCCCATACGGGCCAGTCGTGTCCGACTCTAGGGTTGTGCGCTCATCTCACTCTAGAGCCGGGAGCCAGCGCTGTCCGCAGACACTTCCGGGTCACGTGGCCAGCGTGACGAAGCTGCTCTGGCGAGCCAGCACCAGCGCAGCACACGGAACGCCGTTTACCTTCCCACTATAAAGCGGTACCTATTTATCTACTTGCACTTAAGGGTGCTTTCGAACTGCTAGGTGGGCAGGAGCTGGTACCGAACGACGGGAGCTCACCCCGCCGCGGGGATTCGAACCGCCGACCATGTGATCGGCAAGTCCTAGGCGCTGAGGTTTTACCCACAGCGCCACCCGCGTCCCAGTTATTGTAATAGTTATTATTATTTCTTATCGGTAGAAGGCAATGTTAATTTAGGCTTCTTCAATTTGCTGTCTGTATAATTTTCTTAAGTCAATAAAAAAAGAAAAAGAAAAAAGGGGAAAAAACACCAGAGTTTGTTGAACATTCAGCATTACAATATTTGAGAACTGTACAGTATGTTCAAGAAGGGCATGTGCTCTTCTTACTTTTCCATTCGCTGTTGGGGTCTGTAGCAAACGTGTAGTAAAGAGGTCCTACGATTTCATTCATCCCTTGGACGTAGGCTATCCCCGGATTCAGTTTAGCATAGATGAAGAGGATTCGTTCTACGACCTCCCAATGAGCCTCACAGCCATTGGGCAGAACCTCATACTCATTCAGCGAGTTAGAGGCCAGCGTTTTCAGAGGAGAACTTACCTAAGAAATCAAAGGAAGGAGAACAACATACGAAACCATTTGAGGATACCAGATCTGGAGCAAATGGAACCTCCGTTATTTCCGTCACTTAAATCCCACCTTTTGAAATAGCACACAACATGCTTATAACAAAATCACCACACTCCTAAAACCAAACAATATCAATCAACATATTCTATATGCCTCTATATTCATAACCTTGTCCAAGAATTGGAACATGATGAGTGATTACTCATATCCTCACTGTTCCATTTATTTTACTGTATATAAATATTTTGTACTTTGTCTCTCTTGCTATTTCATATTGTTAAAATTTCAATTATACACACAAACACCTCAGAAGTTCATGTTCATACAGGAGAAGATGGGTCTTGAGATATCTTGGCCTTTTAAACTCAAGACCATCATTTTGAATTAGGCCTTAAAACTAGCTGAAAGCTAATCTGGTAGCCGAATGTCCCTACTTTAGAGAGGACAGACCTCTATTTGAAGGCATTTTCTATTTCAGTTGTTTTTTAACCCTGGGTCTCCAGATGTTGGACTACAACTCCCATCATTCCTGAATGCTGGCCAAACTGGCTATGGATGATGGGGGCTGTAGTCCAACAATAACAACAATACAGAGCTCTCTTTCCCTTACGTTTGTGACGCCACTCCGGTTCCGTGCCACTGTCTGTGACTTGAGCGTTGTCTGCTCCACTCGCTTCCGGAGGGTCTCGAAATCATTCAGGGGGTCCAGGATCAACAGGCAGGGGTATTCGGTCATGCTCTGGAAGAATGCCATGTCAGGATACAGCCTCCTGGGTGAAATAATTATTCATTGGGCTTGTAAAAAGGACAAGCAAAGCACCATGGCGAAAAGGGAGCCGTCCCAAAACAGATTAAGCTTTGGCAGTGGGATTCCCACACCCCCTACACTCAATGTCTTTGCATACCTGACATCCTTGTCTATCTGCAGCAGCACTTCGTTGTCCTTGAAGTAAGTGTTCCATCTGCTATCAGGGTTCGGATTCAGTGGCTTTATGGAAGAGTTTAAGACAAGAAGCCAAGTTGAGAGTAAGAAAGGCCTTCAGACACTAAAGCAGGGCTTCTAAGAGCTTAAGGAGAGCCTTGCAGGATCAGACTACAGGCCCAGCTAGCTCAGCATCCTGCTCTCACAGTCACCAAACAGATGCCTCTCTGGGAAGCCTGCAAGCAGCACTCGAGCACAACCACAATCTTCCCACCTACAGTTCCCAGCAACAGGCATTATTCAGACGCATACTGCCTCTGACCATGGTTTAGCCTTAGTGTTGATGCTGCACTTACATGATCCTCCATGGTCACATCTTCTCTAGAGACTCCGAGGTTGGCTTTGGCTATTCCAGGCTGTATAATCATTTCCTTCAAAAACTGGGTATACAATTCTCTTCAAGAGGGAGGGGAAAGAATTATATGTTAGGAACCAGGTTTAAACCCAAATGCCTACTGGCACCACCCAGTCAGTGTGCAGCCCCAGATTACCCCAGAAGGTCCATGATATGATGCCCAACCCTGCTCTACAATGAAAGAGAGGGAAGAGAAAGTTGCATCAATGACGCAATATTGATTGTGGGCTCTTCTGGTATTCAGTATTCTTAAAGGTAAAGGGACCCCTGACCATTAGGTCCAGTCGTGACCGACTCTGGGGTTGCGGCGATCATCTTGCTTTATTGGCCAAGGGAGCCGGCATACTGCTTCCAGGTCATGTGGCCAGCATGACTATGCCACTTCTGGTGAACCAGAGCAGCGCACGGAAACGCCGTTTACCTTCCCGCTGGAGTGGTACCTATTTATCTACTTGCACTTTGATGTGCTTTCGAACTGCTAGGTTGGCAGGAGCAGGGACCGAGCAACGGGAGCTCACCCCGTTGTGGGGATTCGAACCGCTGACCTTCTGACTGGCAAGTCCTAGGCTCTGTGGTTTAACCCACAGCACCACCCACATCCCACTCAGTATTCTTAGATATGCTTTAAATAAACATAGAAAGTGCCAAGCTTTATTCTTACATTTTATCTTGCTATCCAAATGTCATTATTCTAATCTGACTGGAGCATCTAGTTTAAGTTTTGGTTTGTGTTTTTTTTTAAAAATAGAGTTGGAAGCTTTAATTGGAAGACCAATTCACAGTGAATTTAGTTTAATTCAGGTAATTTTTGCTTATTTTTTAAAAGGCTTTTACATTGCTGATCTGTTGCTATTATCAGCAACTAAAAAAGAAAAAAGTATGGCCCTCAGTATGAAACAATCAGCAGTATGAAATTACCACAGTGGACATTCCAGTAGAGAAGCAAGTGCAAGGGTATTTGAATTAATACTTATAGAATCAAACACTGCAGCATTGGCTGCTATTGTGAAGTCAAGAGAGAATGATCTTAAAAAATAGTAGTGATATAAAGTCCATAAACAGGGGTATGAAGGACCCAGAAAAGATAAATTCACCTCTGCTTCTGCAGAACAGAGCTCCATAAGGTTCTCTCCACGGGAAGGTAGTTCAAGAGGATCTGTATAAAGAGAGCAGAATGACTAGAAGGGCCTTATATTATTGAGCAGCAGTTATTTAGCTAAATGTTTACGGCTACCTGTTTTTCTAGAGCACAAGAATCTGTAAGGAATTTTCCCACGGGGTAAAAGTGTTCTCACAAAATCACATTTCTCCCATCTGTCAAATGGGAATTTGCTGCAAGGATCAACCTATTGTTTATTCATTTTTTAAGTTTATATCCCACCTTTCCTCCCAGAAGGAGCCCAGGATGGCTAACACATCAACAAGGCAATTAAAAGCATACCTAAAAACAATCAGTTAATAATTTCAAGGTTTCTGGGAACAGTCACTTTCAGCTATCAAATCCCTAGCTGAACAGGAATGCTTTTCTAAGTTCCTCCTGAAAGTTAATAACAAGGGAGACGGATCCCACCAGGGAGGGCATTCCACAAATTGGGAACCATAACTGAGAAGGCTCTGTGTTTGTAAAGCACTTAGGAGTTCTGCCCAAGTGGATACAGAATGATTTGAAAACATCACCCCAACCTCTTAAGCCTGTACAAAACACCGAGAAGACTCAGGCTCCTTGTCAAAAAAACCCTACCTTCCAACACAGACAGCGCAAGCCACCTTCAAAGGGAATCCCTGTGAAACAAGAAAAAACAGGACTACTGAAATTAAGCGTTGCTGTCTTTCTCCACCAAGTGCATGACTTTCATCCTCATGCCTAGATTTCCCTTCTCTCAGTTCAGAGGGGAAATGTGACACTCCGAAGATAAGAATCTAAGAAGAGCCTGGCTGCTGGACCAGGTCAAAGATCCATCCTGTTCTCGCACTGGCCAACCAGATGCCCTAATGTGGAAGTCTGCAAGCAAAAGCCAAGAACAGCAGAAACTCTCCCCACTTGTGATTCCCAGCAACTGGTATTCAGAGGCATCCTGCCTTCGGACAGTGGGGGCATATCATAGGCAGCATAGCCGTATACTCCATGAACAGGCAGAGAAGTAACAAATAGAGAAACAGAAAAAGGGAAATAAACGAGTAAAGGAGGGAGGCATCCAGCAGCTTCTCCTTCAACAAGTGTGTGTGTATGTTCTATTCCCTCCAGTATTCTCTACCTGTTTTTTTTTAACTGGACCTTAGTCTAATTTTTATGCTTACATCCCACTTTTTTCTCCATGGAGTTCAAGGAGGCATACATGGTTCTCCTTCCCTTTTATCCCACCAATTGGAACCTTGGCCTCCCAGGTCCCAGACAAACACTGTAATCATAGTATCACACTGGCTCTTTAGCACATTTCTCTGTTTCATCCTCCTAACAATGCTGAGAGGTAGGCAAGGCAGAGAAAAAAAAAAGAGTCAGAGACAGACAGAAAGACAGACAGACAGAGAGAGCAACAGAGATGTCCGATTAGGGTTTTGAAGCTGGGTTGCCTTATGCCAAATCTAATAAACTAACCATGAGACAGCTGTGAGAACAGGATGCTATAATAATAATAAATAAAAATAATAAAAATAATAAAAATAATAAAAATAATAAAAATAATAAAAATAATAAAAATAAAATTTAGTTATACCCCGCCCTCCCCAGCCAAGACTGGGCTCAGGGTGGCTAGCACCAGGTATAAAAACAATTGCTTGAAATACAACTTAAAAACAAGATTAAAATACAACATGAAAATGCAGCCTCATTTCAGTAGAAACTCAAATCAAAAACTTTTTGAGGATGCAAACGTCAAGTCTTCACCAAGGCCAACTATCCAGACTGGTCCTACGTGGGCCAGAAAAAAAGCCAGGGAAGTCCCCAAATAGGAGTTCCATCACAGAAGGAGAAAGGAAAGAGGAAAGAGGAAAGAGGGGGAGGGGATCAAGCTGATTTCAAGCCAAAGGCCAGGTAGAACAACTCTGTCCTACAGGCCCTGCGGAAAGAAATCAGATCCTGCAAGGCCCTGGTCTCATGAGGCAGAGCGTTCCACCAGGCCAGAGCCAGTGTTGAGAAGGCCCTGCCTCTGGTTGAGGCTAATCTGACTTCCTTAGGGCCTTGGACCTCTAGGGTGTTACTATTTATGGACCTTAAGGTCCTCCGTGGGGCATACCAGGAGAGGCGGTCCCATAGCCATCAATAGCCCACTTCTCCACCGTCTACTGATACGTCTATTAGACGTGCCATTGGCCTGATTCAGCAGGCTCTTCTTCTGTTCTTAAGTTCTTTTTTAAGCACACAAATCTCAAGACAAGCAACATTTACACATCTAACAGCGTAAAAAGATTTTTAAAAAATCAGTTGCACAAGCACTTTTAAGTTTCCAAGAGTTACTATGTTTAAATATTTATAGAAATAGTAACTCAGTGACAGCCAGGTTGGCCTTTGGTTGTTTGAAACAGCAGCCAGAAGTAGATTGTGGAACCTTTTATCCAGAACATTTCAGCATTCCCTTAACTCACTGCAGGGAAGAATACAAAATGACACAAGACTGTATGCGAATATTGACCACTTGCACAGTGCTTTCAAACAAGGCAATCCAAGTACAGAGGCAGCCTGTGATTCTCTTTGCAAAATGTATTATTCATCATGCAAATTATCGAAGGCAAAAAGCCCTGGGAACAGATTGTGATGTATTTAAGATGGGAATTAGAGGTACGTAGGAAAAGAACAAAAACTATGGGTGTAGGGACCAACTTACAGCCACTTGATGCCCTGATGGCTAAGGGACCCACTTACAGCCCTCTGAGCATAGATCTCCTGCCTGTTCTAGCCCTTGGTAATGCCCAGTTGTGTTACGGTATATTTTTAATTTTCAGGATAGAAGCTGGCTCATACCATAGCAAGCTGACTGTTTACACTGACTGACGGTGACACGCTGACTTACACTGACCCAGACCCTTGGCCCATCTAGCTCAGCACAGTTAACACGGGCAGAAAGTGGCTCTCCAGGCTTCAGGAAGGGGGACATTCCCAGCCCTACCTAGGGATGCCATGGGGGTGGCATGCACCAAGCTGCCACTTGCAGGAGTCAGTTTCACAGTTTAACTGTGTGCATTGAAGGGAAAGACTGATAGTGGAGGAGAAGTGGTCTTTTCAGGAGGGAAACACTTTGCTATGCCAGCAGATTCAGACAACCTTCTACACATCACAATGCTGTTCTAGTTACATCCGTGTTTTCAACCACAAGGCACACCTAGTGAAAAACAGCAAGGGTTATCTCCAAATCCAGAAATGGGTTGTTTTTGGTTTTTAGTTGACTGAAGAATGCTGCTTTCACCCCTGATCAAAGCATTATTTTTTGCTAGGCTCCATCAGTTGAAGCTCATCCCTCCTGGGAAACTTTGAACACTACCTTAGCTTGAGCCCTTAAAACTAGACCTGTGCAGATGTCTATTATGAGGGAGAATTTGCCAAAGTCACTTACCGCTGAAGCAAAGTTCACGGAGCTTCTCTAGCGAGATGCTGGCCTCACTAAGGATGTCTTGAAATTCTGCAATCCTAAAGGAAGTGGAGAAGGTAACACACACGCAGGTGATAAATGCAACAATCATCAGAAGGAAGCAGTGTTAATGCAACTGCATTCCAGGTTGCTACTTGTTATTATCCAGCTCTTATATGATCTAGACATTGGGTACAAGAGAGGTTTTTTGTTTTTTAATTCCACCAGGCCCGAATCTTACTAAGTTAATGCCCAGGCTTGAATGGTGTTCAATATTACTATTACTATTTGCATCAAGGGCACCTACAATCTAGCCAAGCCCATTGTAAACAGTCAGAGAAATGTGCCGTTCAGATAAGGACTTTTATTGGAGCAAAACGAAACGTTGAGACTATGGGGTGGGGGGAAGGAAGCAGCCAGCTGCCCCTTCCAAAACTACTGAAGTTTCTTAAAAAGAACAAAAGAGTCTGATGGATCAGGCCAGTGGCCCAGCTAGTCCAGCATCTAGTTTTCACAGTGGCTATGCAGGTGCCAGTGATAAACTAGCAAACAGGAAGGACTCAAGTCAAAGAACTCTCTCCTCTCCCTTTGTTTTCCAGCAAGTGGTATTCAAAAGCACTTGTGCCTCCAACTATGGCAGCAGAGCAAGCCATCATAGCTAGCAGCCTTTGATAGCCCTCTCCTCCATGAGCTTCCCTAATCCTCTTTTAAAGCTGCCTAGGTTGGAGGCAGTGAGAGATTTTACTTTCTTGGGCTCCATGATCACTGCAGATGGTGACAACAGCCATGAAATTAAAAGACGCCTGCTTCTTGGGAGAAAAGCAATGACAAACCTAGACAGCATCTTAAAAAGCAGCAACATCACCTTGCCAACAAAGGTCCATATAGTTAAAGCCATGGTTTTCCCAGTAGTGATGTATGGAAGTGAAAGCTGGACCATAAAGAAGGCTGATCGCCGAAGAACTGGTGCTTTTGAATTATGGTGCTGGAGGAGACTCTTGAGAGTCCCATGGACTGCAAGAAGATCATACCTATCCATTCTTAAGGAAATCAGCCCTGAGTGCTCACTGGAAGGACAGATCCTGAAGCTGAGGCTCCAATACTTTGGCCACCTCATTAGAAGAGAAGACTCCCTGGAAAAGACCCTGATGTTGGGAAAGATGGAGGGCACAAGGAGAAGGAGACGACAGAAGACGAGATGGTAGGACAGTGTTCTCGAAGCTACCAGCATGAGTTTGACCAAACTGCGGGAGGCAGTGGAAGACAGGAGTGCCTGGCGTGCTCTGGTCCATGGGGTCACGAAGAGTCGGACACGACTAAACGACTAAATAACAACAACAGGTTGGGGGCCATCATTGCCACCAATATGTGGCAAAATGTGACAGCTTCTGTCTAAAGACCCATCAGTTCAAGCGTTGAACTATGAGCTGACAGACCAGGGTTCAAATCCCCACTAAGCCATGAAGCTCACTGGGTGTGACCTTGGGCCAGTCACCCCCTCTCTCTGCCTAACCTACCTCACAGGGTTGTTTGTGAGGATAAAATGGAGAGGAGAACCATGTAAACCACCTTTAGCTCAGTCCTTCTATGGTTATGCATGACAACTGTTCCCACCCTCTACCCCCATGATTCCAAAGGCTGTTTCAGCTGATTTTTCATCCCACCCACCCCCTCCAGAGCAGCCTGTTTTTAAGCCACCAGTGCCTCATGCTTCTCTCTCCCTTTGCTCCTCTGCATTTTTGACTCTGCTTTTGGTTCCTGGAGAATAGGAGAGGGGTGGATTGGTGTCCCTCTGCTTCTTCCTTCTCCTCCAGGCGGTCATCTGCTCCAGCCCCTCTCTGCCATCACCCCAATGTTAGAAACTGAGATATGAAAGCTATGAGTTAAATGGCACCAAAAACCTAGGTTATGGGCGCAATAACAGAATGTCTACGTGCACTTTTTTTAATAACAAGAATACAAAGCTGAAAATGAATGAACTGCAGCTAAAATATTATGTTCATTTTTCACATGGTCTAATCCTTCCCCTGCCCACCCTCTTAATATTCTTAAGAGGGTCTCTTCTCCAGTCTTCAGAGAGTAGATGGAAGTGGGGAGGCAGAACAAAGTCCTCCTTTCCTTCCATGTGCATAGCCAAGGAGTGGGGCAGGACTATCAATAAAAACACATAGCTGAGGTTCTGCCCCCCTAACAAAAGGCCTGCCCTCCAAAACAAAACAAAACATGGCTACGCTAATGTTTCTTTCAGCTTAGGTGTAGTACTGCGCCCAGAGCTCAGCGCTAATGAAATTCCCTGTTGCAAAATGTGCCTAGAACAATGCAAGTTTCAAACACTGCATCAGCCTGTTATTTCAGATAGAATGTGGTTTGGAAAGCCCAGATAGAGCCCCGAGTCCAATTTAGAGGAGCAAAAAAAGGGTGTGAATGGCTGTATTTTTAAGCAAAATGAGCTTTGTTCAGAGTTGTGGAGAGAGAGAGAAAGAGAGACTGGCAAGCATGACTGATGTGGGAAGGGAATAAAAGAAGAGTTGGGGAGGTTGCTTTGTTGTTGTTTTGACACCTATCTTTCCAAGTTTATTTCATTCTGTTTGTGGGCATTCCTTTCTTGTTTATGTAATAAGGTGCCGAAAGGTTGGCTTGGAGAGGTTTGGGACCTCCTCTCTTCTCCCAACTCCCATTATTTAGGAGGAACTGCTGAACAATAAAAAATTAAACATAATAAGTGTTTGCATTGTGCTTGAGTGTTCAGATGCTGCAGGTACGTATTCCTTAAATCCTTATGACACCCCTGTCAGGTACTGAATCAAGGTTTTGAAATTGTATTATCAAAATCATTAAACTTAAGTTAAATGTATTACACAGCAAACATGGTTTCGTTCTTATTTGATAAACGAGGTCCCACCCAGAGTTACAACTTTTTAATGACAGGGTTTCTGTACCTTCAACAGTTTGATGACAGGCAGAATTCAGAAGTCAAAACTGCTGGAACCTCCCCATTTCAGACATACAGTGATAAAATAAGCATCACATGTTGACTTGTTGTCTTATGTGCATATGCTGCAGCCCTAGGCACTCACCAGGAAAAGTGGTACTCAATTCAGAAAGTGGTACTCAATTCTCAATTGAGAGATAGCTACTTGTCCAGTAATAGCGTGTTGTTGCATTTTAAAAACTCTTGAGTACACGGCCACCATCAAGGGAGAAGGAGAATGATGCCTACATTAATGTTTTAATATATTCTCAGATTCTGGATATTAAAAGGAAGATCTGCAAATTGCATTAACATATACATAGTTTGCCACAGTACATGTAGGTACCCAGAACCTTTCATGTAACAGGATTTTGAAGGCTCAGCTGTACAGGCAAAAAATGTTATCTTGCAAATGAAGTATTCAAAGCCATGCTGCTGGAGAGGTAATGCTCAAAAATAATGAATTAGGTTGCAATCCCAATCCCATTTGCCTGGGAGTAAGCCCCAATTCAGCAAGATACGTACGTACACACGTACCAGAATTCATAAATACTTATGGTTGGCCACCATTGCTGAGACTGAGCCCCATTTAAGTTTGCAGTGTCCAATTAACAACTGCTATTAAAAGTGTGATATTAAAAATGTGCCATGGAATCACAGAATAGTAGGGATCCTGACTGTCAACAGGGTCAACACCTTGCGCTGCAGGAATTGCAACTAAAGCATCCATGGCAGATGGCTATCCAACCTTCAAGGAAGGAAGGAGAGTCCTCCACCTGAGGGAGTCTGTTCCACAGTCAAACACCATCAGAAGGTTGCTCCTTTTGTTTAGTTGGACTCTCTTGTAACTTGAAGCCATTGGTTTGGGTCCTACGTTCCAGAGCAGGAGAAAACAAGCTTGCTCCATTTGGGACAGCCCTTTAGATATTGGAAGGTGCCTATCATAGTCTCCTCTTTTCCAGGCTAAATATACCCAGCTCCTTCAACCATTCCTCATAAGCCTTGGTTTCCAGACCTGTGATCAGGTTGGTCACCCTCCTCTGCACACGTTCCAGCTTATCCATATACTTCTTAAACTGTGGGACACAGTACTCCAGGAGTGGTCTGACCAAGGCAGAAGAAAATGGTACTATTACTTTCCTTGACCTGGACACTATACAGCCTAGACTAGCATTAACTTTTTTTCTTTTTTGCTACTGCATCACACAGTTTCAAACTGCTAGGTTGGCAGGAGCAGGGACCGAGCAACGGGAGCTCACCCCACTGTGGGGATTCAAACCGCGACCTTCTGATCAGCAAGTCCTAGGCTGGTTTAACCCACAGTGCCACCCGCGTCCCGTCTGCCTTCTTACTTACAACCAATCAGGAAGCAGCTCTGCCTGCCACTGGCTCTGGCTCCAACTAGTGGTGATCTCCCTGCTTTCCACCCCACCAGCCCCAACGCCTTCTAGCCACCACTGCTGGCCACCATCAGGAAAAAAAACCAGACAGGCCCTTCTCCTCCAGCATCCTGTTGTCACAGTGTCCAACCAGTCTCCAACCAGATGCCTGCGGGAGACCCACAAACAGGACTTGAGAACCTCTACTGTGGTTTCCAGCAATTGGTTTTCAGAAACATTTCTGAGCTACAATGGGCTTTCCCCCTTGCCTTCTTTTTACCACATCCCTGACTTTTGTAGAAGACTTGATGCCTAGCAATTAGCAGAAACTGTTAAGATTCTGCAAGGAGCTGGCACCCTTGGATGGTATTCAAGCAAACTAGTTCATGCAAATTGGTGAAGAGAATTTCATCAGTTGAGAAGACAACAACTTACTTTGCATTTTTTGAGCATTCAGAGGGAAAATGGACCCCCTACCTAAACAAAAAAAACCAGGAAGGAAGATGGATTGCTAAATGCTGGAGGAGTGATTTTCAAGCCACAGTGGTTTCCTTCCTGGACACTGTAGATAACGGAGCTCTTCAGAAAACACATTTTTAAATAACCATAAAAAAAATATTCCTGCAGCATAGTTATGTGGTGGTATTTTAACCCCCCAAACTCATAGCTGGTAGCAAACACATCAACATTTAAAACCGGTGGAAAAGTGACTTCTGTTTACAGCACCATTCAACAGGTTAGTAAGCATTATAATCATCATAACATGAACATAGAAAACTATCTTACTATAGAGTCTGACCACGAACTGGTCTACCTATCTCATTGTTGTTTACACTGATAAGCAGTGGCTTTCCAGGGTTTCAGGCAGGGACATTCCCAGCCCTACCTGGAGATGCCACTGGGAATTGATCCTGGGAACTTCTGCATGCAAAGCAGATGCTCTACCACTGAGCTACCACCTTCCCCTAAAATTTAAACATGATTCCAAGTCCTTGTGGTTCTACATAAAGGGCTAATTTAAGCAGAAACCTAAGAAGCTGCCTAGTTATACTGTGCCATACCACTGGTTCATCTAGCTTAAAGGTAAAGGTAAAGGGACCCCTGACCATTAGGTCCAGTCGTGGCCAACTCTGGGCTCATCTCGCTTTACTGGCCGAGGGAGCCAGCATACAGCTTCCGGGTCATGTGGCCAGCATGACTCAGCCGCTTCTGGAGAACCAGAGCAGCACACGGAAACACTGTTTACCTTCCCACCGGAGCGGTACCTATTTATCTACTTGCACTTTGAAGTGCTTTCGAACTGCTAGGTTGGCAGGAGCAGGGACCGAGCAACGGGAGCTCACTCCGTCGCGGGGATTCGAACCGCCGATCTTCTGATCGGCAAGTCCTAGGCTCTGTGGTTTAACCCACAGCGCCACCAGTACTGCGTAAACTGTCCGGCAGTGGCTCTCCAGGTAGCTCAGTTGGCAGAACATGAGACCCTTAATTGCAGAGTTGTGGCTTCAAGCCGCATGTCGGGCAAGTCTCTTGCATTGCAGGATGTTGAACATGATGACCCTCATGGTCCCTTGAAACTCTACAACTCTGAGTGGTAGTGACTCTCATGGGTTTTGGACAAGGAACATTTCCAGCCCTAGCTGGAGATGCCAGGTTCTGAACATGGGACATTTTGCATGCAAAGCAGGTCCTCTACCACTATGCTATGGCATTCCCCTGAAAAAAAATGGGGTTCAGTGGAACTAGGAATAATTATGATCCATTTTTTAAAACTTGAGGGAGAATTGCCTCCCTATGGAGCTGGAATCAATCAGTTTCAAATTAAAACAACCTGGGTTTACCAGGATGATTAATCTTCTGTAGCAACAATCAATTTAGGCAAGGTAGTATCATAGCTAGCATGCCAGAACTGGACCAGGGAGACCTGGGTTCAAATCCCCACCCAACTATCAAGTTTATGCTGAGCAACCCTGAGCTAGTAACTCTGTCTAGGCCTAACCTACCTCACAGGGAATTTGTGTGTATTAAAAGGAGATAACATATACTAGTACAAGCTCCTTGAAGGTAGGTTATAAATGTGGTTTTAGCTGTGTACATACTATACTTTCAAAGCACATTTCCCCCTCTTAAATAATTCCAGGCAGTGTGGTTTGTTAAGGGTTGCTGAGAATTGTCCCTCTGAAGGATAAACTACAATGACCACTGCCCAGAATTCTTTGAGGGAAATAATGTGACTTTACATTTTGAAAAATAAGGGAAAAGAAGATGAAGAACCAACGGGGGGGAGGGGAGAGAGGAAGAGGGAAGGTTGCAAATGAGAGGCAGAGAGGAAAAGAAACCCCCTCAAATGTTGGACAAGAGAAGGCATCCTTCTTGCAAAACAGGAAAGGGGAGGGGATTAAATATCAATAAACATCACACTTACAAAATACATGCAAAAGGAAAAGAAAAAAGAGGGGCTTTTTGTGTGGGGTGGGGGAATGACTCTCTGCCAGCCTTTCTCAACCTGTGGGTCCCCAGATGTTGTTGAACTACAACTCCCATCACCCCTAGCTAGCAACATCTGGGGACCCACAGGTTAAGAACCGCTGCAAGCAAGCACACACCAAAAAGGAAAAGCAATAACGTTTACAGAAACTTGCCACTGCAAACCTCACCTTCTCAAATCCGATAAATAATATCAGTATCTACTAAACAGCAATAAATAAAGCTTATCCATTGCAGCCCTTGGGCTTCTTTGGGGTGAAGGGCAGAACATAAGACTGAATAATAAATAAACATTTGATAAATAATAAAATGCAATGCAAGAGAGAAAGGGGGAGACTTCTTCCAAAACAGTAGGGTGGCTCTAGCAAACAGTACCCTTTCAAACAAGGAGGGAAAGCCATTAACGTTTGCACTGCCCATTACAAACGTCTCCCTTCCCAATTTATTTATGAATAACAAGTTCTCAATTACAAAATGCATGCCAAAAGTGGGGGTGGGATAGGTTTTTCTCTAAGAGAAAACAAATGAATTGAATGCTTTAATTTTTTTATCGTGCTGTGCTGAAAACTGTCTAAGCAAACACACACATACATCCCCCGCCGCCAAGTGGGGAACCCCCAAAACATTTGCCCATTGCAAATCTCATTTCCCGGTTCATTAATACGTATTAAATATCAATAAATATCAAACTCACCCCTTACAGACTTCTTGCAAAAAACGAGTTATTATTTATTAGTTTAAAATATATATTTCCTTTAAAAGGGAAGGACGCCTGGCTTTCTAAATGCAACCCCTTCCCCTCCCCAAAAAGAGGAAAACATTTGCCCATTGCAAACCTCTTGCCTTCAATTCATTAACACACATTAATATATCAAGATCACCCCTTGCAATTTGCATGCAAAAAAAAGTGGGGAGGAGAAAACGTTTCCTAGTCTAAGCAAACACCCTTCCTCAAAAGAGAGAAAGCGGCGGGGGTGGAGGGGGAAGGAAGAAAAGACACGAAACAAACAAGCACACATTTGCCCACGCTTGTGACCACTGCAAGTCCTGCCACCCCAATCTACATAACGGCCGCTATTGCCACCATTAGTCCCGCGGGCGCCCCACCTGCTCTTGTGGAGACTCGACATGGTGAAGGCCGAACAGGAGCCTCCGCCGCCGCCTCCTCCTCCGCCTCCTCTTCTGTTCCCTTCTCCCACTCGCAGGACTCGCGGAGCCACTGGCGAGCAGCCCAGCACCAGCCAGCTCCATTCGCGGCGGGCAGAGACTCCGCCCGGCGAAGGGGAATGTGAAGATATAAATCAAGGGAGAGGAGGAGGAGGAGGTGCCCCAGGGAGGCTGGCCTGCCTAATTGGGCGGGAGGGGAAGGGGAGGTGGGCGCCGGTGATAGTCCTACTCAAGAGTAGACCCGCTGACAATAAGGGCTATGGCAAGCTTAAGGTAAAGGTAAAGGCAAGCTTAGGCCTTAATTAATTTGAAAGGGTCTGTCTGTGGAGGACTAGTATCAAATGCAAGCCACAATAAACAAAGAGGTGCACACCACTCAGAAATCAATAGGACCTAAATTAGTCCTATATCGAGTAGGCCCACTGAAACTGAGGGACTAAGGAGTAGCTTAGGTCTTAGTTCCAGTGGGTCTGCCCTGAGGAGGACGAGCATTACATGCAAGCCTTTATAAATAACGAGCCACCTATACAACTCAGAAATTAATATGACCTAGATTAGTCCTACTTAGGGTAGAACCATTGGGTTGTAGCTATTAATTATACCATTAATATTAGTATTTAGTATTAAATGTATTACACTCTTCCAAGGCAGGTTCCAACAATTTAAAATTCAGAATTAAAAACAGTTAAAATATATTACAATTATTCACTAGAACATATTGCATTCATGTTACTTCTACTAAGAGTATACTTATTTAAATTAATGGACATCTAACTTTGCTCCATTAATTTCAGTGGGGTCTATTTAGCGGGATGTAATTTTCCTATTTTTTTATACCTCTTAGCTTTATAAAGAAAAAGAAACTAAGCCATTTGAGTTCAATTCAGTGGTTGTCATAATGTGGATGCACTAAAATTAATGAACATAAAGTGGTACCTCGGGTTAAGTACTTAATTTGTTCCGGAGGTCCGTTCTTAACCTGATACTGTTCTTAACCTGAAGCACCACGTTAGCTAATGGGGCCTCCTGCTGCTGCCACACTGCCAGAACACGATTTCTGTTCTCATCCTGAAGCAAAGTACTTAACCTGAGGTACTATTTCTGGGTTAGTGGAGGCTGTAACCTGAAGCGTATGTAACCTGAAGCATATGTAACCTGAGGTACCACTGTACCTGGTAATTCCATTCTTTTTCAGTGGTTCTACTATGAATTGGATATATTCCTTTATTTTTAAAATGCCCCTTAATATATCCCTTGTGATACCTTAAGACTTGCAGTGCAGTCCTACTAGCGTCTACTCAGAAGTAATCCCCAGTGAGTCAACAGAACTTACTCCTAGGCAAGATGTTTAGAATAGCTGATGAAGGCTTACCTGGCAGTAAGTCCCATTGAATTAAATGGGCATTCTGAGCAGACATACATAGGAATAAGCTATAACAGGTTTATTGTCACAAAGGTTTGGTGAACTAGAGAGGACACCTCATTAGATGAATGATTATTATCATGCCCTACTCTAGTTGCTCGCCAGCCCTACATACCCCCCCACACCTTGCCAACCTGTCACCCAAACCTCTATAGTATTTCTTTACCTGAAGGAGTGTCTTTACCTAAATTATACCTGAAGGAGCATCTCCACCCCCATCGTTCTGCCTGGACACTGAGGTCCAGCGCCGAGGGCCTTCTGGTGGTTCCCTCATTGCGAGAAGTGAGGTTACAGGGAACCAGGCAGAGGGCCTTCTTGGTAGTGGCGCCTGCACTGTGGAACGCCCTCCCATCAGATGTCAAGGAAATAAACAACTATCTGACTTTTAGAAGACATCTGAAGGCAGCCCTGTTTAGGTAAGTTTTTAATGTTTGATGTTTTATCCTGTTTTTAATGTTCTGTTTAAAGCCGCCCAGAGTGGCTGGGGAAACCCAGCCAGATGGGCAGGGTAGAAATAATAAATTCTTCTTCTTCTTCTTCTTCTTCTTCAGCCCCCCCAGCCTCTCAAGGTTGCTCTGTTTTTCTCTTAATCCTGCTTAATTCTGTCATTTTAAAACCTGCTTTGCTCTCCTCCCTCACCATTGAGTTAATGCAAATCCTGGATTGTGATGAGGTACTACAAGTCTTTCAGTGATGTGTGATAATAACCTTATATTATTATGCATATAGGAAGAAACAATTTTTAAAACCCTCCTAGTTCTAGAGTTCTGGGGACTCTCCAAACTGAAATAACTATTCTATTGCAATTCGTAGAATATTTATCACCAAACTTGTATGTTGAGGCAGGCCCTAAACCCAGTTTAAGAGTTAACGAAATAGGAAACTTGCTTTTATTCAAGCCCAAAGTATCCTAGGAGAGCTGTCTATGTAGCATGAAGTTTGATAGATAGGGTAGAACAGAGACTTGTCCTGCTCACAGGTGCCTTACTTAGATGATTGTGTCCTAGAACTGCTGTTGTGAAAGATCACTGTGCTTTTATGCGTGCGTGTATTTGACTTAAATTGTATTGCCAATTTAAATTGAATTGTCACAGACTTTTTTTTTGGTATCTCATTGCTATTTAACCCCACTGTTTACATCCCCCCTCCCACAGGTTTGCTAAGTGTAACACTTAATGCATTTAAATAATGGACTGTACACCATGAGAGCCCATTACATTAAAAATTGGTTAAGTCTTTACAGGCCTTCAGGACTCTGTTGTTTGCTTTGCAACAGACCAACAAGCCGTTATGCCCCTCTGGTTGCTGTAATACAGTGACAGGGTCACAAATATAGTAAGCCCTCTACTTATGCAGGGGTTGCATTATGGGGATCGCACTTAAAACCAAAATTGTGTATAGTCAGAACACATTTGGTGTAGGTGCCAATAGGCTCTGTATTAGTATAAGCCCAACTGAACTACAAGGATTCTGGTGTGAAAGATGGAAACATAAAACTGCTATGTGGAATTGGTAACAGGCTGGATTTGGGTAAATAAACTGCAGCTGAAGCTTGACAAGTTGGTATGGGGGCTCCCTTTGGAACTGGTGTGGGGAACATTTGGTCCTCCAGCTGTTGCTCCCATTAGCCTTAGCTAGCATGGCCAACGGCCAGGTCGCTGTGATAAAGGGGAAATCTCCTTTAGAGGTCACATTCACACCATACACTTAACTGCACATTTAGAGCACACACTCCCATCAAGTATCATGGGAACTGTAGCGTCACCCTCACAAAGCTACAGTACAGTCCCTCAGCAACCTGGACAAACTACAGTTCCCATGATTCTTTGCTGGGTGAGGCGGTGGAAGCCAAAGAGCTTCAGAGGTTTATAGTGTGGATGTGCGATCCAAGTCTGCGAGGTGAAATGGGCGGGTCGGAACCCTCCGCTCGTAGCCTTATTTTCTGGGAGGGGAGGGGAGAAAGACACGTCATTCTGATTCTCTAGGAAAGGAGAGGAGACCGGCTGCCGGAAGTGACGTTGCGATTTGTTGACAGCGGCTGGTGCTGCTGCTGCTTGCGGCGGGGTGGAGAGAGCGATCGAGAGAGAGAGAATTGGGAAAGAAAGAGAGGGGACCCGGGTGGGAACTAGGGACTCCCCCCGCAGCTTTTCTTTCGCTTAATCTCTATCCAGCCCCCCCTCCGCCCCTTCTCTCTTATCCCTACCGGAAACGGAACCAACTCCAACCCGGACACTCTCTTTCGTCCAGGGAGCCGGGGAGCCAGGTGAGTGCGCGTGTGACTGATGGGGAAGGTGGAAGTGGTACCCTGGGAGCAATTCCTGCATTGCTGGGAGGGGCGGAGGACCCGCTGGGATCCACCTTGCTGCAACGGGGCGGGGGCGGAGATTATGGGCAGCACCCCCCCTTCCACCCCACCCAAATTGCATGGGAGCTACTCGCTGCAAGGGCGCAGTCGGTGGGCCCAGTGGGTGGGTTGGCGAAACCTCGAAACCCCGCCACTGGAAGGATATCAAGCCCCTTGAGACCCACCTGTTGAGAGGAGGGGTCACAGCTGATCCATCTGGGATCTGCCGGTGGCAAGGGTACCAATATGTGCACATTCTTCAGAAAGCTAGTACTGTAACCCATATCTCACCACAACCTTGAAATTCCATCACTGGAAAATCTCAGCCTTGAGGCCCACTTGTTGAGAGGAGGGGTTGACAAATGATGCATTGTCCAAAATCCATCTGTGTTTTGCCTATGGCATATGTGCCAAGGCAGATATCTGTGCAGGTTCTGTTGCTGGGAATGGGGGAGACTCACAGGGAAAGTGGCACACAGCACCTTTCAGACAGCTTTGCCTCAGGATCCACTTGGGGTGAGTGAGTGTTCATAGGGCACTAGTGGGGACCTACAGCCCTCCGGGTATTGTTGGACTTCAGACCCATCAACCCCATGGCCAATGGTCAGGGATGATGGGAGTCGGAAGTCCAGATGCATCTGGAAACCAAAGGGTTTTCCACCTCTGGTGCAGGATATAGTAATGCTGTTCCTAAACTACAAGTAGCATGTAACAGCAGTATATAAGATGAATAAATAAATATTCCTTAAAACGAGAGGAACCTTAGAATCCACTTGTCCCATAGGAAAATGTGGTGTCTACCCACTATAATCTGGTGCTGTGGGCTCTGTGTCAGCTGAGATGCCTCAAAATATAATGCATAGAAAGGACTCTCCTGGTAAATCCATTTCCCCAATACTCCCTCCTGCAGATAAATATACTTATTGATCAGTTGCAGAAAATAGACTGGTTTAGTTTTTAAAAGTTGTATTGGAAGGCACTATGTGTATGCAGAATGGCAGGAATGTTGAGGGTGGAAAAAGAAAACACAGAGGATGGTGTGGAGTGCCTAATGGCTGCTGAATGGTTATAAAATGTCCAAATGCCCACTTGGAATTGAGGAGGACAAAAAAAAGTAGATGTTAGTGGTGGATCAAACAGTTACCTTTGCCCAGAGCAACTCTTTAGGACTTAAATTGCTGTTTTTGAATGTCATGCATTTATTATTGCATTTCTGTTCCTGTCTTTTCTACATGGAGTTCTCCTTTTCTCGTCACAACAACCCTGTGAGGTTGGTTGGGCTAAGAGATTTGTGATAGACCCCAGGTCACTCAGTGAACTTCATGACAGTGTGTGGGGATTCAAACCTGACATTCTAATCACTACCCTGATTCTGTGTACGCTTGATCTGCAGAAATTAGCACCATGAGGCTCTTCACAGCCTGGAGATAAACCTTATGCCACCTGCTAATTTGCTGCAGATGAATGGCTGATAAACGTCAGTTACAGATGATACTTGTAAAGTTGGCAACTCTACGTGTTGTTAAACAGAGTGTTCAACAGTGCTTGTGTATGAAACTGACGTACCATCCCATTTAAATCAATTACGATGGTACATACAGATCTCAAGTTAATGTGTAATAAGGGCTTGAAGAATACTAGTGCATCAGGTTTAAATCTGATGTTGCAGGGTTAGTCTCATTCTTTTCCTCCTGTATCTTATATCTACATCATTTGGAAGGAACACACATAGATTTGAGTGGAAAACTGACTTCTAACACACATGCACTAAGTAACATATTCTGAAATAGCTTCAGACTTTCATGCAGAGGGAAGGTGAAGAGGCAGGTTGCCTTTGATTTGTTCCAAGTTTTTTGTTTGTGGGGATCCATGGGAACATCAGCAGGAAGGTCAAAGCACTTTCCTCTTCAAAACTGTAGGCTCTGCTGGAATCTAATGGTCTGGTTTAGTCCACTCTGGATGTTGGTCTGTGTTGCTGTCTTCTTCCACCACACCTCCCTTCTTGACTGCAACTGCAGCATTGGCTGCAGCGATGACTTATGATCATGCAATTCTGTCGCCCTGGCTAGGAAGGTTACGCAGCTTATAAAAGAGTGCTAGGTTGTCAGAAGGCTATAAAAGGGATTTACTCAGGTGCACAGTTTACTTGAGGTTGGCACAGCCTGCCTTGAGAAGCAGGAGTAGCACTAGACTTCAAGTCTTTGGGCAAGTAGTAGAGCTGCAACCTTTTATCAGTTACAAGGCCATAAGAAGAGAAGTGCTGGACCAGGCCAGTGATTCACCTGGTCCAGCATCCTGTTCTCACAGTGGTCAATCAGATGCTCCAATGGGAAGCTCACAGCCAGGACCTGAGCACAGGAGCTTTCTGCCCACCTGCAATTGCCAGCAAGTGATATATTTCCTCCAACAGGTCAAACATAGTTATTATGGCTAATAGCCACCACTCAGTTAAAACCCGTTTTCCTTAACTAAAAAGGCACACACAGTTAATTAAGCAGTGCATTTTTAGGAAGGTTACTTATTTTTAAAATAAGTATTTAGTGCCCGCCATCTTTTTATATCTTGGAAGAGAATCCAGTGTGCTATGGGGTGCAGTTCAGTGTTTTGCTTCCTGCACCTTGGGATCAGATTACCTAAGAAATTGCCTCGGCCCCGTATCCTTGCTGGTCAACTTTGTTGCTCAGGTGGGACATTGCTGAGAGTACTGCATGCCCCAGAGGTGTGCTATGTATGCAGTAAAGGCTAGGCTTTTAATGTTGCAGCTCCAGCCATCTGGAATGAGTTCCCACCTGGAATTAGAAAAGTGCTTAATGTCTTGATATTTAGGCGCTGGATGAAAATGGTTTTGTTTTTTAAAAAGCTTTTATTAAAGATTTTATTGGGTTAGAAAAGTATTGCTTTGTGTCTATTTTCAGGTTGCAAAGTCTTTTCTATGGATAAGTTACATTTGATGTGAGCCATTAATGTTGTATACAATATAAGGTTGGGGGAGAAGAGAGCTGGGGAGAGAGATTGAGGGGACGGGTGGTAGTAAACTTACATTCTTTTACTTAGTGTATGTGTGAGGTTTTTGTGTCATCGTCACTTGGGTAGATTCTCTTTCTTTTCACTTATTAGTTTTCATTGGCAGTTAGAAAGTTTTTTTGGGGGAGCCCAGGGCATGGTTGGTTACCTTCAGTTGACTGCAGATTTCTTTGTGGTGGGGTTGTTGAGTCAAGTTAAGCATATTGATTTGTGTGCTAATGGGTTCTTGTTGTCTTGTTGGACTGTGTGTGTAATAAAGGGCAGCTACTCTGGGGCGAATGCGTCCTCTTTTATTTGTCCCCTTTTCAGTTTCAGTATGTTGGTTAGCTTTTCTAGGAAGGCTGTTTCCCATACAATTTGGTACCAGTGGTCCATGTTCACTCGTGACAGGTCTCTCCAGTGTCTGGCTACGATGCTTCTGGATGCTGAGAGTAGGTGGGTTATAAGCTCTTCATAATGTGTGTGCTATTGTCTTGGAAAATATTCAATAGGACCAGTTCTGGGGTGGCTTCTGTTAGTTACTTTGCATATTTCTTGTAGGACAAGAAGGGTTAGATTTTGGGGTAATCGCATAACATGTGGACCTCACAGCTACCGGGAACAGTGTTGAACTTACCCTTTTCTTGAATCTTCTTGAACTTATTTAAAAAACAAGAAATAACGAAAAACTGAGTCAAGAATTTCTAAGAACCTAGTAAAATCTGATATTGCAAGTTCACTTTATTTTAGGTAGTTTGTAAGTTTTCTTGGCACTTTGTAAGTAATTGTCTCTTTCTCACATATTTGATAAACGGTGTAAAAGTTTGTAATGTTGTGCATATTTTTTCTTTTTTCTTTTATTAACACTGCTTTTTAATACACTCTCTTTCTTTCTTTCTTTCTCTCTCTGGGCTACTAAGATAGTCACTTACACATTATTGAAAAAGACAGATGTAAGGACACATTTGCATAAAATGTGCATATGCTGATCTATACCTGTATATGCAAATTTAGAAATAATGACTATAATTTGAATAGAAAGAAAGGTACAGCTCACCTCAGTGGGGTATTGGGAAGACTGTGAGCAGCAGCCTGCTTGCTTACTCTACTGCCCAGCTGTTTTCTGCTGATGTTCCTCTGCTTCCTGGGATTCTTCCCCTTTAAGCCAAAATTGGACTTCAAAAAAGGCAGCTCTTCAAAATAAGAGCCTTCCAATAGAGGCCTCTTCTCTGTAAAGCAGGATACACGCCTCTTCATCAAACTACCTCTCAGGTTGTGAGATTAAAATTGAGGGGGAACAATGTATGCTAGCCTATGTTCCTTGGGGAGCAGCAGAAGAACAATGTAATAAAATAAAGTTGTGTGTGTGTGTGTGTGTGTGTGTGTAATTTTAATGTTGCTTGAATGGACTGGAGGCTCCTTCCCCAACCTGCTGCATTCCAGACTTTGCTGGACTACAGTTCCCGTTAGCCACAGTCGAGGAGTAGGGGGGTTGTAGTTCAAGGCATCTGGAGCGCACCATGTTGTCTACCCCTCCTTTGTGTCCCTTAAAATACCCCATAAAGTCCCCTTTGCCCCCCCACCCCCGTTTCATTAGACATTTAGTCAAGGTTGAGTTTTGGTATCCAAGACTACCACACACCCATCCCTGTTTGGTCTGCCTTCAGGCCACTGAAACTAAATCTTTGTTTGGCTTGAGGGTGGGAAAATATTGCAAGGACTTCTGTGCTTTGTGGTGGAAAATGTCCCACCCCACTCTCTGATTTATCTTCTTCTCTCCACCCCGCCGCCATCGGCCTGCAGCATTCCCGCAAAGTCCAGTGGGGAATATCCCTAAAACAAAGGAACAGGAACTCCAGGTGGGGACGAAGAAGCACTTTTTTTGCCCCACATTTGCCCCTTCTCCCTCACTCTCCCTGGTCTTCCCCTGTTCACTGCCACAAGATGGCTTCCGACAGCCCAGACCCTCTGATGACCCTCTGCACAGATTATTGTCTTTACAACTTGGAGGGGACTCTTTGCTACTTGCTGGACAACGAGACACTCCGTCTCCACCCAGACATCTTCCTGCCGAGTGAGATTTGTGACAGACTTGTCAATGAGTAAGTTTATTTATTTATTGTATTTGGGAACACCTTATCTTCAATATCCCAGCCTTGTCACTTCAGTCCCTAGCAGAGAGACGCTTCTAAAAGAACCTGCCTTACACAGAGTCAGACCCTTGCTCCATCTAGCTCTGCATTGTATGGCTGGAAATGGCTCTCTGGAGTGTCAGGCAGGAGTCTCTTCCACTTGAGATGCTGGGAGTTGAACCTGGAATCTTGTGCATGCAAAGCATATGCTCTGCTGCTGAATTTCTTACTAGTGCTGCTCATTCCTGAGGTTCATGGTAAAGTCTTGAGCACGGTAGCACATGCTTCAGAAAACGCACATAACTTCTCTCAAAGAATCCTGGGAACTGTAGTTTGTTAAAGGTAGTGGGAATATAACTCTGTGAGTTTACGGCCCACAAAGCTACAATTTCCAGCACCCTGAACAAATTACAATTCCCATGATTATTGGTTGAAGCTGTGTGCCTTAAATGTATGGTCTGGATGTGACCACTGTATTTAAATTTCTTAAGTGCCCTAATATATAAGGCTTACACATGAGTAGCAATGTATCCTTTTTTGTATTTAATCTTCATGACTTACCCTGTGAGGTAGTGTAGGTGGAAAAATTCTGTTCGTTCAGGAAGGAGCCATGAAGGACTTCAGGGCTAAGCAAAGATTTGGATCCTTATTTCTGGCGGCCAAACCCAAGCCCCTCTGTCTGCTGATGTTTAATTAACAAAAAACGCTCAGATCGTTTCCCCACCTTGATCTCTGTCTCTAAACATAGGTATGTGGAGCTGGTAAACGCCGACACTATCTTTGAGCACAATGAGAACTTCTTCACGCTCTTCTCGGATCCACGGAGCACCAGGCTGGCAAGAATCCATTTGCGGGAGGATATTGTGCAAGATCAGGACCTGGAAGCCATACGAAAACAGGTAGGAACAGAAGAAGCCAATTTGTAGCATTGAACCATTGGTCCCTTGAACTCAGCATTGTCTACACTGACTGGCAGTGAATCTTGCTGGTTCAGGCAGGGGTCTCTCCCAGTCCCACCTGGAGAGGCCATGGGGGATTGGACCTAGGACCTTCTGCATGCTAAGTAGATGCTCTGCTGCTGAGCTGTAGGCCCTTTCCCTAAAAAATAAAATCACATTCTAGTCCTCATGATTCTGAATAAAGAGCTGAATTAAATAGGAATAGAAGTCTTTTCCCAGCCCTACCTAGAGATGCAATGGTGGATTGAACCTAGGACCTTCTGCATGCAAAATAGTTGTTTTATGACTGAGCAACAGACATTCCCTCTGTTTGGCATCTTCCACAGAAGGCACCACTCTCCAGGACACAGGATCGTTCCCAAACCTAATCTTTCATAGGGACATGAGAAGCTGCCTGAAACCAAGTCAGCCGAACTTTTCTAACTTTTCACTCTACCTTTCCGTCCCTTAGGACCTGGTCGAATTATTCTTGACAAACTGCGAGAAACTGACAGCCAAGAGCCTCCAGACCCTGGGCAGCTTCAGCCCCACCCTTGTCTCCCTCAGCCTCTTCGGCTGCACCAACATTTTCTATGAGGAGGAGAATCCAGGGGGCTGCGAGGATGACTTAAACCCAACCCGCCAGGTCTTGGTCAAGGACTTCACATTTGAGGGCTTCAGCCGCCTGCGGTTCCTCAACTTGGGCCAGATGACCAAAGGGGTGAATGTGGAGAGCCTGCTCCGACCTCTGGCTTCACTGACTGCACTGGACCTCTCTGGGATCCAGCTCAACGACATCTTTTTCCTCACCCAATGGAAGGACAGCTTGGCTTCCCTGGTGCTTTACAACATGGACCTCTGTGAGGAGCATGTTCAGGCCATCGCCCAACTGCGCAAGCTCAGGTCAGCTGGTGGTGCTGTTGACCCGCTTGTTTTTGCAGCCACTTTGCCCCGCCTTTAGTAGCCTGGCTGGACTAGCACCCCCATCAGTCCCCAGCCTGCATGTTTTTTTTACTACAACTGCCAACAACCCCCAGCCTGCATGGATGGTTGTTGTAGTCCGAAACACCTGGAGAGCACTGAGTTGGCGAAGGCTGGGTTGACCTGATTGTTAACTTCTCCATCCAGGATAGAGCCAACTTGTGGAACTTGTCGCCACAAGATAATGCCTTTCTAATTGATTGAATTTCTACCCCAAAGATGTGACTGTTTTTGCAGGCATTTAGTCCGGGCTCCTCCACCCTGCTGTCCTCCAGGTGCTTTGGACTGCAACTCCCATGAGCCCCCAGGCAGCATGTGCTTAAATGCTTTCCTTGCTGTAAGCCAAAGCTCAAGGTGATCCTTAGAATAGAGCCATTGAAACCAACAGCACTTCTCTGAGTATAACTTATTTGACTATTACCCTATAAAACCTATGAAAATCCAATGTTTACTCACAGTAAGAACCTTCTAAAAATAACTGTAGCAGAACTGCAGAAGGAATGAGCTAGAATAGATATATTTAGGTGCCAGGCGAAAACCTTCCTCTTCAACCAGCCCTTTGGCTGATTAACGTCTGATACCCTTTCAAAAGTGCTATGGGAGGGGGGATTATTGGTTTGTTTTTGTTCTTATTTTTATTACATAGTTTGTGTTTTTATACTGTATTTTTATGTTGTGAACTGCCCTGAGATCTATAGATGAAGAGCGATATACAAACTAACTAACTAAATAGATAAATAAATACCATTTTCTAATATATGTGGCAATGGAAGGGGTTGGGCACACTCTGCAATTTGCGTAGCTGCCAAGAAGTAGCCATTGCAAGTGCAGTGTGAGGGGCAGCAGGCCAGCTCATGTGAACTGTTTAATGGAGGGGGAAGGCGTTGTGGGGGGGATGTTGGTTAGGTGTAGATGAATGGCAAAGAGTAAGAGGGGCTGGTGAGCAGGAGCCACAGCCCCTAGTAATAAATATTATTATCATAACAACATAAGAAAAGCCCTGCTGGATCAAGCCCCTGGTCCGTCTAGTTCAGCATCCAACTGCGTGTCTCTGGGAAGCGCACAAGCAGGACCTGAGCACAACACAACTGCTCCCACTTGTGATTCCCAGCAACTGGTATTCAGAAGCATTTCTGCTTCCCAGCCATGGTAGCGGAGGATAACCATTGTGGCTGGAGCCATTGATAGCCTTGTCTTCTTCCATGCATTAATCTAATCCTCTTTGAAAGCCAGCCAAGTTAGTGGCCATCATTTCTTCCTGTGGGAGAAAGTTCCATAGTTGAACCATGCATCGCCCTGAACATTCAGTTTCATTAGATCCCCCCCCCCCCGCAAAAGTTCAAGTGCCTTTCTCCTTGCCATGCATAGTTTTACACACTTCTATCTTGCCGTCATGCTTCTGTTCTTCCTTGTTCCCAGGCACTTGGACATCTCCAGGGACCGCCTCTCCAGTTATTACAAATTCAAATTGACCCAGCGGGTCCTGAACCTCTTTGTGGAGAACCTGGTCAACCTCACCTCTCTGGACATCTCTGGCCACATCATGTTGGAGAATTGCTCCTCTTCTAGTGAGGATGAGAAAGTGGGCCAGACAAGGTGAGTCAAATGGGACCTATCTTGGTGGCTTCAAACAGGGGTAGGGGAACCTGGGGCCCTCCCAGATCTTACTAGACTCCCAACAGCTCACATCAGCCTCCAGCAGCTAGTATGGCCAGTAGGTCAGGGATGATGGGAGCTGTAGTCCATCAACGGTTGGAAGGCCACAGGTTTGCCATCCCTGATTTAAGAAGGAGCATTCCATACTGCGTGCAAGAAATGGAGGAATGCCACTATTTAGAAGACACATTCCTCATGAGGGAACCTCAGAAGTGGGGAACCAGTGGGTGCTCACATATTATTGTACTCCAACTCCCATCAGCCCCAGCCATCATGGTCATTGGCCAGGATTTATGGGAGTTGGAGTCCCACCATGTTTGGAGGGTAACAGGGTGCCCATCCCTGCTGAAGACAACTAAATGGGCACTTGCCTGACTCTGGTTGATGTGCACAGAAGACTGGAATGAGCCACAACTCAATCCACACGTTCCTCTTTTTTGAGCGCTGAGGGTCCCAGGCTCAACCCTGAGCATCTCCCAGTTAAAAGGTTCTTGGGGGAGCTGAAGGCATAACCTTGGAGAGCTGCTGCCAGTCAGAGTCATACTAGCCAGACTGACGAGCGGCCTGCTTCTTTTGGGTGAGGTTTTTCATGTCTTTCCTATTTTCCCCCAGCATCAGCCCTGAAATGAGCAGCATCACCCCCTTCAGGAACCTGAAGCAGCCTCTCCAGTTCCTGGGCCTTTTCGAGACCTCCCTTTGCCATCTCTCACACATCCCAGCCTACAAGGTAAAGCAAGAATAGACGGCAACAAGTATTCATAATAACTATATCTGCTACTGAGGCATCTTTTTAGCTGAGGGAAAAATATTTTTAATCGTTTGGCAAAATAACACAGCTCATAGATGCATATTAGGTCTTCTTGAGGAATGTGATCTCCATGGATTCTGAAAGGGACTGATCTGATTTGTGCCAATGTGTTCAAAAAACATAGCTCTCAATCAGATTTCACACCCACACTCACAAACACATAGGCTACACTGGGAGATCATTATATTATTCACATAGTGCCATCCATAATTTGGTAACATAAACAAATTACTGACCCCACAATCTAATCTGCTCCCATCAGCGATTTCAGTGGTCTTAAGTAGAAAATACCTAAAAGTTTTTCTCACCCTTTATATACTCAGTTGAACACTGCACTCTGCAGGTGAGGGCCTCCTGCAGATACTGTCTTCTCAGGAGATCCATTAGCCACAATGTAGGAATTGGGCCTTTAGTATAGCAGCACCTGCACTTTGGAATTCTGTCCCATTAAAATGTTAGACAGGTGCATTTTTTATTGCCTTTTCAGCACCTGCTGAAGACCTTCCTATTCCAACAAGCACTTTAAGTTGAGATCTTTCTGTCAGTCTGCATCTGCACTGAAGTTGTTTTTAAACATTATTTTAAACATGTTAAAGCTGTTTTATTGCTTGTCGTTTGCATCTCTGGACCCCTTTGGGATCCAAAATATATAAACAAAATAAGTGAAACATGTGCGGCTGGTTGGGGATTTGAAGCCAAGTCTTCCCCATCCCAAAAGCCAATGCTCTACCCACTGCCCTACACTTCACACCTCCAGTGCCACCTCTGAACTGTCCCCATTCTCCATGACAGGTTACTGGGGGCAAGAGTGAAGAGCAAGTGCTCAACGCCATTGAGGCATATACCGAGCATCGTCCTGAGATCACGTCTCGAGCCATCAACAACCTTTTTGACATCACTCGTATTGAGCACTGCAACCAACACCTGAGAGCCCTCAAGGTGAGCAAGTTGTAGTCTTTTATTCTGAACCATGAGGACTAGGAGACTGAGAGGAGATACAATAGCCATCTTCAAATAGCTAAAAGGTGTCACATAGAATATAGAGCAAGCTGGTTTTCTCCTGCTCCGGAGGGTATGACCCAAACCAATGGATTCAAGTTACAAGAAAGGAGATTCCAGCTAAACAAAAGGAGCAACTTTCTGACAGTGAGAATGGAATAGTGGAATGGACTCCCTCGGAAGGTGTGGGAACTCCCCTTCCTTGGAGGTTTTTAAGCAGAGTTTGGATGGCTGTCTGTCATGGATGCTTTATTTGATATTCCTGCATTGCAACTGCAATTCTATGATTCTTTTATTCTCTTTTTTGAGAAGGGCCATAGCTCGGTAGTACAGCATCTGCTTTGTATGCAGAAGGCTCCAGGTTCAATCCCCAATGGAATATCCAAGTAGTGCTGGGGGTGGGAATACTCTATCAGAAAGCCTGGAGAGCTGCTGTCAGTCAGCACACTGGGACTAATGGTGTGATCTCGTAGAAGGCAGCTTACTATGTTTTAAGAGAAGGGTGATACCTCAGTGATAGAGCATCTGCCTTGCACGCAGAAGGTCCCAAGCTCAATCCTCAACAGCACCTCTGGGTAAGGTTTGGAAATAGACCTCCCTGTAAAAATCCTGTAGAGCTGCTGCTGGTCGGTGAAGACAGCACTGAGATTGATTGGTATAAGACAGCTTCCAATGTTCTTACTTAATTCAGCCCTCTATTCAGGGCTGGACTAGAATCCAGGAGGACTAGAACCTTGCTTTATTTAGAAGGAAAGGTAGATAATCCGCTTTGCATGCAAATGGTCCTGGGTTCAGTCCCCCGACTGAAAGCAGCAACAACAGCAGATACCTATTATATTCACTGGATTGGTTTCCATTCCGAATACGGGATGAACAGCCAAATGCCGGCAATTTCTGTTGCTGTTTTCTGAGATCCCCACTGGTAGCAGCAACAGATAATCTTCAAAGCTTATACAAAGAGTAATTGCACCTCAGTGGAAAACAGCCCCAAATCAAACACTGGACCACTCACTCTGGAGCAGAGCTATAATGGAGAAAATTGTGCATAATTTGAGATTCTAACAAGGATTGGACCCTCCAGGTGCTTTCTGTCTGATCTGGCATTCCTTGACGACATAGACAATGGAACCATCGTTTTCAAGACAGCTCTCGTCACAAGCCGGGCAAATCTGAAACTAGACTTGATAATATTCTTTACGTATACTTTGTTATCTTAAACCAAGTTCAGTTGTGCTTATTCCACATGCTTATGTTAGTTTTGTTTTTTGTCTGTTGTTACAGCTGTTTTCTCTGTTTTATATGAATTTTTAAATGAAATATAAAAATCCTTATTTTTTAAGATCCCAGGGCGTTGTATAAGAGAGAACTTTTTCTCTGATCAGCCGGGGCTCTTACATTCTCATGGAGGAGAATCATAGACTTATAGAATTGTATTTATTTCATAAAATGTATACCCTGCTTGATTGTTGTGGTTTTTGTTTAAAAAAACCACCTCTAAAAGTGGTTTGCAAAAAAGCTAAAAATAAAATCAAGAAAAAATTGAATGACAATGGCATTTTCCTGCTCCGTTTCCACAGCTAGTTATAACAGCTCTGAAGTGCCACAAATACGATAAGAATATCCAGGTGACAGGAAGCGCCACTCTGTTCTACCTCACCAATGCAGAATACCGCTTGGAGCAGAGCATCAAGTTGCGGCGCCAGGTTGTCCAGGTGGTGTTGAGTGGCATGGAGTCTTACCAGGAAGTCACTGTAAGTGGTCACTGCCAAATTTATAATTTCACTGACATAATTGTGGGTCCTGGGTGGCCAGGTCTGCTGGGGCCCCCAAGAGTCAAGAGGTAGAGTCAGGGAGAGGGGCAGTGCGTCTTGCATCAGGAGTGGAGCCTGTTGCGGTGGAGTCTAGCAGGGGAAAGCATCTGATTGGCTGCTCCTGGTGGCTCAGAGGCAGAGCTGAGAGCAAAAGTTCTCAACTTCCTTGTGAAAAAATGCACCAGGATCAAAATGGGCAACAAATTAACTTGCATCTCCACTGATTTAAAATCCCCATGCCCAGTCTTACGAACAATCCAAGCAAGCTTCAGTTAATTATTAGCTGAAGCTTCTGATTTATTGATTGATTACTGCTGACTTTTTCAAGTGGTTCAGAGTTCTGCGCTTAACAAAGCCGCCTTCTACCATGTCAGAATATCTTCCTGACCGGCAGCAGCTCTCCGGTGTCTCTGGCAGACATGGAAAGCGCTGTGGGTTGGTGGGCAGAGCATCTGCACTGCAAACAGAAGGTCCCACGTTCAGTCAGGATCACCATGTAGGAATGTGGGAATGTTCTCTGCCTGAAACCTGGAGAGCCACTGCCAGTCACTGTAGACAGTGCTGAGCTCAGTGGGGTAACGGTCTGACTCAGTGAAAGGCAGCTTCCTTCTGGAAACTGGGGAGACTGCATTGCCCAAAGCTCACCTAAAGCAGGACAGCCCTTTCTGGCTGCCTGGTCACCACTACTTCCTCCCTTCTTCCCTCCCCCAGGTGCAGCGCAACTGCTGCCTGACTCTGTGCAACTTCAGCATCCCTGAGGAGGTGGAGTTCCAGTACCGGCGGGTCAATGAGCTGCTCCTGAATATCCTAAACCCAACGCGGCAGGACGAGTCGATTCAGCGCATCGCAGTGCACCTTTGTAACGCCCTGGTGTGCCAGGTGGACAACGACCACAAGGAGGCTGTGGGCAAGATGGGGTTTGTCATGGTGGGTTTTCGTGAACGCAACCTTCAGGCGTCTGCTCAATGCTAACGGAGGCTGAGCCAAAATTTCTTTCCAGGGCGCTTTCTGGATTCTTTTCCCACTTAAACCATACAGATTCCCTTATAGGCAACCTTCTGGGGCTGGCATGCCAGGGAAGCCAAAAGTGGTCAGGACCAGAGGCTGGAAGTGGGTGGGACCAGGGGATAAATGAGGGCATGCCAAGTGAATGATGGGCAGGGTCAACAGAGACATTGCCTGGTGAGGGAGATACAGCCTTGGCCAAGTTCTGGGGGGCCACATTGGGTGGGGGGAGAGAAGAAACTGATGGACAGCATTTGGCCCCTGGGCCTGCTTTATCCAGTGACCACCCCTTGTCCTCAATTATCCTAAACATTTACATAGCTTCTTTTTCCCACCAACAGACCATGCTGAAACTGATTCAGAAGAAGCTGTTGGATAAAACGGTATGACTCAGATCTGGTTTTCTGTCCTGCCCTCCCCCACCCCCCGCAAACCCCACAAGGTCACCAGAGCCAGGAACAAATCAAATCAAATAGTTTTAATCAAACTACAAAAGGCCGGTAGAGTGTGGTAAAGACCCCAGCCTGAAACCATGGAGAGCTGTTGCTAGTCAGTGTAGACTGTACTGATACTGATGGACCTTAATGGTCTGAATCAGAAGAAGGCACCTTTCTATGTTCATGTGACTTACAGATCACTCTGAGGATCTCCCAGGTAGCTCCAGATTTTACCTTCTTCCCCAAAGAACAAATCTTTCAAACATATTACATTTTCATTCCTGCCCCCTTCTTCCAAGGAAATGTATTGACTTTTCTCCAGCTTTCACCATCACAGCGACCCGGCAAAGTAGGATAGGTGGGGGGGCGGGTAGACTGTCCCAAGACTACCCAGTGACCTTCAGGGGGCAGCATCAGGATTTTAACCCTGGTGGTGCTGATCACACACACTGCTGCTGCTTTTGAGGGGGATGCCTCACTTTTTCCAGCATTCCAAAGTGCTGCCTCCAAAACCATGCTGTCCGTTGTCCCTGCCCACCACACTCCTATTGGTGGTGAGGACACAAAGAAGGATTTCCAGCCAAACAGAAGCCAGAGGCTGAAGCCCCTTAGAGACCCCAATAGATTGAATCTTTTTTTCCTTTTCCATTACTCCGGCAGTGTGATCAGGTGATGGAGTTCTCCTGGAGCGCCTTGTGGAACATCACGGACGAGACCCCAAACAATTGTGAAATGTTCCTCAACTACAGTGGCATGAAGCTCTTCTTGGAGTGCTTGAAGGTATGCAGAATTTCAAGCGCTATTAGTTACATGAACTACAGAAACAGAATAATCACATTCGAATGCCTGTCACTGGGAGTCACAAGTGTGGGGGAGTTGCTGGTGTGCTCAGGTCCTGTTTATAGGCTTCCCATTGGGGCATGAGTACAACAAAAGGCTTGGTTGCCCATATCCTCCTGAGGTGAGGGGAAGTGACATTGGCCAAGCCTGGCAGGACAACCTATTTCATGCATTAATTAACTCCTTCATGTATTAATTAGATTATTACCCTAGAATCTTTCATTTTTCCTCCCCTGTCTCTGTATGCCAATTGCTGGGAATCTCAGCAGGGGTAGGGGGAAGAGTGCTGTTGCACTCAACAACCTGCTTGTAGGATTCCATCTGATTGCCCACTGGGGGAACAGAATGCTGGACTAGATTGGCCTGTGGCCTGATCCTTCAGGACCCTTACATTCAACCTCCACTGTCAAAGGCAGTAGCTGGGAGTCATGAGTAGGATGAGTGTTGTTGTGCTCAGGTCCTGTTTGCGAGCTTCCCGGAGGTGTGATGTGCATAAACCTCTCCCACCCAAACTGAAACCTTCTCTCATGCATTCAGTAAATACACGGGGGTGGGATCACTGGAACACTCTCATGAATGGTATGCTTTGAAGCAATGTACCAGACGTGTGCACTGTGTCTGTGTGTGCATGGATATCTGTTGCCAAGAATGTTTTCTACCTCGGGTGGCAAAGTGTCTCACATTGGCCCCAAGTGAGAAGTGTGTTAGGGCAGAGGTGGGCAACCTGCAGGGCCCTTCATATGTTGCTGGACTCCAACTCCCATCAGCCTCCAACAAGCCTGGCCAAGAGCCAGGGATGGTGGGAGTTGGAGTCTAATCATATCTAGAAGGCCACAAGTCTCTCATCCCTGATCTAAAAAGCAGCTTGCAAGCAATGCAGAAATGCTTCTTTCTGGTTCAGATTCCCCACTGCTGATCTAAGAAGAGGCATTTCCTTCTCAAGAGATGCAACAATGTCTCTTGATTCTTCCCCTTATGAGAAAGTGAAATGCCTCTTCTTAGATCGGGGTGGGGAACCTGTGGCCTTCCATATACTGCTAGACTCAAGCTCCCATAAGCCCCAGCCAGCAGGCATGTTGGGAGCTGTAGGCCAGGAACATGTAGTGGGGTCATAGGGTGACTTGCTGTAGGCTGGGAGGTTGGCATGATGACCATTTTAAATCCCTCTCCCTCTTCTGTTACAATCTTTGTTCCTTGCACCTGCCTTCCCTGCAGGAATTTCCCGACAAGCAAGAACTGCATCGCAACATGCTGGGCCTCCTGGGAAACGTGGCAGAGGTGGAAGAGCTCCGCCCACAACTGATGACATCCCAGTTCATCAGTGTATTCAGGTGGGTGCATCTTTTAGGGCTAAGTATCACCATCCTCTTCTGCTCTGGTAAAAGAGAATATCTGAAGGGATTGGCTGCTGGAATGGACCAAAGTGGCCCACTTAGTCCAGCCCCGTCTTCTTCAGTGGCCAGCTAGATGTCCCAACAGGAAACCCACAAGCAGAACCCGAGTGAAACGGCAGCACCTCATTCCCAGCAACTAGATTTCAGAGGCATCCTGCCTCCAGCGATGAGTGAATAAATAGAACATAAGAAGAGCCCTGCTGAATCAGACTATTGGCCATTTAGTATGGTACCCAGTCCTCACAGTGGTCAAACAGATGCACCAAGCTGGGCCCTCAGTGTGAAGGTACTCTCCCCACCAACTGGTATAGCAATGAAAAGCCATCAGTCAGGTGTGTGATTGGCCTCCCTTGCTGGGGATGTTTAGGTCTGCCCAACGAGCTGAGGTCTTTTCCCATGTCCCAACCACAGACAACTCAGATGTTGGAAGATTGCAGAGGAGAAAATCCTTTGGGAGAGGGTGGCTTTTTAGGTATCCAGGACCCAGGGCTTTAAAGGTTGATGCAGTTCAGCTTATACGTCTATTTTATACACGACAGCAACCTGTTGGACAGTGAAGCTGACGGCATTGAAGTATCCTACAATGCCTGTGGAGTCCTCTCCCACATCATGTTTGACGGCCCGGAAGCCTGGATGATCAGTGAGCCCCGCAGGGAGGAGGTGGTTGACCGGATGTGGGCAGCTATCCAGCGGTGGGATGTCAATTCCAGGAGGAACATCAACTACAGGTAGGCAGAGACTGGGCTGGGGAATCTCAGGCCCATGGACCAAATGTGACCCTCTCAGTTCTGGCCCTCAGGACTCTCCCCAGGACACCACCCTCAGGGGTACTGCTCCACCCCCCCCCCTTGAGTGCTTTTGCTAGGCTCGGACATATCCTTAAACTGCGATTCACTTCCCCTACCCACATTGGCCTGGAAAACCTTGTATTTTATTAGTTTTGTAATATTTTCCTTTACCATTTTTAAATGGTTATTGTTGTCATTGTTGTTTGACCTCCACAAAATACCTGCAGAATGTTAGGTTTCCCATTCTTTCTCCTGATCACTTTTTTACCCTGCTTTTTGTCATCTTTTCAGGTCTTTTGAGCCAATCCTCAGGCTCATCCCTCAAGGAATCTCTCCAGTGAGCCAGCACTGGGCTACGTGGGCCCTTTTCAACCTTGTGTCTGTCTACCGTAAGTCCCTCCTGAGAAACCTCTACTGCAGCAGCTGAGGTTTAGACTAGGTAGTTAAGAATGTTCCTCTAAGGAAATATCCGCACCAGATGTTAGAATCATAGAATTGTTAAGAGTTGGAAGGGACCACAAGGGTCATCTAGTCCAACCCCCTGCAATGCAGGAATCTTTTTGTCCAAAGTGGGGCTCGAACCCCATGACCCTGAGATTAAGAGTCTCGCACTGTATTGACTGAACTACCCCCTAGGCTTCACTTCCATGATCCCTTGCCATTGCTGGGGGGTTACTGGGAGTTGTTTCAGCAAGCAGTAGTTAAAATTAGTCACAGTTTAGGGTGTGAGAATGCATCACTGATGTATTTTCTTTGAAGCATTGCTAGGAGCCCATAGACATAATTTCAGTATTTCTGTTCTCATGTTTTCCTAGACTCTTTATGTATGTGATTGCAAATTGTGCAGACCACTTGGAGAGTTTGTTATATTAAGAGATATATGAACTATTAAAAAGAATGAAATGACTGAATGAAGATTTGCAAGACTGTAGATTCCCCTTCCTGCTCTAAAAAGCAGTGTTCCTTCCTGAATGAGATGGAAGGAGGAATGCCAGAAAGCATCTATTTAGAAGAGGCATTCCGTCCCAAGAGAGGTGGTTTCTCTTAGAGTGGGGGCAGCAGGTTTTTCTTTTACCTCCCAGATGTTGCTGGACCCCCAACTCCCATCATCTCAGAGGAAGATGGAAGTTGTGGTCCGAAAACAGCTGGAGGGTCACAGGTTCCCTAACTCTAATGTGGCATCTTATTTTAATCTCTGCTTACTTAATCTCTTATTTTAATCTTGTTTACTTCTTGCTCTTCAATTCCCTTCCCCTGCAAACATTCAGTTAAGAATAATGTGATAAAAATGGGAGGACAGGGAACCTTCAATGAAAAATAATTTTTTGAACTTACAGGATAACTTCTATGGATGTATCCAAACATTTTTTAGGATCATCAAGTAGGATGGTATTTCTCTTCCTTCTACCTTATTTTTATATCCTTTCCTGGGTAGAGTTCCTCTGCCCTCAATGAAGTCAAACCCAGCATCGGGAAGTGTAGACAGCCCCTCTTTTAAGAGCAAAATATGATCACTTTTCCTTTTATAATTCAGTGTAGTTGGGAGTACAGTGGTACCTCGGGTTAAGTACTTAATTCGTTCCGGAGGTCCATACTTACCGTATTTTTCGCCCTATAGTACACACTTTTTCCCCTCCAAAAATGAAGGGGAAATGTGTGTGCGTCCTATGCGGCGAATGCAGGCTCTCGCTGAAGCCTGGAGAGCAAGAGGGGTCGGTGTGCACCGACCCCTCTCGCTCTCCAGGCTTCGCGCACCTCTCCGCAAGCAGCGGGAGCCGGTGCTGGGCTCCCACAGCTTGCAGAGAGCTGCCTGTTCTGGGGGCTGGGGTCGGGGAAAGCTCAGGCTTCCCCTGCCCCAGCCCTGCACCTGGGGGAAAAAATATAATTCCCCCCCCTTTATTTCCCCCCCTAAAAAACTAGGTGCGCCTTATGGGACGGTGCGTCCTATAGGGCGAAAAATACAGTAACCTGAAACTGTTCTTAACCTGAAGCACCACTTTAGCTAATGGGGCCCCGTGCCGCCGGAGCCCAATTTCTGTTCTTATCCTGAAGCAAAGTTTTTAACCTGAAGCACTATTTCTAGGTTAACGGAGTGTGTAACCTGAAGCGTATGTAACCTGAAGCGTATATAACCCGAGGTATCACTGTAAACTCCTCTTTTCCCCTCCCCATTCACAGCAGACAAATACTGCCCTCTACTGATCAAAGAAGGTGGCCTCCTTCTCCTGAGCGACATGATCAAAATGGCATCAGCCCGGCCAGAAACGAAGGAGATGGGAAGGTAAGTCCTCTGGAGAAATAGGCCCCATCTGCACTATACATTTATATTGGTATCATACCACTTTTAAACAGTTGCTGCCTCCTCTAAAGAATACCGGGCCAGTAGCTTGTTAAAGGTGCATCTTCTGTTCCCTTCAGAAGAGCTACAATTCACAGAGATCCTTGGGAAGAGAGATCCGTTACTGAACCACCTTGGAACCTGTAGCTCTTTGAAGGGGAAGAGAGGTCTCCTAACCACTCTGGGCACCCTGAACAAACTATAGCTCCCATTATTCTTTGGGGGAAGGCACAGCTGTTTAAGGTGGTGTGATACTGCTTCAAGCTATAATGCAGATGCAGCCACGGAGCAGTGTGTCAATAGTGACTGACGACCACCTCCTTCCCTACAGACCCTCCCAGCTGTTAAGATCAGCAGAGGGGGCCCTCTTGGTAGTTCCACCTCCTTCAGATATTTGGGGCTGGCCTAGGAGAGGGCCTTCTCTGTGGCAGCCCCTAAGTTGCGGAGCTCCCTCGCTGCAGAGATGCGTCTGGCACTTCCACTATGCAGCTTCCGGCGGCGGATGCTGAAGGCGCATCTCTTTACCCTGGCCTTTGACACCTGAGATGTTTTGGAGACCCGCTCTATTCCTATGACTGTAATCTGTTTTTAATTATGAACTTTAAATTGTTGCAACCAGTCCTCAGACCCACTGATGAAGAACAGGTAATAAATTTAATAGTAATAACATAAGAAGAGCCCTGGGCCCATCTGGTCCAGCATCCTATTCTCACAGCAGCTGACCAAATGCTGCAGTGGGAAATCCACAAGCAACACCTGAGCACAAAAGCACTGTCCCCTCCTGCCATTTCCAGCAACTGTTTTCCATAAGTATTACTGCCTCCCACTGTGGAGGCAGAGCAAAGCTATTGTGACTACTAGCCATTGATGGCCTTCTCCACCTCCATGAATTTGTCCAGTCCTCTTTTTAAAGCCATCTAAGTTGGTGGCCATCACTGCTTCTTGTGGCAGTGAGTTCCACAGTTTAACTATGTGCTGTGTGAATAAGTCCCTTTTATCTGTCCAGAAACTCCCAGCACTTTGCTTCAGGGGATGTCCACAAGTTCTGTTGTTACAAGAGAGGGAGGAAAAGTTTTATAATAGTGATATCTCAGTCTGTGTTCCTTGCCATTTCCTAAATCACTGACCTCTGTTTCCTTTCCAGGAAAGTCATAGAACACTGCAATAACTTTATGGACGAGAACATGGACACATCTAGATAGAGGCACCCCTGGCTTTCCACCACCTGCCAGCATTGCATTCGACATCTCTCCCGTTCACTGTACATAGGTTGGACTTTCTCACCAGCTTAGCAGTTGGAACGAGCCTTTATGAATACGTGTGTGTGTCCGTCTTTTGAAAAAGACCCCCAGCAAACAAAAGCGCTTCCGAGTAGCACCAGCTGTGGGGACCATTTTGCACAACAACAATCCCTTTCCTTTAAATAATGGATTTCTCCCTTAACCCCTTCTACCACTACAACTTCCTCTTTTTTTTGTCTTGTTTTGTTTCAAATGGTTCAGATTGGAGTTTGTGTGTATGTGTATGATTTCTGTATATATATAAAAAAAGGAAAATGAAGCAATGACCATATCCTGTGTCTGTTGGTGTTTTCTGGAGAATATGAAAAGCTTCAAATGAATGTAAGCCCAATTATCTAGCTGTGTGATTGGTATAATAATAATTTCCCTGTTTCTTTTAGGGGTGTTTTAGCTTAGGGAAAAGTCAAGTAAGGAGCAACATGATAGAAGTTTATAAAATTATGCATGGTATGGAGAAATCAGAGAGAGAAAGGTTTTTCTCCCTCTTGATGCTAGAATCCATGGATATCCAATGCAGCTGAATGTTGGAAGGTTCAGGACAGATAAAAAGAATCTCAGAATCATCCTCCTTCGTGCAGTGCAGAGTCAAAATGCTTTACATTTCTTATCCAATAAGAGCTGTTGTGACAGTGGAATGGACTAGAGGGACTAGAGGTGGTGGGCCAAATTTGGATGGCCATCTGTAATGGATGCTTTAGTTGAGATTCCTGCATTGCAGGGGTTGGACTAGATGGCCCTTGGGGTCCCTTCCAACTCCACAATTCTTTGATTCTGTGGGGGAAGACATCTCTGTTTAAAGTGGTATCATGGTGCTTTAAATGTAGAGTGTGTATGTAGCCTAAATTTCACTCAGATTGGACCTATTAAATGATTGGCAACCGTGTTCATTAATTTGACCTAAGAACATAAGCAGAGCCCTGTTGGATCAGGCCTTGGCCCATCTAGTCCAGCCTCCTGTCCCAACAGTGGCCAACCAGATGCCTCTGGGAAACCCACAACCATCCCTCCATCTCAGCAAGCAAGAGGCATCAAGAAGGAAGTGCAACAGGGCCACTGAGAGGCGTGACCTGCAGAGAGGCCTGGGAGTTAGACAGAGGCTTGGACAACTGCATTTGGTGCATGCATATACACACAGCCCATGCCTGGGGTTCTCTTCTCCTTGCTCAGGGCCCAGCTGCTCATGTGGAGGACTTTGGCCAGATTCAGCAACAGATTCATACAGAGCCAAGTGGAACCTTCTTGGTCGCTCTGTGTCACCTGGCCCTGTTGAGTTGGTTGCTACACTACCATCCAGAGTTGCAGCGGCCAGGAACAAGCAATCTCTAGACCACATGAACTCAGCACTCTCACCTCTGGGACTTTCCTCTGAAGAAAGATGGAAAGAGAAGAGTTTCTCTCCCTTTCTCCTAACACTGCAGGTTGTGGGCATCCACTGAAGCTGAACATTAGAACATTCAGGACAGGTCAAAGGAAGAACTTATTCATGCAGCACATAGTTAAACTGTGGGACTCCTTCTCACAGGAGGCAGTGGTGACCAATTTGGATAGATTGAAGAGAGGATTAGACAACTCCATGGAGGAGAGGTACCAGCCATGATGGTTGTGTTCTGCCTCCATGATTAGAGGCAGCAATGTTCCTGAAGACCAGCTGCTGGAAGCCACAGGAGAGGCGGATGCCTTTGATCTTGGGTGCTGCTTGCAGGTTTCCCACAGGCATCTGGTTGGCTGTGGCAAGAAGAGGATACTGGGTTAGACTAGCCATTGGCCTGATCCATCAGGTTCTTATGTTCACTGCCTCAACACACAATTACCTATGCAGGATGAATAGATGTGAACGAGATGGGGTCCTTCCTAGTGCTGTTTCACAAAGGCCTTTTCCCTCACTGCATTTTACTTAAGGTATCTGTATACGAAAAAATTAAATGGGTGCAGATCAAGCAGGTGTGCTCATAAACTGGAATTGCCTCCACCACTCTCATGGGCATAGCCAGGATTTTTGTTGGGGGGTGGAGGACATTGTTAGGGGGGTCAGAATCTTAGATTTGTATTGATTGGGGGGTCAGCTGCTCCCCTTTGGCTATGCCTATGACCAATCTTATCCAGTGTCCATACCACAAAACTGTAGCAAATGGGTTGCGCCAAGCTCGCAATAAAAATGATGAACCCATCATGAAAGCAGTTCAGAGCCTGAATGCTGGAAGGTTCAAAGCAGACAACAGAAGATACTTCTTCACTCAGTGCATCAGTGGCTACCATTAAACAAAAACGTGTTGAGTTCACCATTGGGTCCCCTCCTCCGTGACTGAAACTCTGAGGAACAAGTCTCCTAACGCAGGAGTGGAGAGTCATTTCCACCCTGAAAGCCAGGTGCCACTTGGGGCACCTTAAAGCCAGAAGAGGGGAGGTGGAGCAGAGCAGACTTCATGGCCATGGAGGAAGTCACTGGCAGAGCATGAAAGGCAGGGAAAAGCAAACTTTCTGAGTTTCTGGTCCATGGTGTCTCCCAGATTCAGAAACTCCTTGCCAAGAGTGCAGAGGAGGGGATCCTAGGTATGCCTCTGATTGCACGCTGGACACGGTACAAAAAAACACAAAACAAAAAAACCTGAAAGGTGCTCTGGCTCTCCTGGAGATTCAAGACTGCCCCCATCACCAGGCAAAGATGGAGACTGCAGGCCAACCCTGGAAGTCTGGCAGCCTTAGTGTGGCCTGAAAGAGATGGAGGGCTGGGGAGCAAGCACGTGTCCAGCAGGGCTGTTTGGATGCACCTCTGTCATATATTAATGATGACGTCTGCATTTGATGAAGGGGCTCCTGTCCATGATATATTATTATTATTTTAATTTCTGCATCGCAGGGGGTTGGACTAGATGATCCCTGGGGTCCCTTCCAACTCTACAGTTCTATGGTTCTAACGATAATCAGAATACTTCATTGCTACTGTTATTTAAATCATTAATAAAAAACGACTGATAAGATGCCACAAAGCTCCTCGGCAGCCCTTCACTGCCTCATCGAAGTCCGCCCCGCCCCTCCCTTCCAGACTTCGGATCCAACTCGCTACATTCCGCCTCTGACGCTAACCAATCGCCACGCTTCTTCCATGACACACGCCCCGCCCGCTTCTCGCAGTCTCTTTCCGCAACTTTGTGGCCGGCTTGGCGGCGGAGCTCCGTTGCTCCCGGCAGGCAGCGATGATGGCGTGGAGAGGGGCGCGGGGCAGCGGGGGTTTCATGGTCCGGGCAGTGTACGTGGGGCTCACCTGCGGTGTTCTGCTGGGGCTCTTCCTCTACCCTACAGGTGAGGCAGTCTCTCCCTCTCCTCCCTCTCCCCAAAAGTGGGGCGGTAGGATCAGGCCCCCTAGGGTTCAGATCTGCACTCAGGCTACAGATGAAGCATTCTGGCACCCCAAAAAATCTTGGTTTGGTTTCAAAAAGGGGGAAGATATTAAGTTGTGTATTTTTCTCTGTAAACCTTAATTAATTTTTTATTTTTTAAATAAAATAAAACCATGGGTAATTGCGGAACGTTTGTAAGTTCAGTGGTGGAGCATCTCCAGAGCTGGGAATCTCCTTTGCCTGAAACCTGGAGAGCAGCTGCTGCCTGTCAGTGCAGACAATACTAAGCTAGATGGACCAGTGGGTCTGACTCTGTATGAAGGCACCTTTCTGTGTAGTATGCTGAGTGGCCTTAGTCTAGCCCAGGGCGGTCCAACCCTCAGGGACTTTTTTGGCAGCTCTCTGCAAAATTTTATAACCCCCCCCCCGAGCTTCCCCACAGTGATAGAGCTGGGCAGGAGCGTCAAATTTTGTCCTGCCTGCCCCCCAGCACGCAACAAGGCAGTGTGGGGCTTGTGGGTTCTGTGTCGAAGCACTTTTGTGGCCCACTTGATATTAAAATTTGGGCCACCCTACTCTACAGAGTTATTGGGAGCGTAAAGGGGTGGGGGTGGGGGAACCATCTGCCCCTGCCCTACATTCCCAAGGGGAAGGAATAGAGGGGGCTATAAATATAACAAATTTAAAGACGTAAGAACCTAAAAGAGGGTACAATTTCTTTTTCTCCTTACATGCCCAGGCTGCAGTTGGTTTTCTTTATTTGGAAATAAATATACACGAGGGGACTTAATGCAGAGAGCTGGAGTTGCAAGATAGTTTGTGGGTTGGGTTGTGACTGAGGGCAGTGGGGTTAAGGGGGGAGCACTTTGCACGTGGTCAGAGGTAATACAGGTTTTCCTCTTCCTCCTCTATTTGTTTCCTTTACCAAAAGATGAAAAAGGGGGATATGAAATGCACAGATGGATAGATTTTACAGCAATGATGAAAACATGGGAATGTCCTGTCCCCCCAATATAAGTATTTGCCTGGCACTCAAAGGACAATCAGGGACGCGGGTGGCGATGTGGTCTAAACCACAGAGCCTAGGACTTGCCGATCAGAAGGTCAGTGGTTCGAATCCCCACGACGGGGTGAGCTCCCGTTGCTCGGTCCCTGCTCCTGCCAACCTAGCAGTTCGAAAGCACTTCAAAGTGCAAGTAGATAAATAGGTACCGCTCTGGCGGGAAGGTAAACGGCATTTCCGTGCGCTGCTCTGGTTCGCCAGAAGCGGCTTAGTCCTGCTGGCCACATGACCCGGAAGCTATACGCCTGCTCCCTCAGCCAATAAAGCGAGATGAGCACCACAACCCCAGAGTCGTCCGCGACTGGACCTAATGGTCAGGGGTTCCTTTACCTTTACAAAGGACAATCATGTTGGAGGTGGGGAGCCCCCATAGCAAGGCTCTGTTTGTCTCTCTTTCTGCAGCTGCTACCTGCCTTACCTTGGATAGTGGAGGCTGATCAGTGGTCCAGGAGGTGCAGGGCTGGCCAACTGGGACACTTCCAATAGGAGTGGATGCCTTGCATCTCTGGGAGCTCATTCCCAAGAGATGCTGGGTTGTTTATGGTCAGAGCCCCCAAAACAGAATCATGTACAGTACATTTTCCCCGTGATAATTTCCCTTCTTTTTCAGACCTGCAAAGGCAAGAAGAGCAGGGAGACCTCCTCCAGCCCCTCTTGTTCCTCGCACTGGTTCTCTGCTCCATGTTGCTGTACTTTGTTGTCTCTCTCATGGACCCAGGATATGTTGAGCATGATGAAGAGGAGAAGGTATGTCATGGGAATGGTGTTCTACTGAGTCACTCCATTAGCCTGTCTGTCTCAGTACAGTGGTACCTCGGGTTAAGAACTTAATTCGTTCTGGAGGTCCGTTCTTAACCTGAAACTGTTCTTAACCTGAGGTACCACTTTAGCTAATGGGGCCTCCTGCTGCCGCCGCGCGATTTCTGTTCTCATCCTGAGGTAAAGTTCCTAACCCGAGGTACTACTTCCGGGTTAGCGGAGTCTGTAACCTGAAGCGTCTGTAACCCGAGGTACCACTGTACTGACTGGCAGCAGCTCTCTGCAGGGTTTCAGGCAGAGTTCTCCCCCGCTCCCCGCCCTCAGCACAGCCTAGAGAGCTGTTGGGGATGGAACCTAGAACCTTCTGTGGGCAAAGCTTGAGGTCTACAATGGAGCTACAACCCTGTGCCCTAAGAATGAAGTAAGATTCTAGCCCTCATTGTCCAGAATAAAGAGTGGAATTAAGCAGGAATTCAGGAAGCTGCCATAAACAGAGTCACCTAGCTCATCATTGTGTACACTGACTGGCAGGAATGGCTCTCCAGGGTTTTGGGCAGGGGGGACCTCTCCCAACCCTAGCAGGAAATGCCATTGGATACATTTAAAGCACATGTCTTCTCCTCAAGAAGCCTGGTTACAGTCATTTGTTAAAGGTGCTAGGAATCATAACTTTCTGTGGGGTAAACCAGAATCTTTTGGGGGAAGCCATGGGCTTTAAATATGGAGTGTGTGTCACATTAAATGCTTTAGACCAGCCTTTCTCAACCTGTGGGTCCCCAGATGTTGTTGAACTACAACTCCCATCACCCCTAGCTAGCAAGGCCAAAGCTCAGGGATGATGGGAGTTGTGGTCCAACAACATCTGGGGACCCACAGGTTGAGAACTGCTGCTTTAGACACTCCTCCATTCCAATCCCTAAATGCTTATATTCTTTTTTTCCCTTTTCCTTCATCTGGACTCTTTTTTATTTTTTTGTTTCTGGTAGGAACCTGTAAGCGATGAGAAGGAAGCAATGAACTCCCAGGAAACTCTAAACCTCTGGCTCCGGCGCTGTGGCTACTGCTTGCTGAAGGTAGATATTCCTTGAAAAATAGTCTTTTTCAAATCTAAAAGCCAATCATACAAACTCTTCCATTGTGGCCTGGCTGGTTTGTTTTGAAATTTAAAAAATTCCTTCTGCCATTTCTGAATTAAACAGAGAGGGCTGATTCTCTCCCTGTTTCCTGGCTTCCTCTGTAGAATTTTATTCCATAATGAAAGATCCTTTCTCACAGCCAGGAGTGTTATTTTTACCCTTATCAGTACTATGTCAAGGACACTCCACTCAGCTCAATAGAAAAAAAACAGTACTTCCCGCCTACTCCCTTCCGCTCTCCCACATTTCTCACAGTTAGGTTTTTGCAATTATATATTCAGATCTTTACAACCATCAACATCAAAATAAAAAAGTTTTAATGTCCAGAGCAGTAGATTAATATTGTTACTTTTATTTTGAGTTCTATTTAGTTCAATATTAACAATAAATAATCCTCTTCTTTTAATCTTAATTTTTGACCAGCTGGTGCCTTTTAGTGAAATAATGTGCAATTATAATTCCCTTGGGTTAGACGTCTTCAACAGTTACGGTAAATAAATGGGTGTATCCCTGTTCCAGTCAGTCCCAGATCTCTCTTTTAAGGTTGCCCCCAGCTGCTGCTGAAAGGAACATCTGAAGACCTCCCACCATTAATCATTGCATATTGCATCCATCTCAGTCTGCTAAGGCCTTATTTGGACGAAATTTCCTGATCCTATGCCAGACCCTCAGCCCAGCTAGGCTCAGTACTGTTGACACACCACCACCAGCTCTTCAAGCTTTCAAGCCAAGTGGTCTTTCCCAAGCCCCTACCTGGAGATGATGATTTATTTAAATTAAATATATCAGGGTAGTTCACAACATGGCAATGCAATATAAAAACACAAAATACATGATAAAAACATGAACAATCCCCCCACACACAAACCAACACCCCCTCAACACATTCCAAACGGATATTAGATGTTAATCAGCCAAAGGCCTGGTTAAAGAGAAACATATTCACCTGGTGTCCAAGAATATGTAATGAGGGCACCAGACACACTTCCCTGGGGAGAATATTCTGCAAGCAAGGAACCTCCACTGAAAAAGGCCTGTTCTTGTGTTGCCATCCTCTGGACCTCTCGTGGAGGAGGCACACAAAGAAGGGCCTCTGTTCTGGTCCAGGGGGGAGGTTACCGTGGGGGGAGGTCCAGGACCTGAGTTGAGGGTCGGCAGACAGTCCTCCTTGGGCGAAGCGGGATCCACAACGAGAAGCCGGGCAAGGACAGGAACTCTGGGGGAACAGGACTGGATGCTGGCCGAAACAGCTCTTCAACCTGGGACCGGGCTGACTGGCCTTTATCTTCTCTGAGGCCAGGGGCGGTCCCGGCCCCCAGGAGACCCGCCTCTCCTGGCCTTAAGGCGAGCACTCCTCCTGGGAGAAACCAGTTCCCTTCACCTCTCTGCCCTGAGCCTCTGCAGTTCAGGAGAGGCTGAAGGGTTACTGGACCCAGGGGGAGACTCACCTGTAGGCACTGAGTCCTCAAACACCTCCGGAGCCAGAGTGGATTCACCTGGTGCCTGCTCCTGAGGATCCGGCACGGGTGCAGGCGCTTCAGAATCAAGGCCCTGCCCCAGTTCAGCCGGCCCTGGAGGCGGGGACTCCTGTGCAGGCTGGGATTCCTCCGGTTCAGCCTCTGAATCGGATTCCCAGGCCATCACAGCCTCAGAGGATGATCTCAGGGTCTGGGTATGGAGGGAGGTGGTCCTTGACATATTGTGGCCCTGAAACTAAGTCAAAACCAGCACATTGAATTGGGCTGGGGAACATTAGCAGCCAGTGCAGTTGAGCCATGATCGGTGTAATATACTCACACCGTCTTGCCCTGGTGAGCAACCTGGCCACCAAATTCTGCACCAGCTGAAGTTTGTGAACCATCTTCAGAGGCAGTCCTATGTATAATGCTGGGGATTGAACCTGGGACCTTCTGCATGCTCTGCCGCTGAGCTGTGTCTCTTTCCCTAAATATGAACCAATATCCCAGTCCCAATGGTTCTGAAATAAAGGGTGGCTTACATAGGGATACAGAGAGCTGCCTTCTCTTGAAGACTGACCATAGCTCAGTCTTGTGTTCACTGTCCATGGTTCTCCACAGTTTCAGGCAGGGGACTTCCTTAGCGTTACCTGGAGATGCCATTGGGGATTGAACCAATGGGGATCTTCTACATGCAAAACATGTGGCCCAGCACTCAGCCATGACCCCGCTCCCCTAAATATAAAGTAAGATCCTAGTCCTCTTTGTTCAGATGAATGGGGTGCATTAAAAAGGGACCTAGGAAGCAATGCCTTATACAGAGTTAGACCCTTGGACCCATCTAGCTCAGTATTGTCAACACTGGCCAGCAGCAGCTGCCTCCTGGGTTTCAGGTGGGGTGGGTGTGGGGTGTCTCTTTCCCAGACCCACCTGGAGATGAAAATGTAAGGAAGCACAGAAACACATCCTGTTCTTTTCTATCTCACAGCAGCCAATGAGGGCCAGGCACTGCCAGGCGTGCCGGCACTGCGTCCGGCGCTATGACCACCACTGCCCCTGGATTTACAACTGTGTTGGGGAGAGGAATCACCCATTCTTCGTCGCCTATTTGGCTGTTCAGCTTGTGGTTCTCTTGTGGGCGCTGCCAGTGGCCTGGTAAGCAAAGCTTATGGCGGGAGACCCCCAGACATTTTTTATTATTATTGGTGTGTGTATGTGTGTGTGTGTATGTGTGTATGTGTATGTGGGACGTGGGTGGCACTGTGGGTAAAACCACAGTGCCTAGGGCTTGCCGATTGTATGGTCGGCGGTTCGAATCCCCGCGGCAGGGTGAGCTCCCGTCTTTCGGTCCCAGCTCCTGCCCACCTAGCAGTTCGAAAGCACCCTTAAGTGCAAGTAGATAAATAGGTACCGCTTTATAGTGGGAAGGTAAACGGCGTTTCCGTGTGCTGTGCTGGTACCGTCTCGCCAGAGCAGCTTCGTCACGCTGGCCACGTGACCCGGAAGTGTCTCCGGACAGCGCTGGCCCCCGGCCTCTTAAGTGAGATGGGCGCACAACCCTAGAGTCGGACACGACTGGCCCGTATGGGCAGAGGTACCTTTACCTTTATGTGTGTGTGTAACAACCATAGAACCATAGAATCATAGAACTGTAAAGTTGGAAAGGATCCTGAGGGTCATCTAGTCCACCCCCTGCAGTGCAGGAATCTCAACTAAAGCATCTCTGTCAGATGGCCATCCAACCAATGCATAAAAAGCTCCAATGAGAGAGAGTCCACAATCTCCGGAGGGTGTCCTTTCCACTGTCAAACAGCTCTTACCATCAGAAAGCTCTTCCTGATGTTTAGTCGTAATTTCCTTTCTCGTAACCAGGGATGAAAGAATAGTCATTCATTCATTCATCCATCCATTCATGGGAACCTCACACAACATTAATTGACCCAGACCACACCCCTTTCCTCAAGCCACACTCCCTCACTGCCCTGCTCCACCCACTCATAGGACTGAGAATTCTCCCTTGATTGTCTTGAATGTCAGAGGTGTTATGGATAGGAAACTCTTGAGCAGTGCATGGCTTAATGGAGCCTACTCTACAGAGGTACATCTGTTGCCCCACCCATTTTGGGCCCTTGGCCATCCCAGATCCAAGGATGCATCCCGTGGAAGGATGCCTGCGAGGAAATGCAGCCCTCCAGCTGGGAAAAAAGGTTCCCTGCCCCTGATGAAAGGAATGCAGCTAGATCTGAGGCACTTTCTAAAGGATGTTTCAAAGTTAAGACAATATCACCCGCGAAAGCTTTGTTTTTATAATTTTGTGAATCTTGCAATAACTCTGATGTTGTTCTTTTTTTTCCCCCTCCACCACTAAAAAAAAAAGGTCTGGGCTTGATTTTGAGCATCCCTCATGGGCATGGTTTCAGTATAACCTTCTCCTCCTTCTCTCCTTCCTCGTGGTTGCCATTTTCACTGTGGTGATGATTCTGCTCCTGGGCTGCCACCTCTACCTTGCCTCCCACAACACCACCACCTGGGAGTTCATGTCCCGTCACCGCATCTCCTACCTGAGAGATTGTGAAGTGGAAAACCCCTTCGACCGAGGAATCTTCCTCAACCTCTGGCAGTTCTTCTGCGCCTGCCGCCTCATCGCCTGGGAAACCCTGTACGCCGAAGTGGGAGGCCACACCGTGTGATCGTGGGCTGGGTGACAGCACCCAACCCAGGACTAAGAGAGAGAAAGCTGTTAGCTGGGTGGAAGCAGATGTTTGTTTATTCTTGCAGCAGCTATGGAACTGAGGGGAGAGGCTCACTTTTGCCAGTAGCTTTCCTACATATTTCAGCAAAATATGTAAAAAAACGGCCTTTCCCCATAAGCCAAGCCGGAGCTGTTCTGAGGTGTGTCCTTTGAGAAAGTGAACCCCGCAGACCCTGCTTTCAGACCTTGCTGCTCAAACAGCTTTTGGGGGAGAGAGATGGGCAGGGAAGCTAGGAAGCCTGGTCCATTTGGGAGAGTGGGCTGCTGCCCAACCAGCCTCAGTCTGCCCCCCACGTGCCTTCCTTAAACCCCAGCAAGGAGTGGCTCTGCTTGTCCTTGGCTTTGGTTGCACTTATCATGGCGTCCCTGCCTCCTGCCCCAATGGGCCCCAGCCACCACGGATGGACCAAGAGGAGGAGGCCATATATTGAAGACCTAAAGTCTTGTTGGGGTGGTACTTGGGGTTTTGTTTGGGGTGGGGCAGGGTGTGCCTTCTGTCAAGGCTGGGCTCACTCTTTTTTAAAACAAAGAGCTATGTTCCCAGTATTCCTCCAGCATTTCACGGCGTGCCTTCAAGAAGTAGATCTCAGGGACTAAAGCTTTGTTTAATAATTCTTGAGGTCCTCTTGGGAGCCTCTCCTCAGGAGAGGAGTTTAAACCTGTTTCTGCTTCTTCAATAGGGGGGGACAATTTTTACATGCTCCATTTTTACATTCTGTTTCTGTAATCCAATAAAATTTTACATTATTAAAAGCTTAAACCTTGGTTCTTGCTTCTGGTCTCCTCACTTCCAGTGCAACTTTCCCAAAAAAACTGTCTTCCTAATATTTCTACCTCTGTTTCTAGACAGGTTGTTTTTTAAAAGAACAAGCCTAAATTTATCCCTCACTTGAAGATTAATTCGAGAGTTCTTAAACTGTGTCTTTCTATTTGATGTTGGCCCTTTTTGGGCCTCAATCTAGTGCATGTTATGATGGGTTGAATTTTTCTCAACTTTTCTCAAGGAAAAAAGAAAGCTGCCTAATTATTGAGTCCAGACCATTCGTCCCCTGCTCAGTATTGTCTACACTGACTGGCAGCAGCTCTCCAGGGTTTCAGGCAGGGGACATTCCCAGCCCTACTGGAAGATGCTCTGCCATGGAACATAGAATCATATAATTGTAGCATTGAAAGGGATCTCGAGGGTCATCTAATCCAACCCCCTTCAATGCAGGAATCTCAACTAGATCATACATGACATATGACCATCCAACCTCTGCTTAAAAAGAAAAGAAAAAAGATTCCAGTCCTCATGGTCATGAATAAAGAACAGATTTAAATTCCAGAAAGAAGCTCCATACTCTGGTTCCACATTCAAAAGTTACATCATCATCACAACATTCTTGAAAGAAGCTCCATACTCTGGTTCCACATTCAAAAGTTACCGTACATCATCATCACAACATTCAATCTTGCTCTCCCGGCTTCAGCAAAAGGACCCCAAAGCCTTTGGAGCGCAGCGCGAGGTCCTGCTGCACTCCAAAGGCTTCAAGTGGCTATCCCTGAAGCTGTTGGAGTGCAGCGGGACCTCGCGCTGCGCTCCAAAGGCTTCGGGGTTAGCTGCACAAAGCCTCCGCAGGGCAGCGGGGTGAAGGCACCCTGCTGCCCTGCGGAGGCTTGAAAGGCTGTCCCCGAAGCCAGAACAGCGAGACTGAGCGCTGCGCAGCGTCTCGCTGTTCTAGCTTGGGGATGCCGGGGCTTTATGGGGAAACCCCAGGCATCCCCCTTCAGCCCCGACACTGATTTGATTGAGAATATTTTTTACTTGGTTTCCTCCTCTAAAACCTAGGTCATCCTTTGCTCAGGTGCGTCCTATAGAGCGAAAAATACGGTAAATCTTTGAACCTCTGCCCCTCTGAGGTAAGAGGGTGGAGATGATCCAGAGGAGTTAGGACCTTGACAAAGTGGCCAATATCAATAGCCCTACCCAATGTGGGTGCAAAGGGTGTTTTCAGAGTCCTGGCAAAGATGGCATCCCAACTGATCTCTTGGGAAACAGAGAGGGAAGAAAAAACATAGGCTGGTAGCCAAAGCTACTCTTACTCAGGGTAGACCCAGGGAAGTCAGTGGAGAGGATTAAGGCCCCAATTGCACTACAGTGGTACCTCGGGTTACAAACGCCTCAGGTTACAGACTCCACTAACCTGGAAGTAGTACCTCGGGTACTTTACTTCAGGATGAGAACAGAAATCGCGCGGCGGTGGTACCTCAGGTTAAGAATGGTTTCAGGTTAAGAACGGACCTCCAGAACAAATTAAGTTCGTAACCAGAGGTACCACTGTATACATTTCAGGCAGTATCATACCACTTTAAACAGTTGTGCCTACCCCAAAAGCATCCTGGGAGTTTCAGCAGTTTGTTCTTGGAGCTGAGAATAGTTAGGAGACCCCTATTCCCTACGCAGGGCTACCGTTCCCTGGGAAGAGGGATTGGTTGTTAATCCATGTGGGAACTTACAGCTCTGAACACCGCTTGCAAACTACAGTTCCCAGTATGCTTTGGGGGATGCTTTGTTTCTCCTATCTTGGTTGCAGTCATATCAACATTCACCAGCTGGGTTTGCTATTAGCGGGAGTAAAGAATAAGAACTGCCAACATAGCCATCATCTTAGCATTTATGTGGCCTATTTAATGTGTTCAGTGTGGGCCATAATTATATATTTTGGTCATGTCCACTCCACACAGACTTAAACACATGAAACTTTACCAATCTGGTGCATTCCAGGCGCTTTGCACAACACCTCTAGTTGTCAGCCCCCGCCAACATGGGGGAAAATAAATACTGGATTTCCCAGGAAAGCTACAACTAAATCCAGCAGTACTGTTTCAGCAGTCCTGGGCCAGTGACTCATTCACCCTCAGACTAACCTATCTCAGAGTCCTAGTGTTATGTACTGAGTTGAATAGGATCCAAACTGCAGCAGTCTGATTGGTCCTAGAACAATAGGATCCAAAATGCAGCAGTCTGATTGGTCCTAGAACAATAGGATTCAGAATGCAGCAGTATGATTGGTTGGCAGGAACCACCCAATCATGCTCCAGATAGAAGTGAATCCACAACCTGATTGGCTTACAGTAGAATTCCGGAATTAGCCAATCATGTGCAGCCCAGTGTGTAAATAATGTATATAAAGCAGATAAAAGTATCTGCTTTATATACATTATTTACACAATGGGCTGCACATGATTGGCTAATTCCGGAATTTTAGGAAATAACCACACAGGCTGAGTAGAGCCTACAGAAAGGCGTTTTTTCCATAGACAAGCAGTGTTGTATAGTAGTTTGGGCAATAGCTGTATGTTCTGGAGAATTCCCAAGCTCCTCTGCTCTGCTTTAGCTCCTACAAATGCCCTGTATGGATATGAAATACAGTGGTACCTTAGGATGTGAACGGGATACGTTCCAGAGCCCTGTTTGCATCCTGAATGGAACGTAAGACGCAATGGCGCGTGTGCAGGTCGCGTTTCGCCGCTTCTGCGCATACGCGTGACGTCATTTTGAGTGTCTGCGCATGTGCTAGCAGCAAAACCCGGAAGTAATGCACTCTTTTCTTTCCGGGTTGCCGCAGAGCGCAACCCGAAAGCGCTCAACCTGAAGCACATTCAACTCAAGGTATGACTATGTCTAAACCACCTTCATTCACATTCAGAGAGACAGTGTGGTGTAACAGTTCTAGTGTCAGATTATGACTGCGAGAGATCAGGGTTCAACTCCCCATTCAGTCACGAAGCTCACTGGGTGACCTTGGGGGCCAGTCACTGCTTCTCAGCCTGACCTACCTCACAGGATTGTTGTAGGGGGTTAAACGAGGTCTAAGGCCTGGGAGGGGATGCGGGTGGCGCTGTGGGTTAAACCACAAAGCCTAGGACTTGCTGCTCGGAAGGTTGGTGGTTCGAATCCCCACACCGGGGTGAGCTTCCATCGCTCGGTCCCTGCTCCTGCCAACCTAGCAGTTTGAAAGCACGTCCAAGTGCAAATAGATAAATAGGTACCGCTCTAACGGGAAGGTAAATGGCATTTCCGTGTGCTGCTTTGGTTCACCAGAAGCGGCTTAGTCATGCTGGCCACATGACCCGGAAGCTCCCTCATCCAGTAAAGTGAGATGAGTGCCGCAACCCCAGAGTCAGCCACGACTGGACCTAATGGTCAGGGGTCGCTTTACCTTAACCTTTTAGGGCCTGGGAGACCAGCGTTCCAATCCCCCACTCAGCCATGAAGTTTACCAGGTGTGATCTTGGACCAGTCACTGCTTCTCAGTCTAAACTGCCTCACAGGGCTGTTGTGAAGATAGAAGGTGTGAGGAGAAGGCACAGGCATCAGTGTTGGGTAGGCATGGGCACCAGGAAGGGGCTGCCTGTGGAGTTAGCCACTTTGAAATATGCACTTCTTGCAATTCATGCTGCTGAGCTTATGTGAGGAGAAAACATCAGGAGGCACAAGAACCTTTCACTAAACAGGGAAAAACACATGCAGGGAACCCCCACCCCTACCCCTAACATCCGCTGGACATATCCTGAACATCGCAGTCAGCAGCAGTGTCTGGGTGGAAATTCTTTGAATGTCCGGGAAAATCCGAGCTCAACAACTTTTCTGTCTGGATTTTCACTGTTTGAAATATGGCAACACTAATTTCTCCCTAGAACCATAAGGGCTAGGAACCAGCTCTTCTTTAAAAAAAAGTAAAAGGAAAAGTCAGCCTTCCCAAATACCATACATATGCTAATCCCAAATGCTAATCGTGAAATACCAAAACAATGAAGGACTTATACCTTGACCTGTTGTCAGGCCTTCCCTTCAGCAGTTAAGGAAGGCTGTTATAGGAAGATACCATATGAGGAGAGGGAATTGTGAGGAAAACCTGAGCTTACAGGGTTAAACAGCTCAGAGTGTACGCTCTGCCTACTAGTGGGAGGGAAATGCTACGTCAGTTCCGAGAGACTCTGGCCACTGCTGAGTTTTCCAAATTTGCTGGCATATTGAGTGTAGCACATTGACAGCATCATCTTTTAAAATTTTAAATAGTTCAGCTGGAATATCATCACTTCCACTGGCCTTGTTATTAGCAATAATCCAGCGCATGTTTGCAATTTGGTCTCTGGTTCCTCTGCCTCTTCTAAATCCAGCTTGCACTTCTGGGAGTTCTTGGTCCACATACTGCTTAAGCCTGCCTTGTAGAATTTTAAGCATAACCTTCATGGATCGCTGCCTTGCCGTGGCGAAGGGGCTTGAATAACTCAGAGAAGCTAAGAGCTATGCTGTGCAGGGCCACCCAAAATGGACAGGTCATAGTGGAGAGTTTTGACCAAACGTGATCCACGTGGAGCAGGAACTGGCAAGCCACTACAGTATCCCTGCCAAGAACATGGACAAAGACAACAGGCATAGAAAAGTTATGACACTGGAAGATGAGCCCCTCAGGTTGGAAGGCGTCCAACATGCTACTGAGGAAGAGTGGAGGACAAGTACAAGTAGATTCAGAGCTGATGAAGCGGCTGGGCCAAAGCCGAAAGGTTGCTCAGTTGCGGATATGCCTGGAAGCGAAAGGAAAGTCCAATGCTGTAAAGAAAAATATTGCATAGGAACTTGGAATGTAAGAACCATGAACCTTGGTAAGTTGGATGTGATCAAAAATGAGATGGCAAGAATAAATATTGATATCTTGGGCATCAGTGAACTAAAATGGACGGGAATGAGGAAATTCAGTTCGGATGACCATCATATCTACTACTGTGGGCAAGAATCCCGTAAAAGAAATGGAGTGGCCCTCATAGTCAACAAAAGAGTGGTGACATCTATGCTGGGATGCAATCTCAAAAATGATAAAATGATCTTGATATGAATCCAAGGCAGACCTTTTTACATCACAGTAATCCAAGTTTATGCACCAACTACTGGTGCTGAAGAAACTGAAATTGACCAATTCTATGAAGACTTACAACACCTTCTAGAAATGACACCAAAGAAGAATGTTCTTCTCATTATAGGGGATAGGAATGCTAAAGTAGGGGTCAAGAGATAAAAGGAACAATGGGCCAGTTTGGCCTTGGAGTTCAAAACAAAGCAAAGCAAAGGCTAATAGACTTCTGCCAAGAGAACAAGCTGGTCATAACAAACACTATTTTCCAACAACACAAGAGACGACTCTACACATGGGGTATAATATACAAAAAGTTTTAACTGGATTCTGAATAAATGTGCAATTAACTGTTACTTGTTTGAAGTTTATTAGGCTATTATGTTCCTTGGTGGGTTGTGCAAACTTCTATTCTGTAGGTTTGGGGGCACTGGGGAACCAAGAGGCAAAACCTGAAAGACAATTGCTCAGTGATTTCTCCAGATCGGAAGTCCTTTAGGGTGAAGGATGGTAGCTCAGTGGTTAAGCACCTGTTCTGCATGCCAAAGGTCCCAGGTTCAAGCATCAGCTTGCAAGGGATAAGTTCTGCCTTCTTTCTGTCATTTCTCCCTCTTTTCCATGCAAGGGACCTACTACTTGCTTGTTCTTCCTCTTGCTTCAAACGTAGCTGAAAAAACCTTTTTTTTCCCCCAGCTACGTTTGAAGCAAGAGGAAGAACAAGCAAGTACTGTAGTAGGTCCCTTGCATGGAAAAGAGGGAGAAATGACAGAGAGAAGGCAGAACTACTCAACATATCTTTTGCCCCTATTGTCACCCAAAAGGAAAGCAGTGCCCAACCTGCTGACAACAGAATAAAGGATGCCAGGAGGAAGCTGCAGCCCAATATAAGAAACGAGGTGGTCAGGGAACACCTAGCTAATTTAAATGAATTCAAATCTCCAGAGCCTGATGAGCTGCATCCAAGAGTACTAAAGGAGCTTGCAGATGTAATCTCAGAGCCTCTGCTTATAATATTTGAAAATTATTGAAGAGCAGGTGAGGTCCCTGAAGGCTGGAGATGGGAAAATGTTGTTTGCATCTTCAAAAAGGGAAAAGTAGAAGACCCAGGTAACTACTGACCAGTCAGCTTGACATCAATACCAGGAACATCCTAAAACAGTCAGTCAGTCAGTCAGTCAGTCTGTGAGCACTTAGAAACTTATGCTTTTATTACTAAGACCCAGGATGAGTTTCTCAACAAGAAGTAATGCCAGACAAATATTATTTTTTTGATAGTCCCATTAGTGAGTAATGGGAATGCTGTGGATGTAGTGTGTCTTGATTTCAGTAAGGCTTTTGACACGTTCCCCATGATATTCTTGTGAAAAAGTTGGCAAAATGTGGTCTGGGTGAGGATAATGGTTGGGTGGACTTGTAGGTGATTGACCAAACTCTAATGATTCAACATCCTGGGGAAAAAGTCACAAATGGGGTACCACATGGTTCTGTCCTGGGCCCGTTGTAGTTCAACATCTTAACTAATGACTTGGATAAAGGAATTGAGGGGATATTCATCCAATATGCAATGACATAAAACTGGGATGGTAACCAATGTCACTGAGGACAGAATTGAGTCAAGATGACCGTACCAGATTGGAGACCTGGGTCAAAACTAACAAAATGAATTTCAGCAGGGACAAATGTAAGGCTCTACACTTAGACACCAAGAACCAGCTACACAGATATAAGATGGGGGACACCTGGATTGCCAGTACATGTGAAAAGGATATAGTAGACCACAAGTCAACAGTGTGATGCAGCAACATTTTTTTTAATGCTATCCTAGGTTGCATCAACATAAGTATAGTTTCTTGATCAAGGGAAGTAATAGTCCTGCTCTAATCTTCTTTGGTCAGACCCTAGCTGGAGTAATGTGTCCAGTTCAGGACATCACAATTTAAGGATATTGTCAAGCTAGAATGTGTGCAGAGGAAAATGACCAAGATTATCAAGGGCCTGGAAACAGCCTTATGAGAGTTGGATATGTTTAGCCTGAAAGAGACTGATATAGCAGTCTTCCAGTATTTAAAAGGCTGTCAGATGGGGCGAACTTGTTTTCTCCTGCCCTGGAGGGAGAGACCCAAACCAATGGCTTCAAGTTACAAGGACAATTCTGACTAAACACCAGGAAGTACTTTCTGATGGCAAGAGCTGTTTGACTATGGAACAGACTCCCGTGAGACTTCCAATAGCCTGGACTATCTGTGGAATGTAAACACAGTCCTGTGACTGCAAGCAGCTGCACACTGAGAAACTAACAAGGTAGACTCCCTCTCATTCCTTCCTTGAAGGTTTTTAAACAGAGGGTTGGATGGCCACCTGCCATGGTTGCTTTAGTTGAGATTCCCGATTTGCAGCGGGGTGGACTAGATGCCTCTCAGGGTCCCTTCCAACCCTACCATTCTATGTGGTCCCATGCTTCTACGATGTCACATCAGTCAAAGCAGTTTTAGAGCATCCATTTTTTTTGTAAAACCACAAGAACTGGCCAGGAAGCAGCATTGTATCAAGTGGCAAAGGCATTCACACTTCTTCAGTCTCCCATTAGTTATCTCAGCTGACTGGAAAGCCCTCTGACAGTCCAAACAGGCAATACTAAGGTAGTCAGGCTTGCTATATACGCAGAACCCTATATTCATAAAATGCTTCTCTATGTTGTGCATGGTTTTTCTGTGCAAAAATAAAAATTAAAAAATAAACTTCTAACACAACACTGAGCAGTTCAGTGTTGCCATCATCTACAACTGTGCACAAGCAGCAGCCAGCTCTGTACTCCTCTTGCTTATGCAGCCCTTCCCCTAGTGAAAATGTTACCTTTTGCCCTAGGCTATTTTCTACACATGCTCCTCTACTCTCTATCCAGGCAAGCAAGAAGCATTAGCAGATTCTGCACACATTCCAGCTGTGTAGCTTTTTATAATGCTAAACCTCCCTTCTTTTAATTACTTTTAAGATCGGGATGAATTACGACTGAATTACGACTGATCTGTCTGCCAATTTTCACCCAGAATGCGAACTGATGGCCGGCATAAGAAGGCACTAACTAACAGGCTGAAAAATAAAACAGATAGCCTGTCTAAATTATTTGTGATTAAGATTATAAACTGTTAAGAATGTGGGAGGCAAATGATGATGGGAGACGACCTCCACACAGGTGCCTGGAGGAGTGAAACGAACAATCAAATTATGCTGCTGGAGTAGAATGAAACCATTGACACATCAAGAAACATACTGAGATGGCAGAGAAAGGATCCTGTGTGCAAATTGGAGTGAACTCAGCAGAAAAAGCTACCAAGCTACCAAGCCTCTGGCAATTCTTCTGGAAGAAGAGTGGAAAGAACTTTCCCCCCCTAAATTAAGCTGGGAAATGGGATTGGAAGATATTGAACTGGGTACAAATTAATGAACACACAATAAATAATTATGGATTATTCTAATAATGGGTGTTGGAATTTCTTTGGAGAAATTCATCATAGAGTACAGAGGAAAGACTGTTCTTGACATTTAGCAACATCAAAAAAAACCTTGGACTTTTTTATTAAAAAAAAGTGTGGAAAGGAAAATGAATGAACTTGAGATGTCAGAGGTTGAAGATTGGGAAGACTGGGAAAACGCTGTCTAGTAGATTGAGGAACAGCTGCATATCATCCTGGCGTGAATACTTTTAATGTTTTGAATAATCTTTATACAGTATACATAAGTGACAGACGGAGAATTGGAAGTCCTTTCTATTTACTGTGTTTTCTATTTTTCATTCTTCTACCCACTTTACTCTTAGTTTTTTGATGTCCTCTAATCATGCTTTCAAGAATTAAGTGTGCATGAAGGGCTTGTTTCACGAAAAGGAAAACTGCTATGTTGCTAATCATATAACTTACTTTTAAGAGTTTTCTTGCCATCAACGTAATATTGATTAGTCCATACTGAGAAAGCAAACTAAAGGGGTGGGGTCGAACATGTTTTTATTTCATTTTTCCAGTGAAGACTATTAGCCCCCTTGTGTACACATTAAGTTTTATTGTAACAAAGCAACTTGTACACTTTTGAACATTCAGAACTGAGCAACTTTCTTTTTCCAGTAAAACAAAATTCTTTTGAAAAAACAAAACAAAGAACAAAATTACAATAGAGAATGTGAAATCCAAACAAAGTCCTACAGGTTCTGCTGATTCTCCATCAAGTGGCAGGGCTCAACTGTAATTAAAAAAAAATCTCCTAAGTGTCATATTTTAAACTGCAAGGATGTTTATTGGGATTAAACATGCCAAAGGAGACGTATTGTTTTGTTCAAATGCCCCTTTAACCCACCCCAACATCTGAAACCCACCCTTGCTTACATTGTCTATAACCCCCTCCTTTTTTAAGCTTTTTTTAATTAAAAAACAAGAGTAGACAGATACATGTTGGTAAATGCTGTCCATATTCACATAGAGACACAGTGTAATCTCTGAGCCCAATATACAGAGAAAGGAGGAAAAAGCTAGATTCTATGCACTACTACACAGGGGCCTAGCACTCTTCAGCTTCCAGCAGAGTGAAGGGAGGAGAAGGTTCTTTCTTCCCCACAGAACACAGTGTGTTGATTTTATTAAAAGTTTTTGTTTTGTTTAGAAAGAGGAAGTGGGGAGGGTAACAAAATGAGTAAAGATTTCATTTCCACCAAATGCTGCTTGATATTTTCTGCAAAATTATTTGTGAACCATGGTGAAGAGGAGAGGAAAAAAAGACCTCAGGAGAACAAGGCGACTGAGCACGAAAAGGATTGGGGGTGGGGGTGGGGAATAGACAGCAACTTGCTCCCAGGGACTGGAGATGGGGGAAACGGGGAGGAAAGAGGGTGGTTGGAATCTGTCAGTGTTCAGTCATCTTCTCCTTCATCCTCCTGTTGAAAGAAATGCAACATTTAAACACACTGTTAAGTAATCGCCATAAGAATCCAAATTTCATACCATCCATTCCCTCCCCTCTTTTACTTTTCAGGAGAGGCTCTACCACACTCTTTTCTGCTCTACTTCTACATCACAAGGCAAAACTGCTATCCTGACGATGCTTGCTAAGGGGCCTGTCCTAATAAACACACTGAACAAGCTTCTGCTCCTGTACTGTTCAAAACACTGATCTTCCACATGAAGGGGAGATCCTTCAAATTACAGCTACTTAACCCAAGTCACTCAAGACTACGGCATGCAGAGAAGATGCCATGGCAAAAATGACTGGTTCTGCTCTTCCTAAGCCTATTTACAAGCCATTGCTAAATGGCAAGTGTCATTCCAACCTCTCCTTCTTCTCCCTCGTCATCATCTTCATCTTCTTCGCCCTCATCTTCGTCACCTTCCTCATCAATGTCCTCCAAGCCTTCTTCCTCCTCCTCATCATCGTCATCTTCCTCTCCCTCACCTTCTTCATCATCCATATCAGGAACCTTATTTGAAGAACAATTAAAACGTTAGCATGTTTATCTTAAATTACTCAACTTCCCCCCCCTCCTAGAAGCATGATGCAAACTCATTTAAAGACTCTTACCAAGTAGTACTGTAATGGGTTCGGCCAGATGTCATCTTTAATGACCTCGCCTAGTTCATCGGCACCAGCATCAGAATGGTCAGTGAACCAGGTGAAGAAGCTCTCCGGTTCTTCATGCTGCCTCTTTCTGCTGGCCTTGTTTTGTGACTGACTTGAGCGCTTTGTCAGATCCTTACAAAAAGAAAGGCAACAGAAACATCAAAACTTCCTTCTGAAACTGAGTTTTTCCACTGAAAAGATACTCAGATTGCTAATCTGTCATCTTTATTCAGAAACTGTGAAGCACTGGACCACTTACTGAACAAGATTATGGAGCAGCAGCAGCAGCAGCAGCAGCAGCAGCAGCAGCAGCAGCAAACTGCTTTTGGTATTCCCCACCAAATTCAGAGAAAATATAATTTAGGAGCACAAGATTAAGGGCCCTCAGATGGTACAGATGAACTGTCCATTCTAAAGTAATTCTACTTCCACAGCACTTTAACAGTCAAGGCTTCCTCATAAAGAACCCTGAGAACTGTAGTTTGTTAAGGATCTCCCAACTCTCAGCACCCTTAAGGGTTCTTTACATGGTGTAGCTGTGGTGCAACACTCTCACATGGCAGAGAATTCCAGATTGTTGAATGAAACAGACCTTTTCATCAGGAATATCCCACGGCTACAACTGTACTTTTTCAGCAGGGACACATCCCCTTGCGGACAACCTAGACACAGCAGATCACATCCCAGCAACACAAAAATTAGAGGTTTCTACAAACACACCTCCCTTTCCCTTCAGGCAAGCAAGTGGAATTATCGTAGCTCAGGGAAACATCCCACGCTGCTATGCTAAAGAAGCAGGTGAATTAGGCCATTCCAGTTTCTTTAGTGTTATTTCTGGTTCTCTCCATTAAAGCATTGGCTGGGTGGGATGGGGAGAGAGGAAAGATTCCAACAGATTTGCATCTAATATGATTCTTCAGGCAATTTTAGGCCACAGAAGTAGAAGACATAACAACTGAATTACTAAAATCCGACTTCTAAGCCTCCTCAAGCATCTTTATGGAGTTGCTCGGAGCCAACCTGATTACATTCAGGTTCAGATCCTCAGTCATGACACTGAATGGGTGACCTTAGGTCAGTCACTCTCACATCCTAACCTTCTTCACAAGGTTGCTGTGAAGACAGAGGGGAGAAACCATGTATGTGTCTGTGCTTCGTGGAGGAAGAGCAGGATAAGGATGGAATAAATGAATAAACTAAAACAATTAGTTTTTAATATCTTTATATGCTTGTCCCTTTTCCATCTCCCAGCAGTACCATGCTGTTTTGCAAATTAACCGCCTCCCTTCACACTACACAAAAGGGTTGTGCCCAACCAAGTTGTACTCACAGTAGACCCATGGAATGCACCTAACTGAATCGTGTTCATTCATTTCAATGGGTCTACTTAAAGTATAACTAATACTGGATATAACCTATAGGTTGGCGTCCACATGTATTATTTGCTTCCAAAAGTTCTCACAGCAATCTCAGCAGCTCATAAATTCCATCCTCTGAAACACCAGATCACACAAAATCCATCAGATACAACCGTGCTTTGTTTCACCCATGCAAGGAGGAAAGAGAGTTTGGAGAAGACACTGCTAGTGTCTGGGATCAACTATCCCACAAAACCAACAGGGATTCAAAGAAATCTGCAGCTACGTACCTTTCCAGATTTCCATTTGATTTCGCTTGATTTTGATGATGGGTCCCCACTCTCATTCAGATGAAACTCTTTGGAGAGCATCTTGTTTTCAAAATATGGATTCTCATCAAAATACTGCAGTCAAGAAAATGTAAGAACGTCAATACCACTACACGGCATAGATATTTCAAAGCACGGCCTCAGGGAGCACTAGGCTGTTCTCCCAGCCATCCACAAACGTGGTAAGGAAGCTGCAGCACACCTTTACTTACAAAATCTATTCTGTAACCTGATTTGATGTCTTCAAACTCTGTCACTTCCACCCTGGTCAAATAATGCAGCGCTTCTTCATCTTCTTCTCCCAACAGTGCAGATACTATCAGAGAATTACAAAGTTTCCATCACATGTGCATTTTACATATTCATCAGCAGAAGCATCACCACCTTACAGAATTTTATTTCCTAACCTGCTCTGAAACATATATTGCTGCCGGGTTCTTCAACTTCATCCACATAATGGAAATCAACTAATATAAACTCAGTTCTAATAAATTATTTCTGACTTGTTTTTGTAGAATGCTGAGGCCTGAAGCTAAAGTGAAGTAGGCTGCATCTGACAACAAACTTCTCCCTGCCACAGTCCCCTCCCCACCAGGAACTTCTTCAGAGATTCCACTGATGGAAGCTGTGCTTTCACCTCAACAACACTGCTCAATATAGCCAAATAATACAAAAGAAAGCCAATGTTTAGGAATCTGAATAAAAGGTTTTGCATTAGAGAGAGTACATCTGCATTGTTTTTCATAGACTCTCATCTTGTTGTTACTGTTATTATCTTTAGTTATATCTGCCTTTTTCCCAGTCCAGGACTCAAGGTGGCTTACAAAAACAGAACAAGCTAAAAACATAGAAAAGACAATTAATAAAATCTAAGTAAACACTGATAAAAATAGAAAAAGGTTCATTAACAACACAGTCCAGAACAAAAAAAATATCTTGTTGGATAGGATATTCAGTATCGCAAGTCACTTTGAGAAATTAGCACAAATTAATTTATAAAATAAATATTTAGAATTTATAGCACTTTAATGTACCTTGTGGGTGGTTGACAAATGTTGTTACCCAAAAGTTCGGGATTTTGGCGATCAATTCTGACCTCTTCTGGAAGAATGGTTGGCGGAGTTTGTTGTACTTCTGTTCTACTTTCAAAATTTCCTCACTGGCCTGTTCATTCAGTCTATAGCAAAGACAAGATTCAAACAAAATGGGAGATCCAAAGTGTAGGGGAAGTATCAAAGCAGCATGACATTTCACAGCAGATTGGGGGGGAAATAGAACACTAAGTAGAAGGATTAGTTTATTTTAATCTCTAACAACCTGAAAGTTTAATCTGAAACCAATGGGACCAGGTCATTGATGCACTGTTAAATAAGGGTGACTTTTTTGCCCAAATAAGCAACAAACTATCTATCCTTCCAGATCAGAGCCTAATACAGAACCTCGTGTTACGTACCGTTCTCCTTACAAATGCTTCGGGTAACGAGCGCCACTAACCCAGAAGTAGATGCCCCTAGTTGCAAACTTTGCCCTGGGATGTGAGCAAAGTCGTGCGCCGGCAGCGCAGCACCAGCAGCGGGAGACCCCATTAGCGAAAGCATGCCTCATGTTAAGAATAGACCTCCAGAACGAATTTAAGTTTGTAACCAGAGTGACCACTATATCTGAATGATGATGAATTCAGTCTTAATTGTAGAGCAGTAAACATTCTCAAGTGGCATTAATTGAGTCAAATACACCCTATTACCACATTGCACAGCATCTCCCATATATAGATCTCAGGTTTAACTCTGGTTCATAGATGTGGTTGGACTACAACTCCCATCATTCCTAGCCATCACGGCCTGTGATCAAGGATGATATGAGTTGTAGTTCATTAACATCTGGGGACCCAAGGTTCAGAAAGGCCACTAGCTCAGAAAACTCAAGTTTGCCCCACATGTGATTGCTGACAGTAGGTACGCACGCAGGGAATGAAAAATGAAACAAATCAACGTTCATTCATTTTGCAACCCCTATGAACCAGGTGCATTGTTTCACACTTAAGAAATACCATGAATAGCCTTTGTAAAATCCACAGAAAGGAGGAGCAATAATGTGTGTAATTTGCAGGTTGCATCTTTGGCTGCTGGGGTGAGTGGGGGGCTTGATTTCCTTCCCCTTCCACACCCATAGCTGGCATCTTAATAAGCAGCATTGACTCACATCACTTATGAAAATCTCTGTCCAAAATATACGAGCTTCTTACTGCTACCAGCAGTTTCCTTTTCAACTTTTGTATTTAATAGATGAAATCCAAATAAGCACAGGTCATGTTTTCAAGTTTCGAAGTACATTCCAGCTGCCTTATATTATAACTCTTTATAAGCAAATTACTAAATAGCAGACAAAAAGCTTTTATCAGCTATGTTGTTTTATAACGTAAGCATTGAGATGCTTGTTAATGTATTCTGAATAAACATATAACACCATCTGGGTTACCTGTCTATTTCATTCTGTACTTCATCAATATGTTCAATTGCTTCCTGCTGCTCTTTGTCTGGAAAAAAAAATGTGCCTCAAGTCAGATTCTAATTAGCAACACAATAAACACATGTAATGCTTGTTCTCAATATTGTGGATGGATCAATATATTTTGATCTATATTGTTTCTCGATCTGCTTTGCTTTTGACTGTGTATTCCTTTGCACATGCTTTCTCCCCCATACACTGAACATGCATTTTAACAAGAAAACATTCCATTTCCGTTGTTAGGCTCCAAACCTATGTACACTTACATAGGAAGTTGAGAATATGGTTTTAAAAATAAACAAATCAGACAAACCTATTCCTAAGTATAAATTCACACAGTAATGTGCTGAAAGAATTTGATCCAAAATCTGAGCCCCACAGGGTCTGTGGGTGAAAAGAACTGCTCTCATGTATTCACAAGATTGTTTTCAATCTATACTTCTAATCTTGCAACTATTCTCACCTGGTGGGACCCATGAGATGGTTACTTTGCTTCTACATCTCTCATCTGGCCCATCATACAGCCAACAGACTTTAAGAATGTTCATGGCACTTTATATAGAGCCACAAGTTGTTGAACTAATCAACCCATCAGTTTCATTTAACTGAAAAAAGCTATGTAATAAAGAGCACACCTGAGAACACATTAATTTCCTGGATCAGCATTTTTAAGGCAATAAAAAACCCCTGTTGAGCAAGTGAACACGCTACACTATGTTTCCTTTAAAAGAAACAATGCTTATTGTCTAGTGTGCTTTCAGACAGCTGAAAGAGTGGGAAGCAGCCTATTTAAAAACCCAGAAGGCGGGATTCCACGGACCTCTTAGTCTAGCCTGCATTATTTGGAGACAAATGGGCTTTTTCCAAAACCTGGGATGAGGGGAACCCCCTCCTCCCCTTGGCATAAGGAAGCCAGCTATTCCAGGCCCCTTTCTTTGGGAACATGGCACAATGAATTCTGCACGACATGCTCTATGTGCAGCGTGGCTTAGTGGCGTGCAGCTTCAGGCAATGAAAGCAGGATCGACTTAAAACTCATCCCAGCAAGAAAATCTTTTTTTTAAAAAAAGGCGGCTACAGACGGCGGTAGAAGCAACACGTGCGCAGAGTAACGGACGCTGGGCACTCTTTTGAGGGTTGGTCCCTGCCAGACAATTGTCGGTTTCCTTTTTACAAGCAGCATCGTTTAAAGGGTGGGGAGTGCCCCGTTTCTCTCAAATACAATGAAAACATGAATTCATTTTTTAAAGAAATCTGCTGTTGGGCATCTGTAGGTGCGTATATGCATATACAGTATAAATGATTTGGGGGCGGAGATCAAGCCACGAGTTTCGGGTTTGATCTGAGCCGCCGAAGCCATGGCACAACTGCACGTGGTGGGAAGTTGCGACCCCTCAAACTGCAGGAGGGAAGCCGCCGCTTTGTAGTAAAAAGACACCCACAAAACGCGCCCCTCTCCTCCTCCGCCTCCAAAGTACAAAACCTTCTTCCGAGCTGCTGCAAGGCAAAAGCCATGCGTTGCAGGGAAGGCAATCATGGCGGCAAGCAAAAGCGGGGGGCGGGAAAGAAAGAAAGCACGGTTGGAGCGCGGCCGGGGAGGATATATTCTCTGTGTGCGAGGAAGCGGTATAAAAGGGATCGGAAGCGAAGAGCGAGGCCTTCTGCTGCTGTTGCCGCCGCCAGAGGCGGGAAGAAGAAAGCAGCCAAGGGCGCAAGGAGAGCGAGCGGGCGAGAGCGCGCCGCGCGGGAGACAAAAGGGGCGCTTTAACATGGCCTCCCTCCCTCGCTTGGACTCAGCCGCCGCCGCGGCCTGCACATCCGGCCCACACGAGCGAGGCCCCCCTCCGCTCGAAGGCGCGCTTCCCTTCCCGCCTCCGGTGGCGGCCGCTGCTGCTGCTGGAGAAGATGGCGGCTGCGGAGGGGGCAAAGGAGAAGAGCCTCGGCGTGTGCATCTCTTCCCTCCCACCTCCGGGTCCCGCCCGCCATTCCCGCGCGCCACACAAGACCCCCTTTCGCCCCCGCCTCCGGCACCCGCACCTGAGATCTCGTCGGCCCCGTCGTGGTTGGAGTTGAGCTCCTTCTTGCTGACTTTGGCCGGCGGCGCCGACATGTTGGGAGCGAGAAGAGGCGGGGAAAGAGAGGGGAGAGACAGGCAGGCAAGGACTGAGAGAGCAGAGCAGCTGCGCAGCCTCGCCTCAGACCGGGCTTAGCTGGAGCTGCCTCTGCTCCTCCTCCTTCTCCTGGGTCTTCCTATGCGTGGGAGAAGACGGGGTGGCGGCAGAGCCTGGGCTCCCCTCACGCTATCTCCACACAGCGAGAGCCTCCGCCTCCTCCTCCTCCTCTGCCGCCTCCTCCTGGTTCTGGCGAGGGGAAAGCGAGTTGCGCGCAGGCGCGCAGATTGGTTTTTATCTCTCCTTTCCCGCGGCCGCCACCAGAGGGATAGTAGAATCGAAATACGCATGCGGACTTTTTCTTCCTCCCGCCCCCTCGCTTACTCCTGTGCGCGTGAGTGGCCGCGCAAGCGCAGACGCGTCCCTGCGCCTAGACTAGAGAACGCGGGTGAGCCAAAGGCACATGCGCAGAAGCTCCAATGTTGCTTTTCCCCCAACGGGTGCGAGAAAACCGAGCTTACTGCGCAGGCGCCTTTACTCTTCTCCCCACTTCCATCATAGAAAAGAACGTAAAGATGTAGCTCCCTCCTCCCTATCAGGTAGCGAGAGAATTCTCTTGCGCAGGCGCATACGCTATCTGTGCATGGGACGTACAGAGGATAACTGCTCACGGAGGGGCTACGGATAGCAGGAGAGGGATGACAAAGCGCAGGCGCAGAAATACACTCCTCTATAGGCACAGGTTTTAAAAGATGGGCAACAACTTAAACGCAGGGGCGGATGTGTCGCCTTTAATCCCGCCTCCTCTTCGGATGCTGCTTGGTCGCCATGGATGTGCGTCTATAAGTTAATATTTGCATATGTATAAATAGGAGTGGGCGCGGCCTTGTATGGAGCTATGTTGGAGAAGCGAAAATAGAACGGTGGTCCCTGCGCATGCACAGACATGTCACATAAAATTTTTATTTTTCTAAGCACTGACTGGCGCCCAAAAGAGAGCCATGCGCTCTCCAAGAAATTTTCCTAGCAGTGTAATAATATAGGTTATATTGCAACTACTTTTTTGTTTGCCTTCCCCACCTTATACTGAAATCCTGCCTTTTCTCCCAGAAGCTCAACTTTTTATTTATTTAAAAGCGTTTTAACAGGGTTGCCATATCTCCAAAAGTGAACTAAATAAATATACTGCTTAACATTTCAAAAATATCTTAAGTGGCATACTGTGAAACAAAATAATACATCCTGAAAATGAAAGCACTGCCTAAAACCAATAAATCAATAAATATACAACTTGCTTTAAGAAATCTCTAAAGTGGTGTACAGTCTAAAGAAGCTGTTATTAAAATAAAAAACCCTAAAACCTAACATACAGTAATACTTTTTAAAAGTATATCTTTATTAATTTAAAATAAATACATTTATGGGAAAACAGACAAATGAACAAATAAATAAACAAACCTACTGTAATCAAACAAACAAATAATGAAGAAATAAAACAAACAACCACAATATAAGAAACAACAAAAATAGTATAACTAACATCATTTATACTCCTGATACTGAAATTATAAAATTTATGAAGAAATTAAAAATGACTTCCAATTAATCTCACTGTACTTTATCTATCAATTACCTTATACCACACAGTTGCATATTTCTTATATAGTCTTTTTATCTCCCTACTATCTTATATTTATACAATACAAGGATCAGTCTAGTTCTGCCAAGATGTTTCCTTTTATACCATAGTTTTTAAAGTATTCTTTAAAGATTCTCCACTCCTTGTAGACTTTTTGTTTTGGTTGGCCTCTTATCCTTCCTGTCACCTTCGCTAGCTGCAGATATTCTACCATTAGGTTTTGCCAGTCTGCCGTATTGGGTATTGTTGTATTTTTCCAATTTCTTGCTACTAAAATTCTGGCTGCCGTTATCCCGTACATGAACAATGTTCTTTTTGATTTCCCTATTTCTTTTGGCAGGATGCTTAATAAAAATATTTCTGGCCTTTTTTTAATGTAAATTTAAATAGTTTTTAAAGTTCTTCATATATATTATTCCAAAATACACAAATGTCTGTACACTTAAACCACATATGCAAATAAAACCCAATTTCTCTGTTACATCTCCAAAGTATAGGTGATCTATTCTTATACATTTTAGCAAGTTTTTCTGGAGTTTGGTCCCATCTGTACATCATCTTCATTGTGTTTTCCCTGAGGTTATAACAGGCCATGAATTTTGTGTCTTTCTGTCATAATTTTTCCCATTGTTCCATGTAAATATTATAATTCAGATCTTGTGCCCATCTCACCATTACGGTTTTCACTTGTTCTTCCTTTGCTTCCCATTCTAATAGGAGGTCGTATACCCGCGATATATATTTTCCTTTACTTTGTATCAATTCTTTTTCAAATTTTGATGTTTCTTTTGTAAGTCCTGTTTTCTTATCAATGATTAATCTTTGATGTATTTGAAAATATTGCAGCCAATCTGTTAAATGCCCCTTAATTTCTTCATATTTTTTCAGTGTAGGCTCCTCCTGTCATCCTTCTAATAATAATTGGTATGTGGCCCATTCCCTTTCCATATTCTTTTTCTTAACTGCCTGCGCTTCTTTAGGTGAGGTCCACAGGGGGATCCTGGGTTCTAGTATTCCTTTATATTTTGTTCAGATCTTATATAATGATTTCCTTAATAGATGATTCAAGAAGCCCCTTTACCTTCTCATATATTAAATAGGCATGCTACCCATACCGATTATCATATCCCTCCAAATATAATACATCAAAGTCCCTTAATGTTATCCAATCTAATATACAGTAATACTTTTTAAAAAATCTAAAAGTACATAAAACAAATTCAGAGATTTCAAGCATGCAGAAACAGGCAGGGAAATCCTGAGGACAGCTTGTGCTAAATGTTTTGCAAATTGGCATTTCCCAGCCTGTGGGTCACAACCTGCAAGTGGGTTGCAAATCCTTTGCAAGTGGTCATGGGCTTTACAATTTATGCTTTGATTCCTCATGTAATTGTAAAACTTGCAGTTAAAGTGCACGAAACTGATGGCAGCCAAATCCATGTGACAATAAATCAATGAATCACCATGCCAAGATGATTTAGACTTGAGAAACACTATTATAATTGTTATGAGAATTATAAGGTCTAAGATATAAAATAAATGTTCATAAATGTACCAGGCAAACACATACATAAGTATATAAACCACATGTCTGAAACAGTATAGGAAAACAGTCCTAAAGCCATTTTGAGTCTTTCAGTGACTTCAAATATTCCTCTGCAGTTTGGATGGAAATAGGAAAAGCCTCCCCATTGTCTCTGTGCTCACAAATCCTGCCTTAAGGGCACATTTGTGTATGAATAGGGTGAGCCTGTGACCAGGACTCAGGAATTAAATATTTATCATCACAAAAGAATGGCCAGGCTGTCCAGGTAAACCCATTAACAGGTATCCTGGCAGATAGGATTTCTGCTGTAGACTGCCTCCTGTGATGTATGTATACTGTTTTGGGGGGTGGTCTTGAGCTACAGGGTGGGCAATTTCAAAAGTCTATGTAAGGGCTTGCACAGCATTGTTCAGGGTTCTCTCCTCCCTCCTGCGTGTGGTGAGTGGGGGCCCTGTTGCAACTGTTTAATAAAGATCAGGCTTACTAGCCACTTTGCTTCTCAATATACTCTGGTTGGCCTCTGTTATTTTCTCCTAAGGACTTTATATGGGCTCTAGGATACCCCATAAGGGAAAATGAGCATTTTTTTCTTATAACAATAACAATGTAATAAAAATATTGCTTCTTACCCCTAAATTTCACTTTTGAGCAGTGATGAGTAGCAAGATCTCTTTCATATCCTTCAGATATATGAAAGAATGCCTCCTTCCATACCAATCTGGGAACTGAGATTTGCAAAACAGGCCCTATTTGCAGTTCCATCTTCTGCTGAAGTTCAATGCATGGGCACTCCTGGGAGGGCCTTCTTAGTGGTAGTTCCACACTTATGGGATGTTTCCTTTGCCATTTGCTTTTTCTTTAACACCAGCAGCCTCTTATCCAGCATTGCTAATAGTAAAATAAATAACAACAAAATCAGTACAGTTTAGAATACAGTGGTTAAAATCCATGCAGTTTAGACAGGTTCAGTCCACTATCTTGATTCAAAACGGCATCCAGTTGTATCTAAATATAGACCAAGAAAACCCTGCTATTTGATCTCAAGAATCATCATGCAAAAGTTTTGTTAAAATCATTGCAGTTTTGGAAGATTTAGTCTTGATTCAAAATGGCACCCAGTTGTATCCAAACATAGACATAAAACTGCCCTTTGATCTTAAAAAGGTAAAGGGACCCCTGACCATTAGGTCCAGCCGTGACCAACTCTGGGGTTGCAGCACTCATCTCGCTTTGATCCTAAGCCCTTTTATCTTAGGAGCCATCATATAAAATATGCTTATGGTATGTTACATCTAAATCTGATATCTAAAACCACTTCCTCAAATATCATCAAAATGTGTGGTGTAGTGCTTCAAGTGTTGGACTGGGACCTTGGGAGACCAGGGTTCAAATTTCTACTCAGCCATGAAGTTCACTGGATCATTGACTATCTCTCTGCCTCACCTGTCTCACAGGGTTGTTGTGAGGATGAGGAAATGAGAAGTGTGCATGCTTGGAGGAAAGGTAGGGTATTAAATGGTAAACAAATAATAAAAAATAAATATTATATAAATCCAACCCCCCAAGCAAACAAAGGAAAGAGTGTCAGATAAACCTATCCTCAACACAGACCCCTTTCTTACTTGGTGTAGCAAAAGTCTGCATAAATAGAAAAATATTCACTAACCCCAAACGGGCACAGAAGAATAGCTGTTTGAACCTCAAGGAGCAAAGTATTGCAGAATGTGCACAGCCAACTGAATGCTATTTTTTCCCCATTTCGTTTTATTTAACAAAATGTAAATACTGATTAATTGTAGTAAAGCCTCTTAAGTGGTGTATTAAAAATATAAAAATGATCAATTAAAACAGCTAAAAAAACACAAAAACTTAAGGTTAATTAAAAGGCTGCAGTCTATGTTAGACCTACTCAGAATAGACCAATTGAATTTAATGGGCATGACTAAAGTAGGTCCATTAATTTAAGCAGGTTTACTCTTAAGTGAAAAAAACCATAAAACTAGCAACCCAACAGTGAAGGTGAGAAACATTTATTTTGTATATTAACGGCAAGCATTTTAAGATTGTTTTACAGTTGTCTTTCATGGTCATTTTTGTAAGTAATACAGGTGTTGTAACAGTGATGATGTCCTCATCACTACAGAGGAAGCTTGCCAATCATTTACCTCAGGTTGGGCCTAAAATAGCTCCCTCAATGCTAACTGTGACCGGGAACTTTTGGATAAACAGGGTTAAAATTTACTTAAAAGTAGGATAAAGACAGGGATTTCAGCATAAAGTACAGTGGTACCTCGGGTTAAGAACTTAATTCGTTCTGGTGGTCCGTTCTTAACCTGAAACTGTTCTTAACCTGAAGCACCACTTTAGCTAATGGGGCCTCCTGCTGCTGCTGTGCCGCCGCCGCCGCCCGATTTCTATTCTCATCCTGAGGCAAAGTTCTTAACCCGAGGTACTGTTTCTGGGTTAGTGGAGTCTGTAACCTGAAGCGTCTGTAACCTGAAGTGTCTGTAAACCCGAGGTACCACTGTAATTAATGAAATACTAATATTAGTGATAGCGAGCCAAGTAGCTGAGGTAGAATGTGAAGTGGCAGAGGTTCACAAAATGGCTACCAATTTGAAAAACAAGTTGGAAACTACTAACAGGAAAGAAAATAAGGGAGGAAGAGAGATGTTCAGGGTGTACACAAGGAAATCACCCTGTTTTCCCAGGTGTGATAAGGAAAACAATCTTAAAAAAATAAATATTGATTCTCTTTACTCTCTTCATGTCCCCAAAGATGTTCCCTGCTGTAGAAAGAAGTATATTGGGAAAACCTTTCCCAACAGTTCTTTTCATTTGCAAACTCCTCCAAATACATAAAACATCTCTCATGAATAGGGGAGGTCTGTAACAATAGACTCAAGAACTGAAGTATTACCATTTCCAAATAATGGCCTACACTGTCCAGAATAAGGCAATCAGCAAGCACTATCAGGTGTCTTGACAGAGAGGAGACAGGTCACACTGTCAGGCTTGGGAATTCTCCTCCCCACCCCCATCCCTTGGCAGCAAGAAGTAGAGAAAACAAGGTAGAGAGTCCTTTTTAATGAGTTTATTCATTCATAATAGCAAGAGACAAGAATGCAGTATGCCCTGATAATGACGTTGCTCCAACTGAGCTCCTCTTCCCTCCTCTCTGGCAACAGCATTTCCCCTTACAGTGGCCGCCCATGGCCAATTGTCTCTGAGTCCTTTGCTCCTGTACTCTTAAGAAATGCCAATTTGTGGGAGAAGGGGGTCAGAAATATTCTCCAGTGACAACGTGTCTCTTTCTGTTTGATGCTTTTGGATGATCTTTGACTAAGGGTCTGGGCAATTTAAAAGTTGTTACAGTGGTACCTCGGTTCTCGGATGTCTCTGTTGATGAATGTTTTGGAACCCGGACGAAAACCCAGAAGTAAATGCTTCCGTTTTTGAACGTGCTTTGTAAGTCAAATGGCTTCCGCTGCGTGTTTTTCAATTTTCGCATTTACAGCCAGCCCTTTGTGCCTCAGTTTTCAAATATTTCAAAACTCCAATGGTCTTCCGGAACGGATTATGTTTGAGAACCGAGGTACCACTGTACACACATCTGGGTCCTCACCTCCGTGCAAGGCGGGGAGGAAGAGGAACTTTAAAGATCTGCCTTGCTTTGACTGCTTCCTGCTTCTACTCTTTCTTCTCTGTCTGATAATTAACTTAGGGGATACTGGGTCACTTGATGGGGAGTTGGGCTGTAAATACTAACCCCAAATTTTTATTATATCAAGCTGGATGCACTATTTCAGTAATGACATGCTGCGGGGCGGGGGGGGGGGGACACAACTAGTCCTCTACCAGTTATGCTTAAAAGGGAAAAACCCAAAATGCTGAAAGGGACAAACTCCCGCTTTCGGTATACACCATAGCCTGAAAGTAACATCCTCTTCACTTGTTATCCTGGGGGCAATAGGTTCCTTCTGCTGTCTTAGGGTCAAGCCACACACTGCAATAAGCACACTTACTCACCAAAAGTATGCTTAAATTTCATTCTTCAAGAAAAAGTAGCTGTACAGTGGAACCTTGTGTTACAGACGCTTCAGGTTACAGACACTTCAGGTTACAGACTCTACTAACCCAGAAATAGTAGCTCAGGTTAAGAACTTTGCTTTAGGATGAGAACAGAAATTGCGAGGCGGCAGGAGGAGGCCCCATTAGCCTTAGGAGGTACCTTAGGTTAAGAACTGTTTCAGGTTAAGAACAGACCTCCAGAACGAATTAAGTTCTTAACCCGAGGTACCACTGTACATTATTAAGTCACTGCTATCTTGTCATCCTGAGTCGGTAAACCATATAGACTAGTGGTTCCCAATTCACTAAGTACTATGGACCTCCTGTTTTTCAAAAGCCAAGCCATGGACCCCCTACTTTTGAACATTTAGATATCTCTGTGGTAGTTTTTGTTATGTGAATGGTGCCACAGACCCCCTTGGTGGGTTACGCAGACCCCCTGCGAACCACCAGTTGGGAACCACTGATATAGGCTAATAGGCTTTTTAAATCAAGATGCTAAAATATTTACAGCAATCTTTACTGCAAGGCTTAACACATTTATTTCTTCCTACATCGCAACTGTTCTAATCCCCAGGCTACTAAATGTCACCTGTGACAGCAAAAGCAAAAATTTACCACTAGTACGTAGTCATATCACTTGATGCATGTAAAACTGCCAAAACGAGTCAATTGGCAGTTCCTATAAGTGTTGATGTAAAAAATGAACATGGGACAGTATTTCATGGCTTCTATCATGAGATTATACAAAAACTCATATGCTCAAGTCAGGATGAGTGGCATAGATTCTAAAGCTTTCTCCACTGCAAGGGGAGTAGGTACGACGTGGATGGCATCTAACGTCCATCTTATAGAACCATTCCAGTGCCGGATTTAGGTATAAGCTAAACAAACTATAGCAATAAGAGAGCCAGTGTGGTGTAGTGGTTAAGAGCGGTAGACTCCTAATCTGGTGAACCGGGTTCGCGTCTCCGCTCCTCCACATGCAGCTGCTGGGTGACCTTGGGCCAGTCACACTTCTCTGAAGTCTCTCAGTCCCACTCACCTCACAGAGTGTTTGTTGTGGGGGAGGAAGGGAAAGGAGAATGTTAGCCGCTTTGAGACTCCTTCGGGTAGTAATAAAGTGGGATATCAAATCCAAACTCTTCTTCTCCTTCTAGCAGGGGTCAGCAAGGTTTATCTTGCTTGGGCTGGATCGGTCCAGTGGATATCTGTCAGTGGGCTGGATTGCGCCCGAGCCTGCAATTTTCAGCGTCTGTGTCTGCACAGACGCAATTTTCGGCGCTGCGGAAACGAGTCCCCACGCTGTGCTGTGGCAGTTTAGCGCAGCACGCGAGCAGGCAACTCGGTTTGGGGGCAGCTCATGGGTCAGTCAAACAACCTCTGTGGGCCGCTTCCGGCCCATGGGCCTTAGGTTGCTGACCCCTGAGCTATAGCTTAAACCCCACTGTCTTGGGGCTCTGAAAAAATTTAAAGGAAAAAAAACCTGGATGTACATTTCCAAAATATAAGATAAAAATAAAATAAAATAAAATAAAACCTACATAAAGCAACAGTGTTTTATGTTGTATAGGCTCCTATGATATAAGGAAAGGGCCCCGCCTGCTAGCCTGCTCCCTAAAATATCACTGGTTTGCTCATTTCTATATATAGTGGTACCTTGGTTCTCAAACTTAATCCCTTCCAGAAGTCTATTCCAAAACCAAAGCGTTCCAAAACCAAAGCGTGTTTCCCACAGAAAGGAGTGCAAAACAGATTACTCTGTTCCAGACTTTTAAGAACAACCCTTAAAACAGCAATTTAACAATGAATCATGATAAAATTATACAATTGAATGGGTATTGGGTAGATGCATTTATATAATTAGACCTGTTAAATTTTTTTTGATGTACAGGCATGTATAGTATTTGTATTATTTATGAATGTGACATATTACTAGAAATACCGTCTTTTACAGTCACTAAGTGTAACAGGGTACAAAGGTCTGCTGTCCCAATGAACAGTGTAAACTACAAAGGTGATATTGATATTATATTTAAAAAATGCATTGTATGAACTACAGTTGCATTGTACAGGTTATAACACTTAATTCCATATGAATAAAGCTATTTATCATTATGAGTCGTTTGCATCACGTATTTACACCTATCATTATTTCATGTTATAGCAAGTTTCTAGAGACTAGATGATTAGTCTTTGTAAATTGTGTTCCTAAAGGAACTTTTGTTCTTGCCCAATGCCAATGTGTTTGCAGTATTAAGTTTATGAATGAAAAATCATTTCAAGTTAGAACTGAATAATTATGTCACTATGAATATACTTCTTCTTAATTGTATTGCAGTTCAACAATGACTTTGATAAAATACATCTTTTGTGATGTGCAAATGACTTGAGATACCTATGAGGTCCATCAATTACCATAGAGCATATGTTCAACACACAAAAAACCCAGCGACAATTTGTTGTTGACAAAGAACAGCTGGACATATAAAGGGCCCCATTACCTTCAGTAGCTTAGGGCCACATCAAACTTAAATCCGGCCCTGCGCACTGCCTCACCTCCTCCTCCCAAGAAGTCCCAAGGCAGGTGAGTTTCTGACAGTGGGCAACTCCAGAGTTGTCTGGCTCCTTGTCTCAGCTTGGGCGGCAGCACTTTGGGGGTGTCTGGTTGGCTCTGGACGTCAGGGGTCCTCAAGGAGGAAGACCTTTGTGGCTTCCCGAGGAGGGAAGGGCAGTTTGGCAGGGCTGGAGCAGCCGCTTGGCTGGCAAGGGGGGCAAGAGGGGCATATTGCAGTCAGGGCTGGCAGGACTGAATGAGATGAATCTGAGGTTTGACTTGCTACAAGGCAGCCTCCTCTGGTCCCCTGTCCAGTTCCCTTGGCCCTCTGGAGAAGCTTGCATTCTTTTGCAATTTTAAATTGCAGGCTGCAATTTTAAGAGAAGCAAATAAGCTAAAATATGTTTGAAAATTGCTTGTCCGCAACCAGTCTTTAAATCCTCCTCTTCAGCTTCACGTTAAGGGACAAAGCAAAACAAAAGTTGATATTTATGGGTGAATTTTGGCAGTATTTAATTATTATCACCATCATCCTTTCACAAAGCCATTGCAAAAGAACGAGACTGCAGGCATTCTGGGTGGCATTCCTAGCGAGGTCAATGGATCTTTGTAGAAGACGACATTAAAGTGCAACATGTATTGTTCTAAAGAGGCACAAAGAACGAAAACAAATAATAAAAAATCATAATATTCTAATAATGTATTGGCCCGAATATAACACACATCCACAAATAAGCCACACCTTTAAAATTGAAGGCTTATTTGTGGGCGTGGCCTGCTCCCCGGTACTACCGCCTTCCGGCACTACCTTCCCAAGCTGGCGGCGCCCCCCCCATTCAGAGCAGTAGTGCCGGGAGGCGGGTGTGCAGCGCTTGGTTCCAAATATAAGCCGCATTTTAACTTTTCACAGCCGGAATTGAGGGGGGGGGGAGTGTGGCTTATATTCTGGCCAAGACGGTATCATGCAATCATATCATTCCACAAGCAATCATGATACAGTGGTACCTTGGGTTAAGTACTTAATTCGTTCCAGAGGTTCGTTCTTAACCTGAAACTGTTCTTAACCTGAAACACCACTTTAGCTAATGGGGCCTCCTCCTGCTGCTGCTGCTGCTGCTGCTGCTGCTGCCTTGCCGCCGGAGCACGATTTCTGTTCTCATCCTGAAGCAAAGTTCTTAACCTGAGGTACTATTTCTGGGTTAGCAGAGTCTGTAATCTGAAGTGTATGGAACCTGAAGCTTATGTAACCCGAGGTACCACTGTATAGGCTTCATGAAATCATGAAATCATGAAATCATGATTTTGTGATATGCAATCATGATTGCATGAAATCATGAATTTCTGAAACCACATTTCATATCATAGTGTGAGATCAATATATCATTATTGTGTGGTTGCGATTCGTGAAATCATGATTCTGTGGCATCTTGGCACGAAATCATGATATCATGCATTCTTGATTGTATATCATGATTGTGTGATATCACGAAATATGCAATCGTGATATACGAGGGGTGTGTGTGGTGTTACACGAGAGGTACTGTATTGGCCCGAATATAAGACGCACCCACAAATAAGCGGCACCTTTAAAATTGAAGGCTTATTTGCAGGTGTGGCCCACCTCCTGGTACTACTGCCCAGAACGGGGGGGGGGGTGGCCGACGCTGGCGCTTGGTTCTGAGCACACTGTGCACCCACCTCCCGGTACTACCGCCTCCCGGCACAAACTCCCCAAGGCGGAGCCAGCTGCCCCCCCCCCGTCCCCCATTCAGGGCAGTAGTGTCAGGAGGTGGGCACACAGTGCTTGGTTCCGAATATAAACTGCACTTAACTTTTCACAGCTGGAATTTGGGGGGAAAATGAGGTTTATATTCGGGCCAGTACGGTAATACCTCTGGTGGGGACACGTCATGCTCCTTCTGGAGTAGTTTGTCACTTTTGGTCCTCACCCTGCACTCCGCTCTCACCTGTGGCTCCTAGAAGCTGTCAGCATGCGATGGCGGCCACATCTGGAAACCACTTTGGTTGGCTGGCTAAGCCAGGTGAGAGCAGCTGATGGGTCTCTAACACTCAGTGAGTTAGAGACTTCCCCTGCATGCAAAGACAGGCTCAGGCGGACTGAGTGGACGAGACCAATAACAGATCCAATGGTCAAGACAACAGTATCTGCATGTGCTGTTGAGGGAGAACAAAATGCATTGCCTTTAGTTTCATTGTTGACTTCCGTGGTTTGTTTCGGGGAACTTGTCGCAAAACTGATTTTTACAGCAGTTTGCCAGAATACAGCTGGCTCTACACCACTTAGAGCAATACCCTTTGCTGGAATGACCAAGAAGTTGTAGAAAGAGGAAATGAGCCCATTTCTTTCCCTTCCTTCTTCTCTAGCATTGCTGCATTTTTTGTTTTATTAAAGCTGTAATAACAAAGGTCTGTATAGTTAAAGCTATGGTTTTCCCAGTAGTGATGTATGGAAGTGAGAGCTGGACCATAAAGAAGGCTGATCACCAAAGAATTGATGCTTTGAATTATGGTGCTGGAGGAGACTCTTGAGAGTCCCATGGACTGCAAGAAGATCAAACTTAACTAATTTTAAGGAAATCAGCCCTGAGTGCTCACTGGAAGGACAGATTCTGAAGCTGAGACTCCAATATTTTGGCCACCTCATGAGAAGAGAAGACTCCCTGGAAAAGACCCTGATGTTGGGAAAGTTGGAGAGCACAAGGAGAAGGGGACGACAGAGAACGAGATGGTTGGATAGTGTTCTTGAAGCTACCAGCATGAGTTTGACCAAACTGCAGGAGGCAGTGGAAGACAGGAGTGCCTGGTGTGCTCTGGTCCATGGGGTCACGAAGAGTCGGACATGACTAAACGACTAAACAACAAAACCTGTATTAATGAAAGAACTAAGCAATTCTGGTAAAATTGCCATATTAAAAATCAACAAATCCAAATTGGAATTTAATCTATATGGGTATTATTCCATCTGAACAGTCAATCATTCAAAAACAGATGAGCTGTAAAATCTGCCGCAAGGTAATAAAATATTTGGGAGTGCGAAAATCTTATCAGCTAAAAGAAAGCAAACCTTACACCATTATTTTTTACAGGTATGATGGGATCTTAGATCTTGGAATTAGATCATGATCAGGATATATAGCTGCTGTAAATATGGCTATCCTTCCCCCAAATTTTTTTTCCTTGTGTGCTGCCAAGAATGATAACACCTAAACAATTTGGCAGTGCTCAATAAACACTCAATTAAAATTTGGCAGTGCTCAATAAACTTCATACAGGAAGGGGGAAAGCACAACTAGGCTCCAGAATTATGTATGGAAGTGGAGGGTTCGGAATCCCACACCTCCAAACTGATTACAAAGCATTTGATGTCATTCATCTATGGATGAAAGGGTAAACCATGGGTAGATATAGAAATTTCATATCCAATATATTGAGAATATATTTTCTACCCCTTAACTCACTAAAAACCATAAACCTTTTCCTCCTCATCACACTGAATGTTTGGAAAACATTAAAAAAATAGGCTCTTACAGTATCTCCCCTTTGCTTCCACCAATCCTTTTAAAAAGCAGGTGAATGCTTAGACTGGAATGGTTGGAACAGGTGGACTTTTAGAGACTAAAAGACTTTTATGAAAATGGTATTTCTCTACAAAAAGAACTATTCATAGCTGACATACCAAACCTTAAATGGTCATGGTGCTATTTAAACCAGCTGTTAAAATGCTTGTTAAACCCACATACCGAATAAAAAATGGATGGCTTTTGTGGTCCAAGTGACTGTTGAAACTTTTTAAGAGTGCTGTCTTCAAAGAAATAAGCTTGATATATGACAAAACCATTGAAATATCTCTTGCACTAGCACTACTTAGGCGAAGATTACCCTAATTATGACCTCTTAGCCTTTCTATTGACAGTTGCCTGTATGGAGATAGCCAGATGCTGGAAAACTGGTGTTGGGCTGAACACTGATTCTTGGTATACCAGAGTATGGCCAGAGAATAAAAGGGGAAGCAAAATCCCTATTCCTTTTATAACATATGGCAAATGTTTATTGAATACATAAACTGTTCAGACTGTAGCAAGAATCCACCCAACACTCATGGGAAAATCCTTCACCAGGTATTATAGATATTTTGGGGGCCTACTGCAGTCTTTCCTCTTTCAACAAGCCTTTTGAGATCTTTCCCAGTGTGGATCTGCATTGGACAGTTCAAGATGTTTTAGTGTTTTATTTCTTCATTGTTACATAGGGTTTATTCAGGAAGAAGGGCAGCAATATGAATTAAAAAATTAACTCGGGACCATTATTTTCTATTAGTCTGTTCAGAATAAAACTTAGTTGGATGCAATCCAAAGATTTTGGCACTTACATAGGACAGTTCATGTGAGCAGCTTGATAGAATGCAGCTCCTGGGGGGCAGAGCTGATGGTCTGGAAGGAGGAAGATTTTTTAAAAAATGCTTGGGTTGTTGTGCAAATAAATTTAAGGGGAGAGAACCACATACACACCATCATCATCATCATCATCATCATCATTTCATGTACACCACCTTGATCTCATTCAAGGAAAGGGGGAATTTCTTTCTATATACGTAAGAATGTAAAGCTGTCATTGCGTTTAACTGGAGGATTTGCAGTGCTACATCACAATTCTGGATTTGCATGAAGTCAAGGTGCAGGAGAGGAACAAAAGAGGAGGCAGGTTTTAAACAACAGCAGATAACTGAATAAATCAGGGACAGAGGGACACGAGAGGACCTGTGTAGATATGGGGGGTTGGGGTGAGTTGTAAAGGGAGGAGGGTGGGGGACTGGAAATGGGGGTGGTGGGTATATGAGCAGGGGTAGCAACCTGTAAAAAACAGACACAAACTTCTAAATCTCCAGTTTTTGAGTGAAGCATTAAAAAGGCGGGAGGGAAATAAAGATACTCCAACTGTGTTTTAAAATAGAAAGTTTTATTATTGAAAACACACACACATTATAAACATGAGAAGGGCAAATCAGGAACTGCTGTATAAGTAGGCCTATGGAGGATGCTTGGGCAGAACTAACACCAGGGTAGTGTAGTGGTTAAGAGCGGGGGACTCGTAATCTGGTGAACCGGGTTCGCGTCCCCACTCCTCCGCATGCAGTTGCTGGGTGACCTTGGGCCAGTCACACTTCCCTGAAGTCTCTCAGCCTCATTCACCTCACAGAGTGTTTGTTGTGGGGGGAGGAGGGGCAAGGAGATTGCTAGCCGCTTTGAGACTCCTTAGGGCAGTGATGAAGTGGGATATCAAATCCAAACTCTTCTACTCTTCTTCACCCAGAAGTCATAAGGAATATTCACACTTGCAGAGAGCTATTTACACTTCTTCCTTCGGACAATGGAAGCTGCCAACATCCAGACAATCTACTCTTTCAGCAACTTTAATCAAGCTTTTGGGGTGTGGCCTAATGAGGGGAAGGGAGATTGGGCACATCCCATATGCACTCAAGTTGCATCTCAGATCTGTCCCCCCCACTCCACTCCATGTGCTAGCTTGATATCAAACATTCCCATATTTAGCAGGGAGGGGGTATTTAAGTAGGCTTAGGTCAGGGGTCAGCAGGGGGGCAGTCCATTGTCTCTCAGGCCTTGTGGGGGGCCGGACTATATTTTTTTGGGGGGGGGGGAATGAATGAATTCCTATGCCCCACAAATAACCCAGAGATGCATTTTAAATAAAAGAACCCATTCTACTCATGTAAAAACATGCTGATTCCCGGACCGTCCGTGGGCCAGATTTAGAAGGCGATTGGGCCGGATCTGGCCCCCGGGCCTTAGTATGTCTACCCATGGCTTAGGTAAATGCACTTAGAATCTTCCCTTTGCTTGAGATTCCACTGTAATTATTATTATCATTTATTTATACCCCACCTTTTATCAAGAGTTGATTTTATTTATTTTATTTCATAAAACACTGCTTGAGTGCAAAAAACAAAAAACAAACAAAAACAAAGCTGTTTACAAAAATAGTTCCCAGTTGCAGGGATGATTCTAAGTGAACCCCCACCTTCTCAAAGTCCCCTGTGTATTTGCCCTTAATATCTGAAGAGGAATTTTTGTGTTCCGGAAAAGCCAGCTTCAGTACCGCCGGTTCATCTTCTTGAACTTCTCATAGTGATAGTCGTCGGTTGCCTTCTCATTTGGGGGGCGTTTGCGATTTGGTGGGGACCCTATGTTATAAAGAAAGAGGGAACCTTAATTAAATAAACTTTTATAAAGAGATGATAAGCGATGAGATCTAGATAAAAGCCTATGTGACGCCTTCAACCTTTCCAGACCTAATCCAGAATTAGTCCCAAATGTAACTTGTTGTTTGTTTGTTTTAAAAAATGGGAAACATCATATATGCCTATTTTTTTTTCCCTTTAGGGTGCCCACAAGCAAAAAAGAGGCAGGGGCTCCTATATATTTTTAAACAGTTGCATAGAGGAACAAATTTCAACTTGTCATTCAGGGGTAAAATAGACAAAGCTAAATAAATAAATAAATGGTCCATGCTGCTATGAAGGGTTCCATTTTCCTTGGTGGAGGATATGTCTCTCAGTGGTAGGAAAGGTCTACCAAATTAGCCAGGATAGCTAAAGAGAATCTACAGGTTTTATTTCTGAATCCCCAACACTACAAGTAATTATTATGCTGGGAACTAATTATTATTATGAAAGAGAATATAAGAACATATTTCCTGGAGCAGGAGAAATACAGCAGCGTAGGCATGGAGAAGGGATGCAGCTCAGTGGCAGACTACCTGCATGAAGGCCATATATAGTTAAGCCTCTGAATGGTATTTAAGTTTTGTTCAGATTAGATCCACTGAAATTAATGGACCTAACTTTGTCATGGTCGTTAATTTTTAATGGATCCATCCACTGTGAGTGGACCCTCTAAGATTCATGCCCCACCTGCATGTTAACCGCATCAGAGCTGAGAGTCAGAAGACAAAGGCAGCTTATGTATGCAAGCTGTGGACACACACAGGCATTCCAGATATCCACACACTGATGTTTTGCAGGAACTTACTCTCAGGTTCTGGTTTCTCGGTATCTCCCACCCTGAGGGGACGGGCTTTGGGTTCTTCTTTGTTTCTCCGTACTGGTGCATTCAGCTCTTCATGATAAACTGGAAAGATTCAGAATATTACAATAATGCAGGGCAGCAGAGTTTAAGACAATGGTTCAATTCAGATGCAGCACCAAATCATAGTATTGGGCTTTGAGAATGAGCCTTTTATGTCTTTGGGGTTCCAAGGTTCCTTCTCTTCTCTGCATTTGGTTTGCTTCAATTCAGATTTTTGTCCTGGTTTCATCAAACCACAGTTTGCCATGGCATCTGAACCAGCAACTATGGATTGCCTTGTTCTTGAAACCATGGTTTCCAATCCTGGTGTGATGGGTAAGTGCAAACCTAGTTCAGTCAGAGCAGCACACTACAATTTTGAAACCAGGAAGGGAGGGAATCATGATGCATGAAGGAAGGAAGAACGAACGAGGAAAGGGTACCTGGCGGACCATAAGGTCCTTAAAGGCTCATTTACATAGCTCCAAGCCAGGGTTTAGCATTATGTCTGAACCAGTACTTTCGTTTACATCAGGGATGAAAGCATTTCCAGAAGCACTTAAACATCTGTTCTGAGAATACAGTGCTTTCTGTGATTTGAGCCAATATTTTTTACCAAGTTCTGAAAACAGTGAATATGAAGCTGTATAGAAATGATGGTGGTAATGCTGAAGATGCAATACCTATGCTCTGCAGTCCCTCAAAAAGAACAGGTTGTCCAAAGCACAGGCAAAGAGGACTAGACCAGTGTTTGGATCAGCATCTGCCCAACAGGCCCTTATGCAAAGAGGGCAACACAGCCATGCCCGAGACTCACATCTGTTGTGCTGGACGTAGTTGACAGCCATGTTTGTTGGGACAAAGGAGGTTTCGCTGTCTTTCTTTTTGTTCTGCTGCTCAGCCAGCAATCGTGCTTTGGCCTCCTCGGTGGAAATGATGTTTTTGATCTTAGCTCTGAAAGGAAAAGAAATATATGTATATGAGGTTCTCTTCATACAAAGTAGAGACGATCACCCCAGATTTGGTGGGGAAAGGCAACCCAAGCAAGACCAGCACTATACACATAAAGCACTATCATACCCCTTTAAGGAGACATGGCTTTCCCAAAGAATCCTGGGAGCTGTAGTTTGTTCAGGGTGCTGAAAATTTGTTAGGAGACCCCTATTCAGCTAGGAAACAAAACCTGGCTTATTAATGGGTGAAGGCCACTGGGGATTCTCTTTTAGGCCTTTGACGCAGTGGAACCTCCAGACAGACTACATGCCTAAAACTTCTCACCAGCTTGGAATTTTGCATGAAGTTCCTAAATCAGGCAAGTCCATTTGATGGCTATTTTGTTGAGCTTATGGATTGCTCTGAGACTGTCTTGTTACAATATTTGAGGCCGCTCTGAGAGCCTTTTTTAAGGGTAAAAATGCTTGAAATAAACAAGTACCACCCAAGTCACCTACTCAATTCCAAGGTCCACCTCTGGAATGCCGCTCAGCATCTGATTGGACAGCATCTCCTCAGTCTTCTTAGCTGAAGAGACCCGAATGCTCTCAGGCAGCTCATACAGACAGTCTTCGGCATTCTTCTGCTTCACTTTCTGCTCCTCATTTTCCACAATTCCCTTCCTTTTCTTCAGCTCAGTTTCAATGTACTTCATCCTGAACAGGGAGTCAGAAGAGCAGGAGTCAAGAACACACTCAGTCTATGTGGGGCTGCACATCCCTGCTAAGTTTCAGGTGTCAGAACACCAGGCCTTCACGCAGGGCCTTGGTGGCAGGCTGTGGTCAGCATTTTTGGTTGGCAGCAGAGTAGGTGGTAGGGTCCTCCCATGGGCTTACTGACTGCCCAATGTCACTGGGCTGACTCTGGGCCCAGATTGATTTTTGGCAGTATTTTATTGCAGATCCTACTTGTACCACTGAAGACCAATTGCTGGGGTGGGATGGAGGGACGATGACAAAAAATGATATGCGTGGGCTATTGGTCTTTTGCCCTTCTTGTGGGCTTCTGGAAGGTATCTGATTGGCCATTGTACAAAACAAGATGTTGGATTGAGGTGGGCTTTGGAATCATCCAGCAGTCAAGCTCTTCTTATGTTCTTAAGCACAGAACAATAGGAAGTGCCAACAGGAACATATGGAGGGTAGGAATGATAAGTGTGAACTATGGACAATAAAGGAGTCCTTACTCCTGGATGTACTAAACAGGATGTACTAAACAGGATGTGACAAGATTCTTACATATCAGCATCTTCATCCCTCCTGTTGGTCTCTGCAGAAAAAGAAGTCCCAAGGTTGAGGTCCTCTTCTTCGCTGATCCTGGAAAAAAGAGACAGGGAGGTGGGGAGCTATTTTAACCAGTAACAAATAATTTGTTAAAATGTCAATGTCTCATTTGAGATGTTAAGCCAAACCATAGTTTGCTCTAAACTACAGCTTGAGCTAGCAAATGTATACCACACCACAATTCTGATGTAGTCAAAGATAAGCATTTTAAAGTTTCATTGATTTTGACAGATAGAGAACTGTTTCCACCTTCTCCAGTAATACAAGAATTTGGGGCCATCCAGTGAAGCTGAATGCTGGAAGATGGGACAAAAGAATGCACTTATTTACATAGTGCATAATTAAACTGTGAAATTCACCCCCAAAAGATGCTGTGGTGGCCAACACCACCAGCAGCAGGAGAGCAGTAGCTAGGGCTGGGTGATGTTGGGTTTTCAACATCACAGTGTATCACCAGCCAAACATCGTGGTTTGGCGATAAATTGTGATGTTGTAAAAAGCTGCACAGGCCCCAGTCGGCGAGGTGCCGGGTGAACCTGCTGCAGCTCTCACCATGGGAGCTGAGGCACTTACACCTTGGTGCCTTGTGGGCTGTGGCCAATACAGCTGGCTCCAGCCTGCTGCTCAGCTGGGGCTGCGGAAAGCCTCCTGCCCCCAGCTAAGTGAGCCCAGAGTCCCCTGCCATTTGTGCATGACCAGCAGGGGAATCAGAGCTCCTTGGCCAGGCTCTGCTGGGGGCGGGAGGGTGCCTGCCCCCAGCGGAGCCAGCTCCAGTGTCCCTGCCACTCGTGCCTAAACAGCAAGGACCCTGGGGCTCCTTGGCCAGGCTGCCTCCGCCTTTGCTGGTGTGGGGGGTGGGTGAGTGCGTTTCAGGTTTTGTGCTTTTGACTGCCTTAGCCTTAGCCTGTGTGGGTGCACTGCCTCTTTCCTCTGGGGGTTGTTCACCCCAGGAGGAAAGATGCAGTCCACCCTCCTGGGCAAAGTCTGCAAGGTGCAAGGTGCGAAGCCACCCTAACTGCAACTTGCGGAGAGGGGCTGCTGGCAAGTGCTGGGCCTGCAAGCAGCATCAAAGAATCCTTACACCACCTGACTGCCTTCCACCAAGAGGGTGGGCTCTGTCTTTCTGGGAGGAAAGGTGTAGCACCCCCTCCCAGATGAAGTCAGCCTGGCGGTAGCCAAACCAAGCCTGCAGCCTCAATCCCGTTCCTACTTGAGTGCAAGCAGGAGCGGGGCCGGGCTCTATCACCAGGGAAGGGCAGGCTTTGCACTTCCCAGCTGAGCAGCCCCGTTCTTGCTCCTACTCGCATGCAAGGAGGAGCAAGGTAGGGGCTCTCTCAGCTGTAGAGGGGGAGAACTTTAATGGAGCCCCTATGCCACCGCTGGCTCCTGCGAGCTGGTGGTGGGTTGGGAGTTCCATAGAACTGCTTTGCTGAGGGGACGGCAGCAGCATGTTCATTAGCCAAACAGTTTAAAGAAGTGGAGGGAGGAACAAGATGTATCGGCGATGCAGCTTGTTTCTCCCTCTGCCTGGGCAGAGTGCAATGGAAGTTTCACCAGCAGTATATCACTGGAGAAACTGCTGCCACTTGAATCCCTCTGCCTCTAGCTCCTGGCTAGATTTTTTCTTCCTCAGCACACTGGGCACTAGAGACAGAGGGACTCAAGAGTGGTGATGGTATCACCAACAATATACTGCTGAGTGAAGCTGTCATTGCGGTTTCCTCCGCCCCCCATACTGGTCCTGGGTGATAGATTGATACCAGTGCTAGCAGTAGCTATACCAACAGGAAAGCAGGTAGAACTTTTGCTACAGTCTTCCTGCTTTTCCTTGCTGCTACTTCCCCCAAAGGGAGAGGAGAGATGCTGGACCATCCCTGGAGGAGGATGCTGGACCCATTCACCAATGATTTGCAACACCTAGTCTGATAACATATTTTTGGGTGGGGTGGGGTGGTTAAAGGGGGGAAATAGTTGTTTATCTGCTAATTATTGGGTGGGAGTATTCTTTGTTTATTATCTGAGTATGGAATGTTTCTCCATACCTCTCCTTGCCCCGTTCTTTCAGTTTCTTCATGTCCACCATTCCACCGGTCTTTATTTTAAAGGGATCATCCTGGTGGGAAGAGGAAGGAAGACAGTCCATGATCTGATCCTACTTATTGCAGTATAACAGAGGTGGGGATTTTTTTTCCAGCCGGAGGGCTGTATCCCTTCATGGGGGACACGTTCCAGTGGTGGGTGGGGCCAGAGGAATACATCATTGGGCTACATTTCCATCACACAAATGTCATAGGGCATGTTTTCTAAGAAGTTGGTCTTGCTGTGCTCGATAGGTCTCACTCTCAGATGGGTGTACACAGAATAGCTGCAATCATACATATTCACTTCCCTTGGATTAAGTCCTACTGAATTACTTCTGCGTAGACCCAGTCAGGATTGCACTGTAAGGCTGTACTTCTATGAATGTTTATTTAAGGGTAAAGAATTCTGTAACAGTTCTGCACTTACTAGGGGTCGAGCTGATAACAACACACATATTTAACTCACCCTACTTTCTTTCATATGGTATCCATCTATCACACACAACAGAAGCGGAATAAAAGCGATCAAGTTTAATACAGTGGTACTTTGGTTCTTGAACTTAATCTGTTCCGTTCAACTCCTGAAACTGTTCGAAAACCAAGGAACAGCTTCCAATTGGCTGCAGGAGCACTTACTTCTGGGTTTACGGTGTTTGGGAGCCGATTTGTTCGGCAACTAGGCCGTTTGAGAACGAAGGTTCCACTGTATAAGATCACATTCACATCTAAAACAAAATTTAAGGCAATCTATTTGTAAGTAATGAAGTCCTAACTTTGCTGAGGTCAACTGGATCCCATAAGAACTGCTAAAGCAGATCAAACAGAGCCCTTGTCAATAATGTGCAGAGAAAACGTGACACCATTAGCTAGGAATCTGAAACGTTCCTGTCAGCCTTGTTTAGGACAGGCAAAGGGGGAAAAGAAGAAAAGGTGATGAACTGTGCCTAAGGATCTTGAATTCTTTTTTTTTTTTTTACGGTTCTATCTAGGTAAGATAAATGAGAAAAGTTCAATCTTACCGCCAGGGTGGTTTCTTCTTGTAATTTCTCCCCCACAAGTAGAGCAGCCGCACTTCAAATACACAAAAGAAATTCAAGTCATTCAGCGGCAATGCTCCCAGTGTGCTCTCAGGTTTGACAATGCATGGCAATCTGCAGCAACAGGTGGCACCTGAATGAACAGTATTCAGAGCCAGTGTGGTGTAGGAGCACTGGTTAGAGTAACTTTCCTTAACCTGATGGCCTCCAGATGTTTTTGGACTACAACTTCCATTAGCCCTAGTCAACACAATCATATGATATTGGAACGGATGAGATCTGTAGTCCAAAACATCTGGAGGGCACCAGGTTGGGTAAAGGCTTGGGTTCCAATCCTCACGCAGCCATGAAACTGGGTGACCTCAGGCCGGTCACTCATTCTCTGTCCGATCTATGCTGCAGAGTCGTTGTGAGAGAATATGCGAGCTACTTCTTCCAGACAACTCACATCAGCCCCAGCAAGCATGGCCAAAAATTAGTTTTGCAATCATGGGTACATGAAACTTTTCAAAAGCAAATTAATCCCCAGGGAAAAAACCTGAGCTTCTTAGGAAGTCAATGTCCCACAACAGATCAAAGACATCCATGGCCACAGTGTCTCTGAAGTCTGAGGATCTTTACAGTTAGAAGAACTCCTGGACACCACTTACCTCACTCCATTTGGCCTCCTCCTTAGACTCTGCACTTCTTTTGCTTCCTCTAGTTTTAGCCTGCAGGGGTGGGGGTGGGGAGACACAACACATAAACACACAATAGTATGGGAAACCATTTTCAAGTGGTGTGGTGGTTGCAGGAGTCTGCCAGCCACCTCCCCCTCAGCTGCAGGGTGGCTGTGGGGGAGGCAGCCAGTGGCCACGAGCCACACATTACCCTTTCCGGTGGTGTGGTGACTGCAGGCACCAGAGCCACCTTGTCACTCCTAGGAGAGATGCGTGGCTCAGGTGCGTTGCAGGCCCAGCAGTAAGTGCTGCCCCCTGGGCAAGTGGTGCCCAGTGTGCCCTGCCGCCCACCCTCTCTAGATACGCTGCTGCTGGAAAAAGCACATAAATATTAAATCAAAATGAAATAAATTATTCCTTGGGAATTATCAACATTTTTGAGCCTATGGGCACATTTGAATTTTTGATAATGTGTTGTGAGCCCTCACTACCCCAGGCACTTGTCTCTTCCAGACAAGTCCCCACCCTCACGAGAGACAGAAAACGTGTACTCATGCACACATCACTTTCCCAAGGGGTCTGGATAAAAGTTAAGATTCAGTAGAATTAAACACTCTTCCCCCTTTAGCTCTATTTCTCTTCCTTACTTCTGCCCTCCGCTCTATGGAGCGATATCATGGGAGGGGTGTTTCCAGCTGCCCCCCCCTTTGCCCTTGGAAGCCTTATAAGAAGCTGTTGCAGGAAAGGGGACTGTGAGCAACATCATGGGAAGGGTGGTTCTAGGACTAAGGTGAAACTGTGAAGCTCCCTTGTTATTGATGCTATTGGATGCTGCATGTTGTTTTAAGTAATCTTATTATATTTATAGTACTGAAATGTGGGTTTTGGTATATTATTATATTTTGGTTTTGGTTTTTTTTAAAGGATTACCAATTTTAATTCTGTTTCAAATTCCAAAAACACTTTGAAGGGCTCACATTCCTCCTCAAATCTATTTGCATATTCCAAATAATTTCTTCAGTATAATAAATAGGCAGTATTGAATAAATTGGTAATATTGAATAATATGTTCCCCAGAGGCAATCTGAAACAGGGGCAAAGCTTAATCAGCATAACAAGTGAATTTTGCAAATCTACGACTAAGTCTACCAAAGTTAAAAAGGATTAAACTGGGCAACTTACCCCTAAACCTGAACCTATGGCCTATGCCTGTCTTTCAATTCAGATATTGCCATATCTAAGTCTGTCAGTGACAGTACAGAACACAGTCTGGGTTTTCTCTGCATGTTGTAACAGATCTGTATGCAGTATCATACATGACCATCAAGCTGCTGCTAGAATGCTCACACCTGTTACTGTGCAGGGCAGACCCTAGAAAGGAGTGTCCCAGGTTTTCATCTAGGGCAAGTTCAGCCTAGCTGGTACAAGGCAGGACCACAGCAGGCCCTGCTACACAGCAACCATTTCCCAGCCCATGGTTTTGGTATGTTATTATGAAATTGTTTTTGTAGTGTATGTTTGAAATGCACCCGTTTCTTTGTTGTAAGCCACAGTGAGCATGCTTTTTTGTGTGTGTGGGTGGAAAAGCAGCATACAAATAATACAAAGGGAAAAAGGTAACCACCCGCACCAGCTGATGTCCAAGGAAGCTGGAGGGGCAGACTCAGAAGCTTCACAGGTACCAGGAGAAAATTTCAAGGACATGTTGCCCCCTGCCCCTGCTGTAGAAAAATATATAGAAAAATATATCTCTTCTACTAAGAGCCAGTGTGATGTTGTTGTTGTTTAGTCGTTTAGTCGTGTCCGACTCTTCGTGACCCCATGGACCAGAGCACGCCAGGCACTCCTATCTTGCACTACCTCCCGCAGTTTGGTCAGACTCATGTTTGTAGCTTCGAGAACACTGTCCAACCATCTCGTTCTCTGTCGTCCCCTTCTCCTTGTGCCCTCCATCCTTCCCAGCATTAGGGTCTTTTCCAGGGAGTCTTCTCTTCTCATGAGGTGGCCAAAGTACTGGAGCCTCAGCTTCACGATCTGTCCTTCCAGTGAGCACTCAGGGCCGATTTCCTTCAGAATGGATGGGTTTGATCTTCTTGCAGTCCATGGGACTCTCAAGAGTCTCCTCCAGCACCATAATTCAATAGCATCAATTCTTCGGCGATCAGCCTTCTTTATGGTCCAGCTCTCACTTCCATACATCACTACTGGGAAAACCATGGCTTTAACTACACGGACCTTTGTTGGTAAGGTGATATCTCTGCTTTTAATGATCCTGTCTAGGTTTGCCATCGCCTTTCTCCCAAGAAGCAGGCGTCTTTTAATTTCGTGACTGCTGTCACCATCTGCAGTGATCATGGAGCCCAAGAAAGTAAAATCTCTCACTGCCTCCATTTCTTCCCCTTCTATTTGCCAGGAGGTGATGGGACCAGTGGCCATGATCTTAGTTTTTTTGATGTTGAGCTTCAGACCATATTTTGTGCTCTCCTCTTTCACCCTCATTAAAAGGTTCTTTAGTTCCTCCTCACTTTCTGCCATCAAGGTTGTGTCATCTGCATATCTGAGGTTGTTGATATTTCTTCCGGCGATCTTAATTCCGGCTTGGGATTCATCCAGCCCAGCCTTTCGAATGATGAATTCTGCATATAAGTTAAATAAGCAGGGGGACAATATACAACCTTGCCGTACTCCTTTCCCAATTTTGAACCAATCAGTTGTTCCATATCCAGTTCTAACTGTAGCTTCTTGTCCCAAATAGAGATTTCTCAGGAGACAGATGAGGTGATCAGGCACTCCCATTTCTTTAAGAACTTGCCATAGTTTGCTGTGGTCGACACAGTCAAAGGCTTTTGCATAGTCAATGAAGCGGAAGTAGATGTCTTTCTGGAACTCTCTAGCTTTCTCCATAATCCAGCGCATGTTTGCAATTTGGTCTCTGGTTCCTCTGCCTCTTCTAAATCCAGCTTGCACTTCTGGGAGTTCTCAGTCCACATACTGCTTAAGCCTGCCTTGTAGAATTTTAAGCATAATCTTGCTAGCGTGTGAAATGAGTGCAATTGTGCGGTAGTTGGAGCATTCTATGGCACTTCCCTTCTTTGGGATTGGGATGTAGACTGATCTTCTCCAATCCTCTGGCCACTGCTGAGTTTTCCAAATTTGCTGGCATATTGAGTGTAGCACATTGACAGCATCATCTTTTAAAATTTTAAATAGTTAAGCTGGAATATCATCACTTCCACTGGCCTTGTTATTAGCAATGCTTTCTAAGGTCCATTTGACTTCACTCTCCAGGATGTCTGGCTCAAGGTCAGCAACCACACCACCTGGGGTATATGAGACATCCATTTCTTTCTGGTATAGTTCCTCTGTGTATTCTTGCCACCTCTTCTTGATGTCTTCTGCTTCTGTTAGGTCCTTTCCACTTTTGTCTTTTATTATGGTAATCTTTGTACCAAATGTTCCTTTCATATATCCCAATTTTCTTGAACAGATCTCTGGTTTTTCCCATTCTATGTAGTGGTTAATTAAACCAGGGAGAGAGAACAGATCCTGATCAGTCTATGAAGGGCTTACTTTATGAAGCTGGGCCAATCTCTCAGCCTAACCTACTTTACAAAGCTGCTGTGAAGGTACAATACAGCACGGAGGAAGGAAAGTGAACCATCAACCTTTCCTGGAGCTTTTTGGAGGACAACAACAACAGTCGTCATTAAAATAAACGTATCTACCACTTTGCAAGAGAACCCGACCCCCAAACCACTTTCTAACCGCACTCCCCCCGAAGTTTAACTAAGGTGGGGTGTGTGTGTCGTGCACTCCCCCAGCACCCACCGGACCTCCTCGGTGACCTGCGCATCTTCGTCATCCTCGTCAGAGTCCACCTTCCTCCGACGGAAAGCCTTCCCCGCAGGCATGTCCCCGGCTGCGCTGGCGGAGAACCCTCTTCGCCCCGTCGCTTGCGGGAGGAACAATGGCCGCTTCCGTGTCTCCGCCTTGCTCCTCCGCCTTGCGCCGTTAGAGTGACACGCCGAAGCCGCTTCCGCGTCGCTTTGCCCTTAGAATGTGTGGGCAAGAGTGTGGCGCTGTCCAGCGGTTTGGGAGGTCGGCAGGGTTGATGTTAGTTCTGATTCCCCTACGTGCAAACGCGCGGTAGGGGGCGCGCATGGGGGCGCAGAAGAGAGGGGTGACCTTGGCTGAGAGTGCGTGAGTGTCTCTGTGTTTGTTCCCCTAGAAAGCAGTTGGGGGTTTTGCAGGAAACTTGTATGTTCTTCAAAACATTCATCATCATCATCATCATCATTTATTTATTTACATAGCGACATCAGTGTGCATGGCTCTGTACAGATTAATATATAACCAAATATCTTAATTTTTATTCCCAGGCTTGTGAAGCATTCATAACCCCTCATCCCTCGCTAGTGGTTTAGTACTCAATTTGTGCCCCACCTTTTCCTCCAAGGGGCTCAATGTGTTGCCCATAGAATCACAGAATTGTGAAGTTGGAAGGGATCCTGAGGGTCATCTAGTCCAATGCAATGCAGGAGTCTCAACTAAATATTCTATGACACATGGCCATCCAACCTCTGCTTAAAAGCCTCCATAGAAGACAAGATTCATCCGGCAAGATTTGTTTTTGAGAAACCCATGCTGGGTCTTAATAATCACAGCATCCTTTTCTGTTTAGTTATCTGTTCTAAGACCTTTCCTGGTTTGATATCAAGCTGACCCTTCTGTAGTTACCAGGGCCTTCTTCTTTCCCCCCTTTTTGAAGATGGGGACAACATTTGCCAGCCTATAATCTGCTGGGGCAACAACCGCTGTCAAGGAAGTGGAGACCATACAGTATTCCAAAAAGCCATAGTTATTGCTGACAGATTTTTGTGGGGTAGGGGTGGTGCTGGAGGAGGCGACACATATTCTGAGCAGGAGGCTCTTTTCCTTTAAACCCTATATTTTTGGGGCACAAATTTTCTCTTCTGGCGACCTGGGGGGGGGTAGATACTATTCTTGGCAGATGATTTTTTTTTCGTGTGGGCATCCTACACAGGAACTGTAGGATGCTTTATGGAGAGTCACAAACTGATCAGGAGGCTCTTCACATCAGATCCCATACCAGTGGGGCACCGGGGGTGTAACCCTGGATTTATGTTAAGGGAGGCAGGCTTCATGTTAGGGAGGGGGCAGAACCTCAGTTAGTTTTTTTTAATTGATTTACTAGATTTGGGGGGCAGCTGCCCCACTGTCTTCCCCCGCCTCCGCCCCGGCTACCCCTGGAGCACACGTATCACCACAGCTTTTTCTCTTGGGGGGGGGCATTGACAGAACAGGGTGTGCTCGCTCGAGCGCGCCCAACATTCCTCAGAAAACACGGACATTCTATTCTACATGAGTAGAACGTCCCTGGTTTCTGAGGAATTCGCATTTTCATGCTACTGTCGGCCTATCCCCGCCTCCAGGCCCGCCTCTGTTCCCTCCCAGCCCGGCTGCTGGTACCACCTCCTTCTCCTCTTCCTCCGCCTGCTCCTTCTCCTGTCAAAACCGCCCATCTCATCCAAGCTGCCGTCAGGCAGCCGCCTCTCCTCCTCCCGAGGAGGCCTGAGCAGGTAAACAGCGATCTACCTGAGAAAGGGAAACCTTCCCCCGCATTTGGCCTTGGACGCCCCGAGCCTCTTAGGCTTGCAGAGAGGACGATGAGCGCGGGGCGGGGGCAGCCTTGGGCCTAGTTGGGGTACCCGAAGCACCGGCCTCGCCTGGCCCGTCGCCCCGGAGAAGAGCGTTCCAGGAGCGAACGGGGAGGTAGGTGGCGATTTTGGAGCTGGGCAGATGCAAATTGGGTCACCCCCCAAAAAAAATCGGTATGGGGGAGCCATCAGCCGCTTGAAAGTTGGGGTTTTAATAAAATGCTTTCTGATGTTGACCCAAGGAAGAAATGAAGGGAGGGGGCAGCCCTTTTAATGCACACCACCGTTAGCTTGAGTGGTGGGAAGAGGAGGTCCAAGTTGATTTTTCTTTAAAAGCGCTCATTAAGGTATCAACCCCCTCCCCTTTATTATTATGGGGAACCTTAATGCATTAACTGCTGTTTATTCCTTTGGGGGCATTATTAATGCATCAGTCCCCTGTTATTACTATGTGGAGATACTGGGAGAGGTGGATGCCTTTATAATTTTATTAACACTATTACATTTGGGTTTGTGTGGGGAGAATCTGTCACATGTGCTGAATTTGGGGTGGGGCAGCCATCTGTGCCCGTTCATTATTTTTAGTGGAAAATCTAATTGGGGGGAACAGCTCCAAACAAGTTCATGATTCTCCCCGTCTCACCCAGCTTTGTAATGTGACATTACTTTTTGGGAAGTGGGGTATGAAGATGGATTTTAAAATATTTTCTTCAGCTGTTTCCTCTTGAAAGGGGGAGTTCTTTGGTTGTGGAATTTTGTGTGTATTGTTGTTTAATGAGTTACTCTGAAAGGAAGAGTTTGTTTCAAAGTTCTGATCGCTTAATATTGGTTTGTTACTGTTTAACATGATTTTGATGTCCCTTTTCTGCGGAGTGGTGTGAAATTTACACCCCTCAATTGTCTATAATTATGTATATTGAATCTGACTGACAGCATTGAACTGGGATAGTGATGGTATTTCAACATTAAACTATAATGTAGATAGAATATGTCCTTTAAAAAATAATAATACGTATGTTCTCCAATATCTATTTGTCTTCTGTGACACTGACACAAGGGCAATCATAGGAACATGTCTGGGTCACATATAAGAAGAGCCTGGCAGAAGGATAAGGTTAAAGGCCCATCTAGTTGAGCATCCTGTTCTCTCAGTGGCCAACCAGATGCCTTTGACAGTGATGGCGACCCTGTGGCCCTCCATATGTTGTTGGGACTCCAACTCCCATCAGCCCCAGCACATGTGGGAGTTGTAGCTTAGTAACATCTGGAGGGCCACAGGCGCCCCACCATTGGTCTATAGGAAGCCTGCCATGCAATAATACTCTTCCTATTTGTGATTCCCAGCAAATAGGCATTGTCACTAGTACCCAGTGATGTAGCCTTATTCTCCAGGAGTTTGTCTAACCTTATTTTAAATATAGGAAACTTGATGGTGGAAAGCATTGCTTTGGGATAATACGCAAGAGTGTTGATGTGACAGCTGGACCGTGCGGTCAAGGTGGACTTGATGTTTCTTAATTAGGGCAGAATATGCCCTCACAGGATGTCAGTTATGCCCTTTGGGTGGCAACAGAGGGCTTGTGTTGGGAGTTGGCCCACTCTTTCCTTGGAAATCTCAGGGATGCAAAAATTCAATGGAAATTAGGTTTCTGATGCTGTATCTTTTTGTTTTAAATTTGGGTAGTTTGAGGGCACGCTGGAAAAACTGCAGCTTTGTGTTGTGTAGGCAGACTTGTGTGCCTGCACCCAGATAAAGCTGTGAATGTCACAGTAAGGTTTGGTGCATGTAGGATTTAACAAAATGCACTTGTGCCTTTTAAAATGGCATGTCAGTAACTATTTGGTAGAATGGAGGCTTTCCCTTCCACCATGGCTCACGACACTCTACAAGATGATAGAGGAAATGATAGCCAGAAGAATGGCAAACCTTTTCATTGCCTTTGCTAGCTTGGAGTGATATGATTTCCGGACTTTCAGCATACTTGGATTGCTAGAAAAAGTTGAATCATTAATCTGTTCAAGGCTTGTGTTATCGCCAGTAAATTGTTTGTGCAGGGGTGTGGAACATCAGGACTGAGGGCCAAATGTGACCCTGATTTTCTTTCATTCTCAATTGTTTCCAAAGTCTCTGGTTTGATTTGCATTTAATTCTGGGAATCATTTTTTGCCCCAAACAGAACCCTGTAGAAATATGGTGGACTTCTGAATACTGGACAAAGAAAATAAAAGAATTGGACTGTCTGTGTCTGTCTGTCCATGGCTGCAGGAATGGGTGGGTGGGTGGGTGCAGGCATCTGTGAGAAACGGAGGGAGAGAAATGTCAGGCTGGATGATGCAGCAGCTCCAGCTGTTGAAGGGGGAAAAATGATGAGTAATGCGTCATTCGCTCACTGGAAGGACAATTGGCTGCTCATTCTTGCGAGTGCTCTTTGGAGCTTTCTGTTCCTGTCATTGTTGCTTGGAGGTTCATTTGTTTTTGCCCTCTTCTGCCAGTACTCAGAATAACGATCTGTTCCTTTTCCACAGTAGCTGGGAATCGCTGCCTAGGGGAAAATTAATCCCTACAGTAACAACCATTTTTGGTTGATTTAGCAGAGCCTAAGATTTTGTCTCCTTGCTAGTGCCAGCACCCTCATGTGGCAGAGATACCAGCTGCACACACACATTTAAAGCACATGGCTTCCACCACCACCCCACAAAAAAAAAGAAATAAAGAATTCCAGGAATTATATTGTTAAGGGTGCAGGGAATTGTGACTGTGTCCAGGGCAAACTACATTTGCTAGGATTCTTTGGGGGAAGCTTTGTGTTTTAAATAGATAGTGTGGCCTCACTCCCACAGGATGGCCACAGACTTTGATGACTTTAAAAAAGGACTGGACAAATTCATGGAGGAGAAGGCTATTGAGGGCTACTAGCCATGATGGTTATTCTGTGTTGGGATGGGCCATCCCTGTTGATTCATACCAAAGTGGCAGTTAGTTCAAGACTAGGGTCTGTTTATGCAATGTAGTATAGACATCCAATTCATGAGAAGTCATGGTTCCACTTTATTATTCACTCTATTGCAGCTTTCCTCCACAAACTAGTGTCTTCCAGCTGGTTTTGACTACAACTCCCCACATATCCCTAATGTTGTATGTGGTTTTCCCAGTTTCTGAGTGCTTTGTTTCATGGGTCATCAGACATGTACTAAATTGTCCTTTGAATCATAGGACACAGAAGTGTGTTTCAGTACCTGCTCTCCTGCAACAGGAGATTGTGTCAATCTGTACAAGGCCCAGAGTTTTCAAGTCCAGGTAGATTTCCTTGTCAGTAACCTTTTTTTCCTCCAGTGACCTGAAGTCAGCTCCAGGTTATGCCAAGCTAAGGCCATGCTAGCTAGAGGTCAACTCTGCGCTGGAATGTGACAGGCTGATACATATATGAAGCTCACTGGGTGACCTTCAGCTTTCCACTGCCTCTCAGCCTAACCTTCCTCACAGGGTTGTTGTGGGGATTAAAGAACAGTGGGGAGAACCATGTATACTACATTGAGCTCCTTGGTGAAAAATGTGGGATATGAATGCAATAAATAAATAAATAGAACAAGATAGGCTTGTGGTTCAGCTCCTCTCATTTAAAACATGAACAGATGAGCAAGCTGAATGTGAGAACAATCTGACCTGTTTTGCTGTCCCCCCCTCTCTCTTGATCCACACAGGTGAACCCAGGTGCAAAATGAGTGATCCCAGAGACATTTGTCCTCACCTGGATTCCATAGGTGAAGTCACTAAGGATGATCTGCTTCTTAAATCCAAAGTAAGGAAAAATTCATTTGCAAATTCATTTGCAATCCATAAACAAATACATTTTAAGACTGGGATTGAGGAGATCCTCAGTACCATGAGAATATCCTTGGGGAGAAGATAGGACTACTAAACCAGTGCAAGTCTGACTTAAGTATGCCCTACATGTCTGAAGGTCATTCCTAAGAGGAAAAGTTATACATAGCATCGGGGGGGGGGGGAAGCTTTGGCCATCCACATGCTTGCTGGACTGCAACTTCTATCATCCATGACCATTGACCATGCTGGCTGAGGCTGATGTGAGTTGGAGCCCTGCAAACTCCAGAGGAGGACACCAAGTTGTATTGTTGGACTTCAACTCCCATCATCCCAGACTACTGGGCATGCAGTTTGGGGCTGATGGGAGATCCAGGTCCGACAATGTAGGTAGGGTCATAGTTTCCCCACACTTGATTGAAGAATAGGCATTTCTTCTTTCATGAGGGAATACATCTTTTGAACAGAGGCATTCTCTCATCTTTTTGCATGCCATAGGGAATGTTCCTCCTTAGATCAGGGATGGAGGGGCCTATGGCCCTCCAGATATTGCTGTACTTCCAACTCCCATCATCCAAGCTTCATTGGCCACACTGGCTGGAGCTGATATGAGTTCAGCATCTGCAGGTGCATCATTTCCCTTTCCTTTGTCTGATGATGAGTCTGTCTCTGAGGACGATAGGCCACTGATAATTATTTCTCCTCATATGAAAACAGGGTACTTGCCAGTCTTGTGGAGCAGGGGGACCAAACCTGTGGGCCTGTCTTCAGGTAAAGACATTCTTTTCAAATAGATTTTCCTGCATGCATGACTTTTATTCTTCCTGTTGTAAAATGTCATTCACAGCAAGTTACTAAACTGTACAGGTAGACCTTTCACCTTTGGGGTGTGAAGTAGCACTATTTTCTGTGCATTGTGTGTGTATCCACACCCACCAACATTTTTATTGCTCTGAATTTCTTTTGCCATGTTTCCACTGTGACTGTCAATCAGCTTTGTTTCACTCCAGGTTTCCTGCCCTTATGTTGGTTGCGGGGAATCCTTTGCTGACCACAGCACCATTCATGCACAGGTAAGAGATCTAGTTTCCCCAGGAAGCAAGTGAGCAGCCAGGAAAATTTCCTTGGAACTTAATTGTAACACTCCCCCAAATGTTTAGCATTCAACACTTCTCTCAGCCATGTTGCTTTGAAAACACACAAGTATTGTCTAGATCTGAAGTCCTCTAATTTTTTGTACTAGTTGAGGGACATATTTTGGAAACGTAACACACTGTTGTGGCCAATTCTTGTGCCTATCTTTTCCCTGCACTGTTGGAGGCAATATGCCTCTGAATACCAGCTGCTCAGAATCACAAGTTGCTGTTTCACTCAGGTCCTGCTTTTGGGCTTCCTGTTGAGGCATAAGAATGTAAGAAGAGGCCTGCTGGATCAGGCTGATAGCCCACCTAGTCCAGCATCTTCTTCTCACAGTGGCCAATCAGATACGTGAGGGATACTTGCAAGCAAGATTCCAGCACAAGAGCACTCCCCACTGCTGCGGTTTCCAGCAGCTGGCATTCAGAAGCATTACTACCTCCAAGTAGCATTAAATTTCTGCCTCCAATCAGAAATATAAAATTGTTAGTCAGGATTACTGCTACCTGGAGAGCATAGCCATTATGACTTGTAGTCGTAGATAGTCTTCTTCTACATGAATTTGTCCACTCCTCTTTTAAAGCCATCTATGATTGTAGCCATCACTTCATCCTGTGGGGGTGAGTTCTATAGCTTAACTATGCACTGCCTGTCCTAAATCTTCCAACATCCAGCTTTGTTGAAGAGAGGGAGAAAAATGCCTCTCTATTCACTTTCTTCACATCATGCATAATTTTATAAACTTCTAGAATGTCACTTCTTACTCATCTTTTCTCTAAACTAAAAAGTCCCAAATGCTGCAACTTCCCTCATAGGGATGTTATACTACACCTCTACTATCAAAAGTGATATGCCTCTCAGTACCGGGTGCTCTGAATTGCATGCAAGGAGAATTGCTGTTGCCCTCAGGTGCTGCTTGGCTGCGAGGAAAGCAGGATGCTGGACTTCCTAGCACTCCTTTGGCCTCATCCAGCAGAGCTATGCTTATATTCTTATTGAACCTGAGGCTCTATCTTCTGCTTCTGCTCTGACTGCATTGCAGTAGAATTCAAGATCAGTTGGATCTTGCCTGTGCAATTTCACAGTCCCACTTCTTGGGTACCATAGATCAGAAAAATAAGATAGTTAGTCAGTATTACTGCTACCTAGAGCAGCATCCCATCATTGAAACTCATGGACATGACTGATTTTGGCTCATTAATTTCGATGGGTCTGCACTGCATAGCTGGACACAACCCAGATTAATTGGCGTGCTCTCTGTGTTTGTGTGTTTTTAAATTGCTAGGCCAAAAAGCACAACCTGACGGTAAACCTAACAACGTTCCGGGTATGGTGCTATGCCTGCGAGAAGGAGGTTTTCTTAGACCAGCGGTTGTCCTCCCACACACCAGTCCCTCCATCAAAATTCATGGACCAGGTGAGTGTTTTGTGGCAAAGCTGGATGCTTTGAGTTACTCTTTTTCTTAGCTCAAGTGGTCAATGTGTAAGACTATCCCAACTTGGAATGTAGCAGAGAAGTGTCAGGACCAGTGGGATCTACAACACAGTATGGTACCTTCATTACATATCTTTAGGCTAAAACATTTCTCTTCAACCAGACATTCGGCTGATTAACATTCTATGGCTTTTTAAATGTGTTTGTGGGAGGATATCTATTGGTTTGCTTTTGCTTTTGTTTTATTATGTGTTTTATATTCTCATTTTGTATTTTTCTGTTGTGAACCACCCTGGCATCTTTGGATGGGCAGTGGTATACACTTTTAATAAATAATAATAACATTTTTCTTTTTTTACTTTTTAAAAGCATTTTAATCTCGTTCTTTGGCCCCCAAATGACTGGAAGCTTACAAATGTCAGTGATGAGACAGTCCCTGTCCTCAGGCCTAACAGTCTAAAATACATGGCATGAAAAGAGAAGGGATTAGGAGACAGGAGGAAAAAAGAAAACTCAGCTGTTGTTTCTTAGTTTGGAGAAATATACTGTGTGGCAAAGCAGAATTGCCTTTGATATTTACTCCCCAACTTTCACTTCCAGGATTCTCCTCCACCCACCCATTCCCTAAAAGCCGTTCCCATCGCAGTTGCTGATGAAGGGGAGTCCGAGTCGGAAGATGATGACCTGAAACCAAGAGGTAAATCCAAAGGTCTTAGAGTGCGAAAATACCCCTTTCCTTTTTGCTTGAACACAGAAAATAAAAACGTAGCAGTGGGCATAATGAACAAGCCTCCAACCCCCTCTCCTTTTTCATTCCTTTTCTAGGCCTTACTGGAATGAAAAATCTTGGGAACTCCTGCTACATGAACGCTGCACTCCAGGCTCTCTCAAACTGGTAGGTTTTCAGAGTCATTTTCAGATAATTGCTATTTACAGACTGCCAGGTTGGTGCCCTCCAGATGTTTCAGACCTTCCTCACCCTCCAGTCAGTATGTTTGGCACTACAATTCCCATTATCCCCCAGCCAGCATATATGGCAATATAACACCCATCAACCCACAACCAGTATGTGTTGCACTATAACTCCCATCAGCCCCCAATTAGTATGTTTGGCACAACTCCCATCAACCACCAAGCCAGCACGTTGTAGTCCAAAGCATCTGGATGATGCATCAGCTTGGCAAAGGCTGCTTGTAGGCCAGATCTGGTGGCTTCATTGGGGCCAGGCAGATTTTTTTTTTAGCTGCTTGGTTTCTTCCACCTTTTATTAAAGGCATCAATGTTTTCCCTTTCTCTCTGCCCCCAATTGAAGTTGTTGGATAAATTATAACCCACCTTTCTTTCTTGTCTTCCTATCAGTCCCCCACTCACTCAATTCTTCCTTGAGTGTGGCGGTCTCGTGCGCACTGACAAGAAGCCAGCACTTTGCAAAAGTTACCATAAGCTGATTTCTGAAGTGTGGCATAAGAAGCGGTGAGTAAATCTAGGACACTGTGGCTGTAGGGACCACAGCTCACTGGTAGAGCACTTGCTTTGCATGCAGAAGGTCCTGGTGTTGTTTTTTTTAAAAAAAATAAGATTTTTAAAAGGTTTTTACACGATACAGTAAGAGAAACTAATTTAAATTAAAACAAAAGCAAAGAGAGAAAGAAAAAAGAAAACAACGAAGGAAAACAAAAAATAGAAGAAAAGAAAAATAAGAGAAGAGAAGAAAAATAATAAGAACTACAGTGGACACTAAGGTTGCGAATGTGATCCGTGTGGGAGGCACATTCACAACCTGCAGTGTTCGCAACCCGCAGTGCCACATCTGCGCCTGTGCAGGTCGTGATTTAGTATTTGTGCTCATGCGCGAGCGCTGAAACCCAGAAGTAACCTGTTGCTGTACTTCTGGGTTTGGTGCGGTGCGCAACCTGAAAACATGCAGCCTGAAGCATCTGTAACCCAAGGTATGACTGTACTGATTTTCCATCTGTCAGTTACATAAAAGACATTACTCAGAATATTCACTATAGAATGACACCCAACTGATCTACATTCTGTTAGGCAATACTTTCCCAATCTTCTGACTCGGGTTCTGTTCCCAGTGGCATTCTAATTTTATGAAAGATAATATCTAGGTAGGGCTAAGAAAAGTCTCTCTGCCTGAAACCCTGGAGAGCTGATGCTAGTCTATAGACAATACTGAGCTAGATAGACCAATGGTTTTTAATGTAATTAGGTTTGTTTAAATAAACTCATCAGGGCCCCAAGTTATTAGGGGCTCTATGTACCACCTGTAACACCTTGAATTTGAAATTTATCTTGCACATCTCCAGAGATTCTATACATTTTCAACTTTGCTTTTTCTTCCCTAAAACCAGCCCAAGTTATGTCGTCCCCAGCAGCCTGTCGCATGGAATCAAGCTGGTCAACCCTATGTTTCGAGGGTATGCACAACAGGTGAGGCGGATGGCAAAGGGGCAATCCCAGATGTTTCTGATTCCCTCTTCCTGCTGCAGTAAGAAAATTATATTCTCCTGTGCTGTGAGAAGTTAAACAGATGCTGTTTCAGTTAGGGAGCCAAGGCAGAGACTGAGTTACTGATACAACATGTAGCCTTCCAGCAAGCAGAGGATTCCATTTGCCATGAAGTATAATAGGGCAGGGGTGGGGAATCTTTTTAAGCTTGAGGGCCATATTACTTTCTGGGCAATCATCTGGGGGCCACATGCAATTTTGCTCCCCTCCCCAGCAATCACAAAACTTTTTATGGGAGGATTGTACAGCATCTACATTGCCTGAAGAAAAGGCCCCAGGCTCAGTCCCTGGCATCTCCAAGTACAGATGCGATAGATCCTTGGAGAGCTACTGCCAGTCAGTGTAGACAATACTGAGCTTGATGGACTAACAGTTCAACAGTATAGGCAGCTTTTTATTTAATTCTTCCTTTCGTTCAGAATCATAGGGACTAGAATCTTACCTTTTTTTTTAAGGAGAAGGGCCATAACACATTGGCAAAGTACCTGCTTTGCATGCACAAGGTGTCTTGCTCAATTCCCACCATCTTCAGGTACAGCTTGAAGAAGCCTCTGTCTGGAGATCCACTGCCTGTAGAGTCAGAGTAGGGAATCTTTTTCAGCCTGAGTGTTGCATTTTCACATGGGGACCATCTGGGGGCATATGCCAGTGGTGGGCAGAGCAACAGGCGTGATTCTTACTTTTGTACAGTAGGTTACACTCCAACCACAGATAGAAGCCTAAGCTTTCTACACTCCTCCTCTCTCCCCACATCTTCCATCCATATTCCCGCCAGGGGGAAGCACAAGAAGAGGGGGCAGAGCAGGGCTGTTGGAAGACAAGTTCTGGGGAGAGGGGGTGTGACCTAGAAAGAGGTTGAATAGAGCACCCTAGAGAGCTGCATTTGGCCCCCAGGCCTGAAGTGTCCCATACAATATTTTCTTCTCTGCACATCCACCCCAGGACACCCAAGAATTCCTACGCTGCTTGATGGATCAGCTCCACGAAGAGCTGAAGGAGCCAGTCATGGCCGAGACCCGGGACTCCGACTTAAGCGACATGGAAGACAAGCGGGAGTGTGACCGCAGCCCCTCAGAGGACGAGTTCCTTTCCTGTGACTCAAGCAGTGACCGGGGCGAAGGGGATGGGCAGAGCAAAACTGGGAGCTCCCTGGCAGAGGCCGAGCTGCTGATCCAGGACGAGGCTGGGCGGGGGATTTCTGAAAAGGAGCGGATGAAGGACCGGAAGTTCTCGTGTAGCCACCGGCGGAGCAACTCGGAACAAGTGGATGAAGATGCTGATGTTGACACCTCTGTGACAGCAGTGGATGGCAGGGCTTCCCCAGAAGCGCTCCCTCCTTCCACACCTCATCCAGCCAGCCCCTCTAGGACCCCAGGTACTCCACAACAGGTTCAGTGTGTAATGCTCTTGGCACCTGTGCCTGAACCTTGGAAGCTGCATCTCTCGTACGCACCATTATTCATATTTTTTCACTAGTTTTAAGGGAAGGGCCATAGCTCATAGCATCTCTCATTGAAAGGGGGTCTAACTTCCCTAGGAGAACTTTACTCCTGAGGAGTCCTTGTGTGTAGTAGGACATTGGATTTTGCATTTGAAGTGTCTGCTTTCCCTTGGACTTGGGACTTGGCCTTTATGCCAGAGGATGAACTAACTCTGGGTGCAGACAGCCCACCCTGCTTTGGCCTTGTTGCAGGATCTCTGCTCCTTACCCCCATATGGAGCTTGGCTCAGGGCTAGGAGTAAGGCTGTGGCCTCCTGGTCCTCCCTTGATGAGGAATCTCAAAGCTGAAGCAGACTCTGGCTACATTTGGAAATTGTATCCTGCCTTTTTCTCCAAAGTGTTCAAGGTGGCATACATGCTTCTCCCCCTCCTTCTTTAAACCCCACAACAAATATTGTGACGTAGTCAAAACAAAATAAAAAAAATTCCTTCCAGTAGCACCTTAGAGACCAACTAAGTTTGTTATTGGTATGAGCTTTCGTGTGCATGCACACTTCTCCAGATATGCACACGAATGCAAACTTAGTTGGTCTCTAAGGTGCTACTGGAAGAATTTTTTTTATTTTGTTTCTACTATGGCAGACCAACATGGCTACCTACCTGTAACTAGAATTGTGACGTAGGTTAGGCTGAGTGGAAGTGCCTAGCTCTAAGTCACCCAGTGTGCTTGTTGGCCAAGTGGGGATTTGTACTCTGGTTTCCCAGGTGCTAGGCTGACACCCCAGTATGAGCACCATGGCCACTACTCTTTCTAGTTGCTTCTCACTCCTTGCACACAGATCAGTCCCTAACCCCAGAGAAAGAGGGAAAATGTGTGCACCTTCTCCCAGGGATCTGGTTGAAAGTTAGATCCGGAAGAATTAATCTGAGCCTTTGAAGCCCATAGAGCTGAAATAGGAAATGGAAAAGAGTGTCACCCTTCCCCATTTCTTCCTTCAGCTCTATATACTTTCCCAGGGAGAAGAAGGTTAACTGTCCCACCACTCCATGCCCAAATGGGCAGTGAATGGGGAAGCCCAGAGGCCTTTTAGGCACCAGGGAAGGACCTCAACAATACCATGGCGCCCAGAGGCACCACATGGCGACCCCTGAACTAGAGGGTCAGGCTGGAAGAACTATGCCTGTCTTGCTAAAGCCATAATATCCCCACCTTCTGCCATGAGTAGAAGGTGCTCAAGTGCTTGGTAGCCAATCTGAGAAGTAAATTAAATAAAAAACAATTGGGGCTGAGTTGGTGCCCAGAGATGAGGGATTGGCTGGCTGAGCTTGTCAGACAAAACTTGTGTTCCAGTCCTCTCCACAGACAATTTGTTTCCTTTCCTTGCAACAGAACCAGATAATGATGCCTACACACGCTGCTCCTCTCGGCCTTGCAGCCCTGTTCATCACGAAGTGCATTCCAAGCTCTCGAGCAGCCCCCCACGCTCGAGCCCTGTGCGGCTGGGATCCTCCTATGTGCTGAAAAAGGGTAAGTCCAGGAAGCTTCCGGGTTGAGCTGCTTCTGTGGTAGTTGTTTTCTCTATAAGAACATAAGAAGATCTCTACTGGACCAGACCAGTGGGCCCACATAGTCTAGCATCCTGTTCTCACAGTGGCCAGCTAGATGCCCGTGGGACTCCCTCAAGCAGGAACCCAGCACAAAAGCTCTCGCCTAGTATTCAGAAGCATTACTGCCTCTGAACATGAAGGCAAAGCATAGCCATCGCTAGTCTCCTCCTCCATCTCCTCCATGAATTTGTCCAATTCTCTTTCAAAGCCATCTAATCTGGTGGCCATCACTGCCTCCTATGGGAGGGAGTTACATAGTTTAACCATGTGTTATTCATCTCCTGAGGGCATCCTACTTGTTCTTTATGTGGACCCACCTCCCATTCAATCCTCTCCATCTGTGCAGAGTTTCTATGATAGTATTCCAAAGAGAGAACTGGTGAGGCGATTACCAAACAACAACGCCCAAACCTATTGCCATAGCAATAAAACAACAATACGATATACAAAGAATAGAAATAAAAAGTCAGTTATATAAAATACATTTTAGGGCTTTGAATCAATAGTCAAATAGTGGATCTTATTCTGATTGCCCCAGCTAAAAACCTTGCAACCTTTGCTGTCACCTGCTCATCTTAATCTGCCAAGAGAAAGGACACTGTGGCAGTGGTTGGGTGACCCAGAATGGACAATTAAAGAGGTGTGATAACTTCATTCCTCAAGTCTTTATAAAGAGTGCAAGCCATAAGGGCATGTGCCACTGATTCGGTACTGCCATCTCCACAGGAACATAAGCGTTTGTCGTGTGGAATCTGTTGGAATCGTCCCTCAAGTACAGCCAAGGGCAATATATTCAATCTTGCGCATCTATATTTTAGAATTGCTAGGTTATGCAGATAGTGTGCCAGAGAGTTGAAATGGGAAGGTAGAAAATAGTCATACCATGGGCAAAATTTCCTTATTGTGGCCAAGTTGTTCTGACGCTCGATATCATTTACGCGCTGACAAATTAAACTGTTTGCTTTACTAAAACCCAAAGTGAGTAGCTGTTGTAGTGATAAACCAAAAGAGTGAAGTTTTTGATAGACAATTTTAGTTCAGGCGCTCTTGTGATAATCTTGTAGCACTAGGGATATTAGACTGGGGGGATTTGAGTTTAGGCAAAGCCAATAGTTAAGTGTCCTACACCAGATCCGTAATTCTACCGAGGGAAGATTAGCAAACCTATAAAACTGTTTGGCTGCCAGTTCATTTCTGGGTACAAAGTACTCACTCCAGCGTTCAAAGTTCTAAAAGATCCAGGCCCATATTATCTGAGAGACCGCCTCCTTTCCTTACAGAACCTCCTGGGGGCCCTTTCATCTTCCATTAGGAAGAACTTTCTGATAGTAATAGCAGTTTGATGGTCCCTCAGGAGGCTGTGGACTCTCCTTCATTGGAGGCTTTTAGGCAAAGTTTGAATGGTCATCTATAATGGATGCTTTAGCTGAAATCCTTGCAAGCGGTTGGACTAGATGACTCTTGAGGTCCCTTCCAGCTCTACAGTTCTCTAATTCTGTGCTTCTTGGTAGTTCCACCTCCTTCAGAAGTTTGGGGTAGTAGTAGCATCCTGGGTGAGGGCCTTCTTTGAGGCAGCCCCTAAATTGAGGAATTCCTTCTGCACAGAGGTGGGTCTGGCTTCTTTGCTATACAGCTTTCAGCAAAGACACACCTCTTTACCCTGGCTTTTGACACCCAAAATGTGTGTTTTCAGGACCCACCCTGTTTCTGTGAATGTGATGTGTTTTAACTGTTCTCAATTCTGAATTTTAAATTATAACCAGTCCTGGGACCTGCTGGTAAAAGGGTGTGTGATATACATTTGTTGTTGTTGATTATGATAAATTATAATTGGCATCACACTGCCCTTAACAAACCCAACTTCCCTCTGAGAGGGGCCACATCCTGGCAAACAGCAGAGCTGGCCCTGAATCAGGGATGTGAGGTCCATTCAGACACATTTAAGATGTGTGTTTTTGGGACCCACTCTGTTCCTTTATATTGTAATCTCTTTTAACTGTTCTCAATCCTGAATTTTAAATTGTTGTAACCTGCCCTGGGACCTGCTGGGAAGGGGGGGGGGCAGTAAATGTAATAATAATAGTAGTAAAAATACAATCTCCTTCCTCAGCTCAGATGTTGACTTCCAGCAAGAAGAAGAAGGAGATCCGTTACCGCAGCGTCATCTCTGACATCTTTGACGGCTCCATCCTCAGCCTGGTCCAGTGCCTCACCTGTGACCGAGTGCGTTCCCTTACTGCTGCTGATCCAGGGAAAATGGCAAGAGGCCCACACTTTCCAAATCCCCTCCTCCTCCTCTGGTGGGGGGTGGGGGAGCCTTTGGTTTGAACATCTATGCCAAGTCAGATCATTGGCCCCTTTTAGCAAAGCAGTGCCTGCTCCAGGAGTGGGGAGGCTCAGGCCCAGGGGCCCAGTGTGCCCCCACCTGCCCACCTGGCCCTCAAGAATCACCTCAGGCCGCACACCCTTAGACCATTCCTCCTCTCATTAGCCTCCTCAAGTTCTTCTGCATGTCTGAGAGAAAGAGAGAGATGTGTGTAGAAATCACTGACTTTTTCTGATGTGGCCTGCTCCACAAGGCAGAACCATGAAATCCCCTTTTCTCCCAGAGGTTCCTTCAATATGTTAGCCTGGTTGTGTTTTGAAGGCTCTCCTTCAACTCCTTTTATACAGCCCCGACCGCCTGACCACATAAGGAGGAGATGGATCGCAGCTAATCGGTCCAGCTCACATGCTGATCTCCAGCTAAAAGACCATGGGCAGTGGCTTCTGTCCCTTTACTTGCTTTTGCATCTGGCCCTGCCCACTGCTGGCATGTGGCCCTCAGAAGGTCACCCATGAGAGTATATAGCCCCCGTGCTGAAAAAGGCTCCCCGCTCCTAGGGTGGATCTAAACACAGGAAAAAAACGCTATAAATAAGTCAGAAATTAGATCATTATAACAAAAGAAATCCCTATGGAAAACCGCATTTTAAAATTTCCTGCTCTCTGGCATCATCAGGTGTTGCACATTTATAACACATTCAAATTGCTGTTTCTTTACTAATGTAGCTGAGTCCCTAGTCTGCTCATTTGTGTATTCTCCAGAACCCCTGGAAATGTCCCAGTCTTGCTATCCACAGTCTTTTAGGAATCACACGTGGGAACAGAGCTTTCCCACCCATTCCGTGCTTGCTGTCTTCCCAGAGGCATCTGGTTGGCTACTGTTAGAATGGAATGCTGGAATAGATGAGCTGTTGGTCTGATCTAGCAAAGCTCAAGTTTTCTCCCTTCACTGTCAATGTCTGTATGCCTCTGAATACCAGTTGCTTGGAATTGTAGGTGGGGAGAGCTCTGCTGTTGCGCTTAGATCCTGTTTGCAGGCTTTGCATTGGGGCACCTGGTTGGCCCCTGTGAGAACAGGATGCTGGACTAGGTGGGCCATTGGTCTGATCCAGCAGGGCTCTTCTGATACTGTTCTGTTTAAGGTTTTTAGCGAAGCCTGAAAACAGAACACGAGCCCAACCACACCTCCAAACTTCCAGTTACACCAGCAGCTGGTTTTCAGGAGGGTACTGCCTCTGAGATAGTGGCCACCAGCCACTGACATCCTCCGTTTTCCTCCTGTGGTGCCTCCAGGTGTCCACCACTGTGGAGACATTCCAGGACTTGTCGCTTCCCATCCCTGGGAAGGAGGACTTGGCCAAGCTGCACTCTGCCATTTACCAGAATGTGCCAGCCAAGACAGGAGCCTGTGGGGATAACTATGCTGCCTCGCAGGGCTGGATCGCCTTCATCATGGAGTATATCCGGAGGTGAGCAGGCTGCAGAAGCACCTTTTCAGGTATTGGAGTTGTGGGAGGGACAAGGTTCAGCCAGGTGCGTTCAAGATGAAAATGAGGGGAAAGCATGTCTCATTTATTTCATAAAATTTATACAACAACCCTCAAAGCATACCAAAGATAAAACATAAAACTGTGAAAATTTTTCAATCCAGACCAGGAATGGCTGTAGCTGTTGAACCAGCTGCAGTTGGTATAAGGCACTTCTATTCACTGAGGCTACCAGAGCCTCCCGTGACAGAGGTGGATCCAGAACATCTCCAAACTTCAAACTTGCTCGTTTGAGGGGCGTGCAACTTCATCCAGGGTAGGCAGCTGACCAATTTCTTGACATGGGAGCTACTTACCTAAAGTGCTTCCGTCTTGCCAGAATTCAAGCTCAGCTTGTTGTTCCTCGTCCATTCCACCACTGTGTTCAGGAAATGGGACCACACATCCCCTCCTGATTCAGATCTTATGGAGAATGAGAGTTGAGTGTTGTCAGCACACTGATGGCACCTCACCCCTAAACTCCTGAGAACCGCTTGCAACAGCTTCATGTAGATATTAAATAGCACAGGAGATAAGATAGTCCACTACAACACTCCATAACACAGCCAGGGGCTGAAATACACTCTCCCAATGCTGCTTTCTGGACTCAGTCCTGAAGGTAGGATTGGAATCACTGTAATACAGTGCCTCCAATTACCGTTCCCAGAGCTGGTCCAGGAGAATACAGTGGTTGATGGTGTCAAAAGTCAATGAAAGATCAAGAAGCAGGAGCAAAGTCATACTCCCCGGTCCTGCTCTTTACATGGGTCATCCATTCAAGGCAACCAAGATCACCTCAGTTCTGACTGCCAGGCCTGAATCCACATTGGAATGGATCTAAATAATCTGTGTCCTCCCAAAATGCCTGGGGTGAAGCCAGATGCAAAATGCTTGCTTGGGGGCAGAGCCAAATGCCGACAGCACCCCCATGAACCACACACTGGAATATCCTGCAGGTAACAAGAGCAAATCTGTATCTGACTTCCTGGATGTAGGGACACAGGAAGCTGCCTTGGGCAGGGTCCGAATCATCAATTCCCCCAGTTCACTACTGGTAACGCTGAGTGGCAGCAGCACTCCAGGGTTTTCTGGCAGGGGCTTTTCTCAGCCCTACCTGCAGGTGCCAGGGATCCTTCTGCATGCAAAATGTTTGCTTTGCTACTGAGCTTTGGCCCATTCCATGACAGAACTGGCTAGAGGAGCCAGTAATGGTAATGCTCATGTTTTACATGTGAAGAGTGTAAAGGCTGAGAGAGAAGCAAATAGTATGAGGCTCACCACTATACAGACATGTAATAGTATAATGTTCTGTATATTATATAAACATTTACTATTTTATTTGTTAAGCTTTTTGGAGTCAATAACTCCCTGTGAGTCAGCCCTGAGTAATACCTTCCTTGCTCCTCCTACAGGTTTGTGGTGTCCTGCATCCCCAGCTGGTTTTGGGGCCCGGTGGTCACCCTGGAGGACTGCCTTGCTGCCTTCTTTGCTGCAGATGAGCTGAAAGGTGTGTTGGCCAGGAAGGAGGCCAAGATGTTTGTTTCTTTTTATTAAATGTCTTGCCCTTTGCTCCTAAGACTGTTAACAACTGCAAAAAAAGAAAAAGTATAAAAGCCATTAAAGGCAGTTTCACGTATTAAAAAAAGAAAAACAGTTCTGTATATAAGAGTGCAAATACAGCTCCCATATAGACTGAATGCAGATTCTACTTAAAAGGCTTCTTGAAAAGAGGAAGGCCTTCTGCAGCTGTCAAAAACAACAACAGTGATGGTGCCTCTGATGGGAGGGAATTCCAAAGAGTGGTGCCTCGGATGAATTCATTCAGAACCTTCTTCATCTTGCCTGTTCTTGGTCTCTAAGGGAGTTTCCTTGTGAGCCAGGCTGATCAGCTGATGAGCTGAATGAAGGGAATTCCAGGTCTAAAGTGGTGCTGGGGGGGGGGGCAAGGGCAGAGGGAGATTTCAGGTTCAAATCCTGTTTGGATGTGAGGCTGTCTAAACAGGGTTATTTTATTTTATATCACTTACTAGTTGTCTAACACTGAGCAGTCTTGAGCTGACTGAAAATCAAGTTTAAGGGTATGTGAAATTGTTTAAAATAGCTGTCAAAATTTAAAACCACAACTCCCATCAGCCTCAGCCAGCATGGGCAGCAGCCAGGGATTAGGGGAGTAGTTGTCCAACTTCATTTGGAGGGCACGGCATTTGGCTGTCCCTGAGGCAGGCAATACTGGGCTAGATGGGCCAGTAGTCTTCTTTATATCTGAAAGGCTATAGATCAGTGATAGAGTATCTGCTTTGCATGCAGAAGGGTCCCTGGTGATGGGAGTTGGTAAGAGGATATATTAATTATAGTTAATCCTCTACTAACAGACCCACATGTGTGGGTTAATGAACAAAGGAAAAAACGGCTGGTGCTTGTTTTTAAACACAGGGCCAGCAAACAAGAGTATTAAATCCAATCATTAGGCAGATTAATGAAGCATAGGAATAGGCTATTAAACCTTCTTTCCTTCTGTTCAGCTGCGTGTTACAGCTGACCCCCATTTACCCCCTTTTCAGTGAAACAGACAATGGACTGCAAAGGAAGTTTAAAAAGCTTTACTAGGCCTCTGACATGCATCTTTCCTTATGCAAGAATAATAAAATAACTCAGCTAATGATATTCTTTGTGTTATAGGAATTCTAAGGTCTTATATATATAAATCATATGTTCATAAATCTACAAGGCAAACCACATGTCTGAAATAGTACAGGAGAGCAATCCTGAAGCCATTTTGACTCTTCCAGTGACCTCAGATATTCTCTGCAATGAGGAAGGAAATGGGGAAAGCCTCCCCATTGTCTCTTTGTTCACAAACCCTGTCTTAAGGGTGTATTTGTGCATGAATAGGGTGAGCCTGTGACATGGATTCAGGAACTAAGTATTTAGCATCTCAAAAGGAATGGCTGGACTTCCTAGATAAAGCAATCAAGTGACCATTATCAGTATCTTGCCAGACAGGATTTCTGTGGTAGACCTCCCAATTGATGTATTTCTGCTGTAGACCCCTGCCTCCTGTGATGTATGTATGATGTTTTGGGGGATGGTCTTGAGCTACAGGGTGGGCAATTTCAAGAGTCGTTCGGTCCCAGCTCCTGCCCACCTAGCAGTTCGAAAGCACTCTTAAGTGCAAGTAGATAAATAGGTACCGCTCTATAGCGGGAAGGTAAACGGCATTTCCATGTGCTGTGCTGGTGCTGGCTCGCCAGATGCAGCTTCGTCACACTGGCCACGTGACCCGGAAGTGTCTTCGGACAGCGCCGGCTCCCAGCCTCTTGAGCAAGATGAGCGCGCAACCCTAGAGTCGGACACGACTGGCCCGTACGGGCAGGGGTACCTTTACCTTTATATAAAGGCTTACTCACCTCCTATGTGTGGTGAGTGGGGACCCTGTTGCAACGGTTTAATAAAGATCAGGCTTACTAGCTGTTTTGCTTCTCAGTATTCTCTGGCTGGCCTCTGTTATTTTCTTCTACCGATAGAGAACCTACATAAGGACTCTATACAGGCTCTTGGATACCCCATAAGGGATAAAAGAGCAGGGTTTTTTCTTACATTACAAATGCAGCAAAGCAGCTTCAGAAGTGTGCCTGAGGCTGGGAGCTAAGCTGAGGTATGTCCGCCTCCATTGCACACAGAGAGAACAAGGAACAAGAAACAGGCTTTCCTTCCTCTCAGGAGAAGAGGGTGCCAGAGTCACTGAGCCTGCTCTAGAAATTAGAACTCTGTGGTCCTTAACCCCTTCATATACTAATAGAATCATTAGGTTTGAGTGCAAATCTCCCACACCTGGTTCATTCCAACTCTGGAACCCTGGAGGGCTGTTGCTAGTAAGTGTAGATAATACTCAGATGGACCAATGGCCAAAGTCAGCATAAGGCATCTTCCTATACAGTGGTACCTCGGGTTAAGAACTTAATTCGTTCTGGAGGTCCATCTTAACCTGAAACTTTTTTTAACCTGAGGTACCACTTTAGCTAATGGGGCCTCCCTCTGCCGCCGCGCAATTTCTGTTCTCATCCTGAAGCAAAGTTCTTAACCTGAGGTACTATTTCTGGGTTAGCGGAGTCTGTAACCTGAAGCGTCTGTAACCTGAGGTACCACTGTATTCATATCTGCTTCCCTGCTGTGTGCAACAGATTGGATAAAGTGCTTCCCTCCACCCTCTTTCATTTTTCTTTCTATAGGTGACAACATGTACAGTTGTGAACGATGTAAAAAGTAAGTCCCTGGCTCCTTTTTTAAGTGTTTTGAATACTGCCCTACTCTGCCTTTTATTTTATTTGTTTATTAAATTCGTGTACTGCCCTTCATACAAAGATCACAAGGTGGTTCAAACCTAAAAATACAAACTCAGAACACAAAATATGTAAAAAAGCAAAAACAAAAACCAACCAATAACACCCCCACTCCCATAAAAGGGCCATAGACTGTTAATCAGCCAAAGGCCTGGTTACAGTGGGTTGGTTTGTATGGGGAGAAGTGGTCCTTGTTGGGATTTGCAGTTTAATAAATATTCCAGATGGCCAATTCACTCTTCATTCCCCCCCCCTTTCTCTTCCCCAGGTTGCGGAATGGAGTCAAGTACTGCAAAGTTCTCCGGCTCCCTGAGGTAAGCAGATAAAGCCATGTTGGTTTATATCCTGAGACAGCGACCTCTTCATTCCATGCAGTGAGGAAATTGGAGATGAAAGGCATTCTGATGTGGCCCTTATTTTTCACTTTTGAAAAGAGAGAATAGTCCTTTATTCACTTCTTCATCCAGCATAGTTTACATAAAGTGAGTTATAGCTAATTGGTTGAGTGCATGCACATTGAATGCAGAAGGTCCTGGTTTTTAATAAAAGGAATCGTGTTAACATTCTATGGCTTTTTAAATTTATCTATGGGAGGAGATTTATTGGTTTGTTTTTGCTTTTGTTTTGTTCTTATGCATTTTGTATTCTTGTTTTGTATTTTTCCGTTGTGAACCATCCTCGCATCTTCAGATGAAGGGCGGTATACAGCTTTAATAAATAATCATAATAATATAGCTGGAGGATATTATTTGGAGGTAATAAGCCTCTGAATGCTAGTAGCTGAGAACCACAGGTGGGAAAATTGCTGTTGCATTTGGGTTCTGCTTGTGTGTTTCCCATTGGAGCATCTGGCTGGCCACTGTTCAAGTTCAGTTCGATTTATTGTGTTTAGTGAGCAGCCATTACACACATAAAAATAATAATAACAAGAATACTGCTAATAATACTGGCTTCCATTTCTTCTCCCTGACCTTTACAGGCTAAATCATTTCCCATTCCCTCTTTAAGTTTTATTACACAAATTTGTAAAGCCTTTTGGCGATAAATTTGGATGTTCTAGGATATATACCTCTCTACATCAGACAACAAAAAGCAGGTCTTTGCAAGAGACGTCCTTCCCTTCTGCGATCTTAACAATGGGTGGATCACCCACCCCACTCACACATGAAAACAAAGACCACCACAGCCAACCACAAATGAATAACCACACCCTGGGCCAACCCCAACCTCTCTCACCACCAAAGGAACACAAGCGAACAGCAAAGAAGCTGCACAAGCAACACTGACACCAACCCTACATACAGTAAGCGAAATACAGTAGAAACATCGCCACCCGACCCCACTCTCACCCATCTCTCCCCCCCTCCACCTCTTTCCCCCTTTTCGTCCTAATGTCTCAACAAATGAAAATGATTTGTAAAAATGTTACATGGGGGAAAAACACGAGAGACATTGCACACTTTTGTAAATCAACAAAATCTTTAATAAAAACAAACAAACAATGAGTGGATGTAATTATTTCTAAGATTATTATAAGAAGAGCATTCAAGGAATACATCAGCTATATCTTCAATTGGAACAGTGTTGCAGCTGAAAGCTCTATAAATGTCCCTTCTGTTAGATGGGCTGACATAAAGGAGTTCCTAAGGATAGAGCTTTCAGCTGCAACACTGTGTCAATTGAAGATATAGCTGATGTATTCCTTGAATGCTCTTTTTATAACAATCTTACAAACAATTATATCCACCCATTGTTAAGATCGCAGAAGGGAAGGACATCTCTTGCAAAGACCTCCTTTTTGTTGTCTGATATGGGACACGAGTGGCGCTGTGGGTTAAACCACAGAGCCTAGGACTTACCGATCAGAAGGTAGGCAGTTCGAATCCCTTTGGCGGGGTGAGTTCCCATTGCTTGGTCCCTGCTCCTGCCCACCTAGCAGTTTGAAAGCATGTCAAAGTGCAAGTAGATAAATAGGTACCGCTCTGGCGGGAAGCTAAACGACGTTTCCATGCGCTGCTCTGGTTCGCCAGAAGCGGCTGAGTCATGCTGGCCACATGACCCGGAAGCTGTACACCGGCTCCCTCGGCCAATAAAGCGAGATGAGCGCCGCAACCCCAGAGTCAGTCACGACTGGACCTAATGGTCAGGGGTCCCTTTACCTTTACCTTTAAGTCTACCAGATATCTTTGCAAGGATGGATACAATGGGAAAAAAGCATACAGTCTATTGGATTGACAGATCTTGATCTCAGCAGTTTGTGATAGCATCTCAGTGTCTCTCAGCCAGGGGTCAGCAAACTTTTTCAGCAGGGGGCCGGTCCACTGTCCTCAGACCTTGTGGGGGGCTGGACTATATTTTGAAAAAAAAATAGTGAATGAATTCCTATGCCCCACAAATGACCCAGAGATGCATTTTAAATAAAAGGACACATTCTACTCATGTAAAAACATCCTGATTCCCGGACCATCCGCAGGCCGGATTTAGAAGGTGATTGGGCCGGATCTGGCCCCTGAGCCTTAGTTTGCCTACCCATGCTCTAAGCCTTTGAAGTATTAATTCTTTAGCTATCTCAAAACCCTGTTCCACAAAAAAGGAGGCAGAGAGTCCCAACCTCATGGCAGCAGATTGCATTTCATGTTTCCATGAGTTTGGGGTGTTGGCAACTGTGAAAACAGGATGTTGAATTAGATGGCAGAGGGACTTCTCGTGGTGGCGCCTGCCCTGTCGACCGCTCTCCCATCAGATGTCAAAGAAATAAACAACTATCGGACTTTTAGAAGACATCTGAAGGCAGCCCTGTTTAGGGAAGCTTTTAATATTTGATGAATCATGGTATTTTAGTATCCTGCTGGAAGCCACCCAGGGTGGCTGGGGAAACCCAGACAGATGGGCGGGGTATAATAATAATAATAATAATAATAATAATAATAATAATAATGGACCACTGGCCTGATCCAGCAGGACTGTTTTTATCTTCTTAGGCTTTTTACTCCAGGATTTTAGTTTATGATGGCTTTATGATACCATGCACACACAGCCCTGGCTGAATGTATCATAGGATAAGCCTAGTTGATTGTTTTACCTATGAGGGCAGTATGGAGGGGTTTGAACTTGCCCATCCGCAAGTCCCTTTCTGAGCTCTGATGCCTTTTCTTCTAGATCTTGTGCATTCACCTGAAGCGTTTCCGACATGAGGTCATGTACTCCTTCAAAATCAACAGTCACGTCTCTTTCCCTTTGGAGGGGCTGGACCTCCGGCCTTTCCTGGCCAAGGAGAGCATCTCGCAGATCACCACCTATGACCTCCTCTCTGTGATTTGCCACCATGGCACAGCTGGCAGTGAGTTGTCTGTCCCTCCTCCCATTCTTCTTTGCCTGGAGGGAGCTTGCATCCTGGAATGACATATGTGTTGTGTGTGATGAGCACTTCTCGTAAATAAAGATTAGCCAGATAATTATGGAGTTAAACTGTGGAACTTGCTCCTTCAGAAGATAGTAATGGCCACCAACTTGGATGGTTTTAAAAGAGGACTAGACAAAGTCATGGAGGATGGGGGCTATCAATGGCTGCTAGCCAGTATGGCTTTGCTCTGCCTCCACAGTTGGAGGCAGCAGTGCTTCTGAAAGCTGGTTGCTGGAAACTACAGTAGAGAAGAAGGCTCTTGGGCTCTGGTTCTGCTTGCAGGTTTCCTATTAGGGGATCTGTTTGGCCACTGTGAGAACAGGTTGCTGGACTAGATGGGTGATTGGTTTGATCTATCAGGGCTCTTATGTTATTAAAAGTGCCTGTGAGTTAATCTCCCTTTCTCCCCCCCCCCAATAATATTTATAAATTGAAAATGTGAAAATGAGCCATTTCAATCAGTACAAAACAATTTACAAAACATAAAGCCAGGTCAAGGATCACTGCAAATAAATCACCTCCTATTGCATAATCAGCTGGAGCAACTGAGCAGGCAGATAAATAAAGCCTTAACTTGTTGACAATTTCAAATTCATAAGCATCTTCCTAGCAGGTTCCAGGCTACCCTTCTTCCAAACCAAAAGTTATGACTGTAACGATAAATGATAATTTGCTGCAGGTGTGGGGCAGCTATTTCCATTGACTCTTGTATCCTCAATAAAACAATGCTATGTAGCTACAGACTTAGCCTGTATGCTTTTGATCCCTGGCCATTCCCCCTTTTCTGTGAGGTTTTCTAGTAAAGCAATGTGCCACGGTTTTTTTTGGGGGGGGGGAGGCAAATATTTTCTGTTTCATTTTATAATGTACATAAAGCAAAGAGAACAGTTATAACAACCCACTATTCCAACATGCAACCTCCAGATAAAAACCAGGCAAACCAAAGGCCTCCACTGCCTGGCAGACTTCTACCAAAATAACAAATTCATATTGACACAAGAAATGCAAGACAAATACCCTGGCTAATCACCAACTACACTACATGCCTTCTTAAACAATCCATAGACTCAGCAGCCACTAGGCCCTTGTCCACCTTTGAAAACCTCTGAACAGCAGAAGAACACAGCAAGGGGATGGTATCCACAATATACAAAATACTGCTCCAAAATCCCACAACCCCCCTTGATGCAATCAAAGAACAATGGGAGCACAACAATGAAATTAACCCCACCCAATGGACTAGAATGTGGTCTAAACCTCCCTTTGAATCCATCTCAGCCAAAAGAAAGGAACTCACTCTGAAACTTACTTACAGGTAGTATCTTACACCATGATACACCCAGGAACCTCACCAAAATGCTGGAGAGGCTGTGCTTCTACAGGCACATAAAGTGGTATCTCTGGATACGAACGGGATTCATTCTGGAGCCCTGTTCGCATCCTGAAGTAAACGTAAGACGTGACTGCGCGTGCAGTTTCGCCACTTCTGCTCATGCGCATGACGTCATTTTACTTCTGGGTCGCCACGGAGCGCAACCCAAAAATATTCATCCCAAAGCTACTTCAACCCGAGGTATGACTGTACCACCACATGTGGTAAGAATGCCCCAAAATCCAACCCTTTGGGACAGCAGTCATACAAGAAATATGCAGAATAACAGAACAGGTATTAGAAGTCACCCAGAACATTTTCCAAGATAATAATGTCCACTCGCATTATAAAAAGGTTATAACCCACCTACTCTCAGCAGCCAGAAGCATCATAGCTGGACAGTGGAGAGAACTGTCAGGAGTGAACATGGACCACTGATACCAAATCGTATGGGAAATAGCCTTACTAGAAAAGCTAACCAACAGACTGAAACTGACATGATCACATACACAGCCCAACAAGACAACAAGAACCCACTGACAGCGTACAAATAAATATGACTTACTTGACTCAACAATCCCTCCCCCACTCACAAATGCAAACAAACTTCACTGTAGCCAACTACAGACAACCAACCACACCCTGGGCCCTCCTAATCCCTCTTACTACCAAGGAAATGTAATAAGTGAATAGAAGGAGAATCTACCCAGTTGATGCTGACACAAAACCCCACACGTACACTATAGAAAAGAATACAAGTTTCACCACCCCATCTCTCCTGTCTCCTCCTCTTCTTCCCTGACCTTATACAGTATACAACACAGATGTCTCATATCAAATGTAACCTATCTGTAGAAAAGACTTTACAACCTGAAAAAAAGACAATGCACGTATTTTTGTAAATCAAGAAAAAGAATTATTTTTTAAAAAACAGATGATAGTTAAAAGATGAAAAACAAAACTAAAATAGGGACACATGGGTTAAAATAAAATTCAAGTTATGAAACAAAAAAGTGAGAATAAAAGTTGTCTCCACCTAAAGAATATTATCATTATCTGATTATCAAGTATAGTTCCAGATTTGCCAGGCTTTTTCTGAAGGTTGTCTTGAAAATGCTTTTGTTGTATATGTAATAACAGAATGCTAAATTATATGAAAAGTGTCTGGAGGTTCTAGTCCTTGTTGAAATCTCAAATTGTGCAAAAAATTCTGTTACAGTTATATTCTAATCTAGAGTAAGTCTTACATCCAATGTAAGATTTTGTGCTGTTTTCACATGCCATGATTTTTTGATACCAATATTCAAGGTCATTCACTTGGGACTCTTTCCAATCTTGCTTTCTTAAAAGGTGGGCACTACATCGCGTATTGCCAGAATGTAATCAATGGCCAATGGTACGAATTTGATGATCAGTATGTCACGGAGGTCCATGAAACAGTTGTACAGAATGCAGAGGCCTATGTTTTGTTTTACAGGTAAGATGTTCAAAAGTAATTGGCCCTTGCTGGGGAAACTAGCATTTTTAGAAATGTCTGAAGAGCTTGATGAGAGAGTGTTTGCCTGGGAGGAAGATTCAAATTTATTTAATTCTAGTCCTTAGGCACTTACAAAACAAAGTTTAACAATGCAGAAGTAGAACAAGGTAGCAGAAATAGGAATTAACTTGGATGCAAGTGAACTGCAATGGAAACCAACTTAGAAGTTTGAATTTCCTTGGTGAATTCCACTTTCCCCTTAAAGTGGAGTGGCGAAGGGGCAGAGTACCTGCCCTGCATGCAGAAGGCTCCAGGTTCAGTCCCAACATCTCTAGGTTGGCCTGGGTACTCCCTTCCTGTCTGAAATCCTGAAGAGCTGCTTCCAGCCACTGTAGATAACCATGAGTTAGGTGGACCAATGGGATGACTTGGTATAGTTCAGCTTCCTGTTTAAATAAGCTCTTTATTTAGAACCACGAGGACTAGAATCTTAACTTTATTTATAGGAGAAGGACCATAGTTCACTGGCAGAGCATCTACTTTGCATGCAGAAATTCCCAGGTTCAGTCCCCAATGGCCTCTCTTGTAGGACTGAGAAGAACTTCCTGTTTGAAAACCTGGAGAGCTGGTCATTGTAGACAATACTGAGCTAGATGAACCAAGAGTCTGGCTCAGTTTCTAGGATCCAGCTTATTTCTATGATTGCCAGCTGTTTTTAATATAGTATTTTAATTGTTGCAACCCAGCCTTGGACCCTAGCATGAAGGGCAGGTAATTAAATAATAGTAATAATTATGATGAGGCAGCATTGTAGGAAAGAATCCCCGTGATTTGCAATTAAACATGGAACAGCCCCATCATCTGCACGGTGGTGGCTCCTGCTGCTTCATACTGACGCCTCCACCCTCTGCGCTTTCCTCATAATCTTCCTCCAGGAAGAGCAGCGAGGAGGCTGTGCGGGAACGGCAGAAAGTGGTCTCGCTGGCGACCATGAAGGAACCTGGGCTGCTCCAGTTCTACATCTCTCGGGAGTGGCTCAACAAATTCAACACCTTTGCAGAGCCAGGCCCCATCACCAACCATACCTTCCTCTGCTCCCATGGAGGTGAGGGGGGGAGGGAGGGCTGCACTTGAGGGAATGTTACTTGGTGCTGTGCTGAGAGGCAGGGATCTGCTTGGCTTCTGTTTGTAGCTAGCCAGTTTTCCTCTCAGAAGCCACACAATTTAAATGTCCGGTGGCAGACATGCACAGCCCGTGTGGTTCCTTGTGTTCTGCAGGTGTGTTAGCAACTACTCAGAAGGTACCTTGTTTTTCATTACCTCTTCTCTGTTTCATTTACTCGCAGGCATCCCTCCAAATAAATATCATTATATCGATGACCTGGTGGTGATTCTTCCCCAGAATGTCTGGGAGTATCTCTACAACAGGTAAGGGGAGTAAGTTTGGGGGTGGGGGTGTTTTGTTTCATTTTGTTTTAGTAAAATCAAGTACCTAGTCCCTAGGGTAAGTGGAGAGCAAGTTGAAAACTTACAGTTGGGGCAAGAGCACAAGCACAATGCAGGCTTTCTGTCCCTTCAAATTCCTTCTCAGTGCCCATTTTTTCTGTGAAGCTTTTGGCATCTGGTCTCTATTTTTCTCCCTTTTGCTTTTGTCTCCCCTTCCTCCAATATAATCTCTCATATGTTGAACTGCTGATTGTAATCCAGCTAGGGCAGGTGCCTAGTCTTTTCCCCTCTGGGAAGCGCCACTAGAAGGTGCAACGTAAGAGAAATAAAGGTCTGCAAAGCTGTACTACACCTGCATAGCAGTTCTGTGGCTGATGGCCTCAGAATTGATTGTCAGCGATGGGGAAACTTCCAGATGTTGCTGGCCTTCCATATGTTGCTGGTCTATAGCTCCCATCAAACCTGATCATTGGCTATACTGGTTGGGGTTGATGGGAGTTGAAGCCCACCCACTTCTAGGGACTCAACACTGCATTCACAAATACTTGGAGTATATGGGCATTTGGTGCTGGTGTGCTTGGTCTTTCTCCCCCATTGCCTCTGTGGTTATGCTTCAGTCTCCTCATGTGTTCAGGTTCGGTGGCGGCCCAGCTGTCAACCACCTCTACGTGTGTTCAGTGTGCCAGGTGGAGATCGAAGCCCTGGCCAAGAGGAGGAAGATCGAAATTGACACTTTCATCAAGGTACTCCCACAGCAGATAGGCCTGCTGGGGTAGGGAAACATAGTGGTAGTACAAAGTAGTACCACTAGCTGTCAGTGTCATTCCATCTACTGCACCTTATGTGGGGCTTCCCTTATGCTTGATCTGGAAGCTGCCACATAAGACCCATTCTGCATTTGTAACAACTAAATCCTTTAGTGTGGCAGCACCTAAACTTTAGAACTCAACTTCCTATTGATATCAGGCAGGCGCCTTCACTGTGCTCTTCTCTGCTAAAAACAAGCCTGCCCAGATATTTAGAAAGTTGATGTGAGTCTTAAATCTGTTTTTAGTCTATTATTATTTAATTTTTTCCAATTATTGTTGCAAATTTTTCTTTGTGATAACTTTATCGTTTTATATTTTTTGTGAACTGCTTTGAGGGTTTTTTTTTTTGTAGTCAGGCAGTATATAAATTTTATTAAATAAACAAACAATGCTCCGGCTCAGTTATGGATTCTGCTGACTGGCAGTGGAAACAATCTCTTTTTATGTCATTCAGAATCAGCACGTTAATTTGCTGCAAGCAACCGATTCCTTCCTCTGCCCAAAGGTGTTTGCAGCTTTGATTTCATGTGTTTGCTTGGTAGATTTATACCCCACTTTTTGACAAGTCCTCAAAGCAGCTGAGGACCTTCATAAAACACAATAGATACACCAAGAGCCATTTGCTCACAAATTGAAACTGAGTGGCCAGGCAGCTGGTGTCAGACTCTCCTTCCACCAGGGCTTCTTTGGTGGTTGGGGAGGGAGCAGTCTAACTGCAGCCACCCTTGACGCTGCCGTTGTCTGCATCCACCTCATGACAGAGCAAATGATCTGCTCCGAATCTCTGCAAGCTCAGTAAAATACAATCCATAAAATGCAGGAGACACATCCACAAACCTTAGAAACCTTTCAGCTCCAGAGGCTTGCAAGGAAGCTTATGCCAGCCCTTAAAAATACAGTTCAGCATAAAAGGAAGATTTGAAAACTAACCTACAAAAGCTGGTGGCTGGTGGCAGTGTTGGTGTTTTCTACCCATCACTGCCTTTAGCTGCCATCATAAAACAAATGACAATAGCAGTAATTCCCTCTTTGCCCTCTGCCCATCAGCTGAACAAGGCCTTCCAGGCCGAAGAATCTCCTGGAGTCATCTATTGCATAAGCATGCAGTGGTTCCGCGAGTGGGAGGCGTTCGTCAAAGGAAAGGACAACGGTAAAGACTGGCAGGGAGGGGAGTTGGCAGTGGAAAAGGAGGGATGGGGAGAGAACAGGGTTGTCACCAAGTGCCTTGGAAGTGACTCAGAGGGGGAGGGGGTTTCTCTCAATCTGTAGGGATGGCCAACTGGCATGCTGGCAAGCCCGTCTGCCCCTGGCCCAAGTATGGTGGTTCTGGCAAAGTAACAGTATGATAAAACTTTTATATGAATGTAAGGTGATGGGAATGGTTTCCCCCATTTTACCCTCACAGCAGAGAGTTTGGCAGACAGTTGGAGACTAGGCCCAAGGTCCTCTGTGAGCTTCATGGCACTTGAGTCCCGGTCTGCCATATCCTAGCCTGGCAGTCTAAACCTGCCCCTGTCTCTCTCTTTCAGCCTAACCTACTCCGCAGGGTTGTTGTGAGGATGAACTGGGGAGAGGCGGAGAACTGTGTATACACCACCTTGAGCTACTTGGAGGAAAAGTGGGCTATGAATAAATAAATGGAACTATGGCAAATTTAATTTTGAACTGTACTACCTGCTAACTAGTATTCCTTCTTTCCCGTAGAACCGCCTGGACCTATCGACAACAGCAAGATTGCTGTGGCAAAAGGCAGCGGTCACATGCAGGTCAAGCAGGGTAAGGCTCCTCACAGCAGCTATTTCAGCTCCCCCCTCCCTTCCTTTCCTGTTTTCCATTCTGTCTGCCTCCCTCAAGAGACAGGATCTTAGTGAAGCTGAAGCAAAGGAGAAAATTCTGGGGCTTGGGAGAGGACCTTGAGTGGCTTTAGAAAGAGGACTAGACAAATTCATGGAGGGGTAAGGCTACCAGTGTCTATTAGCCAGGATGGATGTGTTCAGCCCTCCAGTATGTTCCTGAATACCAGTTGCTGGGGAACACATGTGGTAAGAGTGTTGCACTGAGGTCCTACATATGGGCTTCCCATTGGGGCATCTGGTTGACTTCTGTGAGAGCAGGAAGCTGGACTAGATGGGCCACTTGTCTGATCCAGTAGTGAGGCTGGGAACCACAAGTGGGCAGAGCTGGTGTTGCAGTTGGATCCTGTCTACAGGCTTCCCATGGGGGCATCTGGCTGGTCGCTGTGCTTCAATAGACGGGCCTTTGGTCTTCTCTAGCAGCCAGGCTCTTATTGTGTTCTTAGTTCCCTCTGGGCTTCTCTTCTGCAACTTGCAGTGTGGAAAGAGTAGCAGCCTACCTCACAGGGTTCCTGTACAGCACTATAAACACTCTTTTGCAATGCTCTTAAGTTGTCTGTTAAAATAGCAGTAATTCCCCTCACCGTTTAATAATGCTTTTACTACTTTGAGGAAAGCTGTGAGAAAATTTTGCTGTTGACAGAAGCCGTTTGGATCTGCCCTGCCCACACCAGCGTTTTCTCTACCGCTACCTATGCTCTTTTGGCAGGAGCCGATTACGGGCAGATATCCGAGGAGACGTGGACTTACTTAAGCACAATCTACAGCGGAGGCCCTGAGATTGCCATCCGGCAGAATGTGGCCCAGGTGCAGGAGGTGGAGAACATGCACGGGGAGCAGAAGATTGAGGCTGAGACCCGGGCGGCCTGAGAGACAACGGACCACGTGGGGAAGGTACACTGGAGAGGCGCAGGGGCATCCAGAGCCCCTGAGGTTAGGCTCATGTGGATAGCTGCTTTACCTTCTGTCGCACCATTTCCCCATCTAGACCCATTACAGTCTACTCCAGGGATGGGGCAACTGTGCCCCCCCATCTGTTGAACTACAACTCCCATCAGCCCCAGCTAGCATGCTCCAGTGGTCAATGGATGATGGGAGTTAAGAAGCTGCCTTTAGAATGTTTCTGAATCCTGAAGAATTTATTTAAACAAACCCCTCTGTTCCAAAACCTTTCAACAGTTTTTTTTAAAAAACACAGCATAAAAAGCTGCCTTGTAGTGAGTCAGACCATTGTTCTATCTAGCTCCTTATCGTCTACACTGACTGGCAGGGACTCTCCAGGGGTTTCAGGCAGGATCTCTTTCCCAGCCGTATTTGGAGATACTGCTGCGATTGAACCTGGGACCTTCTGCAAGCAAATCTGGTGCTCTGCCACTGAGCTGCACCCCCCCCCCAAATAAAGATTCTAGTCCAATTGTTCAGCCAGCATGAAGTAATTAAGTGGGAAGATAGAAAGTTTCCTTTATATCGAGCCAGACCATTGGTCCATTTAGCTTAGTATGATCTACAGTGATGGGCAGCGGCTCTCGGGAATTTCAGGCAGGGAGTCTAGGAGAGATTTCCATGGAGAAGCTGGGAACTGAACCTCAGACCTGTATACAAAGCAGGTGCTCTATCATGGAGCCATTGTATTTCACCTAAAAATAAAAGAAAGACCCTAGTCCTCATGGTTCTGTATGGGTTGAACTGAATAAGAACTTAGGGAGATTACTTATAACATGTCAGACCATTGGTCCATCTAGCTCAGTATAGCCGACACTGACTGGCAGTGGGTCTCCAGGGTTTCAGGCAGGGGACATTCCTAGCTTTACTTGGAGATGCCATTGGGGAATGAAGCCAGGACCTTCGACACACAAAACGGATGCTGTACTGCTGAGCTACATTCCACGAGTCTTGTTGGGCTACCAAGTTCCCCATCCGTGATCCACTCTTCTGGCTCAAGGTGCTCAGCCCTGCTACCTAAGACCCTTTTGTTCACCTCAGGTACCAGGGATTGAACCTGGGACCGTGAGCATGCAAAGTGTGTTCACCACCATGGATCGATAGTCTCTATGCCCCCTCAACATACTGCTCATCAAGCCATCTTTGTACAACACTGCCTGACCATGCTTTTTTGCTTGCCTGCACAGAGGATAGAGAGAGGTGTGTGGGCATTTGTAGAAATTAGCCTACAGTGCAAAGGTAAAATTTGCACCCATTGCTCCACCCACTTTTAATAGAATCATAGAATTGTAGACTTGGAAAGTTCCCAAGGGTCATCTAGTTCAACCCCCAGCAATGCAGGAATCACAGCTGATGAATCCCAGACAGGTGGCCATCCAACCTGTTTAAAAACATCCAACAAAGGAAGAGGCTACCACCTTCCAAGATAGTCCATCCCAGCGTCGAACAACTCACCTTCAAAAAGTTCTTCCTAATGTTTTGCCTCACCCAAGTGGCTACCAGGAGGATGCCCAGAAGGAAACTTGGCCCCCAGGCTGAAAAAGGTTCCCCAGCTGTGTTCTAAAAAGAAGCACAGCTCTGATCTCTTTCCTGTGCTCTTGACAGGTTGGGCTGGCCCTGACTTCCCCTTGGGGAGTGGACATTCTTGGGAGTGAGTCCAAACACTCTCTGCATTTCTTTGTTTCCCTTTCTCTCATGTTATGGAACTGAAAAAGCATACAACGCAGCCCCCACCACCGTCACCTTGTCCTGTTCACAGTGAGTAACACGTGTAGGAAGCGATGTTAATTTTGTGGGGAAAATAGATATAGATCACCTGTGTGGAGTAATTAATAAAAGACTTGGCTGGGTCCCTAGATCCAAAGCACAGGACTTAACACACTTTAGCAAGAGAAACACCTCCCTGGGTTTAAAATCACAGAATCATGCAGCACAGTGAAGCAAGAGGGACATAAGTTTTTAGACCTTTTAAATATCCTGTTATAGCCGTGTACAGCACTTCCCCTTCTCTACCCCTCTTGCAACGGACAGAAAACAGCATTACTAAGTTTAAATGCTTTACTTACAAAACACCAAAGGTTAGATTCATGTGTTATTCCATGCAGCAGCAAGAAGAACATAGGGTGTTTACAAAATACAGAAATAGCACACAGTCTGAGCTTGTAGCAAGCAAGCTCAGGCATGTCCTATTTCTGTTCATTCTCTTTCACCATGCAAACTCACAAAGGAAGAAACTTAACTTACTTCCAGGTGAGGGGCGTGACCTAGCTGAGTCTAGGAACAAAGTAGTATGATAATAACCCCTTCATGCATTAACTAGCCCTATGCTTTTCTAGCTATATTTGACTGCAATTCCCCACAAATTTGATGCCTAGCCTAGCACCAATGAGACCTCGCAGGTGTCCACTTGCAGCTTCACAGGCCAGAGAGTGCCCTGCAAGTCTTGCCTTGCTGAGAAAGAGGAAGACATCTTTGCCAGAGTTGCATTTGTCTGGTTTTTGCTTCCTTCCTTCCTAGTTCCTGACTGGATAGGTCTTCATTCTGCTTGGTGTGACCTCGGAGGAAGCTTGGAGAACTAGTTTTCCTGCTTTCTGCTGGCCTCCCCATTTGTCCTTTTCCCTTTGGCGATCCTTGTGGCCTTTCAACAGCCCTGACCTTTTAGCCCGCTCCTTGGGCACCAAGCATAGCCACACACCTCTTCTTGTTAATTTGCCTGCCTCCCTCCTCTTGGATTTCTACCATTTCAGTAGTTGATGTAGCAGTTCTGCTGGAGTCAGACACAGAAGATGTTTGTGGGGTGGATGACCTTTCAGAGTAATGTCAGGAGTTGCTCATGTTCTCTCTCAGCCAGAGGCATTAGAGTGACAAAATTTCCCCCTACTATTGCACATAATTCCCCCCCCCCCTTTCTGGTGTGTATTGGCGGCGGGGAGCTTTCAAACCACAAAGTGGATCCCATCATTGTGATTTATTTATTTATTTATTTGTAAGGATGCAAAACTCCACCTTCCGATTCAGGATGCCTGTCCCCCACCCCTTCCTTGAACACAATCCCATTCACATAAAGAACAAGTGCAGCTGATCAGCTTCTTCTCATCCCATTGACTGTGGCCTCCCTGAAAATGGGTGTGTGGAAGGAATTTTGAGGAAATGGGTACCCATGAATTAGCCCCTGATGACCCCATACTAATCTTGTCGCACCCACACAACAGCACGACCCACTCCTGATTGCATGTGCAGCCAGGAACACTGGAAGCATCTTCCTAGGGAGGTGGGCAATACTTGATGTTTGGGTGCAGCTGCCTGTGAAACCAAGGAAGACGGATTGTCCCACCTGACCCGGCAGCCCCACCCTCCTCCTTTTTTGGCTGTGGGAGAACAGGGGTGTGTCTCTGTCTTTCTGAAATGCCTCCTGCATCCAGACTGCTGGAGGACCAGCGTTAGAACAGTTCTGATCTGTGGTGACAGATTGGACAGTTTCTGAGGGAAAACCATGTAGCCCAACAAGTCTGGCACACTTGTGAAGATAGAGCCCCCCTCCCCAATTCCAGGAACCACTACTGCATTTTTCTGCTCAGCAGCTGACGAGAGATACCTTTTTGAGGGAGGTCCTGTCTCATGTTGCTTTGCACAGTCTCTGTTTCTGTCCAGCCACATGTACCCTCAACATAGTTTTGTGTTGGTAATTGGTCTAGTTCAGTCTCACCTCCCCACACCTCTTTGCCTCTCTGGCCACTCCCAGGCTTTAATGGGGTTGCTCCAAACCAACCATTTTTTGTTTTGTTTATGGGAATGGATAAGAGCGGATAACGGAGGGAGAAGCATGAAGATCTCTTTAGTGAGATGTGGCCTTCTGGAAGCACGAAATCCTCTGCTGCAAACAGCAACCACTTCCGCCTCTTTTTAAAGAGAACTCTCTTGCAGAAGTTTCTCCATCTTTTTGTTGCTGCTTTCCCTGTTGACCTGGATCTGTAAATGCCTAAAAGAGCATCCTCCTAGGCACCCGAGGAGCGTGTGGGGAGATGACTTGCTGTGGGGGGGTGTCATTTCTGCTCTTACCATGGAACGCCCTTTCCGAGGGCAGCCTCTGTTTGTGCTCTGTGGGTGGTGCCTTAAAAGAGACCGAGTACGTTATGGAGTGTCAAACTCTTGTGCTCAAATTCCTTCCTTTTGTGCTAAGACTGTTGAGCCAATAAAAAACGCTTGCATTCAGAAGCTGTGTAAATATTGCTTTGCTTGTCCATGTGTTTATTCTCCATCACAGTGCCCCCCCCCCCAAATGCTGAGGTTGGCCTCAGAAGGGACACTCTGGTTTTGCTTTATCCTCTGCCTGGATAGGTGCTGAACAGCAGGCTCTAATGGCCAAATGTACCCCGCCCCAAGGCCTTGCCACCTGGACTTTGGGACCCCCCCTCCCCAAGGCCAAACCCCCTCCCCGCCCTTTAAACAAACTTCTGCATCCTGCCTGATGGGACAAGCAAGCATTCACCTGGAAAGGGAGGGGAAAGAGTTTTAAGTGGGGGCCATCAGATACGTGGTTTCTGTTATCACCTCTATTCCCTTTCTCCCTTCGCTTTTAACTGCCTATGTCTGCATGCCCAGTTGGCATCATTTCCCGTCATGGAATTTTGCTGCAAGCTGTCAGTTGCAAAACTTACTAGCTTGGCTCCAGCTGAGTAGCCTGTTCTCAGTGGCCAACCAGATGCCCCAGTGAAAAGCCTACAAGCAGGACCCAGGCACAAGAGCCCTTTCCCCTCCTGAGGTTTCCAGCAACTGGTATTCAGAAGAATGGCTGCCTTTGATCAGGGAGGCAGAGCTTAGCTGCCATAGCTAGCCTTATCTCCTGCATGAAATGGGCCAGTCATCTTTTAAATCCATCCAAAGTCAGTGGCCATCACTGTGTCTTGCGGGAAGTTCAGTTCAACTATAATGCAGTGTGAAGGTGTTATTTCCTTTTGTCTGGCTTTCACCTTCCAGTATTCAGAGTGTGCTGTATCACCATCCCCTTTGATGGCTGAGAAGACTTCCTCCTTCTGAGTTTGAAATGGGGGCTCAGTGCTTAACTAAAAGCTAGAGATAATCTCTTGATGGTGTTGCAGGACCAAGAGCCAAACATTGATGAAAGTGTTTTGTTTCCCCAAATCACAGTTAACAAGTCCTGTGTTTGCTCTCAAATGGAAGCACTTTATTTGATAGAATTCTTTCATCAAGAAACAAATGGGTCAAACACCAGAACCTTTTTGTTGTCGGTTTTTTTTTTACACACTTTTGGGGGTTATGAGACAACACACACACATACATTAAGATGCTGTTGAAACCTACGCAAAATAATCCAGTGCCTAAAAACTCACACAGAAATCATTTCTTTTTTAATAATAAAAAAAGTGCTTGACATTATATGTTAAAATATAATTTGGCTTACTTTTTTAAAAAAATCTTTTTTTGACACTTCAAGCATGAGGGAGCAGGGAGCGATGGAGTCAATATGCAGCAGGAAACTTTGAAAAATATTCAGCATTAAAACACAACTTTTCAGTAAATATGTTTCTTTTCTCTTTGTATATTTACAGATGTTAAGGGAGAGTAAGAGAGAGATGGGAGCAGAGGGCGGAGAAGGCTGATTTGTTTTCTTAGAGGCAAGGATCATAACTTTTCCTCTTCAACAGGATCATGAGACGGTCACAAGTTTTTGCAAACTAGATTAATCTGCTTCAGGTTAAATTTGGAGGCTCTGCCTCAGAGCTCTGTACGTGCTCCAGAGTGCCTTTTGAACTCCTTATGTGTGTGTGGAGCACCAATACGCTCATTTCATCTTAGCAAAGTATCTCAATCCTTTTCTGTGCAAAGCTGTTGTGGCTACTGAAGCCCATATTCTTTGGGGTTTCCAGGAGCCCAGGGCCATTCTGGATCTGGGAGACACCTAAGGCCTGAATGTCTCTGCACATTTTTATTTTGCTACATAAAAGAAAAAGTCACGAAGTGACCCACGTGGCAGCCTGCAGCATGGACCAGAAGTCTTGACATGGATGTACAGAAGACATAAGCACTTTTTGGAATGATTTTAAGAGCAGCCCCTTGCAAATACATCACCCCCCTGCCTTTGCAACTTGCTTTATGGATATGTTCTGAAATGAATCAAAGGGTGGATCAGTTGTCCCTTTGAGAGCTATCTAATTTTTTAAAGTTTTTTAAAATAAAGTGTCCCATCTACTTCTTTGTGTGCTGTGCTTCCATTTTTATCTCCAGATCACACACACACAATTTCTCTGGCAAGATGTTGAGGCAGGAGATGTGGTAGTGATGCTACAGGGGCTAGCCAATAGGTGACCTCCCCCTAGGTGATGTTCCCTTACTTTAAAATGGTTGGTGCTGTATCAAACCTCAAATTTCCCAGTTGGATGGGGGGGGGGGTTGACACTTCATGGAACAGGGTCATAGTGTTTACAAACTAGTGCTGCTGTCTGAAAAATCTTAACCCATATGGGTGCTCTCTTGACTTCCAATTCTGTGCCTAGACAGGAGAAAAGTGCCTCTGTTAAATTCTTTCCTGAAATGTCCACCTAGTAGAACAGAGAGAGGACCCTTTAGTCAAAGGTGGCTCGATGTTTTCTTTTTCTACCTGTTTGGTTCTTAAGAGTAGCAAAGATTTGCCAAGAAGCTGCCAACTTTGTAGAAACTCAAGGAAACCATATTTTCACAGCCTAGTTATAAAGGCAGAAATGATTCTCTCCCCAGCTTGTGATGTAGCCACATGGACACAGCAATCATTTGGGCATTGTTGGTACAGGGTGACAATAATATACTGTCCACCTAACATATATCTATCTATCTATATCTAATGTCTGTTTATTGAAAAGCAGACTTTCTCTTACATTAGTGGCACCATAAATTGGGAAGAAGATCCCTTCATCTTATTTACATGTTTGGACGATCAGGGATGTTACAGACTTTGCCAACAGAAATAGCTGTAGGTGCTGTAAGTTTCATATCCACTTTGTCTTCCTGCAGATCTCGGGAAGGAGGAGCGTACAGGATTCTTTAGTTGTGATTCCTGCAATGCAGGGAGTCGGACTAGATGACCCTTTGGGTGCCTTCCAACTCTACATTTTTTAAATTTCATGACTAAACAGCACAGCTTGGCTGCTTTTCAGGCTGCTGTCCTCTGGATAAATATATAATTGAAGCAGATGCTATGGCAGCTGAGATCTGTATTCTGCGTCCCTCCTGAACAGGAACGCTGGTGCTCAAGGACATTCCTCACCCAGAAATTCAGCCTAGTGAACAGGGTCCCCCTTTTTACTTGCTATGCTATGATGATGTTCAAATGGCCAGCTATGCACACGCACGGACCACAAATGCAACTTTCCAACACACCAGCCCTTCCACTGCCATGAAAAGAGTAGACAAGAGCTTTATCCCCTTCAGACTTGATTCATCCTTTCCGCTTGTGATCCAATGCTGGGTGAACGCATACAACAGTTTGCCAGGGGGTGGGGAACATTTGGCCCTTCGAATGTTGGCCTTCTCATTGTCCTTGCTCCTTGGCCATGCTGGGACTGGTGGGAGCTGGAGACCCAGGTCCTCTAGCCCTGCTCTTTCTTACATTGACTGGCAGTGGATCTCCAGGGTGTCAAAACGAAATCTTTCCCAGTCTTACCTGGAGACCCTGGGAATTGAGCTAGGACAATCCTGCATACAAAGCAGATGCCCTGCTACTGACCCAAAGACCCTCCCCCATTTGGCAGGTGACCAGCTGTAATACAACCAACAATAGGTTGCTTTTGGAAATCAATCTGTCCCCTAATCTCAGTCTGAAACCTTCTCTTTGCGCTACCTGGAACGGGCCACACTTGTTTGTCTCGAACTGCCTCTATCGATGAGCACCACACCGCGGAAGTTCCAGCACTGACGATCTTAACTGCAACGATCCATTCATATGTATGGCAGACACTCTGTAACAAGTGTGTGCACGTGGGTCTTTTAAATGAGAACTGGGCCAGGCTCTTTCAGTGTGATCTGTGATCCGTCACCCGCTGTCAAAATGCAGGTGTTTGGGAGACGAAGGCATGAGCTCAAAACCCAAAGTATTTTATCTTTCATGCAGCAAGAAAGCCACTTCCAGTCAGCCGCCCATGATGAAGGTGTGCTGTCCAGCGTGAACACAGATGAAACTACTGCTCAGTTAATCAACCTGGTCACATTGCCAAAAAGGGAATTGAAGACAGAACGCCTACATTGCCAAAGTGCTGGGCTATGACGTTCCAGTTCGGGTTGGGGTGGCAGGGAAGGATAAATCAAGAGTGCGATTTTGTTTCGACATGGTATGGGAATATAAGCAGAATAAAGGCAAGAGCAGGCAGAGACAGCATGCAGAAGGGAAGAAAGGAAGCTCTTGAGATGCTAAGGACCAAATAAATTAAGAACAGCAGCAGAGAGTTTAAATCTGGGCACCTTAAAAAAAGGCAGGCAGGTGCAGGCAAGGCAGCAGGGGGCGAGCATGCGGGCCCAGAGGCAGTGGAAACGGAGGTCTGCAGAAAACTGGCTGGAAGCGTGCAGGGGGTGGGCGTTGGTTTTGGGCGCACAGGTAGGCGGGCGTTTTGCAAAGGGGCGCATGGCGAGGTTTCCAGCGTCAGCTGAGCAAGAGCACACTCCGGCCCCTCCCAACAAGCACCTCTCAGGGCTCTCCAGTAAATCCTTGACAGTGGGCAAAACCACAATGTGGACAAAATTTAAACTTGGGATGAGAGGAAATGGCCTACTCACTGCAGATGCAGTTGAGGGTGGGGAATGTAGTCCCTAAGGGCAAAAACTAAGGAAAGAGGCTAGACCTCAGGAAGGCCTTCAGAACAAGGGCTGACTTCTCTTGAACTCTGAGAAGATGCTAGGAAGTGTTCAGTCTCTCCAACCCCCCCCCCCAAAAGATATCTGAACAATTGGCACATACCAACTCAACCCATCTATTTCTTATTTGTTTCTTGGTGGGTGGTGGTTTCCCTTCACACATTACGTTCTTTCCTACACATATTTTCATGTATGCTTAATGAAACACAACGCCTGGACAGGACAAGTGAGCACAGCATAATGGGGAAAATAGTTGTCAGAACAATGCTGTGCTTGCTGCTGTGTGTCCTCAGTGCGCTGCAGTGTTAACATGCAGGATTTGGCACTTATTTGCAGCAGCCTGGAGTTGGTTGCAGGACCAGGGCCACAACCCTGGACATATCAACTA